CCCGGCAGCCCCTCGACAGGCCTGGCCAATAAGGTGGCAAGGCTGGACCCCTCTGGCGTGGTCCACCCCAGATCCATCCACAGGGGGGGGGGGGCCTCCCTCCCTGGTACATATATTGATGATCGGACCAGCAACGTGTCGATCATGGCAGTTCTTGCTCCGCAATGAGACAATTGATATTGCAGTTGGCCTAAGAAATTGATTGTGTCCTCTATTTATACATCTAAAAATAGCGAGGAGGAGAGTACTATGTAAGTCTCTTTGTGCCAAATCATGTGAACCCAATGAAACAAACTGCATTGTCAACGTTCGTAATACTGTAGACATTGTTCTTGTTGAGTGCGCCCCTTACTTGAAGGATGTCTTGTGAATTGTTGTAACAGAACCGTGTACGCTACAATGGGGACGTCGCACCCATCATACATCCTAATTGCGAGTCTCTTCTCTGGACCTGATATGGTCCGCACTAGTACCGAAAACGGAATAAGAATAAGATGATCTTCGACTACCAGAGAGACATCAGGTCCCTGGCTGGTTGCGTAAAATTACAGAAATAATTTATGTACGCTTAAAAGAGAAAAAGATGTCGTGACGAGTCGTCCGACAAAAGCACTCCGTAGTTCACATTCACCAATAGATGACACGAAAACATACGTACGTACATTATCTTTATCAATGATTCATCAACAGACGCCGCGCGGTGGCTTAGGTATAACCGATAGGTGTTTTTTGCGGACGAGGACCCCTTGTTAGAAGCGGACCATGTGGAGGAGTCGGTCCGATTAGCGGGAAGCCTCTTTCTCTGCGTGAAGATTCACACAAGTGTATGTAGAAGAAGTGCTCCAGAGAACAAGTCCTTGACTCACATAAGATAAAAGTCGAGATTGTTATGAAAACCCGAGATCTGAACAACGAAAGGTGATAGAGAGAGAGAATCGAGCGTCGAGCGATTGCCTGCAGAGGACAGCGCATTGTTAAAAAAGATGACATGAAAGATGATCATTGCTTGTGTCTCCTTTACAAGGCTGATTTAATTCACTGGTCGTGAAATAAAAAACGCTGACGTTCTTGACAACTCTAATTTTTTCATGGTTTTTCGATTCTTTCATGGTCTGACCGTAGGCATGTTTCCTCGATAGGGGTAGTCGTAGTGGATGAAGTTCGTGGCGCAGTTAGCGCGCAACAAGTCATGTTGTCGCCGAGATCCTCGACTCCTTCTAGCGTGGTAGCAGTTCTAGCATGTTGTTGTTTTCTGAATCTGAGTCACCGTTGTGTATCTGCACTACGTTATCATGGAGAAACCAAAAGAGGTGTAATTGAGCAACAAGTACAAGTACATGACAGCTTTGTCGGACGACGGGATCATGCACGTGAAAAAATTGTAGTGGAGCAACGTAAGGATGAAAATGAAGGTGCTTCGACGAAGCGAATCAATTACGACGGATCACGTGAAGATGCCGTTCTCTCAGCTGACGTGTTGTGGCGGTCCATACTCGATCGACCGAATCGCAAGGCGCTCTCGCAGCACCAGAACAAGACCTCTAGCGATGAGAAGGCAGTAGGTAGAGTGCTGTAATATTTTCTCCGAATAATTCACATTCTTCAGAAGTGTCCTCCTCCTCTCCACTAGTTTGTAAAGTTCTTGTGGCAAGAAATTGAACTGCTTGTTCTTTTTCACTGTGTGTTCTCTTGAGGGATGACCGCACGACCATTTCTTCAACGTTCAGGTCTGTCGACTGTTGTCGGCAAGAATGGCCACGGCTCGAGCAAAATTCGGGAACTAATGCTCAGGGTTTATTACGGCGCCAACTCCGGAACGGCAAGATCGACTTCGTATATGACGGCCGACGAATGCGCTCGTGCAGTCGATGATCTGGTGCTAGCTTCTAGGCATGAAGAACAAGAAAACTTCGGAGTTGGCACTCTGCTTTCGAGACGTCAGGCTGCTCAAGAACTCTGCCGTGTAGATGGAAAAAATGAACAAGAAGATCCAACAACCTCTGGTTCCGAGTTGCATCAACATCTTGCGTTTTTGTCGGAAGACACGTTCTCGCGCCATTACTACACATGGCGTCATCGCGAGACCTTGTACCGGAACAACTCATGCGCCTCCATTGACGCGCAGCTGCTGTCCCAAAGTGACGTGAATGCCCACTGGGAGGCGGAGAACCGCGCTATAGCGCAGGAGAACCTCGATTTGCTAGCTGCAGCAAAGGAGCGCTTGCAGGTAACGACGACAGTGTTGTCTACCAAATCGACTTCCTTCTTGCAACAGACTTCAAGATTAGAACAGCACAGTGCTGGTCAAAAGAGTCTAGGAGCGCCGCGCGGACGTGAGGACGCGGCAAAACATGTTAGTGTACGTGAATTGTTGAAGAACGCGATCAGAACAACAAAAGCACAGATTCGAGACTACAAGAACCGTGTTAAGAAGAAGGTGTACGCGAAAATTTCTTCTTCTGCAGGTCAGCATCAGAACAACGCGAATGAGGAAAAGCAACTGCACGAGCACGAGGATCTAAAGGAGCGCCAAGAGAGGATGCAAAAGGCGGCAGAAGCATCAACTCAAATAGCGGGCGTGACCAAAGCGTATCATTTGACGGCATCCGCCGACCTGACATCCCGAAAAAACACTTCTGACGAGAGAAGCAAGAAGAGGCGTGCTAAGATCGCAGAGGAAAAACTGCAGGAAGACTTTCAGAACTTTCTAAAGAATGTTGACGATGGCGCTATCGAAGAAGATGTTGAACCTGGTGCTGATGAAGTAGACGTTGATGAAGTAGAAGCTGAAACGTCCTCTAGCTCTAGCAGGGGTTCTGCAAGTACTTCTTCAGGAAACGATGCATCATCCTCTGCAAATGATGCGTTGTCCACGGCCACGGCTTCCACTTCTTCTTCCAAGAGCGCTCGTGCCAAAGCGTCCTTTGAATTTGATCTTGAAGAAGAAGTCAATAAGCGCATGGCTAATGCGCGTAGGAAAAACATGATCATCAAGAAGCAGCTGCAGGCTTCTTCTACATCAAGTTCGCAGCAGCGAAAGCCGCATCATTGGGGTCTTACGCTCGAGGAGTTTGCGAAGCGCCTTTCCCGTGACGTGCTTAGCGGCGCCAGAGATGCAGATGGAAGTGAGAAGAAGCGCGAAGACGGGATAAAAGGAAAGGACAAGATGAATTCGTATTCGACGAAGAGGCGCAAACAATCTGTTACAAGAGGAAGTATACGAGAAGATCACGATTCAGAACACACTACTCAAAATCAAGCTGATGCTGGTACAGAAGGAGTGGAGCAAGCTGCAGAGAGGACTCCTTCCGAATCGTTTGCGTCTAGGCTCGAAACGGCCATTTTAACTCGACGCGCTTCACGTGCTGCAGCGAGCATGCGGGAAAAGGCGAAAACAGTGAGTGGAGCGATCCGCAAGGCCACACTCGAATCTTCGCGCAGTTTGCAAGCAGCAGAGCGCAGTATCGAAGCGAAAAGTGATGATGTTATCGCTGCGGCGCGCGAACGCCGCCGTGCGCGTAGCGATCACGAGATGCTCGAACAAAGCAAAATCATGCTACAGCGAAATCTCGAGAAGCTCGCAGGTAATTTCTATTTTTTCATTTCTCACCAACTTCTTTCAAACAGTTGTGACGTACATAGGCACAGCTTTGATCCGACAGCTTCCTACTTCAATCAAGGACTACTTTTCACAACCACATCGTTTTGATCATTGTTCTTGTTGATACGACTGCTTTCCACGTCTTCTACTGTGATTATTGTGAAGGTAGTCTCGATTCATAATCTTTGTCAGCTCACAATTATTGCAGTAAACCTGGAGCAGGAGCTCAAAATCAAGGTCTACATCTACATCGAACCAAACTAATCGCAGGTGAGAAGAATTTTCTGCTGTCTCTGTGAACAAAACCCCTTTTTTATCTTCAGCTCGCGTCGAGCCTTTGTCTGAGGAAGAATTTGCGTCATTACCACTCGATTTGATGCACAAGAGGGTGGAAACTGAGGAAGGACGTGCGTCGGGGAAAGAAATATGCGTGGATCCGCTCCTATTGTCGACGCATGCACAGCTCTTGTACGCAAACCGCCGACTCAACGATCGGTTGGAATCGGACAGTGCATGATAGACTTATAAACTACCGCATCCTAAACCTAATATACCGACTTCTTATTAATTTTTTTCCACATTCAGATTGATGTTTGAGAACAACAAGAACAAGAAACTCGTTTTTTCCCCAATAAAGTAGAATTGATCATACAGAGAAGAAGCAACTGGCAGCTGGAAAATGACCGCATGCAAGCATAACGAACAGCCACGTCGGTCCCTGAGGATCTCTCCGATGACAACAAGCGAGTGTTAAGGTTTCCAACCTGAACTTGTGTCGTATACGTGGTTACGCACACATAAGCCTCGGTCCAGACTGGCATTATTTACTTACTTCCTTACACCAGGATAAGCTTTTTGATCGATCATGATGAGCATAACAGAGTGAGGAGAGACAATCTGCGGGGCGTCCTAGTATGGTGACTTAACAGAGCTACAGAAAAAGTCTTTTGGTGCTCTACTGAGAAAGTTTGTATCACTTGTTGCTGGGAGATGTCGACGTAGTTTCTGATCCGGCTGGAGCGAACAACAATGAACACGTCAGCTTCGTCACTTCATTTGTGAGTGATTCATCTGTGTATGATTTTCAGTATAATGCTGCTATGTATGCGGAGAAGGAGATGAGTATTACGAATAGTAGCTAGTGTTGAATGAGTGTCTTAAAACAAAGCAAAATTTTGTCTCTCTGTCACTGTCTGAGTCTCTCTGTCCTTCAAGAGGAGCGAAACGGGAAAGAGCAAGTATCTGTCTGAGGGTATCAAGCTTTCTGGCTTCGCGAATAGCGTTAGGTTGAGGCGTGACCTTCTCTGGTGAGTATTTCTGTATCTATGTATACTATATTAAGTTCGTCATCTTGTTCGTGTCTGATTAAACAGCACAACCACAAACAACAGATGACAGGATTTCCCCTTTGCCACATATTACTTACATGTAGGTTCGTATCCTTTTCCTTGATATGAAGACTAAATCTGATGTGTCCTCTTGTTGAGCTCTTTTTTGTTTATAATTGAAAATGTATGCATAGCGATTAAGTAAGATTGACATTGATGGTTCAACCGAAAGATGGAAAAGTAGAGTAATAGCTGCGTTGATTTTGATAACCATTCTCTATCCTCGTCGGTGATCGTGACATGATGCAAAGTGGCCCTCTGTTGTCATTGCACTGATCAGACGAAGAATTTTTTTCAATCAAGATAGATGATCCTGGAGGGTGTCAGTCCCTTTGGTGTTTGATGAACTTACTTAGCTGAATGAGCACGGAGGAAGAGCAACATGCGGGCTAGCTAGAAGGTTTCGATACCTTTCGTGGGTGCAGTGATAAAATGCGCGCCTTATCGTAGCAACGTAGGTTGGACGCGTCCTCTACACATGATACGTACTAACTATCGATAATTATTTAAGAGATCCGTGTGTCGAAATTGTTGGGAGACCTAGAAAGAAGTACAAAGGGTCCACGCCGAGAACAAGAAGCCTCTACTGCGGGAAAATCTCTTTAACTTCTAGAAAATCAAAGTATTCTTGTTCTTCTAGCTTCTTACGAGAGTAGGATCAGGTGTAACAAAAGTCGAGCAGTTTTCCCCAGTACGCAGCTGGTGAAAAAAGCAGATTCGACATCGACACAAGTAGACAAGTCAAGGTCTTTTTCTTTGAAACGAGCTTCCTTTACCAACCTGTGGTGGCGAACCACCGAGGAAGTACGGGCGATGCAGAAGATAGTGTCGAGCGAGCGCGATGGTGCTACGGAAGAACAAGAGAGTCGGGTCGCACTCGCAGCAGCAGCAGCAGGTGTTGCCGCTGTTGAGCCTGATGTCGTTCTGGAAGCGAATGCGAACCCTTGCATAGGCAAACGCAGTTACAGAAACGGCCCTCTTCCGAATAGGAATGCTGGTGCTTTTCCTTGCAGTGCTAATGCGACATCAGGAATCGCAGAGGGCAATAGCACTGGTAACGCGTCTCGTGTTGATGCATCCTCTGTTCCGTTTTGTAAAAAATCTGTGACATTTGCACCGTCGGCAAATGTTATAGCGAAAAAGGCGCCAAAAAGCAGCGAGCAGCCTACTACTCCTGAAGTAAAGGACCCCAATGCTGTCGTGCTGAACTACGGCGTTTATCGACTTCCTCTTCCACCTGGAGGTACAACTAGTTGTACGCAGGAGGCTGCTTCAAAAAAGGGTGGAGGATCGAGTGTTTGTTCGAAAGATGACTGTAGTAGCAGACGAGGAGCAGATCATGGTAGCTCTTCGAGTCCAACAAATAGAAACTCTAGTTATGGAGGAGCAGGGGCGCAGCGCTTGCAGCCAGCTCCGTGGTCAATTTGTTTATCACCTCGACCGGGAAAGTGGCGGGATGTAGTGCGAAAAGCTGTAGCATTGAATCCTCGCCACCGAACTCGATGGCGCTTTCAAGAGATTCTATCCTCCTCCACAGGAGGAGGTTTCGCTTTCGATTTAAGAGGAGGTAATGGGTCAAGTGGAAGCCACAACCCGTACGAATCATCCGCTGGTGGCGGAGCTGGTGGAGGAAACGCACTTCACCTATCAATTCCGAAGATACCCCAGGACCTTCTTACTGAGCAACACGCAGCGCAACCGGAACCGCAGTCAGCAAGGTATTTGCGGGACGATCCGTACTTCGTTGGACCATCTGGGAGGTGTAGTTTGGGGTCCGCGGTTACAACGAACCGCATCTGCTTTATCTTGCAACAGTCAGAGTTTCTCCCTGTTATGGAAGCTCTGCGAGAGGCTAGGGAGCTAGCGTGGATCACACGCTATCCTGTTATGAGTAAGTCTTTTTGTTTGCCCTAATCGTTTTCATAAAGGCTGCTTTTGTTTCAACGTTTGTTACTTAGCATGGAGGAAGGCAAGAGCAGGAGCCAGAAATAGGAGAGCAGAGAGATGGGTCAGATTAGTTAGTATCTTATATCTTTGAAATTGAGCTGGAGTAGTTCTAATGTCTGTCTGGCGGAAATGTGCGCCAAGGTGAATATGGCGAGATATCTGCGGCGTCTCGGTGACGAGTTTCTCGCGCAAGAGTGTGGCGGGGAGCTTTTCCACGCTAGTGCAGCGAAGGAGCGAGCGCAGATGCCACGCACGGTTGTTGTCGGTGAGGAGCAGAGCATTAAATCTCCAAAAAAGCAATATGAAGCAGTTATGTTCCTAGATGATCCAATACTATGCGGAGGGTCCCCAAATCCGTCCTCAAACATCACACAGATAGGCGGGAGAATGGGTGCCAACAGTGCGACGACCACACCAAGGAAATTCTCTTCGGGGCAGCGGCTAAAGATAGATGCGTCGAGCACTGGCGAAAGCCTCTCTGCATTGAAGAGCAGGGCAGCTGGTGCAGAGGTGGACGAACAGAAAACCGCCCTAGCGGATGATTATAAAGGCAAAACATCAACAAGTAAGCTGAACACACCAAGACCAACTGGAGAAAACGCGTCTCCTATACCCGCCATAAGAGCCCAGGACGACGCAGCAGATAATGTTGATGTCGAGCATGCTGCGGATGGAAAGCCGGGCGATGAAGATGAGAATGAGAATGGCGATCATGAGGATACGCATTGTGTAGTGGAAGATGAACAAGCCGTCTCGACATCAACGTCTCCTGGAAAGAAGAAAAAGACTGGTCGACGGAAAAAAGGAAAAAAGGGAAAGAAAGGCACCTCAGCGGCTTCCAAACTTGATAGCGCCATGAAAAAACTGCAAGCTGCGCGGGCAATGCGAATTGAAACCACAGAAGGCACCCGCGTCACGAGTGCCGAGCCAGAGGTGACGTCGACACTGCAACAACAAGGCAGCAATCATAAACTGCGGCTCCCACCATTGTCGGGTTCAACATCACCAACAGCTAGCAGTCCCAGTCGCCGGGGAGGCCCCATTGCCATCGCAATCAGAGAAGCAGGGGATATGATAAACAGTGAGCAGTCTGCTGTGAGGGGGCCTTCGCCTGGCATTTCCGATAACTATGGCGCGTCGGGGAAATCACTCGAGGTCGACGACTCATATCCTGACCAAGAGCTGGAGAAGCACCAAGAGGCATATCTCTCACCAAGACGACAGCACCAGCAGGGGTTGCAGCATCATATCGGTGAAGATGAAGCCTGCAGTGATCTTAAAATCATGTGGTCTCCAAGGACGAGGTCGTCGCCTAGGCTGTCTCCGTTACCGCATTCACCATTTGGCGCGTCACCTCTGAATGTCTTAAAGAACTATCAGAATATAGTAGTCGAAGGAACTTCCGAGCATGAACTACAGGGTCGTGCGGAGAAGAACAAATCTTCCGATACGTCACGTTGTGGTCGTGAGCCACCTTCGTTGATGTCAATGCAACCAGAAGACCATGAACAAGACACGCATTTCGACTTCGGGGAAGTAGACGAAGACGACGGGAATAGATATGTTCCGCCTGACAGCTTCCTGTGTCCTTCTTCGCATAGAGAGCGCTATATCTTGCACCACCACGTGCCCAAAACTTTCGTTTATCCGGAGGATGAAGAGAAAGTGGCCACATTTCTTCAAACGAATCCGGGAAAAACTCTGATTTGCAAACCGGAGGACAGTTCCCAAGGTCAGGGCATTTTTCTCTTGTCACGCCTCCGCGATCTGCATCTTCGCCGCTTTGGATCCACACTCAAAACCAACTTGGTCGTGCAAGAATATGTCGACAACCCCTTGCTGCTGGACGGCTACAAGTTTGATTTGCGCGTCTACGTGATTCTGGCGGGTTTGGGAAAAAACTTTCGTGTTTTCATCGGGAAAGAAGCACTGTGCCGCTTCTGCACGCTCAAATACGAGCCCTTTGGAGCAGCTGCAGGTAACAACAACTCAACACCAGCAGCGACGACCGGTACCGAAGGAGGTGCGCCTTCTGCTTCGTGCACCACGACAACTGCAAACGGGACTTCTTGTGGTGGTCCGGATAGTTCATCTCAGGTCCAAGCAGGTGGGAGTCCTCAGACCCCATCGGCTGCAAAACGAGTGGGCTTACGAACCATCGACAACCATTCGGAGGAATTAGCTAGGCATTTGTGCAACTATTCTATCCAACGTAAGTGCGAGGGCTATATCCACGGCGCGGCCTATGATCGTGACACAGGTAGTCCAGTCCGCAGCCAAGCAGCTGTGTCGTCCCCTGGTCCGCGCTCGACTCCCGGAAATATTAAAGAGAGTAGCACTCCTGTCGCGGCGTCGCCGACGAAAGCGCAAAAGGCGCTTAGTAGTCGAAATGCCGGCGATACGAAGTCAAAAGCTCAGGAAAATCCGAGTAAACATTACAGTCAAAATCGCGGAACGAGAAGCACAAATAGTTCTCCCTCTGCTCCTGCAAACAAGCGGCAGTGTGATCACCGAGGTGAGCAGGCTGTTGACGACGACGCTGACGGAGAGAGTAAGGGGGCAGTTGAAACTAGAGAACGACTTGTAGTCTTGCCCAAAACCAGCGGCACAGGCTGGATCTCAGTCGAAGATGAGGATGTAGAGACAAATGGCTCAACGTTTGACGTCGACGATCAAGCCAGTTTGATCGGTCGCATGCAGGATGTTGATGAGTGCGTCGATGTTGAAGTTGATATCAATGGTGAAGCCCTTCCCCTTTATCATGCGGTTGATGATGCGAAACCTAGTACAGCCGGCGTTGATCACGACATCGCTGAAGATGTTGGTACTGTTCCCCTACAACAAGAGGACAGCAAAGCAAACAAGAACAAGAAAAGCGTGGCAGCGACCATCCAGCAGAACTTTCAGTTAACGGACACTATCGAGAAGGGTGTGATGTCCGCGGTCGGAGGAAGTCGTACCCGCGCCAACAATACCTCCTCAAGTTCAGCTGCATCGACGTCGGCGGGAGGATGCTCAGACACAGGAGAGGGCTCTTCAGCTTCAGGCGATCCGGTAGACGCGACCGGTATTCGCTCTTCGCGTCACACGGAACCTTCCTCGATTGGGAAGAAGAGCACTTCGTCAAGTGCAGCTGCTGAAGTAGAGACTGGACCGTCTTCATCTCCAACTACGCGTCGGCAGTCACTACTGAACAAATTGCACGAGAATGGCCCGAGTGGTAGTCTCTACGGATCAGTAAGCAGTTACAAGAATAGCTCCTGCGAGGGGCGCCGTTCTTTTGTCGACTTTACGGGTTCTGAAGAAAAGATATCGAACCTCCACGCATCGACCCTGCAGCAGAGTTCCACCGGCACGAACTTTTTTCGCAGCATGAGTCAGAGAAATCAGCAGCAGGAAAGCTCATCTTCCAGCAGCTCTGACCCGCAGTCGACTGGCGCTCACCCCGATGCCGGAGGCGGTTCTGCTTCGAAGATTGCACCACTGGTGAACAAAATTGGTGGCACGGCAGCACCTACTGCGATCACAAGCAGTGCTGCGCACAAGAACAAGTACCAGAGTTCGGCGGCCCCGTGGGCGCGGACAGCGAGTGGTAACATCATTGCCAGATCCTCAACGCCCCGCGAAGGCGCTTCCAAGCCGCTCTCTGCCACGGCGAGAAGTGGCCACTCAGCGTCGAGTGGACTTCCTCCTGAAAGCGGTATTCATTTCGGTAATTTGCCCTTTTCGTCATCGAGCGAGGCGCACGCTCGCATGGGAAAAGTGAACGTGACGACCACGACGACGCAAGGAGGAGCATCAACTACAACAAGCGGCTGGCATACAACAGGAGGACACTATCAAGATTCTTCTCTGAGAAAATGCGACTCGTCCTCTAATTCCTCCTCTTCATCATCAGCCTCACCAAGCAAAGGTAACCACGGGGCTTCTTCCGCGACGACGACTCCCCGGGGGTCCGCCAGGGTGCGTGCACTGCGGAAAATGAGCGGTGGAGGTGCCAGCTTGCCAGAGAGGGATGAAATCATGGCCAGAACTTGGACACGGTATTCAGCCGGCAGCGTGTTCGAGCAAGAAGTGCGTAGGAACGAAGGAGACTGTCGAAGCCCATCTGGAAAGGTGCGAGCAGCAATCAAGCAGGAAAAGCAGCTCGCGCGCGTCTTGGAGCGCGGCGAACGTCGGTACCGCGACGCACTCCTCGAAGAAAAAAATGCCCATTCTTGTAGTTCTCCGGAAGCGTCACCTCGATCCCCCCACGAGGATGGAGAGGTCGTAGTGTACGACTCGGATCATTACAACGTTGACACTCTCTACAACAGAAATGATCATAGTCAGGATCTTCACGACTACAGAGCAAGAGGAGAAATCGGGGAAGAAGATTCGAAACAACGCGGGCTCTTTTTGAGAAGTACAGAACAGGGTGGTCGCGAAGAATCGGACACGGGTGATCATGGAGAAACGATCCCCGACGAGTCAAGCGGACCTTCCTTTTCCGGAAAAAAGCGGAAGTCGGCTTTCGACGCCGAAGACGACGAGGAACGACGGGCGAGCAAGCGTCGCCTGTCCGTCGTCTTAGAGCAACTCGAGGAGGAATATGGAACCGTGTTCGATCGTGGGGAGTTCTTTGCGCAAATGCACGCGATCACAGGTCAGTGGGCAGAAGTGATTCACCCGTATCTGATGGCAACCTATCGCTCTTTCGCACCGAATCAAAATGGCAATTTCCCGGCCGGTGGGAGGAACACCTCGGTTGCCGGAACACCCAGTAGCCCTGTAGTTCCTGCCACTGAAGCACACGGAAACGGCTCGCCGCTCAACGTTGCGGCTCTGGAAGCGTCTCCAGTGGGGGCAGCGATTGCTGCCGCAGCAGCACAACACATCGAACATCAGCAGGTGGTATCCACGACGTCCACCACTGGAAATACTGCTAGTTCCTCGAGCAGCAGCACCCGGCATTTTTACGAGAAGAATCACTGTCGAAGTGTACAGATGTTGGGGTTTGACCTGTTGCTCGATACAGACTTCAAGATGCACCTCATTGAGGTGAACAGCGGTCCGAGCCTGAATATGGAAGATGCCATTCCGATTGACGCACTCAGCCCTGAGTTCGCAGCAACAATGGCCAAGCTTCGTGCCCAGGTGAAGAACTCTTCGTCTTCGAGCAGCTCGAACACCCAGAAGACTGACAACGCGGCATCCTCAACATGCTTACCCTGCGACAGCCCGAATCAACTTACAGGAAAAGATGAACCTGTTGTTGAACCACCATTGCTGCAATTGCCGAGCGCAACAGAAGACGGCTGCATCACCGCCAGACAGGCGACCGGATCTGGGCTCGTCTGTTTCTGTAACGAACACAAACTCCCACACCGGCACGAAGAAAATTTTGTTGACCGGTTTGTGAAAACGCACGTGATGCAGGGCATGCTGCAGGTCGTAGAACAGTGTGAGTACGACATGGCTGCCCAACACGCTGCGTCATCAAAAGCACGACAAAGTTACCCGACTGGTGCGAGCAGTAAACTTGCGGCTTCTGTTTCTGCTTGTGCTTCCTCTGCACCCGCAACTAGTCAGTCAACGCCGTCTGCTGTTCTTGCACGCACACATCACCGTTTACCTTTTTCGGTGGCACCACTGGAGGAAATACCCAGGCAGGATCGCTATGCTTTCACTCCGCTGCTGCGGAAAGTAGAGGCGTGGTTTAGCTGCAAAGTCGTTCGGGCTGGCGGAATCGAGGTAATTACCCAGCCAACCTCAAGTTTCCACCTACGCCGTGCTTTTGCCAACTCCTTCAACAACAGCTTCTCCACGAGCGATCTCGATTTGATCCACGCAAAGATGAAGCGTGACTTCGTTGCTCCCTACATCAAAAGTCCGCAGATACATGCACGGTACTAAGTACTTAATTGGACCATTCTAGACTACTCCATGTCCTAGCATAGGCATACCAGTAAGGCAAGAAATTGAAATGTGAGTAAGTACTTAAGTAGACTGACATGCTGTAGTCCGTCGGCGATCGTTTTCGTTCCCAGGCTCAACATGATTGGACGTCGAATTTCAAGAATATCAAGATTCGCTCTTCAGAATTCTTCAAAATCACAACTTCGCAGATTCGAAATCGGTGACCTCGTTGCAGTTTTGCAAGCGGTAGTGAAGCGAAAGGGAATGCGCAGTGCAGAACGACTACTGGAAGCCTTGTTGGGAATGAAGCGAGGCATGTGGTGGTGACCGTGACTCTGCCTAAAAGCATTCACAAACACAATAACTATAAATTCTTGCTTTGCATCCGTTTGCTTTAATAATTAAAGGGCTGCATCAATTTATATATTGGTTAAGAAATAAATGACTTGCTTTCAAAGTCATAACCCGTCTCATTTCCAACCCTCAAAAAATGGACGCTGTTTCCTCTCTTCGGCTTCTCACAAGCTGAATCGGTGACCAACTGGCCCGAGGACATCAAACCGGGACAACTAGGACAACCCAAAAATGATATATATTAAAGGGCTGCGTGTTCTGTTACTGAGTCTGCGAGATTCAGGCGGAGTGAAACATCGGAAGCGCTTCGGTAAGAATAGGTGTTGAGTCATAGTAAAAAGATATATCTACAGCTGTCGTGTTCTACGAACGCGGCTTTCATGTTTATCATCCTGGGCTCCGAAGATGACAGGTGATGATACTCATACTTTCCCTTTATCACGTGCGGTCTATGAGGCCTCTCGCAGGTTCCTCTCTACAGAATGCTTGCGTGCGTGGAAGCCGTACGTCCAAGCAATAGCATGAACATGCGCGAGTCCTCTGCACCTGCATGGTACCTGCGTGAGCGCTGGGTTATGCAACAAATCGAAAGCAGGAATGCTCAGCATCATAGAATACATTCATAGACACTCGGCGTCCTTTCGTTGATGTTCTACATCTCCATCAATATGCACGATAACACTTGAACGCTGTTGATGTTCATATTAATACAGAGCAGCTTATAAGGTTCCCCCGGGCGCATGTCATGGAGTGCATGGGACACATGGAGTAGCATGGAGCTGCGAGGCGCCCGAGGGGCGCCTCTCTGTCAGAGTATACACGCCTCCAGCTCGGTACTCCGGGGAGGCACCTCAGACGCCTAAGCTGCCAGCCCCAGCCCCGACTGCTACGAAGAGCCCCCGGGCCGACACGCTCTCTCGCGGCCCAGGCCCAGCACCCTCAGGCGGCCCAAGCACCAAGGTAGCTGCAGCGCCGCCAGCGACGTCGCGACCACTGGGCATATTACGCCCAAGACAGTGCTACCTGTGCCAACCCTGACACCGAAGACTCACAGGCCACTCACTCGCGGGCGGGGGCCCTTAAGGCGGCCAAGGCATCAGCCTCAGCGCCGCCGGCTGCGCCCATGGTTGGGGCTACAACTCCCCGCCTACGCTACAAACCCCCGACGGCTACAACTCCCCGCCCACCCACTCGCAAGCTGGTCCCCTTAGCTCAGGGCCCCCCACAAACCAGCTGCAGCGCCAACGGTAACGTCATCCCCCGACACATCACCAAGCGCCCCCCCGGGTGTCTAGTCTATCAGACCCAACTACTCGGGCGGGGCATGATCCACGCGTGCCCGTCCGTTACAACACGCTTGCGATGCACTCCATGCGTGGGCAGGCTGCAGGTGCTCCATGCACTCCATGCTACTCCATGCATGCTAGAAACTACTCTGATTTAATACATTTTGGCAGTGAGTCTGAGGAGTTTTTTGACATTGACATGAGCAGGACAGCGAGGGTCTACAGCTACACACCTTAAGAATATACATTTAGATACAATCTTTTCAGCAGTGAGGACTGTGGTGATCGGTACTCTTCTGGATGCGGGAACGCCGAAAGCGTTGTTGTACAGGATTCGGTGTAACAGCTGCGGGCACAGTCGCGGTGTTTGCTAGACAATACTAGTGCTCTCTGTTTCTCATGTTACACTGGTGACGTGCTGGCTCGAGACCAATAAACTAAGCGAGAGAACAACAAAAGGGAGAGTATCGATTGAGTTCTTGTTGCAGTATCTGTATTCTCGATGTGAATGTATCACGTGGATCACGAAAAACCTCGCGGCACATCGGAAGAGCGTGCAGTACTTGAATAAAACTCGTCAAGCTTCGAGAAGACTTCTTGTGATATTTTCGGTAATAAACCATGATTACTTGCGTTTGTTTTGAACTACTACTCGCTTGGAAGTTGTGCCCGCGAGGTGGTAAACTTGTTGCCAGCGTCTGGATAACTACAGGAAGCGCATTACATGCTCCTGCCAGGCGCGGATATCAAATTGAATATCACTGGAAGCCTAGCGGTTTCTGTCTGTCGACAGCCTGCGGACAGCCAAATCGGTTCCACCAGTCGTATCTCCTAGGCCATGGTCGTAGTACGATGTGCTGGAGTGGCACTGGCGGCTGCGCTAAAAAATCTCAAAGCATTTGTAGGAGACATGCATTAATCATGATGTATAGATACTTGCACACTGGTCATTACTATTAATTTGAAGTTTTTTTGTGTTGAAGAAAGATGACATGATATTCGCTCTCGCTCCATGTACCGATTTGAAACTGGCAAGAGGACAACGGGTGACGACCGAATTGTAGCACCATAGATACCTTCTACTTGTATTTTTCTCTGTTACGCAAACGCAAGGAAAACTGTGCCAACTAGAACTATGATGATCGATGGTGGTCTCGCTCACGTTTAGTGAGTAAGGGTTAGCAGCTTCTATTCTCTTTCGTCTGTCATTTCAAGAGCTGGAGCTTGATTCAGGAAACCCCTAAGGTGGTGCGTTTTTTATGGAGCAATAACAAAACTGCAGAACAAGGGGTCGGCATGTACCCGGTCGTGTGGACAGAGCATCGCCATCGTCGTGCGTTTCTGGATTATGATCGGAATTACGCTGCGGTACCTGCATTGCGTGGGGGTCGGGGTTCGTTGTCGAGGACGAATGCAATAATTCCGCCGGGACGGGCGGATGGGCCGCCTCCTTGGAACTACAGCCTCTTTCAGAAACAGAATTCCTCCAGAGACCGATTTTCCCGAAAGATGATTCGTTCCTGAGTAAAATTTGCTCAGTCTCTGTAGTGTACAACACCGAAACACCACTGCCCAAAGAGACCAGTGTTCAAAGAACCTCTGCTTCAGCATCCCAGCTACAGAAGATACCGACGACTCTCGTCTGCATTGAAACTTCGGAGCTCTCGTTTGTCTTTGTGCAAGCCATTAACAAGTGTCTGCAACTCTAGGATTAGAAGTCGTCCTCTACGAATACCAGCCAAGCTGCGCTATTATTGCCTTTTTGATATACCAAACCATTCTGAAAGGATTCTTGTACTCCACAGAATCGCCAGTACGGGTTTTCCGTGTGAAAATATAAACGTTGTCTGTTCAAACTCTCTACAACTCTTCAGTATAATTACTATGAGAGCTAGGTAGTACACCTTTTTACATGAAATAAATTGAAAGTTTCATGTTGAAACGCGGACGTGAAAATAACATGTTGTAATATAAAAATACTTGCCCTTCGTCCCCTCATCAGGAACTGCTTCCCTATAAAGATTCAGATGTGAATGTTCCTGTTCGTTAGACCTGATAGTGATGAACATGATCTCCACAGCGAGAAAGAGTCATCATCATTGAGGGCATCTCATTCGCTTCCGCAGTAGCTGCTCCGCCCTGTCGCTTTCTAGGATTTCTATGCTGCGAGTCTTGAAAAAATAGTAATAGGCTTTAATGAGCCATCTCGACAGTGTTAGGCGACGCAGTATCCGGCACACGACGAGTGTAGAAAAGCATGTAAGCGGTGCGCATTATGTCGATATCAAGAGTGTCGACTGGATCCGCGTGCTCATCGTTGAACATGGCCCATCGCGTATCGGAGACTCTCAATGAAGGAAATAGGGGTTCTCAGTCTCACCAAAGCATTTAGATACTGGACTATGTAAATGTAAAACTAACTAGTACTTCAACTACTTGCTTTGTTGTCAGCACCTCCTCGTACTACCCGAACATTTTTTTACAGGAGGACCACGACAATTGTGAAAGCCAACTTTTAGACAACTTAGAACACACCTAATTCAAGATGAGAATTCTAAGTAGGAGTAGAGCTAGTTTTTGGTTTTTCATAACCTCGCAGCAGTGTAATAGTGCCCACTCTGCGCAGAGTGCTCAACCCCGCTGTGGCAAATCACCGCCGCAAGATCGTAGGTGGTACTTGCTGCCTTTTGTGCGTCCGCGGCATTCTCTGGCAAGCTGAGAAACTCCCGCATATCCGATTTTTGAAGGTGGAAAGGGAGAAGCGACATTGAATGTAATGCTTCTTCTAGCGCTGCTCTGTAATATTTTATGCACTTACTTTGTAAGGACTTACAGGCTGGCTCTTGTTTTCCTTGTGCCGGGAGCTCTGGGCTGCAGGTGGTGCTCATGGCCCAGAGCCCTGACCACATCCCTCCACTTCATCGGTTATTAACCTTATTAATGCTCTAAGTAACAAAAGAACTTTGCCAGAATATAAAAACCCCTCCTCCAATCAACTTCCACTCGCCTCCAATCAAAAACTTATCGCAGCTCTTGGTTTACCTAACGACCTACAACCTAGCACCTCTATCATTATTGTGCGACTATGTCGTGTCTCATCAATTTGAGTTTCCTGTGACACGACCACACAAACAACCCAAAAACAAAAGCAAGGGCAAGGACGTAGTAAAGATAAAAATCATGCCAAGCCTTGTCAATGTCAACCTCGGGATCGACTTTGTCGAAGCAGGGAGTCGGAGTACAGTCTACCTAAGTAACCGTAACCGTATACTGAATTGTGTTTTATTTTTGCCCTCCAAAGTCGTACAGTCCTGTCAGTGGAAAATCGACTTGGTGATTCAATTTTCGTGTCTCCATGGTGGAAAAGTCGAATTCGAAGCGAGAGAGCTGCATAACGAGGATTGGCGGCAGCGCGGCCAGACTATTGTGCGATAGAGTGGCTAAGCGTGCCGTTCCGCCAGCCGCGTCTTCGAACTCCACGTCGTCAATGTGCTCGTCTCCGGCATCGCCGTAGTTCAAACTCAGCAGTCGGCGCAGCGGAATCGGGTCATCGCCGAGCTCGTCGGCTGCCTGGTCGATCCTGCGCAAAATCAAGGCGACTTCCGACTCGACTTTTTCCTTTATGAGCAGGTACTCGCTTTGCGGGTCCTCTGCCGCCAGCGGTTTCTTGGTGTTGAGCGTGCTAACGTCGAAAAGGTTGCGTATGATGCTTCGGTGCTGGTGGCCGACGGTCAGCAATGGCACTTCCGCAATACTAGGAAAAAACCAGCGGAAAAACTCATCTGGATCCTGCTGGCAGCGATCAAGATAGTTCTTCTTGCAGTCGTCCCCACTTCCCACCCACGCTGGTTGCGGACTCGATGCCAATGCCATGGGACAGAACACGTTCTCGCGCATGCCGGTCCTGGAAAGCGGCGCTAGAGCGCCGTCACCACTCTCCTGAAGATGCATGATATTGTCCTTGGTAAAAATTTCATCCACAACCAAATGTCGAAACTCTTCAACCAATTGCGCTTGCGAGTCACCCTCCGTCACTGGTGTGTCCATCCGTGAGGCTCTCTTGTCCTGGAGATAGATCGGGGATCAGCAGGAGCTACACTGAGAGTACAAAGTTGAATCCACTTGTAGTTCGGGACACATCGCAACTTTCATCTGACAATGGTCGTCACCTTGTTACTCAGGTTAAATTATGGATCCTCAAACAATATCGAGTATGCTCTGGACACTTGGGAACCATGCCTCTGCTCTGAGGCTGACGATAATGCAGATGGGCTGCCTGAGTAAACTACTTAGCATTATAATTTACTCAGGCATTAAAGACGAATACATGCCGAAAGTCTATTCTACTCAATCTCCAGCGCAAGGTACTTACGCTTTCAGAAGTAGTACTGCAGTGCCCAAGCAAATTTGCAGACGCGCATCCGCTTTTGCCACTTCGTTCTGATTCTTTTCGATATTGCGCATAAATTCCACTAGTGGCGGCAGCGACAAAACATTAGTAGAGCCAGGGAATCCGTCAATAATGTAGTCAGTATGTCCGGAGAATTCCAACCGCGACCAGTATGGGGGGATGATACGGGGGATGATGATTTTGATATATGTATCTATGGGTACTATTCATTTCTTCTCGCCACGGGAACTAGCGGAGCGCATGCAAAAACTAGAATTGGGGGAGGTCCTGCTCCTGGGATTATCGACTTCACATTGAAATTTTTTGCAGACACATGGACGTCCGTATTGATATTCATCGATCTATTGACAAATTGTGCATGAAGATAAGTAAACTAAATAATCAGCACGGCAGGGAATGCAAGAAGTGAAAAAGCATTTCCTGTTCATCTTACTCTTAGTCAATTTTATGAAGATGCGACCGTAAGAAAGGCCTGCAGTGAAGCGTTCATGTAGCACGTGGTGCCCAGGTTCTCGAACCCGATGAGTGGGCGCTGATACGTTGACCAATCCACTGCCGCACTCGCTACATCTGCCATTGCGAGCGGGTACTTGAGGCTGGTCAGCCCGTGAGGTAACTGCTCCGCATCAAGTTCCACGGGAGTGGCTGCAGACACTTCGAGTCCCTTTGGACTGAGAGAGCGCGCTTTGCTAGCACGTGCTGCGGACAACTCGTTCTTTTCTGATGTTCGTGAAGCGGCCCTACTTGCGACTTCCGGAGTTTCCGCGTCTGTCGTCTGTGTGTGATGTTGCTTCGGGCTCCTGGTAACCCCGTGGGGCGGTTGGTGTTCGTTCTCAGTCGTACTCGCTTTCGGGTCCTGCACGTCTGTCGCTGCAGGCTGATGCTTAGGGCTTGTAACCGCGTGGGGCGGTTGGTGTTCGTTTTCAGTCGTACTCGCTTTCGGGGCCTGCACGTCTGTCGTTGCGGGCTGATGCTCGGAGCTGCTTTTCCCGTCGTGAGGTAGCTGGTGCCTGTTGTCAGCTCTACCACCTTGTTTCAGATCGCGTCTCCGCAATCCGCGGGTCTCTTGCAGGCTGGGCACACGGTCGCAAGAATGTCCACCATCGTCGCAACAGCACGACCCCGAGTTGTCGCAACACGTGCTTCGCACGAGTTCTTGAAAGCTCAATTCCTCCGACGCGGAGGCCGCGAGCGTTGCTATCGTTTCGCCTCCACGTCGTTGCGCTGCGTTTCCGGCTTCTTTGTGGACAGATCAGAAGAGAGAAATGAAATTCGAACAATCAAATTCTTCTTTTTAATGCAGGTGTTCTAGGTGACACTTTATCTTCTTTTAAATAGTATAATGATCTCCAGAACGAAGGCCAAGCAAATCTAAATATATGGAGCAAAATCAGATTGAAATAGATTTCAAAGTCGCGGCATGTTTTTAAGGAAGAAACTGTACTTCTTGCAGTCGCAGGCAAACGGCGTGGTACGCTGTCCTCTTCAACATCGCCGAGACCGTGTGAAGAAAGCTGGGCAACTCCGATCATCATTATCACGCCGACTACGGGCATTGCCCAACTCAGTGCCACCAGCGCCAAGAAGCGCATCCAGCCTGGTTAATGGATTATGCGTAGAGTCATCAACACGCGTCCCAAAGTTAATAATTATGAGTGTGATCTTCGTAATCAAATTTTCGAACATGAGACAGACAAATTTTCGCACGTCGATGCACAGAGAAGTCTTACTAGTATTAACCAATGTAGATCGGTTTCACTACTTTTCGTCGTCCTGAATCGGTCTAGGGCAGCCCACTTCACTAGGAAGTGTTTTAGGTTAATACTGAGAGTGAGAGCTTCTCGCGACGGCGGGTTCGGTGAATAAGTTGATAGCGGGTTTGCTTCGTTTCGATCGTGTCTCCTTGGTTTATTATGCTGATGGTGAATATTGGTTGTCGGTCATCGGTTTAAAACGGCGGTGCCAAATGATACCCACCCAGGTGCCACAAGCCCTTCCCTTTGGACTATTCGCGCATACAAATGTGTGCTTTATTAATAGTTTTCAAAAGAGCCTGAAAATGCAAAAAAGTGAGCTGATTAATGCGCAAAGGGTGATTATGTAATCCTCGTTACGGTTGGTCTGACTCCCCTGTTCCCCGTCATGATCCTGCTGTCCCGCTCAGTAGCCCCCGGCCTTTCCTTTCTTACGCACCCCTTCATGTTAGGACGTCGTTGATTGACAATGTAACTGCTGACTTCTTGGCGGTTCTGAAGCGGGGAAAGTATGAGATCTGCAAAAAGTATCTCCTTGATAGGCCCTCTTTTGAAGGAATACAAGAGAGAAGCTCGGACAAAGAAGACCAGGCGCCAGGCACTACTACGAGCAGCTGCTACGGATTTGATTAACGGAGAGGAGGAAGAAGAGCCAAAAGGGGACGCGGTGGCGATGGAAGGGCTACAGGAGATCACACACGAGAGAGCGATGGCAATGACGCGCTTGCTTCGCAGTGGCTGCGCTGGAAATGCTGGCCGTAAGAGTTGGAGGCCCTTTGCCGTATTACCGACGAAGAACGCAGAACAATTCTAGCGCCAGGGCTGAGATTAGAAAAATCATGCTGCAAGATGATGTCTGGACGTGGGAAGAAGAGCCCAAGGCGAGGACTATGAAAATGGACTCGCCTGCAGCAAAAATCAATGATAGCAACTAAGGTGAACGGGCTGAAAATGGTAAAGACGGCGCCACTTATGTTCCGGGGAATCTCCGTGGATGCGATCACTGCGATCGAAGACGAAAAAACAAGAGAGCAGCACGTCGAGGAGCCTCTTCAGGTTACCTTGCCTGGGGTAGACCTTGCTGAGGCTCCTCCGTTAGTTAAGGAGAAGGGGGCACGAGTAGCAGAGTGTTGAAAAATGTGGCACGCTATGAACACTCTGATGAAAGAAGAAAGGCCAAGCCTTAAAGGTAGCGAAGTGAAAAGAAGCACAGAGTTAGCATAGAAACAGGGCGCGTCTCTTGTTGCAGTTATGTGAAAAAACTGCATGTTTGAGACTTGGCGTGACCTCCTTGAGAAGGTCCTTGCGACGAATGCGCGTCGCTTGCTTGACTCGTGTCACGAGTCTTGTTCTCCCTTCTCTGCTGGTTTTGTGGGTGTTCGTTGACGTGCTTTGCCCGTCGTGTCTGTTAAAAACAAGTACAGACAGCTCCTGATGATGTGCCCGGATTAAGCATATTGATGATCTAGAGGTCTCTTCGGCATACGCGGCATGTCGCCACGTCTTTGATGTTTTTGATGTGAACCGTCTATGAACGATTGGATCCAGAAGTGCCTTAGGCTGGGGGTACATGCGCAAGTAGTGTGTATAGCCGGTCAGAGAGTGGGCACAAGATGCCATCTCCTCGTGCCACATCATCGTTCCCGCACGGAAAGTTATCAGGAATTGGCCTGGATGATTGTGGAGGCAGTGGGCACCTACATGAGTTTTGCTCTAGTAGAAGTAGCTCCCTGCGCTTTCGCTTACCTCAAGGTTTGTCCAGAGCTGCCAGTATCACCGAAATACTGTCAGACCACGTCTCTACGGTCACTATGAAAGGTGATAACAGGGACAATAGCATGCATGTAATCGTAAAACGACCCGGTCAAAAACCGTGTCGGGAACGCACCGACGGACAGAGCAAATAATTCTTGCAGTTGCACACGGACACGATCGGACAATTTCAATTACTTTGATGTTCTGGCAACATGAACATGTTGCTGGTGAAATACCTTCGGAATTGAGCCCACGCCAGTTGTTCACGTCGGACACCGACATTTCATCGCCATCCCTTTCTTGTCGTGTGTCTGCTTCGGCGTCCGTCCGCGGAGTCGACAGTGGCGCATCACCGAACTCAGTGGCTTTGGCAAGTGCCCCTATCTGCTTACATCTTAGAAGTACTAACAAGTGGTACTACTAAAGCGATTTCCTTCGACTACACATCGTAGGGTCATGGACTTTACTTCCCTTTGACCATATTGTCAAAGGGCCAGGGACTTTACTTTGCCAACGACTTGTGATTCCCTTAACACGATCTCGTGCGCATCGGTGTGCTCCCCTTCAGCTTCCTCGACGCCAGACGCATCCCCATCGAGCAACGGCGCCGTCTCGGCGAGACCATCAGCGTCACGCATTATCACTTGATGCTGTTGAATATAGATACGAGGAAACTACAAAGGATGTTATTTACTATAGATTCGAATAGTGAAATTTCCAAAATTTGAGGACAGAAGTTCTTGTCGTCCTACAATTAAAGAACCCTCCCAATGCGTTTTAGTGCTGATGAGCACCATCACCATAGCTACAACTAGTCCACGTTCAGTCGGTGTCTCAATCATGCTGTCCCTGATGTTCCTGCTAGATGACTTAATAGTTTGTTTCACGCTACAAAAAGACTCGGACCACGAGAAAAGATGCATTGACTTAGGGACGTCACTGAAGATACAAGAGAAAGCGTGGTGGCATATACAATGAGGCTCGGGCACGGGCAGAAAGGCGTCGTGTCATCGGCTAAAATCAATACATAGTGACTTGGATTTGGATTTGGAGATTTCAGAAATTGTTTCTTTTTTTGTATCCTGGGGCTACTGAAAGAGCGGCCTCAGCTTTATCCAGTTCGCAAACCGGCGGCAGGCGGAACCTAGTGTTCCTCTATCACGCTATACTCTACGAACCCGCCGATTTTAGAGATGATCGAAAACTAGGAGGTTGAGGGAATGACTACGCCACAATTCCCAGCGATATGCCGATCGCCTCACACTTAGCGCAGACACACAGGTCGGGGCGAGCAGGGTGCCACCTACTTCTTCTACCCACATCGACGCGCTCAACAATCGGTGAAAAAGAACTAGCTGATAGCCAATATTCTGGTGTAAGACCCTATATAAAAACATGCTGCTTAGTCACGTCAGTAAGTCGACACTACGCTAGTTTCTGGCCACCTATAGGGGCGCAGTACGTTTCGCAATCAACAAAAAAGCTGGAGACAGCATGAAGGACGTTGATGTTGCAGAGCTATTCTCCGTGTCGTTGTTTGAGGTAGAGAAGGACGTGCTACGCAGACGAGTGGTAGGGGGCGACCGCGCGCGATCGCGATCACAATTGCTCAGTTACAACAGATGAAACGAGACAGAGACGAGAGACACACAGACTGAATGTCTTGATGTAAAAGAGGAGTTGTGGACAGACTGATATCTTTGTTGTGGACACCCTCCGACCAGCGTTGCAGACAAGTACTTCAGGAGGAAGCGATGTGTTCCGCTTCCGTCACACAATCTCCACGCCGATTTAGACTTGCAGACACCGGTTAGTAGCATTCCTATGTATTGTTCTTGTCTGAAGTAACGTGCGCTGCTGTTGATTCAGTGATTAAGAGGCTGCTCGGCGCACGCGGGACGCAAAAGCTTCGGGTTTTCACCCCTTGGGCCTCGTCGATGGGCTTATAAGTACATAGTTCGTAAAATACACTACACAACATGGAAAAAGTAGCTCTGCCATGTGTCTTTCCACTCTCCCGTCTATCAGAAATTCAAATTTTTCAAGGACAGGCCGCGACAACAAAAAGCAAAGATACTATCATCTAGAAAAAACACAAGGTCGACCCAAACGCCGGCCTCACTTCATCGGATAAGAACGGCAATAGGAGGGGAGGCTCAACAAAGTCAAAGACAGCAGGTAATGAATAGATACCTAGGGAGCAGACGGACAAAGAACAGGAGGCTCATTTTGCACTATCTTCGAGCCACAATACTGTAAAACCTTATGTAGTCACAAATTAATAGCGATCAACATATCAGGAGTATAGTGCATTGATTATAACCAAGCAGATGGCGACCTATGTACTGATGAAAAAATCAAGCTCTGCTACTTGCTCCTCCTCGTACTACTTCTAAACTAAGTTATTAGATTGAATGAAACAAAAAACGATAAGAAAAACTCGAATTCGTGGCCGCGCCGCCCCCATCCTATAGTAAGTATAGATATATTATAAATATATAATAGTCACATTCGTTTCAGAACAAATATATTTCCGAGCGAAGGAGCAACCATTTGATGTTTTTCGTACTTGTCTCAGAAAAATGACGACCTTGCTATAACTAAGTACTAGGAAAAGGAATTTTTATACTATAGATACACATAAATATGCACATTCTCGCTTCTTCTTGTGCCAGGTCTGAATGGTTCTGGTATTTGGTAATCTGATTTTGATCATAAGGAAAACCGAAAGGGAGTCCTTATTGTGATCAAATTCAGGTTACCAAATTCCAGAAGCATACAAGAGCATGACCGTGAAGTTTCACTGTTAGTTTTATCACAGCGCTTGGAATGATCATGACAACGAGATGAAGATGAGGATGATGCTGCATGTTAGCTAAAATCGATGTTGTTCTTCTTGCTTTGAGATAAGTGACGCCGTGCCACCACATGTTCCTGACCAAACAAACAATCCTAATAAATCCTCGAAATCCTTCAGGATTTTCGAGATCAGAGAGACTTCGAATCTAGTTAGTGCGAATTATTGTTTACTTCAGATCTTCATCTTGTAGCTGACGTGTGTACTAATGTTAAAAAAAGATCGACTTCTTCATTTTCATTTCCCGCGTCTCGGGCAGCTTTGCGTAAAAGTTATGGTTCATTATTCGGTAAACATCCTCATCCTCATCAAAAAAAACTAGCCCTGGTAGCTGCAGCTGCATGTTGACAGGATCCAGTGGAAAAAAGGCAGAGCTCGCAAGAAGTATTATTGTCGTATATCAAAAGCGAAGCTTCGTTTAGGAGATCTACAACAAGTAAGAAGCTGTTGCTGTTTTTGTAGATCTACTTTTTCTTCTTCTTCTTCTTCTTTCCTCCTGTGAGTTTCGACATCGGATCGGCCATGCAAGGGTTGAATTGCAACGTTGGAACCGCGAGGCTGAGTCCGTCCCTGATTTTAAGCCTCTCGTATGGTCGCAACAGTGCTTCTGTCAGCGTTGCTTCCGAGATAAAAATGTTTTTCCGTTGAAGCTTTTCGTTTTAGAGACAAAGAGGACGACACTACAAGTAGGTGAAAGTTGATAAATTGAAGTGTATGATTGATGGTTGTTGTAAAGAAGGATTAGGATCTCAAGTTTGAGGTACTAGGTTGGTCCAAAATCGAAATGCTTTATTTATAATAGTACTCCCGAGTTGAACTTGAAAGATCGTAAACCCTCGAATCAGTAGGGATAGCTAGAAAATCGAGGCGGGCATCATTCTCCTTTACACTTGGCGGGATTATACTACCGGATTAAATTCTATTAAACACGATCAATTATCAGAAAATATGTACTTAGCCATAATCTTTGCACGCTTGAATTTCGGCTCGCTGCGCTGTCCGCTCGTCAGCGTATGCGCTTTGCACTTTATGTACGCCGGCCCACAATTGCTGAGTGAAGATCGAAGTAATGATTTTGGTGAACGAGGGCAGCTCTATAGTACTTCACTTCCTTGCCACGCATAGTTGGTCATGTAGATACCTACACAACTTCTCGTTAAGTCTAAGCAAAAGCATACTTAAATTGCCATCAATCATGATGACGATTGGACCAATGAGACGTTATTGAGTACGCAAGTCTGGAGGTCTTCTGCGTGAGCGTCTGCGGAATGATCGTGTATGTGGTCGATTTCGATCGGTGGTTCCTCCGGCTCGTGTAAGTATGGTGCCAAGAGCTTGCGGAGCCTCCGCATTTCGGTCTTCCTCACGTCTTCCACGATAACGTCTTTATTTCCACAAGATATACTGTTTTTCTTAGACGGGCTTGATTTCCTTACCAATATTGATGGTATTTATCTATTAATACGGCTCTGGCTCATACTCATTTCGACTGTGGATCTGGACCTCGCTCAGATGGGCGAAGATGGTCTTTTTTATTTGGCTTGCTGACTTGATGCACTTGGTGAGGTGAAGGTGAACGAACATAATTCATATCCGATGGATGCACTCATCACACACAGTAACAAGCAAGTAGAATGGTCGTCCCTGGCGTTTCGAGCAAGCAAGAATGGTTGTCGTGTCTGAATCCGAACCCACCTAGTAATCATTTGTTCTTTCTCAACTCATATGCCATCGCTATGTGTTGAAAAACTCGCTACTGCTACATGATTCGTGGACAGCTTCATCTTCATAACTTCTACAGGGAAGGGCGCGAGACCAGGACCGGTCTTCCATCCGTCTATACCCTTCGGCAGGTCTAACGCGAGTGGATCTACGGCTCCACCATCGCCTCCACCTTTCTTTGCGGCATCCGCTTTGCCGCCTTTCTTGTCTGATGCGCCTTTCCCGCTTGGTGCCGCGGCTCTTAGAGCTAAGTAAACCAAGAACAAGTTCATTCTGCCTGTTATGCTCTACTTCTATCGTCCCTGTTCTTGTAGTTTCAATTCCATATGGTCTAGTACTAGTTCTAATATTGTTCGCATATTGTTGTTGACACGCAGGCACACCTACTTCACTCATCTTTTGACGCAGCGTGGAAAGATGAAAAGAGTTCTAATCATCAAAAAATTTGGCAAGGGTTTTTGGAAGGATTGTCGGGGGGAGAAGGGGGTCCTAGGGGAGGGTTATGTTGGGGGAAGGGGTAGGGTAGGGGGGGCCTACCCCGTAAGACCTGGCAAGCGCCGTATAGACCGCAAGCCCCGACCCTTTCCCCTTCCCCCCCATCATAGGGGGGGAAGAGGAAGACTTGCTTTCCCCTATGCGTGAGACGCGCGACGCGTCAACGCCACGACTCCCCCGAAGCACTGCAGGGCGCGTCGGGGGAATCGTGGCGCCCCCTAAGGCCATGCCTTTTTTTTCAAGGGGGCGGGTGAAGTCATATCTCAGGGGCCGCGTGCTGTCTGCGGGACTGCTTCCTTATCCTTTGTGTTTTGGGGACTGACTGGCCGCAATTTGTGCGGAGGGTCATGCTGTGCCCCCGTGCTCGTGCTCGTGTTGTGTTTCGGGGGCCATAGTGGGTTGCTTGGGGGGTCGTCGTGTTGCATTTGGTGCTTCGTGTATTGCTCGGGGGGCGCGCTGTAATTGCGCGGCCACGTTGTATCTCGGGGCCGTGCTGTGCTTAGGGGGTCGCGCTGTGTTTGGGAGGTCGATCGTGCTGTGTTTGGGGAGGTCGTATGGTATTTTGGTGGCCGAGGTGGGACCAATGGGCAGCCCCCGCTCGTTGAGCCAAAGGACAAACCCGAGGGGGAGCAGCTAGCCCCAGGCGAGAACGTGGGCGGCCCAGGCCAGACCGGATGGGCCTGAGCGGCCAAAGCTGGCAAACTGTCTGGGCGAGCTGGGCGGGACCAGCGAGGACGAGCAGAACGCGCGGGCTTGGGAGGGCTCATCGACGTCGAGCGCCCCCAACGGCATTGGCAACACCCCCGCCCCCGCGCGTGCATGTCCGCCCGGCCTGTCTCATTGGCGTGGCATGCCAAATTGATGCCGCGCGCAAGGGTTCGGGATGGCGTGGGCTGCTTCGGTCTTCGTTCCTCTCCATCATCTCGACGGCGGCCGCCAAGGGGCGGGCGTTCCGTGCCCATGCTTTGGCTTTCGTATTCAGTCGCTTTCTTTTTGTTTTCTCTGAAGTTTCTACTCTGTGCTTGTGGTTGTGCTGTTATCAAGGAGGGGGCGCCCAAGCCCAAGGAGCGACCCCGGTCTCTTAAGGATCCCAGTCCCACTACGTACCAGGCCTATACATAGTTAGAGTATGAAGTAAGTGTAGTCCAACACCAAGTCAAACACGGCAAGAAAAACAAGAAGCCTTAACGCTCCAGCTCCAGTGCTTTCCTCACCTTGCTTTTTCTCCTCGTGGGGGTTCAACAGATACCCATTCGACATCACGCCCTCTACTGCGAAGCGCTCAAGCTGCGTCAGGTCTCGTGGATCGCGCTCTGGGACAATCGCAAACTTCGTTGTAGAGCGAGAAACTGGCGCACTCTGAGGCCGCGTATGCCTCGACAACTATTAGAAACTTCACTTGTAGATGATGATGAAAAAAGGGAACTACAAATAACTATAACACTAGACCTCGGGAGATGCGGAGGAAAAGAGACCGAAGTGGAAGTTCCGTTCAGACTGAAATGATGCCAAGCAAAACGACCTCAAGGAGCTGGCTCTGCTCTTTTTACTATCTACACGTGTTTGCTGTAGATAATCTATGTCGCTTATCGATTTATGAACATGCCATACGCTTGATGAAAAGTGAAGACATCAGGTCCTTGTGGCTCGAGTTTTGCTTTGCTCGCCTGCCTCCGCACTGTATTCTCTTCTACACGCGTGCGAAACTCCCGCCAGCTTGCTACTGCTTCTTTCATTTCGTCAGCTTGCATTTGCTTTAAAGCGTAAGAAATGTATCTCTCCCGCCAGAAAATGTTGATCATCTTCTCTCTATCGGTGAAAGACAATAAGCCAAAACCTCGAGTACAACTAGGTAGCCAATTATAATGTAGTACAACGGAATCGGAATTATAAATAAACCAAAACTTCTTAAAGGTAAAGCAGCAGGACACTAGTGGAGGTGACGTACTAGTATACGACATCCTTAACTTTTGTTGCATTTCCCGTTGTCTGAACTGCAGCCAGCGACGCTCCATTGCCTCGAAGGGTCCATCCGGTTTCGGGTTGGTGTCAAGATTCATCATTTCGTCGAACTCATTCTTAGCGCAAAATTGATGAAGGGATCAGCGCGTTTTTTCAGCAATCATAAACATTTTCGGAGACTGCGGAGTCGCTTCTTCGCAGAGGAATTTCTATACATATGATGCTCCTAGAGCAGCAGCCAGCATTAAGTTCACTAGTAAAATAAAGAGGAGGTACACTATTCGTATTCTTGAAGGTGTTGCTGAGTCCTAACATCCGGTTCTAGCGCGTCTGCGGGGAGCGGATAGCGGCTCCGAAACGTCCCGATAGAGTGGAGGCTGTCGTGATTGTGTGGGAGTTCTGTTGTCCAAAAATTAGCTCCAGGAGAGAGCGGGAGCAGATCGGTAGCACGCCGGTACATACTCCATAGTAATCTCCAAGTATCGAACAACAAGAAACGACTGTAGATTGCGCTACACAACACTTCCGCCCAACATGAACATATACATCGATGATACATAATTATGAGTATCAAAATGAACCTATTCGCGCTGCTTGGTCGAGTGAGATTTGCGAGCTTTCGAAATTCAGCCGTTTGTGCGCTTTGTGGTCGCATTTGGGCACTCGTCGGTCTTGTAGATGGTGGCCTTGTAGATGGTGGCCTTGTACTCGAACGTGGAGAGGACCCTCCAAAAAGCGAGGTGCCAGCCATTAGAGAAAATTATGTCCTACTCCCCTACATCCTCGCTCATAGTTTAGTTACCTACTACTTCGCACAATCTCACACACACACACACACACACACCCTTGCGCCTACGCGTGCGGACAGTGACGCAAACGGAATAATTTGGATTTCCACGACGACCGCCTCTTGAAACGACGAGCACAACAAGTATAGAGCTTCCACCTGTTCAAAACCCAAGCAAGTATAAGTCTTAGTAGATTGAAGTGTTCTATTGTGATGCAAAGAGAGCGAAAAAACTGTATATATAGCTATATATTTATAAATATATCTGAAGCTTCTCTGTCATAAGGATCCTGTAGCACTGTGAGGTCGGATTGTTGCGCTCAGACCGACCGTGCTTGACGTGGCACTGAGTGGTCGCGGCTTTGCGCTGTGTGGTCGCGGCATGAATCTTTCGTGCTCTGCCGCTATTGGCCGCGTAGTTGCACTGGCTGGCCTCTCTCGTCGGCTCACACCGGCTGAGCCGGGACGTCGCCGCATCCCACCTGAGAATTCGCGCTGAGACCACGACACGGCAGACCACGGACGAGACACTGGAGGACATAAGTAAGTATTTATTTATAACTAGACGAGATTAAGATTTCCCTCTTTGCGATGTTGACGATCAAGAAGTAGAGTGCAAGTAAGTATCTATGAGTATCATGCCGACTAACACTATCTCGCACATCGAAATCGATGTACTTCTACTAACTTCGATGAGTAACTATAACTTCTTCAGGTTATGAGTATAAATATATTGTCCATTAAATACTTGATAATCTCCAAGCTTACGCCTAGCTCCTTAACGCTACGTCTACGCGGTTGTCAGAATACATAAAGATGCAACTGCTAACCCGCAGCTAGTTCATGATGTAAGTAGCAAATGATACTACCCAAGAATTACTTAATTAGAGATCTTTAAATTTATCATAACAAGCAGCTCAAATAAGTATACTCTAAAACGAATTGAATAAGGAATACTCGAGGCTGACGTGCTTCCACCTGCAATAGAGCCGCTTCCCGGCCTCTCCCATGTTGTCGAGGGCGTGCAGGTACTGAGCGCCGAAAGGGGTCGCTGCATAGTCGTGGAAGACGATAGAAGAGCAGAATTTGGCCGCTGCTTTGCAGAAACATTAGCAGAGCTTTCCAAAAACTTCTACTTGAATCCATGGCGGACAAGTAGATGCCGCACACTGACTTTGGCTTTGTAAATTGTAAGTAGTTTGGTGATATCTGATAAATAAATATGAATAATAGAAATATGCTGTTGTAGTTCCTATTCTATCTTCCTTGTAGTTGTATGTAAAAGAATGCGAGCAATTAGAACAGTAAGTAATAGTAAGCATCGCTTCTTAAATGCAGCTTCGTCTTGGCGTTCTTCCTTCCTTTAAAACATTCTCTCTCTTAAAGCATTCCTGTGTGATCCGCCGGTCTTATTACGATGCGAGACTTGTCAGCCCCACTCTCATATGTGTTCCAGGGCTCAGGGCCGGAGGCCCCCCGATCTAACTCTTTGAGGGGGGCCTCCAGCCCCGGACCCTTTTTCGCGAGGGACTGCCGGGTGGGAAGGCCTCCAAGGGCCCACCTCCGACCCCTTCCGGCTTCTTGCCTGGACCCTACAGAGCGCCCAGCCGTGAGGCCGTTGAAGCACCGAAGGCCGGGGGTGGAAGGGCTCCGAAGGTGGCCAAGGTGGCAAGGCGGGACCCCCTTGCCGTGGTGCGTGTACCCTGCAGACCTGGCAAAGGTGGCAAGGCTGGACCCCCTTGCCGTGGTGCATGTACCCTACAGACCTGGCAAAGGTGGCGAGGGTGGATCCCCTTGCCGTGGCAGATGTGCCCTATGTGCGGGTCTTCACTGGAGGAGTTTGGCACCTGCTGCACCACAGGAGGGCCAAAGGGGCCAGGCCTCGCGACCGTGGCCGCCTTCGGCGGCCTTCTTAGCCTGGAGGCCGTCCCTCTGATAAGGTCCAAGAGTCGGGACGCCTGCGCGGAACACGCGGAGAGCCGCCGGCCTCAGGCTCCGCCTTCTGAGGCCTTCCCCTCCGTGAGTCTGTACATATCACCACCGCGAAAAAAATAGCGCGCGGACGCCACCACCGCCTCATCCACAGGGGGGGGCCTCCCTCCCTGATACATATATCAATATTGATGAGATAGACCGAGGAAGACCAAAGGAAATGAAATTCTTTTAACAACGGATAGAAAACACACGGAGCCTAGAACTCAGAGCCTAGATATCAATATATATCAATGAAGCCATAAAGTTTGGACGTGTGTACTTTCTGCCAGGAGGATTAGCCTTCTGTCGCTTCGCCGGTGAATAGACCGTGCGTTCCTGTGCACTTGGAGGTCGCGCAGAGCCAGGTCGTGCTGATCCCGGCAGCTGAGCCCGCGAGCTGGAGTATGCATACGCATCAGTCATCGCTAGAATGTCATAACAGGCCTCCAGCACTGTCCCTGTCAAAACTGACTGGAACTTCCAATTCAAGAACGACCGAATACTAGTTAAGTAGCGGAGATTCATATGACGAGGCATCTTTATTTCCTGAAACCTACATAAACCACAACAAGGAGAACAAACATGAAAGAACGCGACCCATGGCCCTTGGAGCAGATAAATCATACAGATTGAGATACCTCCCTGGTCGCTTTTCCATCTTCAGTGCGGTGAAGCTTGCCGCAGAATCTGGTCGAGATGTTGATCCTCGTCCAGGGGACGATTTATACTCTGCGCGATAGCCACTGCGCACCATATCCGGTGTGAATTAGAGGTACAATGGTTTCCGCGTGCTATCTGTAAATAATCTGGAAAACTAGGTATCATAATGGAAATCCATGAAATTTCAAACTCAGAAGATTAAGATTTGGATTTTTAGTGGATACCCTCCTAATGGATTGAAGTGAATGGTAATGGTTTCTGATACTACACAATGAACTTTCGCTTTCAGTGACTGATGACATAATTCAGGAGGTAATCCGGTGTTTTTGGTTCGTCAACGAGATCTCGTGGCCGGCAAAAAAGCTCGCGCTGAGCACGATAAAACGCGTGCATGCGGTCCACAAACTTCCGATTGTTCCCGGGATCCCTTTCGGGGATAGCGTTAAACATATTTCTCAGTCTGCTGAAAAATTTCTCATTCGGAAAGAAAAGGCCCGGCGGAGGCATCTTACTCTCGTCCTCGCTGTCGGAACTCGCATATTTGTTCTTGTACTTCAACTGAATCACGTTTATTTGATTGAAGTCAAAAATACGCAATTCTTGACTTACCATTTTCATTTGGGCGGCCATTTAAGATTTTTTTTCTTCTTCTATGTAGAACTAAAGTATTCATTCAAAAAGAAAGTAATAGCCGCCGCAGAAGGTATTTTCTAAGTAGCCGAAAGTACCTTGTAGTAGCGGCCAAGGTGATTCTTCACCTCGATGTACTTTGGGTCTGCGGAGTAGACGTACTTGTTTATCTTCACTGCTCTAGAGTCCTCAGTTCCCATCTCATTCGCAAGGATCTGTTTCACTGACGTATGGAATGGGCCTGCTTCAAGCTCTTCACCTTCTCCCGCATTCGAACTTCCACCTGCAGCTGGAGCAGCGTCTGCTGATGTAGCAGAATTCTTAGCGCGCTAGTGTAGTTGTGAATCAGAAGAATTCCACAACATGCTAACAATGTAATAAATCTGAGTCCTCGCATGATGCGCAAAGCGTGTCCTTGATATAGTTTAGTCTCCCAGATAGTACATGTAAGACTATGCGAGACTCATGCCATGCCATGCAAAACTTCGAGATTATAGACAGTAGACCGTGACCGCGAAGTAAAGTGTTTTGATTACAAGATGCGGCCCTCAACAATCTGCTATACTCGATGAAGAGTTGGCTGCAAATAGGAATAGTTCAAATGATGAGAGAAGGTGCCAGCAATTTATTTTTAAAATAAAGTGGCTTATCCTTAGCGTATCCTTACAACCATATGACCGAATAAAGCGCAAGTAGCTGTAGAATAAATGGAACTTGTTCCTACAATGGAAATTAGGGCTGAAGAAGAAGATCTTGAACCAACTTGATTGGCGAAGGTTAACATAATTCCACTTCCTGCCTGCTCTTCCTTCAGCTTGGCCGCCCGTTGCGCCGCCATTTCGTCTCGAAATTCTCGGAGAAGATCGTCGCCGAGGCCTGGCTGTGGTTTCAATCTTAGCCGTGGATCCGCGACTCTCTTCGCTATGCCAGCGCGCAGCGCGGCATTGTCGTGCACCCGCTGCATAAAGGTAGAGCGCGCGGCTCCTCCGCTCACCGTGGTCACGTGTCCCCGGCGAAAGGTTCCCAGTAGACTCTTGATGGTTTCGTCCACAGGGGGTGGTCGGAATCGCTTTTGCTCCTCCACACTCTTGGGCACGAGAGGCTTCATCCCCCGTGCAGGGTCATCCACGCGTGCAACATCCGTTGGCGTTCGTTTCATTTGCACGTCTCCAAATAGGTCATCGCCAGAAGCAGCCGTGGCGTCAAAATCATCGACGTTCATAGTGACGTCACCGGTGTCTTCTGAGACACCCTCCAGGAACATGGTGGTCTTCATCATTGTTCCACCGGTCGGCGGAACGGTGATGCCACTAGCAGACGATTTCATTTACTGTATTGAAAGAGAAGCTCGCTTTGGATCTATTCATGATTCACATTCGCGATGCTCTGAATATTAAAACAATTCTAGTGTAAAAAATATACAGCCGCTACTGCATTACCGCTGCTTTTCTTGCGCCATCCGAGAAAACAAAAAGACTAGAGAATGGCCACTATGAAGAGCAGACTTCATGAAAGGAATAAGCCAAATATCATGATGATAGATTGCAGAAAAGTTTTCATTATAGTGAACGATTAATTTTGTACTCTCGTCATAAACAGCAATTTTCAGTTTGGGCCTTTTGCGTGTTTGTGATCGAAGGGATTCGATGCTGCGATCTGCACTGTCTAAGGATAAAACATTGACTTCCCGACTTCGATACATCTTTTCTTTATCGAGGGCAACTTTTTTGTCTGGTTTTGTTTTATTTGAGCTTCGAAGATTGAGTGTACTCAGTCTCAGCCCCCGTCACTCAGGATCGATGCACTGCCACAGGACAGATTCTTGATACTTGGATTAAGTATCCAGGCATAGCGTGAATTTTTGTAGACACGCCTGACCGACCCTTCTTGCTTCCTTGCTTATTCTTTCCAGATACAGAATAGAATATTGATATTGAGTGTCCTCTTGACGTTCGTGTGACGGACCAAACACGAAAGAAAATACTTAGAGATGAAGAACTTCCCTCCCTCCTCTCGGAGCGTCTTAGGTGTCTCTCATTTCCAAAAATCTCCTGCGTAGAACCTGGGGTGGCTCTGGAGCACAGGCGGTCTATTTCATGAGAAATAGCAGCGAGTTTCGACTTTCATAATCTTCCTGGTGTCCTAATCATGGATGTCGTGACCTTGAACAATTTTTTTCAGCGAGTTTCTTTTTTCAATTTCAAAGTCTTTGGCCAAAGGGCCAGCGCACCAGCTGGGGTGGGCGATGCGCCGACCCGGCATATAATACCCGAGACGGCGCCAGTGCACTAGTGCAAGATGAGGATCTCTAGATTGATAGTTATATTGGCGAACTATTGAATGATATGCCAGCCTGAGGCCCTACTCATATTCGTGTCGTGTTCAGCTCTGACGCGAATGACTTGACTTTGGGCGCAGTGTGGAATTTGTGTGCAGTATGGAAAGCCAGAATGTAAATGTCCAGAATTTGAGTCTTGAACTTCACCCGATCTATCATGTGTCTGAATTAACGTGTCTTCTCTTGTTTCTAAATTCGTTCTCCTTGCAATTTGAATGAAAGTGTGATCTGCCTTCTGGTGTTTAAGTTGTATGAAAATAGAAGATCCCGCTGATGTGGAGGCCCAAAACTCTTATATATGACTCAGGGCCGCACGCCCCCCCCCACGTCACTCCCGCTAGGGGGGGGGGCCGTCGCCCCGCGCCCTGGAACATATATATCATTTACATATTTTGCATATTCTTGATGATTCTATCCCGTGTTGTGGCTCTTCTGAAGTTTACTTAGTCTCTCCTGGTGCTTAATCACACTGGATATGTCACGAACGTCATAATTGGCATTACTTAACACAGATGTCCGCAATTTCTCACTTATTTGAACTTGGTGTTTGGATGTGTCTAATAAAACTGCTGCTGCTTAAGTGCTCCACCTTAACACAAGCCTCACCCATTGCTTTCAACTTGATATCATTTGCGTTTGGCCGTGTTTAATAAAGCGCCTGATGCTTAAGTGCTTCAACTTACCACGAGTTTGACAGAAGCGATGAAAATTCCACTCCTTTTTTTCACGACGGTCAGGCCACCACCTTGGCTGTATACAGAAACACGGCAGACGCTTGCTTTTCTTAACTTTTAGGGCACATCCGTGAAAATTGAGTGTGGAAGCAGTAGCCCAAGCGTCTTGCTGCCTGTTCTATGCTGCTGGATAATTTTTCAAGGCCCGCAGAGAGAAGAGAAAACAACAGCAAGACTTTAGAAAAAGCGAACGAGACAGTCTCGGTTCCAACATTATAGATACGAAATCACAAATAACAGGCGAAGTGAATAAGAGACGCGACGTCGATAATAGGCGAAGTCAGCTAGTGAATAGACGCGAAGTCAGTAGTTAGTGAATAGCCGCGAAGTCAGTCATAAAATAAGACGCTAAGTCAATAAATAGTGCTCGGACAAGTTAACAGGGCGAGAGAGATCAGTCAAAATTGAAAGCGAGTCCGCCGACGAGAGACGAGAGAGACAGATGATACAGCAAGAAACGAAGAAAAGCAAAGATCTAGCAAGGAAACCGTTGAGATTCACTCAATCCGCATTCAGCTTACACATCAATGCTTGACCTTCATCTACTGGGCCATTGTTCCCGAGAGCCTCACGCCGCCGGCAGCGCTTGTCTGTTGCACAGCTACCAAGGCAAAGCACCTCAGAGAGAGTTGCCAGCTCATATGGTACCATGATGCTACGCGAAGAAAAGCGAAGAGGAAGAGCAGTACACCAGGATAGATGAAATGCAAGCGGCACCGCCGGAAGTTCCGAGTTAACCAAGAAAACCATCACCGCCAGGCAGCTCGTCAGCAGGAGACAAAGCAGCACATCGAAGGGAAACCTACAAGGCCCTGCACAGAACAACAACGAACGTCGCCATATTTCTCACCCATGTTCGAAGCGCCATGTTGTGCATCAAAATAGAAAGCAGCGTCGTCAGCTTTTATGTCGGTTTATCCGGTCGCTCAAGCTCATGCTCGTTCCGTCTAGCTTCATCTTTGCTGCTACAAAAACATTACTGATGATCCCTCTACCTCTCTCTGAGTGAGACACGTCGTACTTACTATAATACATAGGATATTACTAAAAAACAGCACAACTGTCATAATTCAGCCCCATCACGATCAAGACCAGCAAGCATTGCCTGCAAACATTCATTCGCCTATGCATTAATGGGTCTCTCTGTCCGAATTATTTTCTCCATTTATGGGATGTTTATGGTATAGCACACAGGGAAGAGTTCATTATAACAGAGCAATTTGTAAGGTTGCACAGCTCGCATGGCATGGAGTGCATGGATCACATGGAGTAGCATGGAGCTAAAGGGGGAGCTTCTTGCGCCCCTTAAAGCTCTGCGCTCCATGCCCTCCATGCTACTCCATGCACCATGCGTGCTATAAACTACTCTGTAATATAATAGAAAGAGTTTCTTCCTCTAATAGAACATTATAAATATACATAGCGAGGATACGAGTTCTTGAACATTTAATTGAAAAGTCCTTTCATTTCCGCTCTTTTGGAGTTCCCTCATCGCAACGAAATAACAAGGAGTAAGACCGGGTCGGTATTGAGAACGACATCATCGAAAATAAAAATAATCTCTCAAAATTGCAGGTTAGAAGATTGTTTGGGGGTAACAACTGGGGTAAGTGCGTGTCGTGCTAGTGGTGGACACCCCAGATCCATAGGATCGATGGCCGTGACGACTGAAGACAGAGTCGTCCAACATGTTCATTCAGGCAACCACCGATATGCTTTCGAGGTTCAATCTTGATATAGGGGGTATGTACTCACACCTTTTTGTTCTTTGTATGTCTTCGACTTCGTCACTCGAGTCTCAATCCTCAATAGCTATTGCAATGAGAAGGAGAAGAACAGATATGTAAGGCAATGAACAAGACTCGGTCTCCCTATTGTCTAAGTGATGAAAATCGAATGACAAAGATGAAAGATTCGAGTTTCCCCTTGTTATCTACCTTTCCATTTCTCAGACAAGTGTGGCTCCCTCATATCGCTCCCGAGCGTAGCTAGAGGCGCAGCAGTCGCAGCTGCGGGGAGATCGGTGCCCTGTGGAGGCAACCTGATTGATTGATTGATTGGCTCCACGATTTTGTCAGACTCTATTTGCGAATTAAACCATATTTCGCATCATTCAAATACCAACTGCTACTGCCCTGTAGGGAAATGATGATAATTCCATCCACAAGCTTGAACTTCGTGCCGGACCCATATACATAGATGTACATATCATTTTATCATCTTTTATGACGTGAAGTAGTTACGTGTAACAATAAATGGAAGCCTAGTGCTAGTAAGAATATCAGGAGGTATTATACAGGAAGTAGTAATGGCAAGAAAGATTGGTTTCTTTGTCGATGTTGTTATCAGTTTCTTGCTCCTGTACTGAACTTACATAGTTGTTGCACAAAACAATAAGAAGAATTCACTGGTGGCACCAACGTAGTCTCTGTAGTTGCAGTAGGATTGATCACTCGTAGTTTCCGTAGCATATTGTGAGCGATAAACTGACAAGAAAAACGTATTTCGAGTTGTAGTGAATGCAATTGTAAACTACAACATGTTGATGTCATCAATCTCTTAAAGATAGAAGCTGTAATCATACATGGGAATAAAAGTTCTTACTTTATTAGTGCCGCTGACTGTCCCTTACCCTTTCGTTCAGTTCCATCTATGTGAGTATTCTGGAGAAGAGACTTCGTAAGCGCCATTTCTCTCGCGATTCACGAACGGCATCGAGAACATGAACATTATAACATTTCATAGGGATGTACGCATTCCAAATAAATTATGAATAAATATACAAAAGTCTGGTACTGGTAGTAAGGGTAAGTGAGAACGATTGTAAGCAAAAATATTTCTCCCAGCGAGCTAGTAAAGCTTAGTAAAGCCTAGGCGAACGCGCAGGCAGACGATTTCTAGTATAACATGAAGTAGTATTAAGCTGGTAATCTACAACGAGTGCTAATCCAAGAAGCATCAAGGGGTAAGGTAACGCTATTGCACGAGTTACGTTTCAGTTTCACCATACTTGATACGAAGACTTCAGTGCGCACTCTAGGTGCAGAGAAAGCAAACACCATGTTTATGCAGTGTCAGACTACCCGAAGCTAGCCAATTCCTGACTACGGCGAAGGAGTACTAAATCAACAACAAATGTCACAAAAAGCAAAAGGGACAACTAGGTAGACGAGTCGCTCAAAAGTCTGCCTCAGTCTTCATAGTCCACACTCTTATGCATATAATTTCTACTACTCACATGAGGGAAATACTTTTCAGGACGATCATGATACCAGACATCAATTAGCTGTAGCCCCCTCGAGCAGAGTGTGCACCTCACCATTTCCTCGAACAAAGCACCTCGATTTAGTCCTTCCTCGAGACAATCAGTGGCATCAGAATATTGTCAGAGATAATCAGTGTGTGCCTCCTCGAGACAATCAGTGTATGCCTCCTCGAGACACTCATGCATGCGACCCCTCCTCGAGACGATCTGCTCCGCGGTCAAGAAAATCAGCGAGATACTCCACCGGCGTCTCTGGTTTCAGCTTGCAAAGCGCCATATTAGAGCTCTCCGTAGCCACCTGGCAGCGAAAGTTGTGAATGACGCAACATCCCGCTGACACAAAGTTGTGGAAGACTTTTTCGACAACTAGATGCACTGGTAGCATACATCTTCTGCTGTAAAAGCGGCTATTAGTTTACTTGGGACTGCATTGATATTTACCACAACGGAGCAGGTATTTGCTTGATATGTAAAGGAGAAAACTCAGCGAAGGACGGCAAAAATCCGGACAAAATTCAATCCGTCCGGGCATGATAAGAATCCACAGAAAACTCGCCGCCTACTGCGCTCCCTTCGGGAAAACCTTCCCCCAATTGCGAGCCAAGAACCTCAGGCGCCCTCCAAATCCCCGCGCCCCTCCAGAATCCCCAGGCACATACTTGCAGGCTGACGCGGTGGACTCTGGAGGGGCGCGGGGAATCACATGAAACGAAACCAGAAGACAGAAAAACCAAGAGAGAGCAAGTTACGGAAGTCGCTAAGCGGCGCACTCCCAGGACTAGGAGGCGACAACGGTGGCCGTTTTTGTGCAGTTCTTAGTTGACTTAGCGCCAAGTCATTTGATTTATCACTATCTTCTTCTTGGTATTCATCACTCTCAAGTTGACTAATTGTACTAGTTTTTAACTCTGGTCGCAGCTCACATGTTTTTACAATCACAACTACTTGAGCGTCACCCGGAGAAAAAAGCTGTCTTACTTTGCATAGTAAGCAGAAGTTTTGCTTCCCGACAGTTTGGTGTAGAATTCAACTACGGAGGTGGACTACGCACCTCTATTTGAAGTAAATTTTGCCGTTCAAACGTTCTGGATACTATAAGTAGACGATGGATTCGATGAAGAAGTGCTGGAATAAATAAACGAAAATGCATATAATAATCATCACGACTGCTCACATACTCATCCTAAATACATACAACTAGCAAGAAATAACAAGTAGTCAGGCTGAACACATTATACGTGCCGTAACTATTAGCCCCTCGGTCAGTGTCGGAATGACATCTTTGACAAACTCAGCTATCGTCGGCTTCTTCAGCTCTGCTTCTTTCGCGGCCAGCTTTTGCTGTTTTGTAAAATGAGTGGGAGAGAATAAAGATTCATTTTTCCGGTATGAGCCTCTTCAGGGTAGGTTCACTCTGTTACTGTTCACCCACACACATGAGAAAAAGAAGGTTGCGTGCCGGCAAATACTTCCGGGTCGTATGGTCATCCACTTTTCAGGAGGAAAACAGGAGAATGGGTCTTAGCTTAGGTCGTATTCGATTCTTGGAGAATATAAATTTGATCCTCCGCTACTCGTCCAAGAAGATGTGCAGAAGGGGAGAACGAAGACAACGGTGTGTCATTCTTCATCTTCTTCCATTTCTTTCTGCTTCTTCATCCTTGTGTTCCCTTTCCGTCTTGTTCTCGTGTTCCGTCTCTACCTCTTCTAACTCTAAGAAAATTACACTAACGAGTACATGAACTACTATTACTAGTACAACACCGAGTACTACACTGAGGATCAAAGATACTTAATCAGCCTAGAGCTACAACATTGAGCGAGGGTCAAAGATATTTATTTAACAATAAATTTTACTTGTGCAGCTTGTCAAAGTCAAACAGAAACAACCACAACGTGGTTCTGAGAAGTGAAGTACCAGTCTTTCCAATCTTGCTTTTTCCGCCTTGGTCATTTCCTTCTTGCGCACTTCGTCTAGATTGTCGTCATCAACGTTCACATTCACGTGATCAGCATCGGCAGCCGCCTCTTCGTGCTTCAGTAGCATCTCCTCAATTACTCTGTTTTAGAAAGACGACTCGTTGTAGCTAGTGGGCTTTGGTCTTCCGTTGTGGAAATTTCCCGGATAATATTACAAATACAAATAGTAGGTAAATTTGATGCTTCGAGATGCCGATGCGGCTTTTCTGTTAAAGAAATTCGTTGATTGGAGCAGGTATCAATCAAGCAATGAAATTAGCCTGATGCTTGGAGCAGGAGAAAGGTCAACGTTGATCGAAGAGGACGTACACATATTTATAATCTACTTATTTATTTTTAATGCGATCTGTGCGAGAGCAATAAAAAAATGATCCTATGATTGGAGTTGTCTTCATCATGCATCAGCGAGTGAGAAAACTCAAGAAATGTTGAGTTATATATATATATCTTATAATTCAATTTTCTTTGACTGTCCACCTCCATAATGACTCTCCGGCTTCATATTGAAGTTCAGCGCTCTGCCAATACTGCCATCGTTAGAGCAGGAGCAGCTTATTTTCACGATTCAACATCAGCATCCCTTCTACTTAAGCCCTACCATATGCATATGGATGAGTATGGGCTCTCCCAACTCTGTTGCCGTACGTGGTAACCAAGTAGGGAAATCCTTCAAAAACAATGGGCCTAGGAGTTTCTCTCCATTTTAAAAAGTTGTATTAAATATTTATATTAACCTTCTGTAACGCTTCAGGAATGTAGGCGATTCTGCCCGTCCCCCCTCTCCTTTAACGGGATGCGCTTAATAGAGAAATCGTCACGGACATATTAGAAAATCTACCGAGCTATAGATTCAAATCATCATCTCTAGCCCTAACGTCCGGCCTCTTGTTGGTTCCGTCCACGTACATGCGCAACGATTCCATCTGCTTCTCGACCTCTTCCGGTTTGGCAGGCAGATACCTGTCAACGCCCAGGCGCTTTCCACTTTTTAAGCTGCTACAGCCAGCTAGCATTAACTTTAGAGATATAGGGAACGCATCTCACAGATCATCTGGATCCCTTTTCCTTCTTATTTTCTTTGTCCAGATGACTTTGGGGATGCATCTCCTACACTCATAACATTAAATACAGTTTAATCATCGAGTACATTCACGATCTCGATCCCGATTTAGATTGTTGATCTCTTGAAGTGATAGCTTTGGATGAATCATTATTATAGCCGCGTACTACTAAGTCTTCATAGTCATTTTTTTATGTATTCTTGAAAAGCACAACTCAATAGATATAAAGAAGAGAATCCAGAATAGAGATGAATTGCGGTGCAAAGAATACAGAAGGGTCGTGTCCACGGTGTCTCGGAAAAAGTCGACAAAGGAATTTTCCTCCTTCGGCCAGGCTAATGCCACCACATGTCCAGGCGTTCCTTCTTTCGGAAGCATTTTTTTCTGAAGGTCATGATCATCAAAATGGTGGAGAACGAAAGGGTGATGAACTACAGGTACATGATAGCACTAGCAGGAGGACATTCAGGTAGTAGGTACGAGAAGGTAACCACCTACGATCATGAATGTATGGTGGAGAATGGAATAAAGCAAGGAGATGAAGATGTTGACAGTGACTTCTACCACTTCTTCCCTGCAAGACAACAATTTCAATTGCTAGATGAAGGCAAGCGAATGCTTCCACTCATTGAGAGCGTCGATACTTGGGAACGACATTCCCATATCCCCATTCTCAATGAGTGACATCATACATCAAGAGGAAATAAGATATTACATTAGTACCACTATCCTCACTTCCTGCTCCTGGCCGCCGGGGCTTTCTTCGCCTTCTTCTAGAGGCGGCGCGGGAATAACCTCTTCGACTTCCACCTGATGTAATCATAGTTTCAAAAACTAGAGAGTACGATTTGATGGTCCTTGTGGCTGATTCTTTAGTAGTATTCTCTGGCGGCTTAGCCGCGCAGAACAGTCTCAGTCGTGCACCGAAAGTGCTGATCTCGATCGATCGACTCACGTGAGCGTCCGCAGTCACGAGAGGAACGGGCAAGCGAAGAAAAAAGTTCCTTCTATGAGGAGAGACTCGTTGGCCCGTGGGTGACTTGGTGGTTGGTATGTTGACTGCGCAGCATCGGTGCCGCCTACTGTGAGCGGATGGGAAAAAAAAACTAAAAAAATTGTTTACACTTCTCGATTTATGCGTGTCATCCTTGCGCAGGGGCCATGCTAATCTTCTCTGTATCGTTCCAATTTTAACGGATGACTCCCGAAGGAGGTCCAACAACTAGGGTAGGCGGACAGGTAGCAGAGGAGAGTAGGGTCCGAAAACAAGCGTTACGGGGGTAGAATTCCGAAAATGTGCGCTGTATTCGCAACTGGGAGGACAGGCAGTGCTGTGAAAAGACCATCTGCGTTCCGTGATCGCTACTCTGCCGCACCTGTGAAAGCTACGTCGTTGGTTTTGCAGATGCAGTCTGCCTGGCATTCTTAGTAGCGCTTCTCCAACCAAGGAACAGAAATGCTACAACCTCCATTGATTCTCCCATGTGTTGACCAGTGCCGCACTTCTAGCCTGTCCACGATAAACGGGCGCACTTGCCACTTCTAGCGGGTCTACGATAAAAAGGCGCACTTCTAGCGTGTCCACGATAAAAAGCGAGCCAGCTATCCTTCCACTGATTCCAGCGCCCTCTTCTGCCTGCTCTGTTACCAACCTCAACCGATACGAAAGTCATTATTTGCCAGGACACTCCTGCTTACGCGGGAGCGCCCTTGCGGACTGCAATCTTGGAGAGGACTGACTCTTGGGATCTCCAGACTTAGGAACGGTGGTCCCCAAGAATAGAGATTGAAAATATGCGTTACGGAGGGAGATTTTCACAGATGGTGTCAAATTCATGGCATGATAGCTCAGAAAGATCTCCATTAAAGTTAGTCATCTTTGCTCCTATCCTGAGACAATAGTCCAGATGCCAGGGAACTCGGAGTCTTCTCAAATCCTTCTCTTAGTTACGTTAGCGTTACTCTTCCAACGGTATGCAGAATTCTATGACGTCACTTACTGAACCATTCTAAATAGTGCGTCCTATGCATACATGCTACAGATTAACTATACATTTTTTACAACGCGTGCAGGAGAAAGTTTGTCAGACAAGAGATGTCTAACTGCGAGGAGGATCATGATCAGTACTCATACTAAGTATGACCAAGCGCATTTATTTACTTATAAGCAAGTACCTCTTCCAAAAGATTCTCCCGGCAAGTCGCTGCTGAGAGCTCACCCGTTAGCTTTAGGACATACCCACGATAGCGCGTCGTGTTTGTGGAGATAACTTCTGAGAAGGAAGCTATACTCCCTAAGCCAAACTCCTCGCAAAGAAAAGTCTCGTACCTAGCGCACGCTGCTTCGTAAGCCTTTCGCTCGGTCTCCGCAGCTTTGTCGGTCGGATCTGGTTGTTATCATTTTTTTGCTCAGCATCAACATCAGAGCAGCATCGATTCTGGCAAACATGTATTTACAATACATCATGCCAGAGTATAATGGAGTCCTTCACTATTCACAGAGATACTTCCCGACAGTGGTATTACAGCGAGCTATGGTGAGCTTCGCGATGCAGACAAGTACGTAGCATTGCGGATGTTAACCATGTCGATGTTGTTGATGAATGAGATACATAACTATTTGAAGAAATAATTAATTGATTTAGATTTTCCTCATCAAAATGAATACGAGTGCTACCTGTTGGCTTTGGCTCAGGCCTCACTAGGAGGAGTTTCACGGGCTGCAGGTTGTTGTTTTTTGCGTATTGTATTCCGGCTTGGGTGGCGTTTGCAGGGACCGTGAGACCTCCTGGCGCTATCCATGGGAAGTCATCCGCTGTCATCAATTCCGATGGCACGCAGGTGAGATCGGACATTCCGACCATGCTCGTTTCCTCGTCCTCCTCGGAAGGCTCTACTTTCAATGTATAACCCTCCGTCATCTGGGAGAAAGTAGGTCAATATTCAAAAAGCTGAAAAATGTGACACAGGAAGACAGAGACATTACGACTACGAGTCCAGACGTATTTCGATCAAAAAATCACCTTGACCTTTTCAATTCCTTTTAATATGTCACTTCGAACAACCATGGTCGAGTAGATCTAGTTGCGACGTCAACCACAGAAGTGGTAGCAGACCACAGCATTCATTCTGCAAATCCCTCCGAAGTACTACTAGAACAAATGGCCGAAGTTGTACTAACTTAGAACCTCATTCACGATAGCCTGCCAGAGCTCGTTTAATGTGTTTCGAGCCGTATCTGCACATATCAGGTAAGCGTGTTCCCCCTTCGCAGCTTCGGTGGAAAAAATAAGCTTGTGGACTAATCTCCCCAGATCAAACACGTTGACTGTCGGCACGCTATGCGTCCGCCTCAGCAGAGAGGGCAGCTCGACCTAGTAAAGTGAGGGCTGCTGATGTGCAAAGGATGCGTGAAATTTGTAGGTTGTAAAAGTTTTGAAAGAATGAAAGTTTTACATTTTCTGACGAGCGCCATTTTGAACTGCCAAGAATTTTCTCCAGCAGTATGCACTGCTATCCTACTTGTTCTTCTAGAATCAGTTTTAGGAAATTTGAGTATCGCGCGTCTGGAACTTAGCAACGAAAACATTAACAAGAACGCTGCCGAAGTCAATAAAGTCATCAGTGGTACTGTTTTCCCAAGCCATGCATCCTTGAAAATATTTTCGAAGTGCGAGCATTCTCCGCCCCCGTAGAGGGCACCGCATGCAAGAACATGTCCTTTTATCTGTGATGCTTCGTCAGCGTTAAAAGCTAACACCCGCTCCTCGTATTCCTTGTACGCTTTCATCCTGGAGCAGGAGAGACAAGAACGATTCGTCTACAACTTTATTATGTTACGGATCATTTATTGCTGTATGTAGTCGGGTCAAACTGCAACGTAAATAGATAACGATCAGCAGAAGTAGTACGCCGCTGTCAGTGGCTGGCGTTCTGCAGCGTCGCTGCCTCGGATATCGTGTCCTGCGTTCCATACGAATATGCTTGATACTAGGACGAGTCTGAGGGAGCAGAAAAATTCGTCCGGTGAGCGAGTATACATATACAGCTTCATCTAGGAGAAGTGAGTTGTATTTAAGTAGTCTATTATCCCGCTCTAGAAAGAGTAATTGAAGGTGAAACAACAAGAACTTCTTTCTTACAGCCTAGTAGTTTAACTCTAAGTAGCAGAGGTAGAGGTACATTTTCATTACAACTCAGTCTAGGTAGTAGTTGTTGTTTTGGTTACTAAGTACGATATTGGTTCCTCCAGTGTTGCAGTTTTCAGGAGTTGCAAAATTTGTTCGACTTCGTCGTTCCCTTCTTCTCGCAGATGCAATACTATGAGTTTGCAGCTAAGAACTGTCTGCATTAGAAAGCACAACATGATAATTTTCACCTAGGAGGTACTTGTTATCAACATCAAACGAAAATTTTAACATTCGAATCAACATGAGCATATGATGAAAGCTCTAGTGCTAGTGATCTTTGGTTTAGCTGAAACATACGGTCACGATCAAAGTTATTAATCTCTTTTTCTATTCTTGTCTCTCAAGAATAAGAATATGAAGTTGAAGAAATTATTGAAGTCAAATAGTTATAGTACTAGTAGATGAGGTGTACTTACTACCTATTTCTTTGCCACAGAGAACGGCCTTAATTCCACAAACCGCTTATCCGTCACCTGAACAACACGACGGACGCCATTCGGTTTTGTGCTGTGTTTTGCGTCGAGGAACGAACCAAAAAGACGGTTCCAGATAGGTCCATTTTTGCGCAACTCACGGACCAACGCACGACCTATGTAGCCGTCGACGTGCTGGATGTAGATACGCATTTTGCGGTTGCGTGGTGGCTGTAGGAGTAAGGAGGTCCTCTCCTGGAACTACAAGTAGACGCGTTGCCGAAGTAGTTGGGCAGGGATTTACACGTGGAGCTGCGAACTAGTCCGAGATGGTCTGCAGGACTAGCAGTTTAGTCGCAGTTTATCGAAGCATGGACGGTCTGAGCGCTTTATCGTAAAAGGGGACTTGCTACGACGAATCAAAAAAAAATGCCGGCCGCAAAACGAGAAGCAGCTCGTAGTGCGTATCTCTACGATGCTATCTGCGCCGAAGATACAACAAGCAAAAAGTTTAGTGTACACAGTAGTTGTAGACAGTGAAAAGGCCCGTGCTTGCCAATCGCTGGTAGCGACTTGATCAACCAGTACTACAGATCGATGTGTCCACGGCTGCTGGCTTCTGAAGTTCAACAATATTCTGCAAATCGCTATCCCCAGCGAGCCGTCCTCTCGTCTGTAATGATATTCGAACGTCGTGCACTAGTCCCTTCACCCAATGGGATCCGGGTAGAGTGTCACATGATGCTGAAAGGAATTTCAATTTACGAAGTAAGTGATCCTTTTAACCAAATCTCGGTCTTCAGCATCACCAAAATGACACTTCCAAAATAACATCTGTCGCATTAGCAGAGATTCATCAAAGAACACAAGAAAAATGTCAAGACAATCAATATCATACAACATTCATGTTTAGGATGGTGACAAAGGCGGGTAAGGCAACACAAGTAGCGAATTATGAACATGCAAATCAAGTTACTTTGGAAATCGCTTCAGTTATCCACTTTTATCCTTTGTCTGATTCATGACTTGCTTACTCGTGATCGCTCTTTGTCGCAGAGCGCGGTTTCCATCTCTACTCGATGTGTCTCTTCTGCTCGCTCCCTCTATGTCTCTCGCGTGCACAGAACCAAAACCAATCTTCCTTTAATAGCTGTCCACGCATCTTCCCTGAGGACCTACTTCGGAAGAATGAAGTAGCTGGTCCTCTATCTTCCATCCTTATTCTCGACTCGCTCTCAAGGTCAGCCTGGAAGATTCAGAAAATACGTGCACCTAATGAACTGCGATTGCGCAGGAGCGATTCCAGTCAGAGCTTACATACTTTCAAGCCTAGGTAGTTTCTTGCGTTGGCGGAGCTTTCATCTGGATGAGGACATACGTGGTGGGTTTAGGGTTTAGGGTTGCAGTTTTCAAGAGAACAATGTTGCAGACGTGGCTACCAGCCATGCGCTAACTTGTTTCATTAAATTTGCGGAAAGAACCTACTAGTCGTGAATATCGTGAGCGTATTTCTAACCATTCCGGGCTTATGAAAGGGAAAGGGGATCAAGATAATTCATGCGTTATTGGCACTGAAAATAATGTTTTGAACCGAAGAAGACCAAGATCTTTCTATCTCTTCAAACAAAAAAGTATAACCTATGTATAATTAATTGTAGTCTCTCTGGTTGTGCTTATAAATATAATATAGTACTTGTACTTGGTAAAAATTACTTTCAGAACTACAACAACTGAATCTGAAGCGTTCGTCAAGATGGCGTGTGCGTGTGGTTTCAGAGTATTTCCAATTTTGCGTCTGGCGAACAACCACAGACCACCTTGTACTTGTCAAATACGGTTTGGATCTCCTCGATGTAGCGTGCCAAAACTTTGTCGACGAGGCGTTCCCTTTCCTCTGTTGGCATTGCGGAGAACGCTGTCTTGTCACTGCAGAACTGCTGCATTTGAATGCCTTCGCCGAAGCAGAACTGGACGCCGTTGGGAGGCTGGAAGGGCACGAGCGGACAAAAGGGGCCTAGCGGACCCCAAAAAAGCGCAACCCCGATTTGCAACTTGCGCGAAAGCTTGCCGATCCAGCTTTCTTGTCCTCCAGAGCCGGACAACAACAAATTTCGATAAAAATCGTTTACGCCGAAGGCGTAGCAAGGGACGAGCGTCGAGTCGGATTCCAAGCAGAGACGGCACAAACCACGACGACATTTCAGAACAATCGTGTGCCGTCCCGGGCCGGCCCTGTTTGTTATTGACGACGAGTGCAAAAGTATGATTGCACATGAGCAGGAGTAGCAGTTACACGTAGCTAGTTCTGAGTGTTGCGGTACACAACGTGAAGATCATTCTATTGCTATAAGAAAATAGGATCAAATGCAAGAACTACGTCAAAGGCAGTCATGAATTACTATGTCGTAGTCGTGAATCCCAGATGTACGTTTGGTTCGTGCGACGCACACACAGAGACTGAATGAAAAACGCTGTCGTCGTGGTCCAAATACTTCTGAATAAAAAGAGCATTACTGAAAAATCTCCGCAATTCCGCCTGGAAACAGAAATAAATTTTTCACACAGTTTCGTCCCGCTCTCTTTGCCGTTTCATGCTCATGATCTACCAGACCCTTCCGCAAGACGTTGTATTTGGCAGAGCCAGCGGTAATGGCACCCAGCCAGGTCCTCAGTACTGGAGCATTCAGGACTACGTCGGCGGTCGCTCCAAAGCCATATAAATGCTTCTCCGACCATCTTTCCTCCTTCTTCATTCCGGTGGAAGTGCCCGCACGTTTGCCTTCCTCTGAGGAGTTTTTTACTCTCATCGTCTGCACATCTGCCGTTTTTGGTCGTGCTGACTTCTCAGAGTCTAGAGACGGTTCCTCTGCTGCTTGAACCGACTCTCCCGCGACCGCAGCGCGAGCTTTGTCCCCTGAAGATGTAGTTTCGAGATATTCACCCGTACAGTATTGGTCGCAAAAGGCCGACCAAAGAAGCGCGTGAAAAGGCACGACCCCGTGCGGATGCATCCCTATGACGAATTGCTCCCCTGCCAGGTCTCGCTTGAGCATTTCCAGACGGTCCGCCTCGCTCAAATTGGTCCCAAAATTGACTATTTCGTACAGGAATTGACCCCATTTTCGCACGCTCTTTCGCTCTTTCATGGGTAGCAGCGTGTCCGAGGCACTGCATATCAACAGGGTGACCAGAATGATGGCGCTTGTGTACCACTGCATATACGCAAGGAAACCGGCGACTAGCATTGCAACGGGCCCGAACACGAAGGCCAGCGCGAAAGCAATGAGCATACAGTGGCCTATTGCCCGGCGAAGTACCTCCGGAATCCGTGCAACCTTCGGACCTGGTGGAGCCGGATAGATCTTCGTCGCGTCTTTCATTTTGTCTTTCACAGAAAATCCTACACTAATTCACGAAAAGAAACATGCACATGCACATCAGGGGTGGGGTTAGAAGAGGCTATCTAGAGACACGACTACACATCAATGATAAAACCAAAGCTTTTACTTCTTCGTAACGCATTATGCATATGGGAAAAATCTGTGACGCAAAGGAATTGAGGGTAGGACTATATGCGTGCTAGACTAGGTTGTCGGTGTCTAAAGGTGAATCGATCATTTACTCCGTTGTAGTTTATCTAGGTCACTGACTTGCTTGTAATTGTGGAGTGGATGCTGGCTCTTCATGGTGTTGCATTGTCTTGGTATTTCTTCACCACAGATTTTGATCACAGACAAGAATTATTACGTATGGGTTCACGATCAGTGCAAGATAAACGAAACGCGGATAATAATTGCTTTGTCCTCAGTTATATTTTGTTAGACCGATGCAAGTCGATATCATCTGATCATGCTAACTATTAGTTAGCTTTTTGAGAAGTCATTATGGAACCGATCAAGACTGGTGTTTCTCGGTAGTGATATTTTCGCTCTGCAGTTTGTTTGTCTTCGCTCGTTGCTGAGTAAGACGAGGAAGTGTCCATCAGCATTTACTTACTTAATCATGCTTACACACCGATTACGATCGTGTTACTGACACTGACAAAGCTAATGATCGTGAACGACAAGAAAGGTCCAGGTCAACATACTCTTACGCCTATGACCATTAAGATTATGATTATCATTTCAGCTTCTAAGGTTAAGATTAAAAAAATTCTAGATCTAGTTCTACAGTTTTAATACTAGCGTTCATTGTATTCTCTTCATCGTCTTCATGTTTCACTTTCAAGAAAAATCGAATCGAAACGAGAACGCCAAGAAGCCTATTCTTGTTCTTCGTGTGAAAACTCCGATACTTCTTTTATCTAGATCTAACTGGTATTCTTGGGTGTAGCAACAACAAGACATTTCTCCATGTTGTGACGGTGCTTTGTAATCATCATCCGATGAAGTGCACTAGGATACCTGAGGTTAGGTTGGGATCCATATCATACCGCAGATTGACTGACGTGGCCACTGACGAATATGTCACAATATTAGTATACCAAATGGCGTCGTGTGAGTGCGAGAATCGTGCCAGAGCATACGCGATTTTCTGAATGAATCGAAATGTTGTTGGGGTTGATGATGTTCCTTGAGCAACTTCAACGACGGAGTAGTGAATACTTACGCAAATTACGATCATGTGCTGTTCTTGTTTGGAAAATACTATTTAGCCAAAAACCTAGAACTGGATGAAGATAAACAACAATGACATATGACTGCTCCATAGCGTAGATAATGATATTAACCAGCCACGCATTTCAAAACAGAATCAGGCTTGTTGTATGTTGCCAACGGATTACAACATTTTTATGAAGTTTGTGGTTTGTGGAAGTGCGACAAGTGCATGCGCTGTAGCACATATCAGCCGTCTCCATCCAATATTGCTCTGCGCTCCTCGACCTCGTCCTCACAAGAACTACTAGAACTACATATGAATAAAAGAAATTACAATTAGTGACCAAGAATTAAATAGAGATGAACCGCGCAGCATATCAATGACAATGACGTTGATGTTAGTATAATATATAGCGTTGCGAAAGGCGCAGACACGCGGCACAGACATTAGATGGTGCGCTAGCAAGTAACTTCCTTGAGCAAAAAGATGAAGAAGACATTTCGACTGCAGGTTGAATGGCGGGCGGCGAGGAGGGCTGCTGCTAGTACTATCGCCATCATTTGCATTACTCTATGACAGGAGGAAACAAAGGTGTTGGTAAATGCTCATGGCAAGGGTTTACTGGTTTCTTGGAGAAGCTGGTAATAGATATTTCTTGCTGTTTCAAACCTCCACTTGGCGTGTTCCAGGAAGTCGAACTCATCGAATGCTTGCGTTTGTGGTGCTCGTAACAAGCTCCAGTAGCCCCAGAGTAAGTGCGACCCGCACTCGAAGACTGGCAATGCGTCGAGCAGTCGCTGTATTCGCGCATCGTCATCGTTCATGCACTGTTCGTAAAACTCGCTCAAGTAGATTTTCGCGAACAAGAATCGATCTCGCTCGGAAGCGCCACGAGCATAATCAGCAGAGAAAAATGGAGGGTCGTCGACGATATAATCGATTATCCACTCGTTAAAGAAGTTCGCAATATCGTGCCTGTCGTGGAATCAGTGTTTGTGCACTTCCTTGTACAAACAACTGTATTTTGTTTTCTCAACGACGGCTACGGATCGATCAAGGACATGATAGTACTCATCATTCAAGTTCTTGTATTAACGATTCGCGGACTTCGACTTCAATGCACTACTCCTAGCCAAAAGAATGCAGATTATGGCTTTTATTAGATGCGGATTGTACACGAAAGTAGTGTGAACAAATTAATGCTATTCGACGAAGACGATCACATCTTCGATTATGATTGAAAATAATTATCCATCAAGTTGAAGTTGTAGTTGTAAGTAAAAGTACCCTTGAAAATTGAAAGCGGAGTATTCGAAGTCGATGAGTCGTAGGCCGTACTGTGTTTGCATCACATTGTTTTCTTGACAGTCGTTGTGACAGAAGACGATGTGGAAACCTGGCTGTATTTCCACTTCGTCTGGCGGTTGCAGGAGCATCGAGGATGCGCCACTCACCGCGTCCTCGGTCCCGCAGCTCAAGAGTGCACTGTCTGTATTGTTGTATTTCGCCTGGACTTGCTGAGCTAAAACTAAAAGCCTTTCCTGCAATAATTCCTTCAGAAATTGGACGCAGTCGCTCATTTCGTCCCGCAGAGGCAGCAAGTCGCCGCAGAAAAAAGGCGTTTCGCGTTCTGCGTCGCCCTTGAGAGCCTTGGATACCCACGAATCAAGCCACTGCAAAACGGAAGGTTTTCGGTAGGTCCGACGTAAAAACTCGAAGTCAGGAAGTCGTCCCAGCTTATGGAATCGACCCAAATGTGATGCAATCTGAAGATTGTGTACATCAGTTTGAGTTGAAATACAAAGCTGTTCATTTGTTCATCTAACACCTAGTGATAACAACGAAAAAATATCAATCCTCGAAACCGAAAGTATGTTGTAATGTATTAATTAAATATAAAATTTTTTGCTTCTGCACCTCCCATCATACGACTGAACAGACACGCATCGTAGAAAGGAGAATCTGTGCACTCGTGTGCTGGTCCTTCTGGAATTATTGACTGTTAACAAGAAATGCGAATGCCAGAGTGCTTTCTAGATACTTGGAGTAGAACGCGAGCAAAGAAAAGCAAGATTAAGAACGCATATCATAGATAGATTGTCATGAAAGAACTTGAACTTGTCAAGAGTACATAGAAGAAAATAAAATTCACTATACCTGACAGTAGATGCTCGGATTGTCGAGGATCGCGTTAGGCACGGGTTTTGCGAAGTGCCACTCTTCTATCCTCCAGCCGTTGCCTTTGGCGTACATCGCTGGAGCGATGCGGAGCCGCGAAAGCGTTTCGAAAGTCATCACTTCCACCTCTGAATCGTAGAAGTTTGTAATGTCCTCCCCATAGATCCGAAAGAGGACGACCGTGATCATCGGGTCCATGATGAGGTCCTTGGCATCCGGGGCGCCGCGCAGGGTCTGCATCAGCAACCGCTGCTCTGGAGGGCGGGGCGACGGCGCAGAGGTTATGTCACTGCAAGTCGGGGCAGGGAAGGATTTGATTCCGCTGAAAGAGGACGACGGAGCGCCACCGGCTGACTCGCGACTTGCCGCTGTATCGAGAACTGCACGACTACTACGATTTGTCAGGGCAAACGTTCCAGCTCCAGGGGTACTCGGGATAAGCTGAACGCGGGACGAGTGGGACGAAGGTTTCGATCCTCCACCAATATTGCTTTTGGTACGAGTTGTAGTTGTTGAGTTTGATGTGCTGTCTTCTTGGTGACGCACGATCCTCCCTGTTGTTGCGTTCGCAGTTGCGATTTGATTATCGGTGCCGTCTCCTGATGTAGACGAAGTTGGCGTCATATTTTCCGACGTTGCATCTGCTGTCGTTGTACAGGATGGAGAAGATGAACCACTTTTGCCCCGCTTGTCCTCTACTAGGTTAGATGAAACACCGCCGGCACGCGTACTCAACTCGAACATTTGTTCTCCGCAGTAATCTTGATGTCCATCTTCTTCTCTCACTCCCCCTTCAAAAATTGTCTTTTTCTCTCGCAGAGCGCACTCTTCACGTCGTCCACCGTCATCAGCTCCTTGTCCTCCTTCATGGTCTTGTGCGGGAAGAACTCCTCCAGGGAGTTGAACGCGCACGAGCGAGACGCGAAATAGCTGATTCGTGAGCCCTTCGGTGAGTTTTTGAACACGCGTCTCGAACATGGTGGGTGGCAGCGAGTCCCACTGCGGTACATGGCGGTGGCACAAAGTTCGAATATACTCAGGTGAGGAGACATCCGAAAACTCCGGATGAGCACCTGTATAATCTCGCACGACGGCTGAACGAATCGTCATTCTTTTATTCTTGATGTAATCGGAGTTAGAAATACTTTACCAAAATTGTTGCCATTTCCATCGGGTGAGGTAAATTAGGATGATCAGAAGTAAGTTGTTGAACTCGATGTAGAAATTAAGAATACTATTCTTAAGATCTTTGTACTGAACTTAACTAAAAAAACGAAACGCAAGTACGAGAAAATGAGTGAGTAATTTGAGCAGGGCAGAGCAGGACAAGCAAAAAATGACCGAGATTCAGTTTCTGTTGTAGAGGATCAAAAACTTACCAAAAACACAAAATGCTATTAGTCCCTAGAATTCGGAACAAGAATATCACATCGGAGATGCGACGATAATTCGACCTGTTAGACCTGCTTTGACTTTCGCTTACAAGCTTGTACTTTATACGTGTACAAAGAAACACCATCTAAATGTGATAGAAATGCTATGAAAATAAATTCAAATTGGGATGTGTCCTAGCTATCTCCCAAGACTGAGACTGACATGATGCTTTCTAATGTACGTAGCAATAAATTAACGATGCGTGCTACGAGGATATTGGATGTTGATGAATCAGGAAAAAGGAAATACCAATCACCTGCATAACTAGAAGAGACAACACGTAGCTGTAGCTTTTAGAGAAGGAGATCGTTTATTGAACATGTATCATGTAGAGTGTACAAGAACAAACTACGTAAATAAATTATAATAAATTAGGGCTGCGATGGCCGGTCAAAAAGTCAAGAGACTGTGACAGACATGATTAACATTATGAAAAGCGCTACTGTAAGTGTAACTAAAAGAATCTAAGAGAACATCGCTGCCCATGCGCATATCCTGTAGTGACCTAGAAGATTCATGTTCACTTAAGCAGATCTGATGTCGATCAAACGATTTCATTTGTTTCAGGATCTTCAACTTAACTTTGTAAGAGTAACGTCTCTTCTAAGATCTCTGTCTGGAGAACAGCTTGACTCTACTTCTAGATTCTTGTATAATCAATGATAACTTTCGCACTACTAGTCGTGCTCCTCGGTTTACTCTCGACTAGACTCTCATGTACTTACTCGTGCGCTCTCGACAACGTTCACGTCGAATAAATGGCTGAGTTTCACTGGGTGAAGGTGAACACAGGAAAGCATCTTTAATTTCAACGAAACACGAACACGAGCAAGGCGTATTACTTGTCGTGAATTAGATTTTCTTCTGTGCGATCTAGGAATAGGAGTCGATAACCAGGTGCAGCGTTTAGCGCGTCACCGTCTCAAAGACAATGCGTAAATGGGAGTGGGTAGACACTGATACAACTAGGTCGAAGGTTTATCATTATCAAACCAGGAGTTTAACCAAGGTTTCAACATTAACAATCAACACCATCACCACCTACCTGGTGAATTCAATGTCAAAGTCAAGCACAGGCATACTTCTGTCGAAGGCCTTGGCAATGTCAAGCGTACTGCGATGAATGTAGTGGTAAAGTCGATGCAGCAGGTCCGTTGGGCTTAGCCACCCTCTTCTTCAGCGTCAGGTTCGTCCACGGGAGAGACGACATTCGCCGCTGGATTTAGCCGAAGACCTGTTCATTCAGAAAGTAGGAATCTAACTATTTTTTTCCGTATAAGCTTCTGACTACTTTGTTCTTCTATGATGTTCGCAGAGACAAGTAGGACGAAATTGTATTTGTATCTCGACAACCAAATACGAATATCTGTACTTCGTGGTTTGTCAATAAAGTTTCTTTTCGAATTGTTACAAAAAAATCAAATTGTACGTTGTGTTCCTCCGTAGACATCCACTACACCGTAGAGTGTTGATGCGTTCAGCAGGAAAGACAGGTCGCCGTCGGTTTTTCTTGGTTTGTATCGGACCACTTCTGCCTTGTTGTGGTACACCACTAGCTCACCACCAGTCGTAAGCAGGCAACCGATCCTGTCATGACCCCTCGCCACAACGCACTCTCCCGGATTCCACTTCACTGGGTAGTTCTTTTCCCCAGACGCCAGGTACACTTTACCTTGGAGCAATGTGTGAATAGCCGGAGTGAAACGATCCATGGGGCGGATGCGGGGGCGAAAACACCAATAAGTAGAAAGCTCAAGAAAATGATACCATGACCATGACGAGGAGCGGCGTCAAATATATTAAATGACATTGACAACATTCAAAATCAACATAAGTTGTTGTAACGCCAAAAATAATCTTGATAAAGATAAAGGCATCTACATCTTCTAATATTTCTACTTACATCGTATAATAATTATTAAACAAAGTTAGAATCACAATCATTATCATCAGTACCAGTGTATCCGACGACAACAGTATCGTCCATTTCGCAGGCTCGTCTTGGCACGGGGAAGCCATCACCTGTGGGATCTACACTGCTGAAGCCGACCGCAAGGCCAGGTATAAATCCACTGAGACAATGCTCCACCTTGAATTCGAAAAAGCGGCCTTCACTTTTGCTCACCAGATTTTCAATAAACGCGACCTTTGATATCCTGGCATCTGCAATCGCGCTTTCCTTCCGTTGCTGTTGTAAGCACGTGGTTGTGAAATGTACATGGTGTAGTTGAAGTCTGAGGATAGCACATGTACCACTACCATCAAGAAGAACACGGGAAAGAGAAGTGATTGAGGTCCTTATTCAGTTTCAGAGTTAGTGGAAAAACCATCATTATAACCAAGAAGAGCAAGTGATGAAATTGAAAGTGAATATCTTGGTAAAATAGTACTGCAACAAGCAGCCCCTCTTCGCCGTCGCCATCCTCTGAAGGGCATATTGCTGTCTCGAAGCTGAGGCCTTCGCCTACTGGCGCGGCAAGAAATTGTAACATATTGTAATTTATTAAGGACGTGAACGATATAAACTTCTTGTCTGTCCTGGGTTATTTTAGATCTTCTTCCACCAAACAGACACACGAAACAAGAAATTTAAAGATTTTCTTGTACTACTACGTTTTTCATGTAGATGCAAAAAGTTTTCGAAAGATTCAACAACTACATGTTGTTTACCTGAACTTCTACCTGCTTTACGAAAATCTTAAATCCTAATTGACTCTATCTATGCGAATGTGTGCTTTGACTTGAAGATGTGAGGACCTTCTACTTAATACCTTCTGGGAACATCAAATAACATGGATCAAAAAGAGTTGACTAAGCAGAGGTTTGTCCTTCAGCGGGCACCACGAGTACGGTTGTAGAGGAGTTTTTTATGGGGTCCAGAAGTGGGATTTTACGGGTGATTGTAACAGGTTTCGCTTGATTTTTTACGTTCCCTGTTGAATAATCTTGGACCGATGGTGACTAGCAATAATCCAAATCTCGATGCATTATGCAAAAGCAACCTCAAACGAGCCTGCCAGCAAGAACGTTTACGAAAATCAATGACTCTCAAGAACGAAAATCAAAAACAACGATGTCTGTCTCTGTACTTCTTCTAGTGATAACCAAAATTACCACGGTCCGAAGTCAAGGGTCTTCGATGAAGTCCATGGAGAACGTCTCGGTGGTGATCTCTTCTTCTCTTCTTATGTTGCACTTGCCATATCCATATCCTCCGAAGCAAGGAAGTTCGTTCCATGTTTGACCAGATAGTTCGTCGTCCAGGTTATCTTGTTGCTTTCGATTTCATCCTGAATCCTTGTCATCGTGTAGCATCACTGCGTCGCACCAGTTTAAATCTCTATCTCTATGGTGCTTAGATGAAGCGCATATTTAGTAGCATCAGTTCACGTTTGAGTTGTTTTTGCTCACGATGGTTCAGTAACAGGAAATGTTCAGTAACAGGAAATGCCACAAACCTGTTTGCGCGAGTGTGCAGTCTTGTGGGGGTCAAATATTTGGGCTGTTCGAGTGGTTTTGGGGTACAATGTTGAGAAGATTGTATTCAAATCGTCGCCGTCGACGTACGTCCCTGAACCGAATGCCGAACTGCGCAGCACGACAGGATCTATCAAAAGAAGAGCTTAGAGCTATCCCTAATCCATCCCGGTGCAATGTGTCAGGGGTTTTTCTTTTGTATCCGCTTGAGGGATCCGCAGCATAGAGATGGATTAGAGGTAGCCGTAAAGAGCGTCGTCCGTGAGGACTCCCTGAAGGTCGGTGACGATCTCCTTTCCACCGGAAATGAAAAAACTGTAGTGGAAAAAAGTCTGCGCGATCTCGCAATATGGTTCGCGACCATCGAACAAAAATTTATCGATCATGCCCTCGCCGCTTCCGCCACCTTCCTGTAGGACCGCTTGAGGCAGCGGCGTGAGGATTCCGAAGTCCCCTGGTTGTATGAGGACTGACATGCCGCTCTCCATTACCTCACACTCCAGACTGCGTATGACCTCTACTCGCATGCCCGCATCGGGAAAGGCTCCATAATTCGTTTTCGTAGTCGCGGCAGCGGATCCACGTGGTCCGCTTCCCTTAAGACTAGCTAGCATCTCGAGCTTGTCATATGCGTTGAATTTACCCTTACTACGCGCCGTATCGCCAGTGCCACCGCCGAGTTGGCCCCCGAGGGCAAAGGATTGCAAACCGTTTTCTGTCGCAACAGCATTCCCACCGATCTGCATATTGAACTTGTGTGCGTACTTTTGTGCCGTCTCGACGTCCGCTACATCTTCGCTCACTCGTGGCTTCACGCGCTCATCCAGATGGGTACAAACAGAAAAAAGGTACACATTCTTAGAGCTTGGGAATTTATTAGGTACTTCTGAAATTGTTAAAGTACATACGTGCATACACTTTCGAACTGGAAAAGCAGCACAAAACGTGATCAGGACGCACCGGAGGGCTCAAGTGTAGTTTTTGCGCGGAGTACTAAGAGACCACGTAATTGCACTGAATTCCATAACTTAGACTTACAATTCCGAAATAAGTACTTAAAAAACACTAAACAAGAGCAGTATTCCTTGTAGCAATAACAACAGGGCTATCCGCCGCTCTGCCAATCCAAGTTTTCTTCGAACGAAATCGATAATCTCGCCATGGATACAGCTCCCATACTGCGGGAGTGGCGCCACCCCATGTACTCATCTGTTCTTGGATTTACCATCATACAAATTCACTTCTGTTGCTTGTATCAAGAAGCCAAGTCTGAAGCCTACTCCCTCTGTATTAATGATCGACAAAAGTCGAGGGCTGACGTCAGGGTTTTAACGGCGAGCAAGGAGAATCACAAGGGGCACAAAAACCTGGGCCAAGACTCTCAGGGTTTTAAGGGGAAAGCCAAGGAATCTCAGGGTTGCCAGTGAGGGCTAAATCGCGGTCGTGTCAGGGATTGGCATCTCAAGGCTTGCAAAAATGGGCACAAATGTCAGGATCCAGTTCTCAAGGTTTTGCAGGGTAAAGCGGTGGCCAGGGTTTTGCGTCTCAGGGTTCGGCATGCCAGAGTTCACGGCCTCAGCGTTCGCCACTGCCAAGGTATAGCGCCTCAGAGTTTTGCATGTCAGGGCTTGGGAATGTCAGGGTTTCCCGCCTCGGAGTTGGTCAGTGTCAGGGTTTCTTTACAGCGCCACAGTTTCGCGGGTCAGAGTTTTGGAATGTCAGGGCTTCGCGCCTCAGGGTTGGCCGATGTCAGGGTTTGCCTCCCCAGAGTTCCGCCAGTCAGGGTTTTCCGTCTCAGGGTTGGGCGATGGCAGGGTTTGAAACCCCAAAGTTTGGCAGGTCAGAGTTTTCGAATGGCAGGGCTTCGGGCCTCAGAGGTGGCCGATGTCAGGGTTTGGCACCTCAGAGTTCCGCGGGTCAGTGTTTTCGGGTGTCAGGGTTTTCAGCCTCAGGGTTGGGCGGCGTCAAGGTTTACAGCCCCAGAGTTTCGCGGGTCAGAGTTTCAGAATGTCAGGGCTTCGCGCCTCAGGGTTGGCCGATGTCAAGGTTTGCCCCCCCCGAGTTCCGCCGGTCAGGGTTTTCCGCCTCCGGGTTGGGCGATGGCAGGGTTTGGAACCCCAAAGTTTGGCAGGTCAGAGTTCTCGAGTAGCAGGGTCGCGGGCCTCAGAGTTGGGCAATGTCAGGGCTTGGCACCTCAGAGTTCCGCGGGTCAGTGTTTTCGAATGTCAGGGCTTTCCGCCTCAGGGCTGGGCGGTGTCAAGGTTTACAGCCCCAGAGCTTCGCGGGTCAGCGTTTGGGAATGTCAGGGCTTCGCGCCTCAGGGTTGGCCGATGTCAAGGCTTGCCTCCCCAGAGTTCCGCCAGTCAGGGTTTTCCGCCTCAAGCTTGGGCGATGGCCGGGTTTGGAACCCCAAAGTTTGGCAGGTCAAGGCTTTCGAATGGTAGGGCCTCGGGCCTCAGAGTTGGGCGATGTCCGGGTTTGGCGCCTCAGAGTCCCGCAGGTCAGTGTTTTCGAATGTCAAGGCTTTCCACCTCAGGGCTGGGCAGTGTCAGGGTTTACAACCCCAGAATTTCGCGGGTCAGAGTTTGGGAATGTCAGGGTATCGCGCCTCAGGGTTGGCCGATGTCAAGGCGTGCCCCCCCCCCGCGTTCCGCCAGTCAGGGTTTTCCGTCTCAGAGTTGGGCGATGCCAGGGTTTGGAGCCCCAGAGTTTGGCAGGTCAGAGTTTTCGAATGGCAGGGCTTCAGGCCTCAGAGTGGGGCGATGTCAGGGTTTGGCACCTCAGAGTTCCGGGGGTCAGTTTTTCGACTGTCAGGCTTGGGCGCCTCAGGGTTTACAACGCCAGAGTTTCGCGGGTCAGAGTTTGGAAATGTCAGGGCTTCACGCCTCAGGGTTGGCCGATGTCAGGGTTTGGCACCTCAGAGTTCCGCTGGCGCCTTTGCGGCGTGAACGCCGAGGTTTCGACGGGTAGGGGACCAGTGCGTAACAGTGGAGCCGTCGCCGCTGACCCTCACAGACTCTGTCTCTGCCGCTCCTAGCAGCTCCCTCTCCCTCTTTCACCTTTTTCGTGTCTTGCACCGCTGAACACACGGGACACGACTAGTCAAATAATGCGTAGTATTCTACCTCCACACATATTACTCACAAAAACTGTATTAATGCGAGGAAAAACATGCAGATAAGAAAAATTATGAAACGTTATTTAGTAGTTTTTTACGACGTAACAGAAATACAAATAGTAAGTTAAGGGGGAGGCGTGCTACTAGTCCAGAAAGTTGTACCATGTCTGTCGCAGCGGCCGCTGTTGTCCCCCATTCTGTCTTCATGGCAGACGCGATGACTTTTCCCTCAACTACCGGCTTCACTCCTGTTCCTAGACTCTTGGGCGACATCGGGCTTCCCGAGTTTTTCCTTCTTGGCCGACTTCTCATGAAATTTTCAGTCAGATTCAGACATAGATGTTGTGATTGTCATTTAACTACTCTCAGTAAATTGCGGAGATGAAGAGGATCATATTGAGGAGGTAAGGTACTTTCACAAGCCACAGTGTCCCCGATAATTCGGGAAGCTCAAGGCAGTCAACCTATACGTACCGCTCTCTAAAAATTTTCTACCTATTTTGATCACTTGCTTCGTGTTCGTCTTTAATTCGATTAGTTTCTCACTCCATACCCGTTTTCCCTGGTACGTCAGCACCACCCGCCATGCGCTTCAATTTCTGAATGATAATTAGAAGAAAGCACGCGAAAATGGAAATGGAACTAATAGTACAACGTTGGCAAAGAGGTCTATAATTTTGATAATACAGTCATCAGATGTGTACTTCTCAATTGCAGAGGTGGGGATCCGTAAGGGTCAGCGAACGCCCCCCGCGGTCCTACATAAGACGCCACGCCTTCCCCCCCGGAATACTACTGAGAGCTTGCCCCATCTTGGTTCGAGCGTCACGCGAAAAGCGTGACGCGTCACGCGAAAAGCGTGACGCTTTTGTTGCATGTACCCTACAGACTTACCAGAGACAAGGCGCCACGCTTTTCGCGTGACGCTCAGGAAGGGGCCTGCAGATGAAGGCCCCACCTTCAGATCATGAGGACCCTCGGGCCCTCAGCTGAAGTCTTTCCGATCATGAGGACCCTCAAGGGAGAACCCTCACTCTGAGAGGGCCCGCAGATGAAGCCCTTCCGATCATGAGAGAGGACCTTCAAGGGAGAACCCTCACCCTGAGAGGGCTCCCAGATGAAGTCCCTCCGATCGTGAGAACCTTCAAGGGAGAACCCTCAAGCTGAATAGAGGACACCCAGCTGAAGTCTTTCCGATCATGCGGACCCTTCAGGGAGAGTCCTCACGCTGTGAGGGCCCTCAGATGAAGCTCTTCCGATCATGCGAGAGGACCTCCAAGGGAGCGCCCTCACTCTGAGAGGGCTCCCAGGTGAAGTCCTTCCGATCATGAGGATCGCAAGGGAGGGCCCTCTATCTGAATAGAGGACACCCAGCTGAAGTCTTTCCGATCAATCATGAGGACCCTCAAGGGAGAACCCTCACTCTGAGAGGGCTCCCAGATGCAGTCTTTCCGATCATGAGAGAGGACCCGCAAGGGAGAACCCTCACCCTGAGAGGGCTCGCAGATGAAGCCCCTTCGATCGTGAGGACCTTCAAGGGAGAGCCCTCAATCTGAATAGAGGACACTCAGCCGAAGTCTTTCCGATCATGTGGAGCCTCAAGGGAGAAGCCTCACTCTGAAAGGGCCCTCAGACGAAGCTCTTCCGATCATGAGAGAGGACCTTCAAGGGAGAAGCCTCACTCTGAGAGCGAGGGCTCCCAGATGAAGCCCCTCCGATCGTGAGGACCTTCAAGGGAGGGCCCTCAATCTGAATAGAGGGCACCCAGCTGAAGTCTTTCCGATCATGAGGACCCTCAAGGGAGAACCCTCACTCTGAGAGGGCCCCCCGATGAAGCTCTTCCGATCATGAGAGGGGACCTTCAAGGGAGAACCCTCAGTCTGAGAGGGCTCCCAAATGAAGGCCTTCCGATCATGAGGACCTTCAAGGGAGAGCCCTCAATCTGAATGGAGGGCACTCCGCTGAAGTCTTTCCGATCATGAGGACCCTCAAGGGAAAACCCTCACTCTGAGAGGGCCCCCAGATGAAGCTTTTCCGATCATGAGAGAGAGAGGACCTTCAAGGGAGAACCCTCACTCTGAGAAGGCTCCCAGATGAAGGCCTTCCGATCATGAGGACCTTCAAGGGAGGGCCCTCAATCCGAATAGAGGACACCCAGCTGAAGTCTTTCCGATCATGAGGGCCCTGCCCTCAAGGGTGAACCCTTTCACGCTTACACACTGGCAAAGGGGCGCCTGGTCTGCATTGGATTCCCATGCGTCACACTAGAGAACGCACGCGGAAAAGACACCCGACCCCGATGAGATTCCCACGCGTCACGCTAAAGCGCACATCGTCAAAAAGCACCCAGGCCCCACGAGATTCCTATGCGTCACGCTAGAGCACGCATGGCGAAAAAACACCCAATCCCCCCGGGATTCATATGCGTCACGCTAGAGGCGTGACGCGTGACGATCCGCGGGGGGCGTTCGCTGACTCTTACGGTGGGGATCCCGTCTCAGATATTGACTCATTTTGATATGCTCAGTTATGAACACAGCAGCAGAAGATGAAGTAGAATGAACGGATCCTGGCCATACACAAGTCCGTCGCTGCATTACTTCGGACGTAAACACCTGCAACGTCTGGAACCGGATCACCTGTCCGCTATCGCAACATTTTATCTAGATTTTAGAACCAACTACTTCTAAGTCTTGAGCTTTACTTTTTACCTCCATGTCCATTTACAAGCAAAGATAAAGAAGAGCAAGGAAGAGAGCCCATTGCTCGGTGCTCTTTCATATAGCGAATGGCGAACCCGAGAACCCAATTGTAGTTGTACCAAAAAACGTGGTCCTAAATAGATAAGTGCGTCATAATCAATGGTGATTCTCCAAGCTCCAAGTCGCCCCCCTCGCAAACCCGGAAAGGCTCCTCGCAAACACGCGTCAAGCTGTTACCCATTGCTCATGTCGGCTCTTCCGTTTTCTATGTTGACCTCCAACGGTAGGCAGTTGTTCTTATTCGTGTAGGCTATGGCGTTGCCGTTGCCGTAGCGTGGAATGCGTGTTGTAGTTTTTCAGCAGAATCGTGTCTTAAACGTCAGCTCGCAAAATTATTGCTGCTCTCATGCTACTGCTCTTGGTATCACCCCCGCCACTATGTGATGGCCACAAGAATCTTCACCAGCAATTTCGCCCTGACGTAGGATTTTTGCGACAGCGACTGCTCCGTAAGAACAGGTCGTGGGTGCACTCCGACATTCTGAATTGACGGCTCTCTAATTGTACACACGCCCATTCTGTTTTGCACTCTCTTTGTTTTATTACGCGGAATCGATTTTGCACAGCGAGGCTTGCTGCTCCTTTAAGATTTTCTTCTTGCTTGTTCACTTAAACTTATTCACGTATATTTTACTTCTAGAGGTTGTTTCATCGGTGTACCAATGACTTAGATTTTCTACTCATTATAGATTTAGTCATATGGTTATGGAAATGGAAGAATAGAACGAAAAGTAGGACTACAGTCGTTTGCTAGTTTTTCTTGGAAATGTTCATCCACATGATCCATACTTCTTGTTCAATCCATTAGTTATTAATATATATAAGTATGCAGAGGATGTTGAACGGGAATGCTTCCCTTCCTGAGATTAGCAACGATTTTTAGGGATATTGTCAATCGATGGAACAATCATCGCTGCAGATTGTTGCGTCGTAGTTGTACGTACTTGGTACCTAGTCTAGTAGAGTAGAAATTGCGCGACGGGCAATCGGAGGAACGGCAACATCACAGTTCAGAGGAGAAGGGGAAGGAGAAAGTGAGCATGCAGGGGTGCAGGCGTGCTCAATCCAGTTTTTCTGTCTGCTTTAGTTTTTGGAGAATCAATGCTGATGACGTTTCACTCACCTCGCCTGCAAGCAAAAGCTCATCCAGAATGAGGTACACCTTGTCGAAGTGAAACACTAAATCGAGCTCGCACACATTGCCAAAATACCCATCGAGAATTTCAACCTGAAATAAAAGTGAGAGACGAACCTGAAGAGGCAAAGTATAAGTAGTTAAGGTATAAGTATATAACGTTGCAGAAGCTGCTAATATATCTGCGATAGGCTTAGGCACAGATGCATCTTTGTAATGCGAAACCAGCAAGAAAAGAGTATCGATTCCACGTCTTTTCAAACCTAATGGTAAGCTCCGAGAGAATCTTTTTAACAAACAGTACAAAAAGATGTATCAGCTCGAGCATCGCAAGTTCGTTATCGCTTTGATCGACGCCGAGCGAAAAGAACAGGCCTGCATAGCGTCGATATACGATTTTGTAATTTCGGTATTCGAGAAAGTTTGTAAATTTTGCATCTCGACTGGCCACCGTTCGATGTATTTCTGATTCAATCTTGTTCTTTTCGGAGAGGTTGTAGCCGACGTACCACCGACTCAGTCGAGTCTTTCCTTGCCGGTTTTGTAGCAGCAGAAAGCGAATCATGTTGTTCCTTTAAATATATTAAGTGATCCGACTCCGAGCAGGAGAGAAGGCGTTTGTGGCTTCATGAGGTATATTCGCTTTTATAATTTCATCGCGGGGTACGGGTAGAAGTTATGCTCGTGATGTGGGTGTTTTACCCACTCTGCGTCGTAAAAATTGCGTCGCCTCAGGGTCATCATTTAGGATTCCATAATTTTGGGACAAGCCTGGTGTGCTGTTGCCTTATATCTGCGCTCCGAGGCCCACTATATATTAAGTAGCCTCTTCTTTCCCTCAACACGAACAAGCAATTGCAGATTCGACCTCCTAACAGGTTGCAATTCACCGATGAATCAATGACAGGCAGCTGTCGCTGTGGTGAACTAAACATTTCGCCGGTGCGCGTGGAGTACGCTGAAATAAGATAGAATTTTCCAATTACAGGTAATGGTCGAAAGCAACAGCGTTGCAATGCCAATCGCAAGGCCTGTGTGTCTAAGTAAGTATTTCAATGCAAACTCCGACTCGCAGACAGTGCCATTGATAGAGCGCTTCTTGTCAGTATGTATGTGTTTCGCAATGCGGCACTTGCAGCTGCACTTCAAGCCAACCTCTCGCTCGCCCTCTGTTTCTCTCTCTTTCATCATCGCCACGGTGCTTTTCTCGCACTCGCTCAAACAATTGTCCTCCCGTAGACATAATTTCAGAGTTCTTGTTGTGGGAAAGCTTCACCGATGCAGTGATGACAGATTAGATGAAAGGAACAAGTTGATCTGATGACTTTAGAATATTCTTTTGCTGATCATCATAACTCGCAGTTACTCCAGCGTGGATGGTATCGCTTCTATCTCGGTGCGAAGCCGAAGGTTCTTGCCAGCAGCTGCAGCAAGGAAAAATGGGTCGAGGAGTCGCATAGATACAAAGAACTGCGAAAAAAGGACATATTTTACTGGACAGGCAGTCCGCTCAGAGTGCAACAAACGCTTTTTTTGTTGGGGATGCATGTTCTTGTCCACGTTCAACAAGGAGAGCACAATGGATCCAATGCCGAGCGGCTGCTCGTAGGAAAATATCCCGCGGGAGTAAAAGGCGGTGGTCCCGCCCCAGAAGCGGTTTGCAGCTGGACTAGACTCATAAACTCACTTCGTCTGTTGGGATCGCTCAAAAATTCCCCTGAAAAAAAGCTGGTCGCTGTTTGGCACGTGTAGGCCTTTGCGCCGCGCCCGCACATGCATTGATGCTTCGCGTGTGTGAATAGGACAGCAACACCGAGGGCGCGCCCGTCGATTCTACCTGAGATGGGTGGCGGCCTTGCACTCAAAGTCGACGCAGAAGCCCCCTCCATGTGCTTATGATCAACCGCGTGTACCACGTTCTGGGCCTTCTCCAGTGCAGGCGATCCTTTCATTGGTTCCAATTCGCCTGGGGCTCGCTGGCACATGGCTGTCCTCGTTAACGCTGATGCTGGCATGGCAGAACCTACGCTGCTGGCCGAAGACAAAGCATTGGCGTCCACGACCACATCTTCTAGTCGCGCATTTGTTTCTACTTCTGGGAGTTGTTCGTGCTGACCTTGCTCCTGTGACGACGCAGTGCTCAGTGTATCGAGAACTACGCTAGAGTGCGCAGTAGATGTAGAGTCCCCACTTGATGTCGTTGTGGAACCGCAAGACGATGTTGTGCTTAAGGTTATTGGACTAGATGTCGAGAAAGCAGGCGGGGGTCTCACTAACTTGAGCGCGTTTGGATCTTTCCCTGTGGCGGTGTTGCTACAGGTGTCGGATGTCGCAGCAGATGTTCTTCTTTTTCTACAAGATTCGCCCACTCTGTTTAGGGTAAACGCACGCTCGATGCCCTGACCGATTTGCCTCGTCAACCGCTCTTGCACCTGCAATCGTCTCGAATATAAGTCGCATATCTTTGGGACCTTCGAGAGACCCAGAACTTTGCGGTTCGTGATGATTCCAACATGTACTTTGCCTGTGAACGGCAGCAGATGATGCTCACACAGCGACGAAACGTGGATGTCTGAGAGAACAACCATATCGTTCACACCAGAAGATTGCGGCAGGGGATTGTCGTCCTCGATTTCCACATCAAATAAAGCATCATTGACAACCTAGGGTGGGAAATAGGTGGAAAGTATGATAATTCCTCATCAAATTATTGATTTTAATGTAAAGTAAATCTTGCATATCATCAACATCCGTACCACATTATACTTCTACAAGCTAAAGATCAGGAAGCCCATTGTATTAAAAGTGAAATCAAATGAAAAAATACAGTCTCTAAATTTTGTCTGTAACCGGCTGTGAGTTCGAGCCACGATTTGGCTACACGCTCCGGCGTCTTTCGCAAGCCTTCCCGCTCAGGGTCTTCGCCTATCAGGCTCAGGAGTTCCTCTGTTAACTCCGCAATACGAGAAAGCTTCTCCTCCTCCTGTGTTAGATTCGTCTTGCTACACACAGGCGATGACTCCTTGTCCTTGCAGCTTGTTGCTGCAAAAGCGTAAGGCCTACAGTGTACATCTGCTGTTCGCGGTATCTGATCTTCTTGTTTCTGTTCTTGTCTGAGATCATGAGGCCTGGCTTCGTGTGACATAGCCTTTGCTAACCTATCTTGTCGACCCTCGTTCTTGCCCTCTTTGCAGGTTTGCGATGCCGGTGGAGCAGAGCTACTGCTTGATGACGTCGTCGGCGCGCTAACGCTGTTACCATCTCCCCGAAGAAACCTCAGGGAAGACGGCGGTCCTTCCTGTCCATGAGATTGAGCTTGCGCACGTTGGGACTCCATCAGGGCAATTGACGACACAGAGTCCGAAGGAGCTGACATGTTCATTCACTAATTTAATGTGTGATAGATTGATCATAGTACATAGATTGCCATTGCCTGAAAAAAAATTCGTAACCCTGTTTAGTACAACAACAAACATTGAAGAAGGCGGCACTAAAAAATCAACGAACAAAAAACTGAAAGTTAAGTTGATGTCACGCCACACGGCCACGACGCGTTGTTTACTTGCTGATTGACTATGGAAAACAACGATCGGGCACACAGTTTTTGAATATGAATACTGAGTCCATAAGTCACTACCTTTCGTTGACTAATCAAGTAAATGCATGTGAAAGTGGGAAGGAGAGACCACAAAAAAAGCAAGAAGGATTATGGTACAAGGACTGGCTGATGCTGAATAAACTACTTTTTGAAAGCTTGACTTCGTTTGAGAAGACCAGCAAAATGAAGTTGGAGATCACTGCACAATCGGGCTCTACCTCAATCAACCACAAGCAACACTCGTCTATCAACAATGCGACACATCATGGATCGGGTGGGATATAGACTTATCGAGAGTGCAGATCTTTTCTGTTTAGTACTGTAATCGTGCTCCACAAGGACGAGCGGCGGCATAACCGGACGGGACAGCCGCGATGGATCGTGCTATGCGTTTTCTGGGCTCCTACGGTCAGGAGAATATGTTCGAAGAAAGGCGAACTTACTTGTTACATCAACCTTAATAGTGCTCCACACACGGTATCAAAATAAAACACGCCCTATCTCAACACTCGTGCGGAAAAGGTTTCCTTGCGGCTGAACACAGTTCGGATGGAGACTAGATGGCAGCCATTTTGCACCTCCACTTATTTAACAGAGATTTGGCAGACGCCTTTACTGAATTTCCTGGTTAGTACGACGTACTATAACCTTACAAACTAGCTCATTTTCTTTGAAGTGCGAGTGCGGCGCCAGTGAATGACATTGGTGTGCCAGTCTTTGTTGGACTTGGGCATGCGCATGGGTGTGTACGTGCATGCAACGATAACAGAATTCAAATTAGCAGTTTATGCGCTCCTTTCTTGAGCGGCTTGAGGAAGTATTTGAATGTGTTATATGAATGTGAACGTACTGTTGAAATGAAAGGAAGTCCTGCGACTTTAATATTGTGGTCGTCTGCTCTACCTCTTCGGATTTCTAATTCCGATCATGTGCTTTGTAAGATTGGAGTAAAGTTGAAGTTTTCCTGAATGTACAATTCGATGAAGAAACTCGATGAAGATTCCGAGAAGACATGGCCCAGTAGATATTTATGGGAAAACTTTCCAACACACAGAATTTGTCGTAGCATACAAACATGATCGGGATGATTTTTTACAAGATACAATTTTCGGTCTCGGTCAACTTTTCAGCGGCCATGCTTCTGCAGAATATCTATCGGGCTCCGATGAGAATGAATTTTTGTTGCGTACACCATCAGCGGGTCCATGATTAGAGGGTAGGGGAAGATCAACAGCCGGAGCCGCAAATGGAGTATATCATGTTCAGAAGTAGTAGAGTGGTGTTCTTGTACGTGTACTTGGATCTCCACCGCAACTACAACAACGTTCTGCGAAATGTTCATGATGTTGGAATTTGTAGTAAACGCTAGCGCGGACCAAGAAAAATGAAATTCAAGCTCAATGCAACCACAAGTGTCGTGACCATCCTCAAACACACTTTGTTAATACAGTAGATCTTGTATCGTTCAAAAATATTTTAAGATTCATTATCATAACTCTTCGTCGGTGTACGAGAGTCACGTTGTGCCATGAGTGCCGCCCGGTCGATCAGAGCGCCCGTTGCGAGGGCGTCCTGAACGCATTGTGGAAGATCAGCAACCTCCATTTTGCTCAATGACGATTCATCCAGGAATGACATCCTGCCAAAGAGGGCGCCTTAAGTTAGACGATAAGTAGTTGTACATCTAACTTCTTCTCCAGTGAACAAGATTAAACCCAGATTGATTGATAAATTAATTATATTAGACTGTAGTACCTACTACAGCTTGTCCGACCTTCAGTAGTCGTGGATACATGAGGAACAATCTTCATCTTGATCCGATATATAGTTCTACTGATCCAAATCGAAGCCCAGATTGCTTGTAAAACGAAAATAACCAGTGAGAAGTCGTAGTCCAGCTCCAGCACTAGAATGTTGCGTTTGACAATAGATCATGGGAGACCATGTCGTGTACGACTACGAGGTTCGATTGCTCCTCAGGGATAACGGGGACGGATACATGCTCTTGCTAAGCACTTTTCAGAAGTTGTACCTGCTTCTAGTCTTACGCAGAAGACGTGTCCTTAAATCTACACTTTGGAGAGCATTTTGGTTTTTCTCGGACACGGCCTGGCGCTTCTTTTCCGCTTCTTGTTTGCGCAAGTCCTTCTCCTCCTCGTTCTGCAGGGCTTGCGCCTCTGCTGCGGCTCGCTGTTGCAGCCCATCCGCGAAATTGATGACGCAAACAAAGCGATACTCATAGTGACCGTGGCAGCCGACTCCAACATACCCAAAATTCTCCGACAGAAGGCACTGGAGTTGAGAAGTAACGACTACTAAAAACAAGAACGAAGAGATGCGGCAGGAGCGAGAAGTAACTGTCTACAATGAAAGTGAAACAAAGAATGGCTGATATAGGAGAAGCAACTCTTTCTCCTACTGCACCAACAGTGATTTCCTGGTGCTACAAGAATTCAACAATTTCTAGCCACAACGACAGGTGGTGGTGGAGGTACTCCAAAAAGAGAACATGCATAGTCAGCGATAATACCTGTCGGTTTCCTCTCGATGGAATACCATCGTCAACCAGTAGCTGCTTGACTATAGCGTCCCCGCTGCTCTCTGCATAGCTGATGCACTCTGCGTAGCACCCTGTCCACATATCGAAGCTATCGATTCGGGATGAGGCCGTACTCCTGAGACCAGTAACATGGTTCATAGATAACAAATTTCTTGTTGCACCTGTTGCCTCGATGGAATTTCTTCTGGTGTTAAGGTTCTTAAGATAACAATGCAAGCATTAGTTACTACTGGTACTGAGAAAGAATACAGCCGCCAATCAGGAGCTCTTGTTCCTCATATTGCCAATTAGGAGGAGCTCTTGTTCCTCATATTATGATTAACCATAACCTTAAGAGTAACACAAAAAAAAAACATATATTACCTGTGCGACTCGTCGTTTTGCTTCATGAGCTCGCGACTACTTCTATGGCCCTGAATAGCTTTAGTTCCGATATCCACCGCGTGCTCTCTGGCTGCTTTTGCAAGACTGTTGTCCGACTCTAATACTCGCGCTGCGCCAGTTGATACTCCTGCTTTGTTAGAGCTGGCTTTCAAGAAAACTAAAACGCTATCACGCGCCAATTACATCTCCAATGCTTATACTGGTGTACTTGTATCATTAAGCCTCCTAGATGAATAAGAAAAAACAATTTCTTTTTACACTTAAGTACTACTAGTGTCAGGCATCGCTTTTGCTACACCTAGAACTACAAGGTAGCGATTTCGTTTAGGGTCAACATCTGATGATGTCAATGTCTTTTTCTCCACCAGACATAACACTCGTTTTTCCCGTTGATGGACGATTCGCAAGTGCTCGCAGTACCTCGATTGGTACTCCTGGCACGCGCTGCGGATTTTTCTTCTCTTGGAGGATTCCTAACAGCTCGAGATGATCGGGCTCGAGTGGTGACAAGTTTAGCATTTCTGCGTAGCTCTTGCCTGTGAGCGACATTAGGTACTCATCGAGTGCATGAATGGCTTCGAGGACTGCGTCCTGACCTTCGGTCGTCAAGATTGCCTTGTTCGAAGCCGGATGCCGCAACACAAAAAATTAGAAGCTAGGATCAACAAGAGAATATTACGTTAAATTCACTCTTTGACTTTCTACTCGTCCGCGCAACTCAAATTCATCTTTATCACTTCTACTTCTGCTTCATTATACGATCAACCATAAAGTTTTTCGTCGAAGTAATGCAGATCGTCAAGCAGCAGTTTTATGAAGAACTGCGGCTGCGTCCGCAGTTTTTGTATACTTGCAATGACGTCCTCTTCCAAAACCTCGAAAGCGGATTTCAATTTGACTCCTTCGTCGGCACCGCTAGAGAGAATGAAAGCTCACACAAATGTGGAAGTGGATGGAAAATTACTAGAACTATATTTCGTAATCGTTGAACTTGTACTGTGTATCATACCAAGAACCTCCAAGGAAGAAGATAAAAATCGCTTGCGACGACCATGACCTGAAACGATCATTTTCTGGAGAACCTTCTTGGTGGGTCAATCAATGCCCCAGAAAAAGCAACAGAAACAAAACAAACTCCTGCAGCAGGAGCCATAAACATAAAACCGGTTTTATCCACAGCATTCTTGTCAGCGGCACCGCGAGCTCGATCCAGGACGATTTCCTGGGCCTTGGAGAAAACTCGGTCAATCGTGAGCAATTGAGGTCGCTTGAGGCCGTATTTACTCCCGCTCATGAAGCCCGCCATTTCGTATTCGTTTTGTTTTAGTTTCCTTGGTGCGCAAAAGTAAGTAGTTTCGGTTCCCTTTTTCTTGGGCGATAATCTTCGATGTGCTGGTTAATGAGCAATTCCGGTTTCGCCGATGTGCTGACGCTCTGTTGGGGATACTCTAAAATTTACGTTGATTTGGTGTTGGAAAGCGTCAGCACCAGATGTCTTTCAGACTTTCTTCTACTGCAAGTAGTATAATTTCCTACAATCGATCCGTGCGTAACCGTAACTAATCTAAGTCTAAGTTAAGAGGTTGTAAGTATGAGCGTAGAAACTGAAGAAATGATGGTCATAAGGGTTCGAGAGTAGTAAAATCTGTATGAACAGCAAGTAGAGCTCCTGTGAGGTAACAGAAAATTTCAGAATCCCTCTACATCCAGGGTATTTACCGTGCGTTACCAGGGAAGAGCGTCCAGTGGGAAGATTTGGGTATCTTCGTGAGCGCGCAACTGTCGACAGATGATCTGGATCATGCCGAACATAGTTCACACAAACACCGATTATATGGTTATGCGATCCTATCTCTACTCTAGACAAAGCCACGGCTCGGCTAGGAGAAGTAGGCAGATGTTTATGGTGGCAAGACCCTTTGTTGACAGAAGAGATTCAGATCGATTCAATTCGATCATGACCAGTTGCTTGATCTCCAAAATCTCACTGACGTCTCTTTAGATGGGTCCGATATTATATTACTTAATTTCAATCTGCACTGGTGCAGAGGCTATCTTGATGTTGGCTTCTCGCAACACAGATGATGGCAGTCACTACAAACCGACAGGAGATCGAACATACCAAATTCTGGTCGTAGACCAAGACTCACCAAGTTTTCGATATAGGAAGAGTCATACTTGGATTAACAAGCACGACTGGAGCTTTGTGCATGTCAAAAAAGCGACGGCCAAGCGACGAGGTCGATTTCAAGCTCAGAAGCGCGTCTGAAGGATCCTGTTGATACTTTTGCTGTTATTGAGCTTTTCGATAAACCAACCTTCCGTGAGAGTATGGAACGCCTTGACGGCGATGCTCCTGAAGGCACATCGATGTCAATCTCCATTTGTTTTCCTCCGCCAGCACTTTCAAAATCCCGGGATGCGCTCAGTAAGCGACAATTCGACGGCGCCGTCAGGAGTTCTGGCGAATCTCGACTTCGTGAAATAGGTGAAGGTGGATCGATGTGTTGAGAAGATGACTCGGAGACGGAATCAGGGGGTGGAGACCTAGAATCAATTTCGCCTTCTATATCAAAAGCTCGGCAACCAGGTTGTGCAGCACAGAAAGCAGCGCATAGAAGGTACGACCGATCTGCGGCATCTGTATGATGCGCCAGCGTCTCTGCGGTTATCTTGGGGTCTGCAGAATATGCAACGAGATGCTCGAAGAATTGACGTGCAGTGAGAGGAGTCTTGATCTCGCGAGTACCGGTGGTGGTGCTGGATGTGTCAGCACCAGCAGAGGTAGAAGTAGTAGAAGTTGTCCTCTCATCGCTCTTGTTCAGATAATTGGGACTCTCATCGGCATCCTTTCCCTGTTCTGCTGCAGCTCGTGCTCGTTGAGTCGGTTCATCAACATAGTACCAGCCCTTTGAAAGTTCCACCGTGAGGACGCGCTGAAGCTCCGCCTGAATAATGTCAGACCGAAAGTCGACGGGGTGATCTTCGCCATGACTGAAGTGGAGTGCTTGTTTTGCGCTATCAAGTTCCTTCAAACATAGCGCATGCGTAGCGAGATAGCGCAAGGACGTTCCACAGCGCCGCGTTGGAGGGATTCGCGCAAGAAGCTCAGTGACCCACGCTGCGAGCACATCCGGTTTGATGTTTGGAGAAATAGAAGCCTGCGTATGAGCAGGATCTGCCTCTTCGTTACCTCTACCTATATCTCTATCCTTTGCTGCGACAGCTACTTTCATTTCCTCATCCCGAATGTTCGACTTTTCTTCTTCCCCAAGCGCCATGACTTCGCACAGAAGTCGACCGACTCCTCGTATTATATGTGAGTCTTGGTGTCTAATCATCCACATCGCTGCATCGTGCACCAGCGTAGTGGTAGTTATATCCTGATCCGCTGAAGAAGAAGAAGAAGAAGAAGAAGAAGAAAATGCGGCTGAAGAGGAAAGCCTTCTCTTGCCGATCAAGATTATATGCCCAAACTTATCCGCAAGAAATTGGAGTGTTGGCGGCTTGCGAACGGAGATACTACTTGATGCAATGTCGAACCAAAGTGGCTCCCGAAAAAAGACTTCTGTCACATAGACACTATCCAATAGCAAGTGCAAGAGTGTGGAAGCCAACGCATGGGCGAAAGCTTGGCCGTCAGAATTTGTCTCGTCAAAGTCCTTCCGTACGCCCTGGCCCAGAGCTTCACCTGGTATGTCGATTTCTTTGAGCACAACAACCTCTTGACCACCATCGGTTGACCACTTGGCGTTTTCGTAACACATGTCTCCGAAGAGTCCAATGCCCATGTCGCGCATCAAAACTAAGAGGTCCGGATGATGTTCTTGATATTCGATGTTATCCAAGTCTACATATCGTACCCAGCTCTCTATACGCGTGAAAACTTGTACTTCTACTTGCTGTTGCTGTTCTTGTTTGTGATTTACCAATTGCTGCTTTGGGTGTTGTTCGGTACTTTTCAGTACGACGCTGGACGAAACAGGATTCCGATCCGCCTGTTCGTCAAGACTAGGCAGCTGTGACATGGTAGACGCAGACGATAAGAGATTGGTCAACCTCGTACCGCAGGATAATTCCACAAGTCCTAATTCTGCTTCGTCGTCTTTCTTCATTTTAGCGGTTGCTACCGAAGAAGAAAAGTTGTCGTTTTGATTGCGCCTCAGCTTCCGATCGCAATACGCATTTGCAAGTTCGGCAAGAATTATGGGGCTTCCGGTATCTTTGGTTGTTTTGTTGGAATCAGAACCTCTACTTCCTTCCGGCATCTTCGTTGATGAAGATAGATCTGCATTCTTGATTGTGTGAAAAATCTCTGTTTTCGCGGACTCTAGGACAGGCAAGTCCTGGCATTCTGCGTCGATCTTGAGGAAGCAGACGCCCTGATATTCAGGATCCGAAAACACGAATTGATGCAATAGTGCGGATAAGCTACTGATCGGCACTTTGTAATGTCGCGCAGAGTGTGGGTCTGGGCTTTTTTTGGCTGTTGATTTGTCACCAGTGACACTGTTAGTAGCTACCATTGAAGATGAATTAGAAGGATCAGAGTCAGCGGCTATCATTTTTTCGACCTGCAAGAATTCGTGTTGCTCCCAGGCATCGGGTCTCTGCATTTCGTCCTCTGTCAAGAGCATGTTGCCAGTATGTGCCCCACCCATGTCTCGGAACAGAAGATGCTGCACTTTCTTCTTTTGCAAACTGTCGTCAGACGATGTTCTTCTTCTTGCATGTTCATCTGCTTCTTCATCATCATCTCCTATTTCTCCCGATGGAGTAATAAGGCTATGATGTCCATCATCGATATTGGCCACTGCTTTCGGGACGACTCGAACGCGTCCACTGCGATCCAAGCCATTGATTTCCGCGGTTCTACGAATGTACCAGACAGCTCGTTTTGTTGGCTCGACGGCAAGAACCTTGTAGCCTTTGAGGGCGAGAGGAAGACTATACATGCCGACATTTGCTCCAACGTCGACGACGTAGTTGCAGGAAGAAGGAGGTTGTTCTTCATGTCCGAGCAGGTTCTTGCGTTCTCGCAGAAGCCCGTCGAAGTGCTGTGCCCCGATATAGTATCCAAACTTGTGGAAGCCGCCGGCGAGCTTGTTGAATTCCGGGTCGCTAAAATCCATGCACACGTAGTAGGGTTCCGGCTGTGAACGAGACAAAACTACAGCCGTGAATTCTGCTGGTGCCATGTCCGACATTGAAGACATTGACTCTGATGTCCCTAACGCTTCTCGGTCTACTTCGAGGGTCTGACTTTCATCTGTCACAGCCCGTTCCTCCTGTTGAAGAGTCCTCTTATTTGTCCAGCGAGTATCAGGGTTAAAAGTTTCGTATTGGCGCTCCAGTATTGCTGAAGCGTGATGTGTATCTTCGCAGACACTTTTCGCGAAATAAAGCGTTTGGATTTCATGCAGAATGAGAAAAACGAGCTTCCATACATTGTCCTGCAGTACAGCATCGCCGTAGATTTCGTCCACCACGTCGGAATTTCCTGGATCAGCCAAATAGTCTGATAGGTTGACGACCATGTTGGCGTTGCTGTGTTGAGAACCTTTAGTCTGGGACGTCTTTTTCGAGCTTGAGGTAGCTTTTCGCGACTCAGGAGCGACAATCCTAGTGGTCGTGGTGTTACCGTGACGCAAAGACAAGTCGTCTATGGTTTGTATGTGTCGATCAAAACGTTTCTTCGAGTAGCGCCACCTTATCGGACTGCTTCGATAATTTGTGCTGTCACCATAGCGTAACTTTAGTCTTCCTAACCGCCTCAGCGTTTTTCGCTCATACTCCTGGAGTGATATCAGCGCGTGCAAATTCGAAGTCGTTGGACTCGCTCTAGGTCGATTCTTCACCTTCGGAATCTTTGTTGCATCACCTGCGCCTGCAGTTGTGGTCGCGGTCTCGTCCTTGTTGTCCTCCGGCAAACGATCTGGATTCGATGTTGCAACACGAGCAAAAAAGTGGAAGTTTGGTTCTGAAACTTGGACTGCGCCGCTCTCAATTTCCCGGAAAACGTGCTGCCAATGGGCACCTTCCCCTCCAGAGGCGAAAATATACGGCGTCCGACTATGGGGAAGTGGGTCTCCGCGACTGGTGCGAAACCTCAGCCGCGACTCCTTTTCCTGCATTCCAGCAGCGCTCTCGAAATACAGCAGATGCTCGAACGTTCGCTGGAGAATCCGTAGGAACACACGAGGCAAAACAGAGCGAGCGTGCTGCAACCGCAAGCTTCTCGTATTTTTTTGTTGAGTTTGTTCTTGTTGAGCGGTTGTTATAAGTGGGTCGTGATGAGTTCCAGATCCACCATGTGCCTGTTCCTGATCCAACAAGCGTAATGCAGGAAATTTTTCTAGGAGAAAGAGCCACTCGAAAAGCTCTTGCAGCGCTGGATGATGAACCAGCAAGTCCGCTATCGCGATTGGACCTGCCAGCGATATTTCCTCGTCCGGCAAAACATCGCTTCCTCTTGTAGCAAACCCAATTTTCTTGCGCTTCCACTGCAGAGCTTCTTGCAAGAGGTCCTGGTGCAGCATCTCCCACGTTGGGGCCTTCGTTATCAAACCAAAAATCGGCCACGTAGAGCGCAGGAGACTGTCCGCAAGAAAGGTCATGCGTCTCGCCTGCCCGCGAGCGTTGTACAGTGAGGGTTCAACACCATTGCTCCTAAAAATGCATGAGCCGCTTTTTTTATTAGGCGCCGTGAGGAGTGAAATATTGCGCTTTTCGAAAAAGTCCAAGGCTGTCACCGCTTCAGATGGGCCCTTTTCCTGCAGTTTGCGACGCACGAAGTCTAACGGGGATTCTTTGACTGTCAGTCGTGAACTAGTTGACCTTGACTCACCTATATTGGTAGCCGCAGTATCGCTGGCGAAAACCGTGTCATCCTCGTAAAGCGGCACATCAGATTCATCGTTTATTACTGACGCAGAAGATACCGCTGCAGCTGCTTTCGCCTTCTCTTGCTCTTGTAGCCTTCTCTCCTCCTCATGATCCCTCCACGTTCCAGACTCTTCGTTTGCACCAAGTTCGAGTTCATGTTCATCATCCGAATCTTCGTCTTCAAGTACAACAGGTTTCGGTGGAAGCTTCGGATTGGTTCCCAGCAAGCCTCTGTCGTCCGCTAAACGGCGTATGCGCAGGACCGTTTCGAACATTACCTTGTCTAGCCGAACGAGGAACGCGCCAAACAGCCACTTTGCGTCATGTGAGCTGCTCAAGTGTCCAGTTGCGCGCGTCGTCGCAAAGGCGAGTTCGATATCCAGCGTCAAGAGTGAGACCAAATGCGCAAGTGCCTCTCCAAAGAGACATCCACCAGCGTCAACGGAGCCAGCAACGTAGTATCCACCGTGAGCGTTCACAATGTGGCCACTCATATAGGCGTACCGTGGACCAGGTTGGAAATAATCGCTGCGGAAAGAATCTATGCCAAAAAATTAGCGGCGGAAATAATAGGCGGCGGGGCCGGGGCCTCCATCCTCTACTTGCAACTGTAAGAAAATACGCTCACATGCAACCATTAGGGAGTACGAACTTAAAAAGTAGCCATCATGGTTGAAAATCATTCTCAATGATTGACTCCCAGTCCGGAGAGCATAGAGAATAATTATCGTGTGAATTGCAGTACAGACGAGAAGGAGAAGAGCAGCAGCGGCAACGGCATCATCATCATCATCAAGGGTCTGTAATATCAGTATGCAGTATTCACATAGGGGAAGCGCCTGCTTGCTTAGCTTGCAAGTCCGCCTTCTTGAGCGGAGCCGACGCGGTATGCATTCAACGACTTCTGGAGGATGCGATAGATCGTCTCAACCTTCATATCGACACTATGCACCAGTGGGGGCAAATCAAAGATGAGAAGCCGCCGGATTGCCTCGCGCAAAGTAAAATGCGACGTCGCAAACTGCTGACAGAACGGGTCGTGATAGGTTGTATGCTGGCGGTGGTCACTGGATTCGGATTGTCCAATCGGACTTCTTCCATCGCTGGTAGACGTCATTTTCGAAGACGCTCCCTCAGCCGCAATACTGCTCGTCTCTTCTGGCCTCCTTCTCCTACCATGACGCTTATTCGTGATCGCAGCTAGATTTCTAGCTGCAAGTTCGCGTATCCGCGCTGTTGCCTCGACATGGGGATCCAAAAGGGGTAGACTTTCACGAAACATATCCAGAGCGATGACGCGCACATCCGCAGTTGTGTTGGTAGCAACCGTCGTGCTTTCACCGTGTGCACCAGTGTGCTGACCGAGCACAGTCGCGAGGACGGCAGACAGAATAACGATCAACAAGTGGATTACTCGTGCAACAACTGGAACGTAGGACATTCTAGAATGTAAGATCCCACCAGTCGCGCCAACATCCCGCGCCGCTTGTGCGACAGGAATTCGCCACGACCGAGGTATCCAGGAGGAAATGAGCATCTTCCCTGACAAAAGGAAAGTGCCACTACATCCTTTCACGTCATAAACGCAAAGCAGAAAATTGCAAACAAAAAGATCATCAGACAATAAAAAACTACTTAGCTCTCTGAAGCTCATCCAGCATGCTTGGGAAAGGTCTTCTCTCAGATTTCCACAGTTCTCTAAATTTCCATACAAACGCGCCTTTGATTTTGGTTCAAAAAAGCTGTAACGATAAGGAATTGAAACAGAAAATACAACTACCTCAACAGATGGAGCAGCCTCGTTCCGGTCGAGGTGTTTTATGTGCTTACGGACACGCACATATCAGGTATGCGATACAACAAGGTTTTCGAGGGCAGGAATTGTGAGGACAGTCGTGATACGAGAGATCATCAATTGGTATTGGGGTTCATTACAGGCTTTCAAATTAAGTGTCGCTGTTGTCAAATTATCATGTTGACTTTTTGTAAACCATGTTGGGATCCTCAGAATTCAACGATGTTGACGGTGCGCCAGTGGTATTGGAGCCTTGTTTTTCAAGTGTTAGTGTTATCTGAGTGTCATCCTTGACTGCTCGTATCCACAGAGGGAGTGCTATAACAGGTCCACTTTGCTTCAAGATGCGGTAGAAATCGCAGGAAGGGCACACAATATCCGAGAACTTGCCGATGTCGCCAATGTGGTGCGGCTTTTTCGGATGGTTGTGGCACGAATTGAATTTTCCAGCAGCTCGTGATGCTTCTTGTGCTACAGTGTCTGATTTCTCGTCAGTTGTTGCGCTTGCGTTCTTAGCATCAGGCTTTAACTTGTTGAGGAGATTTGGTATGGCGCCAACATCGCCTCGTCCATCTTTGCTCTCATCAGGCACGATCATCTGATTCTTTGCTCCGCCTTTGCCTTGACCCTTGGTTTTTCCCTTCTTACCTTTTTTACTGGTTTTTTCCTGTTTTTTGCTTCCTGTGCTAAAATCGTCTAGACTCATATCCAGCAACTTCCGCTTACGCTCTGCTGCGGCATCTACTTCCGTCGCAGCAGACCCTCCTCCCGCTTGTACTCCAGATTGTTGAGGCCCAGATGCATTACCACGACTACGGCTGCTAGGGCTAAAAGACGTACTAGTACTTCTAGCAGGCTCCTTGTTCAAGGTACATCTCTCGTTCTCTGGAGCAGACAGTGTGAGCTTTGTCATTTCTGCCACTAATTTACGATCAGCTGTCTCCACACCGTCTTTTTGATGTCCGCCAGGATTTGAGGTTGCTGACGTCGAGGAGGAGGACGACAAGCTACCGGCACTTGTTTGCTCCAACGTGCGAAATCCATCCTCGAGGATCTCCTTTGCCAGCTCGCGGAATGTGAGGCCGTTTAGAGCAACGATGCGATCACCGACAGAAGCATCATCGAGCTGACTTTTCGCATTGAACTTCTTGGACGAAAAAGCAACCTTGGCCACTTCCGTGACCACAAAGTGAGACGGTAGCGTATCAATAAGTCCAAGTCCACACTGTTGATCCTGGTTTCGGCCCGAAGAGCCTGCTGCTCCTGCTGCTGCTACACCTGTCGTGCCTGTCGTGCTACTTCTGCTCTGTGATGTTGAACTAGAAGAAGAGAGCCCTTCGATACGTACACCTGTACTAGTATTTGTTGGCAAACCAAAACTGACACCACCGCGCCAGCCCTGCGGAAGGGTGACGTCGACTCTGTCACCCATGGCGAATAGTGATGAAGTAGATGGTGCACCGTACTTTGTCGTCGTGTGAATTTGAAGAGATGACCTCCTGGTCCTTCTCGTTTTTATCTTTTTGCACGCATTTTTACTCTTAGATACCAGGCCGAGCTTGAGACTCTTTCGCAGTTGAGAACGAGGTGTAAGGCCAAAATGGAAACGAAATAGAAAACGGAAAAGGCGACTATGAGTGGTCTTATGCAGAAGCAAGTACCTAGTAGAAAGAGGCACAGTCATCTTGTTCTGCAGTCACGACCAAGTAGAAGAAGTCCTGTATACAAAATGAGTAATTCAAATTTATTTTGTAAGCCTAAGCCTAAGCCTATGCTGACAACATTCTGTTCAAAGTGAAAAGTCTTCTTCACGCCCATTAGGTCTCTCCTCCTTGCCTCCGATCAATTGCCGACCTGAAGAAGTTAGAGCCCAGAATCATGAAGATGAATTTGTACTCAACAGCCCTACGTAGGCGCTATTATACGAAAATAATGGAATGGGGATGCGGATGTGAAGTGGGAAACTGCGCTGTATCATTTACTAATCAGTGATGCCGGATGTTAGTCTCACGATTTTCGGGAGTTTTTCCAGCTGCATGAAGTAGGAGATGGATCATTGGAAAATCCCTTGGATGATCTACCTCTATGAATGATCGAGGAAAAAGGATCTTCTTGGCCCCTGCTCAGGGATTGCTACTAAACAGCAAAGAAGGAAACGATAAAGGAATCACTACGGTGATCGTGATCCTTGTGTTAGTTCTCCGACGCAAGTCAATGTGGATCCGAGCTATAAATTCAAAAAGAACCTTTCGTTACCTCATCATCGTGGAACACAACACTTACGTTTCGACAATGACGTCGGTCCCGATGAATGCAAGCTGATGCAGACGAGAGATCCTAGAAGGTAGTCCTTCTCGTTCTCCTTCAAAACCTTCTAGTGGTTCACTCCTGGAGGTACGGATTGAGGCGTGTCTGAAAAGGTACGGAAGGAATGCAAAGGGTTTCTCATGGTTGGTCACAGAGGTCAACACAGTTGTGACGACGACCTGCTGGCGCAGTATATTTTTGATGTTTTTAGAGGAGATGATGATAATCCTATGACCTATGTTGATGTGGGTTGAGTGTGAGGATGTGCTAGTTCTTGAGAGCTAGATCTAGATGATAAAACCAACTAAGGCACATGACTACCATGTCCACATGCTAACATATCAACGAAAATGCTCCAGCAATGCCAGTGCGTCTCCCGTCGTCTTTTACTGAAATAGCACCATGCTGCTACCGGATGATCCGCCCTGTCCCTGAGCTTGTCTTTATGTTTATTGAATTTTTCGATCCAATTCGTTCGTGGTCGTTCTCGTTGGAAACTCAGCCGAGTTACAACCCGATTTGTTTAATGAGGTTTTCTTCCACAATCACTCATTTCGTCTGTCGACACTGTCAAAGTAACTCGCCGAGATATCCAATTGTAAAGGGCCTCCATTCGGTAGAACGAGCGTCCCTGCACAAACGACATAATGTTGGGGTGTCTGGTCTACAAAAGACGATGAACAAACCAAGTCAGAGAATTAACGTTCAAATCTGTGAATGATCGGTTGTGCCCACCAATGAAGATTTATCGCATTGCATACCGTTGGCCTACGGGCATCACGGCGTTACCGTCAAGAGTCTTCTGGACAACACGGCCTACATGTGAAATGTTCCCTGCTTTGAGATTTCGTCTCAAGCCATTTCCTAAACTGCGATTTAGGGGGCACTCATAGCAGCGTTCCTTTCTGGGACACATGGCTGTGAATGGTTCAAGTATCACCTTGTCAGTTTATGCAATTTCTCGGCCAGTCTATGACCGTCGCAGGAAATGTTTCGTCTTGCCGATGACTGTGTATAGTCATTTGAGACGCAATGAATGGATGAACGATGATGCATTGATGTTATGGAGATTGTGACGAGAAAATTAGAGATTGTGACATACATGGTTGGGACAACGATTTCAAGATCTTCTCGCTGAATAGATGAACCAACCACAACATAATATAGAGGAGAGACGTTGTCCGTCGTTGTCCCTGATCTTTGAGCAAGTACAGCACCAAGAGGTCGTGGGCTACAGCTGTATTGTGCTCTCTCACGCTCATCGCTCGTTCATCGAAGCAGAAGAGGCGAGGTTAAAAGAAGAGAAAGTGAACTAGTTATTAATTTAGCTAAACACGGGATGCTTCAGCCCCTGGCGTCCCACCTTCCAGCTCCGATTGGCGAAAGGAGACAAGGGGAGGTAGGTGCTCGCACCAGCTCTAGTTCGCCTGTTCTAACAAGTCCAAGGGTACCGGTTCACCATGCTAGAACCTAGAGCTGGCCGCATCAACGAAAGTTAAAGGCATTGATGGCCCAACGCGAGCCAGGGCCACGACTAGATGAACCAACCACAACATAATAAACATAGTAGAGGAAATAGAGAAGCAAGAAGTTAATGCCTCATTTGACATGATCTTTTTTATAAAGTTTTAAGATCAACATCAGCCATATCAATAGCTTCTAGGCAATATGCTACTGCAACGTCGGACCTGGGGGTGGGCGGTGCGTGGGATTGCTATTGACTCGATGAGTACAGAACAAAGACACTACAAGTGGATCTCGGTAAAAGTTCATTCGTCGGGTCATGTTTTTCTCATAGCCGACACGCGACTTTGACTTTCGGTGGCATCTTAGCAATAGTATGGTGGATCTCCTTTTCATGCTTCGCGGAGGAGGAGCAGGAGGCGTCGTGTCATCATAGAGCATTAGAATTAGTGCTCATTTCAACTATCTAATGATGTACGTTCCTAGAAGATGAAGCAATGGATCATATGTTCGATGCCCATGGATCAGTCACACTTTCTTTATTCCTCTGTCTAGGAAACGCCGCACGATCATCATTCAACGCAAAAGCTATCCACCTCCGCGCACCAACACCAGGTCACAACTCCAGGCAATATGCTTAGTTTGCTCTACAAGTAGAAAAAAGCTAAAAGCGCATCCATGTGTAGAAATATTCAACGCTTACCAAAGAAAATGGAATGATAATTGGTCTTATCTTCTACACACACACCGGCTTGTCTTCAATCTTAAAAATCCCTGTCAGCTTAGTTTTCCTCCTACTCGTTTCGCATTTTCACCTTTTAGCGATTATGATTTTCTTCTCTGCGCGGTGTAAGGACGTGGCTAGGTAGTACGACTGAGTTGCGTTGAGTATATATTACAGACCTATTATGGTCATATGCTTTCATGATTTCCTACCCTCCTCAGAAAAGAAACAAATAAGCGGGCCAATCCTTCCAAAATGCAGCATTACAGAGGTCAAGAGCAGCAGGAGAACCCGGCCTACAAGAAATAGACAACTTCAATCACTACTAGTACTTCAAACATTTTCATTTTTATGTATCTCATGTTTTAGCGATCTACTTGATATATTCGCCTCGTCGTGTAGGTGGACTAGCTGCACCTCCTGTTCCGTATGTCCTACAATATCAAAATAAGTACCTTCATCTTCCTGTAGCTTCCTATTTATTCTAAGGATCTAAGTTATCGCTTTCATCTTCTCTTTCGCACCTATTCTAAGTTTTGTACCTTCCTTGATTTCTCATGGCCATTTTAGTTATGAAGATTGTTAGAAGTCGTTGTACATCGTCATCTTCCTCTTTACGCTGTTGTCTCCCCGAAAACGATTTGTCGGACTCTAAGCTCCGTATCGACGCCGGCCGCTCGAACCAACTGCGCAAAGTTGGAACTTTCGTCGCTCAGCAGCTCTTGAGGCGATCCAAATTCGAGTTTCGTCCCACGCTCCAGAAACAACACCTTGTCATAATCAGCGACTGTTTCGAGTCGGTGCGCAATGGTGAGCACACAACATGGAGGCAGCACTTGTGTGGTAGAGGCAGACTTTGCGCCGGCTCCCGCGACGCCCTGGCCGTGATCGCCACCTCGTCCCTCAGTCATGTGGTCAGCTTGATTGTTTTCCTCGTCTTTCTTCAAAGCCGCTTCTTCTGCGCGGTCTTTTTGCGTTTGGAGCCAATCGCGGATTGCTTTCTGCACCTTCGCGTCAGTCTCCAAGTCGAGGCTCGCGGTAGCTTCGTCACACACCAGCATCTCCGGAGCGCGCAAGACCACACGCGCGAGACAGACGAGCTGGCGTTCGCCCATTGACAGATTGGCTCCTCCCGCTTCGATCTGAAAGTCCAGAGGATATTTCAGTCCAAACTTCACGTCTTCCTCGGTTAAGCCGTTGCCATGAGGATCCTCATCTGCCTTGACAGTGTCCTCATCTTCAACATCATTTCCAGCTTCTTCTTTGATGTCTTCTTCACTGCCGTCGTCAGACTCAACTTCATCCTCATCTTGGGTAATGGTTAGACAGGACATGCTCAGGGCACGTCGACACTCTTCATCCGAAAACTCTTCAAAGGGATCGATGTTGTAGCGCAACGAGCCGACGAATAGTAGGGGCTCCTGAGAAATGATCCCAACCCGGCGTCGGCTGACATCAACCGGCTGCGGCGCCAAAAGGCTCACACCATTGAGTCGCGCGTCACCCATAATTTCCTCCGCGAGATTGAAGATCGCCACCGCCACCGACGATTTGCCCGCTCCAGTACGCCCCACGACCGCGCAGCGCTCTCCCGGCGCCAACGAGAATTTGAGATCGCGCAGGACGAAGTTGGGCAGGGCTTTGCGATACTTCATCGATACATTGTCAAGGACTAATCCTTGTTCGTGCGCATAGGGGTTTGCGTTTGCATTCCCTCTTATAAGTTGTTGTGGGTCTTCTTCTTCAAAGACGCTGCTGCTTTTTCGTCGTGCGGCTAAGCCACTTGCGGTAAGGAAATTTCTGCTACGCCCAATTTCCAGGTCGATCTCGAGGTCTGCATCAGAATTGGCTTCGTCAGGATCTTCCTGTTTGACGTGAGCACCATCTTTGCCAGGCAGAAGCAGAGCATCGCTTTCTTTACCAAGGTCGTGATCTGTCACGGCTTGCTGTTTGTCTTGATTTTCAGGCTTCTTCTTAGGATCGTCGTCGAAAAAGTGCTCAAGCTCGCAGTGCTCGCCGTCACGAGGCACAAAAGCAGGCCCCGCTCGATGTAAAAGCAGCACTGAAGCAAGGCTACGAGATGTCTGGGCGTAAAAAAGGTAGCAGTACAGCGTTGCCTCACCGAAGTTTGTCAGCCACCCAAGCGCACTTGCAGTCGTAGCCGGGTCGAGAGAGGCGGCTTGCCAGACGCCTTGCGACCTTCGCGGCATCGATAGACAAAGAATGAGTACCCAGCCCCACGCGAGGCCGGAGAGCAGCTCGAGACGCACCTGAAGCCATCGGGAAGCCTGTGCGGCCGCGAGAGAGACCCGCGTCTGTCGATTCAGGAAAAAACAACACAGAGACAAGTAGACACGCGACCGGCCGAGGGGACGAATTGTGGTCAATCCCGAAGATACTTCCGTCAAGAGAGACAGAAAGTCACCTTCATTGTCGAGGCTCTGGATATCTACCTGCAAAGCGCCTGCGGGACGCAGGCAAAACCAGGCTGGAAGCAAGAATAGAACGACCACAAAAGGCAGGAACCACGGCCACAGCGACAGCGACAGATAGCCAACTGCGCAGACGATCCAAAATGCGTAAATAATAAACGGGAAGAAGTGAAGCGGCAAACGACTATCGGTCTGTTCGACGTCGAAGGTCAGCCGATGCAATAACGTTCCTAAACTTGTGGTTTCGAGCCAGTACATCGGCGCGCGCAGGACTGCAAGAAAGCTCTGCGAAAACATGCGACGACTGCTGATCACGGCCAGGCGCGGAAACAGTAATCGAACACCCGCTTTGGCAAGCTGCGACAGAAACAGAGCGACCAAGAAGAAGACGAACCACCATCGCTTTCGATCCGTGACCACCGAGTTAGCCCATTTGACCTGCCCTACGTTTGAGACGAAGTCGAAGCCGCGCTCCATGATCCCGAAGCCCAGCCAGAGCAAAAAAGGAACGTAGAGTCTTACAGAAAATACCGTACGTGTGACGGACGAGGAAAACGTCGAAGAAGTAGCAGCAGCTTGTTGCTTGGCTGCGGTCTCTGCTACAGCGTCATCCTCTTCGTCTGCTTTCTCGTGAACCAACTCCATTTTCAGTCGGTCAGCAGCGCGACTCATGTTGGCGATGTAGACTTTCCACGGTTCTAGCTTGTCTTCGGTTGGAGGAGGCTTGACTTTTCTCCTCGGAGAGGAAGCTACGACGACAGCCCGCTTGTTCGCTTGTTCAGCTTCTTTTGCAACAGTAGCATCCTCTACCTGCTCAATTTTGGTTTCATGCACACCGGAAGTGCTTATTTTCTGCGAAGCCGTTTTCTTCATTACCGTGCTTCGGCCGCTCGCGTTACTGTCTCTGCTTACACGGCGCTTGCTTCTGCCTCTTGCTTCTAGAACTCCTGCACCGGACGCGTATTTCCCCGACCCATCTGCGCCTCCCTGTGCGCCATCATCCTCGTCTGGCGCGTGCTCCACAGTGCCAGACTCGTTCCATTCACGGGGAATGGCATCCGCACCAAAAGCGGTGGCGAGGAGCACCGCGACATCTTGCTGCTGCTCTGCAGGAGAGGCTCCGAACGGCGAAGGAGCGTTTTCATCGTCCTGTTGCTCTACAATGGCAGCTAGACCCTCCATCAATCGCGTTTCAACGTCGTATTGAGCAGGCTCCTGCTGGTGCTCTTGGTAGGACAGCGCTCGTTCCAGCGTCTCTGCTCCCCTCTGCGCCGGAGTACGGGGACTAACAGGAGTATCTTGTTCCTGCTCTTTGTAAGCAAGTGTTGAGCCGGCTGGTCTGAGACTGCGGAAGTGTGCAGGTGAGCCCACGGTATTTTCTTCCTCATTCGCATCAGCTGTTGTTTGCATGTTCGCCTCTGCAAAAAGCGACGGCCCTCCCCCTAACAAGGTTGGTGGCGACTGTCCAGCGTGCTGGGCAAATAGACCCACGCCGTCAACACCTCCCAGGCCGCCTTGACCTTGGCCAAGGAGCGTATGCAAAAGCATCGAGGAATTCGACAAAGCCAGCTCGCCTGGCAGCAGACTGTTGAATAACGGCGCCAGCTGTTCACCGATTTGAGCCTGCGACGTATCGGCCGTCTGCTGTTCGGCATCAGCCACAGTGTTCACACGCGTAAGGAACTGTTTAGCTTCGTCATCGTCCTCGGACAAGTCGCCACCGTCATCGTCTGGAGCTTCTGTGCCGTCAAGGTCAAGTTCCGTAGGTTGGAATTGGGCCTCGGCGTCATCCTCCTCGTCCTCCTCGTCGACACCAAACAAGCCGTCAAGCGCAGCGCGAGTGCGTCGTGGCCTTCCAGGTCCTGCGCCCTGCAAGTTGAGCACATGTGCTAGAGAGTAGCTGTTCAATAACAAGGCCTCGTCGTCGCGCCGATCAGCACGATCCAGAATTTCCTCGACTACAACCGGAACTTGTGTAGTCGTCCCTTCTGTCGAACGAGTCTGATCAACCTCTCCAGTTGTTTTGTCAACCTGAAGGCCATGATCAATAGGAAGGCCCGTAGGAGAAGTGATTTGCTGCGCTGTGCCTTCGACCACCTGAGCGACAACGTGCTGGTCCTGTCGTGGTAGATCTCCACCCAACATGCCTGTACTAGTGACATTTGCGAAGGGTGGGCCAATTCCTTGAGTTTTCGTACCGCGGGATCTTAGGGCGGACCTCTCGATGATGCGGCCACTCGGCTGAATGTACAGCTTGCGCGGCAGAGCTTTCCCCGCTGCAGGGGCAGTCGAGTCGACGACCCAGTAGTCCTTGTTCGCGGCAAACACGTAGGTTTGGCTGGAGCTTTTCGCACCCGTCAAAAGGGCACAAATTTGGACTGCAGTCCGACTATCCAACGCAGCAAAAATGTCATCAAAGAGGAATAGGTCGGTATTTTCAAATTCGTACAATGCCCGCGCCAGGGCCACGCGCATCCGTTGGCCCCCACTCAGGTTGCCACCGCGCTCTCCAACCTGGGTGGCGTCCCCATGCGGAAACTGTAATTGCACGTCTGCCTCGAGTGCGCTCAATTTAAGGCACTTATCGTACTTCTCCGCGTCAAACTTACGGTAAAACAGCACGTTCTCGCGCACGCTACCCTGGAACAAGAAGGCGACCTGGGAAACAAAGCTCACACGCGGCGGAGCAGCCGGTGAGTGATGCATGGCCGCAGCAGCGTTTCGCGAGCCGCGCATGACGTCCGCTTCGCCTAACAGCGCTTGCAGAAAAGTGGTTTTCCCGCTCGCCACAGCACCAAAAATGACAACTGTATCTCCCACTTGAAGCTGATGCGACACCTCTCTCAGGCACACACGCCGATGCCAGCCCAAATCGCATTTCTTTAGTTTCACCAATGGCGTTGGAGTGCCCACAGTGGGTTTTCCTGTCTCAATGTCTACCAGATGCTCCGCCTTTTTTCGCGTTGTGCCAACAGTGTCTGAGGAAGAGGAACTAGCAGAGGTGTCTTGCAACTGGCGAACACCAGCTCCACTCCCGCCTTGCCCTCCTCCCGCAGCACTTGTGCCAGCAGTAGAGGTAGAAGATGTCGAAAAGTGATACTCCGCGTCCCGGTCTAAAAAGGCATGGACCTTGTTTAGGGCGTTGGTCAGCGCAAAGAGATTCTCGAACACGGTCCCCAACTGGATGATTGGAAAACTGATTTTGTAGACAAGCACGCTTGCTGTGAACGCGGCTGCCGTCGAAAGTTCTTGAGCTTTGGCGTTCCCGGTCGTCGCCGGTCCAGCATCGGACGATGGAGACGTGAAGAAGATGATGCACAGGTAGGTGAGGCTCGGCAAAATGCCGAGAGAAGAGAGTTTAGCGGCAAACGTCGCGAGCTCCTTTGTCAACAGCTTCAGTTCCAATTCTCGCACGGCCATGACCTTTCGGAGAAACGCTGCCTCCCAAGCGAAGAACTTGAGAACCTTGATTCCTCGAATCGCTTCCGCGGTGAGGAGTGCGCGAGAATCGGTGTGCTCGCTGCGTTGCTTGCGAAAGCCGCTTCCAAGTTTCGACAACAACAAGTTTACGCCTGTGCCGAGCGCGAGAAGTACAACGGCACCAATCGCAACTCCGGTTCCACGCGATGCGAGTTGGCTGTTTGCGTCTTCTTGCGGCGTGCGACCCGGAACCAAGATGCGAAAGAGCAAGACGGAAGCACCGACGACCAAGAGTGGCACATACCACACCAAGTGCAAGAACGGGGCAAAGTCGGTCCACGCGCTGCTTTCGCCTACAAGTTGCAGTACCTCCGCACTACCGCCCGCAAGGTAGTGGGACCGCAGTCGCAGCAATTTCGCGAAAATACGTGCACACAGCGAAACTTTCTTGCGCTGTCCGTAAATCGTCATCAATTGCAGACTCATCGCGCCGCTTATTGCAGCCACAATTACGGACGCAAGCACCATACCGCCGTAGCTCCAGTAGGTTCTGGTATGACAGTCGCGCTGAGCATCCTTCACGAGCAATGGCAGGAAGAGGAACTCTTGCTCACTGACGGGATCGCTTATCGCAGGAGTTGGAGCAATTCCGCCAAGTCCAGCATTGTTGTTGTTACCATTTGCAGGAGCTGGTGCTGGGGGTGCTCCTGGGCCAATGCGACCGTTTGTCGGAGCCACAACGTTCTTAACCGGGCCATTGACATTGTTCACACTTCCTCCTGGCGCTGCAACAAGGCTTCTCCCACACACGTCCATTGCCTGCACCATGTTGAAGAACGCGACGAAGAACAGAAGCACAGCAGCCAGTTGGACGAGCTGGTAGAACGCTGCCGCTACCAGGAGTGGCCAGCAACGCAACTGTAGAACTTCCGGATCATCCATATCGGGTTGAGGAAGACCCGGCTCCTCTCCCAGGCGACCTGCTTGTTCCTCATCACCAGTTTCGTCTTTAGTTGCGCCTTTCTCGAGATGAATCTCGTCTCCCTCATGATTTTCTGGCAAATCGGACAACTCGAGCGCACCACGCGGCTCCCCCTCTTCGTTCTCGCTACAACACGACGTCTTGCGACGAGGGCAGTAGAGCCGGCTCATGGCCGGAAACAAGAAATTCACATACCGCGACATGGCTTCTTTCAATCTGAAATCATTTTATTTAGGTCTAGGCACTTCGGTTCTTTAGGTAGTTAGCCTTATTCAATAGTGACGTGATCGCCGTTAAGAATCTGATGAAATTCAATAGATCCAGCCAGGGCATGGTCTTTTTCACCTTCGATTTATATTCAATGCATAGACCATCATCAGAATAGTCAAATTTTGATCACAGCATGCTACAAATACCAAAAGACTTTGCAAAGGACACAGTGAATCCCTACGAGAGAAAAATCAATGAATAGCCTTAGTCTTTTATGAGTAGTTGCAATAATTTTTTCGAAGTAAGTGCCCGTAGCTAACACTACTAGACGATCAATCGTCACACACACAATAAACGAGCCAAAACTATTCCGCCTTTTCCTCCAGTGGAGCTCCTGGCTGCCCTTCCTTCCGGCTAGACCAGGACTGACATAAAAATATTATGGTGACGAAGGCTATTTGGATGGAGTTTCTTTCAGGTTTTTTAAGTTGACAATGACTTCATTCTGCTAGTACATATGATAGGTGGTGTTCGATACCTATGGCTACATCGTCCATACAGGATAGTACAGACAAATTCATTTTTTCTTGCATCCGTGCCTATTGAATTCGTAACGAGTGATGTGTTGATCTCGTGGCTCATCATGCTTTTAATACCACGACAAGACAAATTTTCAGGGTGAGCGTGTTTGTAAAAAGACCGGCCCATACTGGAGGATAGTTAGATCCTCTTTATGTTTGTCGCTGCCGTACTGATAAATTCATTGGGATCTCATTCGAATTTATGATCTTTTTTCATTTATTCTATCCTGATCTTCACGTGTTGATGTTGTGGAGGTCAATATGTATATTGTAGGTTCTGATCATTTTCAAAGACAACCTTGTTAAACGTGAAACGAATTGATTCTTGATCTTGTTATTCCTTGACATGGCTGCAGCAGACGAGAACACGTAAAAGTAGATAGTTGCCACCTTGTGGACTTCTAGTGTGTTACATAGTCCTAACAACTGCAGAGCTTGGGGCATCCGCGGACTGGTAGTTTGTCCAACAAGTATGAGAAAATCCAGTCAAGAAGAAAGTAGAGGAAGTCCTCAATATAAAGACAACAAGTTGTCGGTTTGCGTGTTCGACTCATATCTCACTCTTCCGGTGGAAACACTCGCAGGAAGGACACCAGCGTGTCCAGGGTACTACAAAAGTAGTCAACTCAAGTTTAATACTTCACAATCAATATGAATATTTCAGATAATGATCGTCCTCCCCGGACATAAGACCAGGCATAGATTGAAATGATATAAAAAACTAGAGGGAATTGATCACCGTGAAATCAAAGCGGAAAGACGTGAAAATCGCCCTGACAGACGTGCTCGGTATAATCACGACTCACTCGAAGAAACAGGCATCAGAGTGAGGCAAGACGCTGCAGGATCGATCAGTACCTCTTCAGCATTAGGTGGTCAGTGCATCACAATGAGCCTTTCTTCTTATGATTTCGTAGTCACTCCTAACCCAAAAACAATACTCACTCCTACAGACCGCTTCCAAAGGCATGAGAATTATATTTTCTCTACCTTGCAATCTGTGTGGATTCCATGATCTTCTTGTAGTATATCTTTTTGATTGAAGAGCAGTACTGCTAGCGAATACAGCAACTCGACGCTTTCTCGCGAACTCTCAAAGACATGATGGTTCGGTAACCAGGAACGCAACATATCAGATATTAGTGAAGAGGGCCTAAGAAGACCAACGAGTCATGGTTGTGATACACAGGGGATAGGGTAGTAGAGAGTTGTCTCTCAATGTAGTTGAGGAGGTCGTAGGCGAAAGCGTGAGGACTTTGCCTGGTCATACATTCTATTCTTAGTTATATATAAATACATGTCATTGCTTCATCAGAATGACATCAGAATGACATCAGAATGACATCAGAATGACATTCCTCTTGTGTGTTTGCACAGCCCGTAGACCTGCCCACATATCACACAGCTCTTCTGACCTCTCGAGTTTTTGTGTCGCTTTACGACTTGTTTCGTCGCGTCCTCTGGCGGTTTCCAAATGTCTGGTATCTGCGTAGCAGAAACCAACTTCCCCTTCAGCGACGCCAAGATTTCCTGGAAAACAGTGTCCTCTCTTATCATTTGGTCTTGCTCCTGTATTATTTGTTCTTGTGACCCGGGCCCTGGTCGTGCTTCGCTTGGTGTCGTACATGGTATAGATGATCCCAGCTTAGCGATGTCGCTAGATGATGGCTTGGCGTCTGCTGGTGTCGTTTTCATGCTCATCATGCGTAACTGGTCTGCGAATGAGAGATTTGTGGCACTAATCATATCGGGTTTTGCAATTTCTCTACTAGCATCTTCGGGGACAAGCTTGTGCCTTTTGTTACTCGGTGATGTGGACTGAGCAGTTTGTTCAGCGCGACCACCGTTGTCCGTTTTTACTTTCGCAAAAGTAGCGCGAGCGTCGTCTTGTGAGGATAGAAAATCTAAGTCCCCTGAGATATACCAGAAACTTGCGAATGGAGCAGTTTTTGCTTTTTTCACCGCGTGCGCGTAGGAATACCGCTGCGACGGAATGAGATATTTCATATCGCGACACAAATTGGCATACCGCACGTAGACGTAGTTCGGAAGACATAAAAGAAAAAGCTTGTTTCGTCTTCGTAAATCTTTCTCCGTCTCGGTCGAGGTATCAGATCCAGAGGTAGCCTTGGAGCTCATACTAGCAGAAGGTGTGGTCATTGTTTGTAGTTCACCGCCAGGACCAGCAGCCGAAGATGTTCTTCCGCCAGCTACCTCAGCATCCGGACTAGATTTTGGACGGCATTTCTTTCGGCAAAAATCTAGGAGTTTGAGTAAATGGTCACCGGAATAAGGCGGGTTTGTGACTACGACATCAAAAGTGTCAAGCAACTGCTCTAGTTTTTCTGGATCGCGCCAAACAGAGTAGCAGTCCACGGGCTCGTTGTAGACGTCGTGGAAGCCTAGCGCTGCGAGATGGCCCTTCATCTGGCCCCGGCAATAGTAAGGATCGTAGATTCGCAACGCGCCTCTTCCTGGGAGCTTATGGTGCCGAATATACGCATCCAGAATAGGAGTCAGGTCCTCGTACGCTACACTGGGCGTTTCGCAGTGATCATCGGCAACTGTGTTTGCGAATCTCTTCAGCAGAATCATTGTAGACGTGTCTGGAGTGATCGATGAAGATGCAACACAATGATCATCAGTTCGCTTATTCGACGTCGTTTTCGCATGATCCACATGATTGTTCTTGTCCATGGGAATTTCGACGCCAGGCTTCACACGCGTTCTTGATTCCGGCACTGCTTCCTGATCCTTCTTTTGGTGCTTTCTTTTCATCGCTTTCTTTGACGCCTTTGCGGAGGATGTCTGCTTCCCGCTACTTTGGGCTTTCTGCACTGGGGCTACAGCCGCTGCTGCGGCAGCCGCAGCCTTTTTTCGGGCGCGTCGCTTGCTTGCAGTGCTCGCCATAGTGTTTTTTCAGGAATCAAGAGGCCTACTCCTAAAGGACACCAGAGCGGTGCTGCATATGTAGCATTTATTAATAGCTAAGTTCAAGTTGTGTGTAGTAAGTTCACGTTCAGTCTGTCATGTTTTATTACTAGACGCATCCGGGTATACTCCAACTAGAATAACATGGAACCCTGAAAAACGAAAGCGAGAGCGACAGCGAAAATTAGATACTTATCTTATCATGTCATTTTCAGGCTCAGCGTCCGAAAAAAACGTTAATAGAGAGCAAGTGTGATCCCGATCCACATCCAGAACAAATAATAGATCTACTCCTCAAGCAGACCTCAGCCTCACAATGATCTTCTGTCACAATGAACTTGCCTTTCGTGGTGAATACTTTTTACGTTTGGATCTGATCTTCGGATCTTCTAGCAAAGCACTGGTTTTGCTGAACCACGAGACCTAGAACTGGATGAAATTTGCTGGACCACTCTCGAGCTCGAATCCCAGACTGCATTCGAGAACAAAGAGTAAGAGCCCTCTCCTTGGTCATGCCTACTAATTGTAATTTTCCATCATCTACTCGAAGTACTTCGGAACATCCACGTGATGGTCATTACTTCGAGTACTGGAAAGAAAAACAAATAAGCAACTAACTTCTCAGATCCACAACATACATCACGTACAACAAGAAGTAAAATAAGGCGAGGTAGAAAAATTCATCAACGCCTTAGCTCTTCTTGCGTTTATAGTTTGTTGCAGAATTGTTCCAAGAGGCGACTCTCCGAGGCATGTTTATCAGACACGACTATCTCTGCTCAAGCAGGACGACACAACAAGTCTTTAGATTTGAAAGTATCGGTAACCAATGTCAGTTTGAGGACCAATGGATTAGAAGGTCGTATCTTCTTTAAGAAACTAGTACCAGTTGCAGTGCGGGCGTCGGAGATTTACAACAACGAAATTCGGGTACACTAGCAGTCGTATAGCTGAGAGACCCGCACGGCGGTACCCGACGTGCAGGCGTGTTGTTCAAGAAAGTAAGTAATTTGACTTTGACTTTGAGGACGTTGCGCTATTAGCATGCGCGCCCAAGGGCAAGGTCATTTTTTTGATTCCTGGAGGACTTTACCCTATTGGTTTGTCTGCGAAAAACAACGTATAAATCTGTGGGTTGTAAACGGCTGAAAGCTTGGCGCGTGACTTCATCCTCCGCAGTGATGTCGGCTCTATAGCCTTGTCTTCTTGAAAATTTGAATTCGATTGTCTGTACCTGCGGTATCCAAGAGGGATAATCGTGAGCGGTCTCGTCCGTCTTTGCGCCTGCAAAAGGCCAAGAGAAATGACTTCTTCTTGCAGAACGAGCAGTGGGATCAGCAGGGTCTTCAATCATATCCAGAGTATAGAGAACCATCGCTTCGTCGCTGGCAACAATTTTTTCGCCACTTTTCGGTGGGCCGTGGTAGTGGGAGTCGACAAGTCGCACGAAGTGTGAGCGATGGAATCTTGGTGAAGAGAGTCTGATAGGGCCTCGCGGATTTAGATTGATATCGCTGATCCCCAAAACTCCTAGGCTGGTCCACGCGGTCGTTGATACTCTACTCCTCTCATGCTCACGAGCTCCGCTAAGATCGGACACTGGTGCTTGCCAAAAGTCACTTGAAGTCTCGTTGTTGAGGCTGCAGCAGTCGTATTGTCCTCGTGCAAGAAAAGAAGAATTGTTGACATCATGTGCAACAGATGAGAGGCCGAAATGTTGCATGTAATTGCTGCATCTTTTCGCTGTAGGAAAAGCAGGCGAGAAGGAGCTACGGAATACCGCTACTTCCCAGGTGGGAGATCGAACAAGCACTTTTGCTAGCGCGGGCGCGGAAGGGGTTTTCAGCGCTGAACTGAACTTGAAATGTTGTGTCCCGCGAGCAGGAGCAGCTTTCGCGCATTTGTTGGATGCTGTGCTCGCTGCATTTTTCCTGCCTCTCGTTCCGTGTCTCTGATCTGCACGTCCTGCTGGGGCACACGATGGTGTAGCGAACGATACGGACATGGGCCGCGCCTGACAATGCGAAGCAGATGAGCCACCGGCCGATGAAGCCTCGATATCGTGCGCCGACCGCTTTCGGCTCTTGTGCTCAGAAGTCCCTGCCTGGAGCGCTCTCCTTTCAGTTGCACCTGTGCTGCGGTCACTCCGCTGTCTCACGAGCTGCGATGTATGTTCTCGTCCAGCTAGATGCTCTTGGCGCAGGATTCTTGATGCCTGTGCCGTACTGATATCGAAAATTGACAGAGTCAGAGGCCTCGTCGAGGCTCTCTCACGGTCGCGGGCATAGTGCAGGCGCTGGGCACCGTGTTCTAGCTTGATCAACAACTCTGGCAGGACGTGACTAATTAATTTCAGTCTGTCGTTGAATCGTGGTTCTTCCCATCGCTTTCTTTTACCCTTGAGCCAATTCTGATACACTATCAGCGCGAGGCGGTGCCTCTCTTCGACGTCGGAGAGGCTCCTAGTTCTAGGCGCCACTGCAGCAGGATTTGGCAGGTTTACCTTGTTTCGCTTTCCACGACCCACCTTTCGGTCTGAGTTATGGTTCTTGGAACCACTTTTAGTGCAGTCGCATTCGTAACATTCCTCCATGAGAATATCTTCATTATCTGAAGATGTACTGGCACTGGGGCTAGCTCTTTTTTCACGCTCCTGCAGTATTACAGATGACTGCCCTCTTTTTTTCGAAGAAATCTTTGAAGATCTGGTGATCGCAGTACTCCTACGATGTACCAACGATGGACAACAAGAAATCTGCCGCATAGGCTGGTCCTCGATCTCATCATGAAGAACAATACTTCCACGAAGAGGCGATGATGGACGAACAACATCCTGCATAGTGCCGCACGACTTCTTTGTATCTCCAACGTCCACATCATCGTCTTCGGTAGAAGTCTCAGGCGATGGCGATGCACCATCATGATTTCCCTGAGCAGCGGTAGGAGCAAGCATTGAACGCAAATTCGTGGGAACAAGTGACTCGGGCATCGCCTCCCTACTTGCCATCTTCCAGTGCATGTTGTCGACTACGCCAGAAGGAATGCCAGCGCGCGCAAAGTATCTCGGTAGTATACGCTGTAGCTGCTCAGCACGATCTCGTTCGTTCTCTTGTTCTAACCGCAATTTGTCCGCTGTGACAATGGCTCTCCTGTTGCCAAAAGGAGGCCCGCCAAGGAGAATAGAAGGCGCATTTGGACGAGGACCATCCGTGGTCGCGGCGGTAGCATCCATAAACACCCCAGTGGGATCCCGAGCAACCATCGCGACATGCGCAGCTAGAGGACGCAAGAAAAACTGTAGCAGTGATGGTGTTGGTGACGCCAGAATATTATAGTATGTGAAAGAAGTGCTCCTACATAAAATAAGTATAACACGATGTTGAAGAAAACCACTTATATATTATCAGGAGACATGTTTGCCTGCAGTTCCGTAATAATAAAATGGCTTCGCTTCACAAGATTCTGACACATCTGCCTGCGTCCGACATGCAAGCAAGCAGTTTGCAAATTCTATACAGCAACGACAGCAGCTTCTAATACTCAATGTCAATACTACGACTACAAATTTGTTAGATTACCTCAACATTTCCTCTGCTTCTGCAACTGCACAAGACTAAACGTAGAAGTAACACGACAGGTTCTCATCTAGGTGCAGATTTTTTTACTTGTTCTTACCTCTGCAACGCTGTTGACGCCTTGCTCTCTGTCCTGCCTTGCACTCCAAACTCGCATCTCTATCGCGTCCCCCGTTCTCGCGGCAGCCATCATCTGCTCTCGATCCTGCGGAAACAAGAAGCTGAAAACAACCTCGCCCAGCGCCCCTGTCGATAAGAAGGACCCTAGTGGACTAGCTTCGGCGCCATCATCATGCTCATGTTGGGTTTGGCGGCTTCGTGCGTCAACCGCGTCAACTTTCATCTGATGAACAATACTCGAAGAAACTTCAGCTAGTTTTTCGGTCATGACTGAGCTTTCTGAACAAACAGGTTTACCTTCATCATCTCCATGGATCTTCATCACAGGTGGTACAGACCAATTTTTTGGTTGCGTCAAATATCTATCCTGGCACTCCTCGACTTGCTCTTTCTTTTCGCAAGCAGGTTGCTCCGTTTCGTGCATCTCGTAATCAGTGAATTCCTGACTGAGGAGGGTTGGAACGAAAGTGGGCTCAGTAGTTTCTGAAGGACCGAAACTTTTCATTATTTTGGCATAATCTGCATCTACTTGTTGAGGTTGAGGCCTCACATCGTGCTTGCTCCACCTGCTATTCTTCTCGCCCAGATGATCTCTCAATGAGATTTTCCTTACGAATGACAGGCACAGATCCGGTCTTCCCGTTGTCGTTGAGGAAAGAGAACTGCCAGTCGTACCTACGGGTGGACACTCAGGTATTCCTCGACAGAGCAGAAATGCGCACTGCACCTGGGACAGCCTGTGAAGTCCGAAAAAAAAGATCGTCCTCATCCTTGCTAGTCTGTGCAGGTCTGTAACTGTATTGTTGTTCTCTCATTTACTATCAAAAGTGTCTTATTTCGAGTTCCACCAGTATGAGAAATATAGATACTCATTGTAACCAGCGTCTAGTCTTAATCAAATGGTGGTCCTCCGGGGAGGGTTTTGTCGTGCAAATTGCACTGGAAGAAGCTGTGGCCACTAAGACGAACAGCTTCATGTTAATGAAAGAACCTCCACGAAGCTCGCTGAAGTATCATTTTGTTGTACTTACTTAGGCCCCCTAAAAAGAAAAAAGATATAGAGAAATGCAATTATTCTAATACTGACTGAGTTACCTCATGCTCATGGATCATCCGAATTTCTCCAAAGGGACACTGTTCTTCTTTTTCGCAGAAGTTAAGGCGCGCTTCTTGAAAACCAAGGAGGATTCCAATCCAAATCAAAATCATGCACTAACATCACACTAAGAAAAACAAGTCGCACAGCGACGCCACAATATGAACGCAAAATCACATTCGTACGCTGCAACTTCTATGTATTATTAATTTATTAGGATCGTCAAAAGCATCGACTTCATGATCACTCCCATGCTTGCTGCCCTACCACGTCCAGGGTCGGCTTCGTCTGACTAAATCTGTCACCATTTTGTGAAGACATTAGAAAACAAAACAGGGCTTTCCCTTTCGAATGCGAGAAAAGGGAACATGACTCCTATGTCCTCACAACGGACCAACCGAGGAGCACAATTCAGATGCCCATTTGTGGTCAGCTCTCGCTTTCATCAGCAACACTTTTATTTTTGGTGTTGCGGATTCTTTTGACCGTCGAGAATGGCTTGACGCGGCGAGAAAAGTCCTGTTTTTGTCTTTTGGAAGATGGCTTTTTCAAATGTTGGCTGTACTGTTTTGCTTCAAGTATGGTCTTGGCACCAGAACAAGATAGAATCAATGTTTATCATGAGATAAGGGAGAGCTCCTCAAAGTGGTTGTCTAATGGGAACGGCTGGAGACGCCGTGTGTTTCTGACGCGATCGAATGAGGGAAGTCTAATGCTCCGCACATGTGATACGATTTTCGTTCTCTTTTCTCCTCCGTTTTCTAGTAACGCTCACCAGGGCATCCAGAAGTAGTTGTTGCGTTGATCTTCCTCATTTGCTGCCCGGTCATAGGGCTCGAGCCTCGAGACAACGTCCCACCATCTGCGAAGTCAACTCGACAGTCTGTATATCAAATAAAAGCTTCTTGACCTTTGCGTGACGTCGCGCTTGATTGTGCTTGCTCTCCATTTTGGTGCTGCTGTTTTTGTTGTCGTTCGACTTTGACGTCATCGATTTTTACTTCCTGCGGCGCTTCCGGCAACTTAGAGTTAGGGAGGTGGTCACCGCAGTCCATTCGCACCTGTGAAACGCCTACACTCCAAATGCTGCTCTTCTGGCTCGCTCTTATGCCCGACTGCTTCACCGTGAGATGCAGAAGTTGGATGATGGTTCACCTGCGAGGACCAGATAGGCCCGGAACAGGATTCATGTTTCCCGACGTGTCTCTGATAAGAAACAAGCCTTTGGACGGCTCGCTTGCGATTGCATTGGATTCCACCCCCAATAGACAGCTTTCTTTGACCAGCCGACAAATGCCGTCATCGAATACTCGCCAACGACCTTCGCGAGAGCTTTGATCAGTAGCAGAATCGTCAACGACTGATATTCTCCGCGGTGCACACACTTGCACTCGGATTTGTCAGCCGCCAGCTGAGGTGGAACCGGGACCCGGTCATCAACAATGACATCATCTCTCCACAACCCATGCGCATAAACACGAACTTTGTAGAGGGTACCGGGTCCTCCGCTCTCGGCTATCATCTGCGGTTTGATTTCTAATATATAATTAGACCTAGTCTCTCTCTATGTGTGAATAGGTTGCTCTGCATATCAATGCGGACTCGAGTAGTTATTTTCCTGCTTTTCGGTCGCCCTTATTTGCGCGTTTTTTCACAGGTCGTTTGCCACATGATATGCGACAAAAGTAGTAGATCCGCAGAGCAACATGTAAAAAGAATGGCCTTAATTCAACCAACCCAAGGCAGCAAAGTTCTGCAAAGCTGCGTAGGCGTAGCAATTATCGAAAGACTCCTGACGAACGTTGTTTTTTCGCAGTCTCACATCATTGGCTTTTCAACAAGGTCTTGCACTCAGTTTGCATCATCGTACGACATGCAAGAGTCGCTGTCACTCCACAGTAAAACTAAAAGCTCCTACAGCTCTTTGTCATATTCATTTCAGTTTCGCACGCTACGTGTATAATTGTCAAAAATAGAAATACAAAATACTTCCGAATGTGAGACAAGGATAGATGCTAGTATTCAGTATGGAAAACTACGTACTTACTAGATCCATCACGTATTCGTATCGGCAACGGCTTTAGTGATAAACGAACATTGAGCGTGATCGGTGTGATCAAATACACTAGACAAAAACAGGCAACCACCCTGCAGTCAAGACTCAGATCAATTTCAAGGATGTGCATATGGTCACATTAAGGTTGATTCTTCTATATTCTCAGTCATGTCAAGAACAAAATGAATGTTGCGCCCCCTTCCCCTTCTCCGCGGCGATTCGAAAAACGTAAGTCTTAATTTTTAACTAGCGGTAGCCTTCACTGGCGTCACCGTTACTAGAGCAATGAAAAATATAACGATGAGGTCGTAGCTTTTTTTCGAACCCCAATCGAGTAAAAAGATGAATATTTTTAGGTTATTTAAGTAACTACTTAAAATTTAAAAAGTCGAAACTAGTATCCACCACAGTTTCATTTTCCTGAACCATTCCGGGAATTAGAGATCATAGAGAGTCTATGCCAGAACATAGATGTGTGTGTCTTCTATACACCTTCTAGTACATTAAGACATAGAGATGAGACGTCGATGGCCTGCTTGATACTAAAAAAATACATGGGTTGATGGGTACTGCACTAGTACACAAATTCATCACGTTACTAACCTTCTACAAATAAACGTAAACGATCTGACGAAGAAGATATCATAATTTCTTGTTATCTTAATATAATCTTTGTGCAAGCAAATAAAAAAGAAAGTTAGGAAAGTACTCCGAGTTGTCTTTGATTTTTATGATATGAGCAACACGAAAGGTAATCAGTTTAGACACTCCAATGCGTAATATCCACGGTAACGGGTTGGTCCTCGAAGAAGCTACGGTAGAGCTCAATGTGCGACGCATCGGCTTGATTCGTCGCCACCTCGATGTTTGGCAGAATGAAATTTGCCATGTTTTTGATGTCATTGACCATCTGAAAGCAGGATGGTCGGAGTGGGCGCCCGACCTCCAGTGTGGCACCAATATGCCAAAACATGGGCAGGAGAACAGACGATAGCTCGGAGGGATCCAGAAAACCGAAATCGGCGCCGTTTTGGCGCTCCATCTCGCTGTCAACCATTTTTTGCACAGCTCTTAGGAGAGGTAGGGTTTTGTTGTTCGTTTTCGTGTTACGCATTTGTCTTGGTTTTCTACATTAAGAGACTCAAGACGAACGCCAAGAACAGAAACGCCAAAATCCTACTCTTAAAGCTCGTTCGATATCAAAACTCCCTTCTTCTAGCAGTAGTTGAGCCCCTTCGAGGAGGGTTGCATGTTCATCTTCACGAGAATGCGCATCTTCGTCAGACGAGGATTCCCTTTCTTGTTCTTGATTTTTACGATTACGTGTATGGTCAGTTCTACTCGTGACATCAACTTTGCTTCCTCTGAGTCGACTCCGCGAGGATGATGAAGCTTCTGACCTGCCATTGCGATTGCCACTCTGAGACTCGAAAGAGGATGATTGGTTGCGCCTCCTAAGGGCTGCGCGTCGCTGTTCCTCAGCGGCCTTTGCGCGAAGAAGGGTCTGCGTGAGTCGCTGTCGCAGCTTGCGTCCTGCAATGTAACGCTGCGATACCATTTCGTTTACAAACTCGTTGACCAAGTCATCCAAATCCTTCAACGGCATTAGTTCCCATTTCGTCGCCCGACGAGTGATCTCGGTTTCCATGCGTTGATCTGCCGCGTCGAAAGTCTTCGCCTCGTCTCTTCCTGTTTCCCTTCTTGTTCTTCCATTTCTTCTTGTTCTCATTTTGATTTTGTCGTATCCTCTGTTTCTGAATTTTGTCGTATCGAAGCTTGATTTTGTCTGTATCGTGCTGTCATTTTTATGCGATGGAGGCTGACGCTGAGAGAAAAACAGACTGTCGCGCAATCGATCTGCGTACTGCTGATGCACGTCTTCAGCACGACGCTCCGGGAATAAGATGACAAAGTCTTGTTCTTGCGTATTCTCCTCACCAGTCGTACTTGTTGTGGAGGACGTAGAGGCGCCAGTCGTCTCTTCGTTCACAAATGATGCTTTCTCGCCGTCGCGACCCCGATCGCTCCGATGTCTATGCAACACTGAAGCCGTCTCCTCGCCGTCCTTCGACCGCCTCCGCAGATCTTGCAGCGCCCTGAGGTCGCGATTTAGCCAATGCAAGAGTCTCGAACTGCGCGCGCTCTGTGGGTACACAGAACGCACTCCTGCTTCATCCACGATGGCCTCTGCCTCTTTCTGGCTGTTCCGGCTTTGTTGGTCTTCTACTCGCGGAGGTGTCTGGGTTTTCTTCGTCTTGTGCGTGTGCGACCGGGCATTACTAGTTTCCTCCTTCACTTGCTTCGGCTGTGCCTGCGCGCGTGCTTCTTCTAGTACATCTTGGGCTCCCAGAGCGCTGTTCCGATCTTGGAACAGCATCCATTGCGATTTTTTGTATACACGACGCAAGCTTGCCACCAGAGCGCGCCGCGAGGGGGTTTGACTCCAAAAAGGGCTCGCTTCGAGGATATCCGCTGCTCGAGCGACCGTGGCGAATTGATAGCGCATCGGGTCGCTGTATAGTAAAACTGTGACTTGGTCAAGCTCCATGTCTATGCCTATGGGCGCCAACTCGATCGGTTTACTTGCATCTCGTCGATCAACATCACGTTGACGATTCCCGTCATCTTCTGTAGCACTGCTAGCCTCCTCTTTACGACCTTTCGTCGACTGAGTGTAGTACTCCACGTTCGCTAGCTGCAAGGCGGTGGGTGCTGTGGAAGCGGCGAGGGTGGCCACGGCTTGGCCCTGAGAAGAATCGAATACATCACGAATGAGTGCTTCGGAGCGAGACGCCTCAGGTGAGCGACGTTTCTTTGCCTCTGTTTCAAGTTTGTCTCCACGCTTTCGGATTCCGTTTCCGGGCCCCCCCGGGTAAAAAGTATTAGCATTCTCCGAGATCGGTGAGGAGGCATAAGCCATCCACGGTGGCGACTCGACTAGCGCTGAAAGGTCTTTCTCATTGAGCGGCTTCGCAGCTGCTGGCGTCACGCTGCGAGGAGTCAGAAGAAGATCCGACTCTGACTCAGCACTGCTACTTTTTCGTTTCTTGTCAGGGGTAGAAGCATCTCTATTTTCTAGCCTCTGTTGTTTCAGGGCCATGATAGCAGCAGCACGGTAATTTTCCGGATCAACGCGGACGCAATGACAAACTTTTGGTCTACTTACCTCCTCTCCATTATTCAATCGTACTTTTTCCGTGTTCGGTACTCTTCCTGCTAGCACAGGTTCGCGCGCACTAGTCAAAGCCCCATAACTTCCGTCCGCGAATTGAGAGAAGATCCTCCGGTGTCCTCGTTGTTGCTCATCTTCGCGGCGTTCTTGGGCAGTCTTGCCGTCTGCTACATCATCGAAATCTGCTCCCAAATCGTCCTCTGAGTTTTGATCTGGTCTTGGTGGTGGAGTGACAATTTCGAACTCGGTGACAAGACAGCACTCTCTCTCAAAGACAGCTTCCAGCTGCTCAAGAGAGCGCGTTATGTGCGCTTCGTGAGTCACATCGCAGACATCTTCTTGAATAGCACGCGCGACTCTTAGCATGACTTGTTTGTTCACTACATTCTTCTGATCATACTCGGCTTTCAGGGCTCGCAGTTTCGCCTTTATTTCTCGGGGACTGTCTCGTACGGTCACGTTTTCAGGCTTTGTAGTTGGTGCTTCTCCTTCGTATCTATTCTTACCTCCTGATAGGTCATGATCATGTGGGGTGCTAGCTGGGTCGTGGCTCTTGTCCAGCTTCTCAAGATTCCAGTCGAAATCTTTTTCCCCCTCGCCATTGTTATTGTGATCGTCCTCGTCTTCACGGCCAGGATTCAGCGGAGTCGTTGTTGTTGAGTTGTCCTGGCTGACGATTTCGGGAACGTTATTTCTGTCGGCGACAACGCCTGCCCAAAAAATCGACTGGAGTGTGGTCTGAATTTTTTTCACGGACAAAGCAGGTACCCAGGACGGAACGCGTTTGCCTTCCAACTCTGAGGCATGTCGGTCGCAAATATGCTCGCCAGCACCTGGGGCATGAGGACACACTTTCCACACATCGAACGCAACAGGGCACTCTTTATGTTCGTCTTTTTTAGATCTGTTACCGATATTTTTCTTTGATCTGAATGCCTCATTGACATTTGGTGTGCCAGCGTTGCTTTTGTAGTCATCGCCTGATTCTATTTGCTCTCCAGCGGATGCTTGTTTATCATCGGCAGAACCACGCCCACGCCGAAGGATGGTCGTGCTCGTGCCACGTCCTTCCTGTCTACTAGGTCTACTAGTAGTGTTCCTAGCAGTATTTCTACTTGTACTATCACCTGCTGCACCTGTAGTGCTGTTCTCGAATGCCCTAGGGGAGACGGGTGCTCTTTTTGGCGATTCTTCTCTAGGATGCACTCCAGAGACATTCTTCAAGAATGGCCGTATGTCAATGGCTCCTGCTCGCGACAGGAGCTTGCGGCAATTGTCCAAAGCTGGGATCGACGTTTCCTGCTTACTGTTCGCCGCCCACCATGCAGCATCGTACTCGGCAAGCGCGTCTTCCACTCTCAGCGTTTCAGCCCACTCAGCCAAGCCTTCCACGGCTTCACTCAGGGATCCACCGTCCTCCGCTTTTTCCATCGATTCGGCCAGCCTAAGGCCATCTTCCACGTTTAAGATGCCTAGCTCACTCAGGGGTGGCGTAGCGGCAGCGAGCACGTCGCGAGCATACTTTTTGGTATGTTCGTCCTGAATGGGACCCACCTCCAAATGCTCGTCCGCAGCACTGTCGCCTTGTTGCTGTGTCGTCATGCGTGTGCGTCTGCCTGATCGATAGGACTGGCCACTTACGAGGACATCGCGGTAAAGCCCGTAGAAATAGCTGTGCTCATCGCGAAAAATTTGATTTCGCACAATTTTCTCTGCGTGGCGTGTCCATGCTGGTGGCGTGCAGTGCAAATCGTTCCCAGATGGAGAAGAAGGGGGTCTCGAATTTGGAAAAGACGCACCAGCGGCATATCGCGCGCCTCCATAACCAGAGTCGCCCACCTGACGATGAAGTACGCAGTGGATTCCGAGTTGCGCTCGAGTCTCCTCCGCCATTTGTGAGTCCACAAGATGTAGACCCTTCAGCTTGTCCAAAAAACCTTCGTGGACCCAGTCTACAAGGTTGGTGTCTCCAGCGTCGAGCGGAACATGGCTGCCTGCGCGCGCGTCTAGCACTTCCTGCCACACTGGTTGATGCCCTGCGGGGCTGTCAGGCTCACGAGCAGCGAGGTCCGAATCCAGGTAGCTTGGCATGACTAGGTCTGCCGCCGCGGCCAGCTCAGTCATCGGGAGCGACAAATCGCGACCGCCAGGCTCGAAAGTGGGCGAATACGGACCGGGCGCTGGCACCAGCACCAGGAGAAACAAGCTCAGGGCAGCGGTGTAGACTGAGCAAAGCCCGAGGACATTTAAATGCCGTGCGGTTCGCTGATTCAGTTGCTCCGATAGAAAAGTCGCTCTGCGCAACTCCGCAGCGAGGCGATTCGTGCGCAGTCTTGCCTGCTCTCGCCCAGGCCGCGGGTTTGTCGGGGATGGCGTCGCGGGCCACACTCTGCGGAGCCCAAAAACTGGAGTGCTGCCTGGTGGGCGAACATTGCTGCTGGCTTGTCGCGAGCGCAACGAGGCTGGCTGTGCTGACCATCTCGGTTCAGTGCGCACTGCTTCGTAAATCTGCGCCTCCCCGTTGCTCCCCCTGCTCACATGATAAAAACAAAAATAGTGTTGGTTTCTGGCCGACATGAGAGGAGGGGCTGCAAATGGTCGTCTTCGGACGCCATTTTCCCTGCTGGCATTCTCTGGAGCATCATCTGTAGCCGAGTCGGGTGCGCGAAGCCGGGTCCGACTAGCCGCGTCAACATTTTGTCCAGGAGCGGCCGTACTATTGCTCGATATGAGAGGGGTGTAATGTCCTCGATTCGCATTTACCCGCTCACGTTCAGGGTTAGTTGCAGTAGCAGTACCATTATTCTGACGTCTACCAAAAGGGTCCAAGAACGGGCTCGCAGCAAGCCAAGCAGCCGAAATTCGAAATTGTCTCTCCTGTTGCAGGCTCCGCGCCTGTTCTGCAGCTGCTGCCTCGGCGAGAGCCTGAGGATCGTATCGAAAGAAGCGGACCGCGATCGCATTAATCAGATTTTCAAGGCGATTCATCAGTTCGCCAGGCTGTTGTCTCTGCCGCGGCTGAGGCCGAGGAGGTGTGAGTCTAGTTGCTCCACTCGGACTGCTGGTTGTTGTTTCTTCTCCGCTTACTCTATTTTCCGCGTTAGGCGCGTCCCCATTAGCGCTCGAGAGTCCAATCTCCTGTGCTGCTGCTGCGCCGCCTGTGGGAAAAGTAGAGGCTCCAGGGCGGCGAAAGGGGTCTGTACGTGGCGGCTCCCGTAAACTTCTCCAAAGTTCCTGGGCGTTAGGCAAACCAAGGTCGCCAAGAAAGAGGAAATGCGCAAGGTTCTGAGCCCAGCTCGGTCTTTGACTTTGCGGCAGAATCACAAGATGGTCGAAGTCGATAACCAAAACGTTGTAGTCAAGGTGCGGAAACTTTACAACGACGCCGTACCGTGGAATTTCTGGGTCGATTGTACTACTCACATCCGCGTCTCCTATCTCGAAGGCTAACTTAGAGGACCTTGTGTCCTTGTCCTCGTTGTCATTTTCATACCTTATTAAGTCTATTATAATTTCATCTTCGCCATATAGTAATAGTAGCAACGTGATTCTGCTTCCTTCACAATTCGAAATGAAGTTTCGATCTTGAATACTCAAATTTTCATACCGGATTTTCCAGCGCGCACGTCCACCTCCTTCTACCTAGGTAAGTTCACTACGCTTTCGATTGGGATAAGTATTCAAAAACGAGCCTTAACATCATCATTTACAAGCCGTCGCGGTGATGCTGTCCTTTGCGTGGCAGCGCTTCGCTCCGCGGCGCCTGTCGTTAATGTTGCTGAACCCTCGAGTCCTGCAAGTGCTGCAGGTCCACTAGCATCTGCTCCCTGGTTTGAAGATGGAACAGTTGATGCCTGGGGTAGATTTGGAATATGAATATCGTTTCCGCTTCGTGGTAAATTAGCGCCAAGAATCCAGTTTCCAGCCACCTCTTCAGCATCCTCTTGCCGCCGCGGCGTGCGAATCCCTCTTAAAAAGCGTTCTAGTGGTGGCGAGGGATCGCCATTCGGCAACGAGTCAGAAGATCCCGCGCTTCTTGTCGAGGAGGTCGGTGTCTGCTCTGTTGGCGATGGTTCTGACTCACCCGACCCATCCCGCTGTTGCAGCCCCGTCGCTGCTGCAAAGTACGAGGCGAGCTCGGCTGCGGCTTCCGGTGTGCCAGCGATCGCATTTCGGCGCGCGACGAGGCGTGACGTCAACGACGTTGAACCTCCAAAGGTGGTCGCGTTATCGTGTCCAGCGGGGCGACCTCGACCGGTCACAAAAAACGGATCACCCAAAGGTTCCGGTGATGACCAGCTTCCTGGTGTTCCAGTTGCATCTGCGTCTGCAACAGGAGCCGCAAAGGAACTTTCGAGATCCTCATAGTTCCATACCGGAGACGGAACAGGAGCTGTTCCTGTCAAAATTTGCTCATCAATCTGGGTTACTGGTCCACCTTCTTGTCCAGCAACGTTTGACCTTGAAGTGGCAACATGCATCGTACGAGCTCCATGATTCGCGTTCGTGTCTTGAGCTCTGCTAGAAGCACTTCTGCTACCTACAACGGCGTCCGTGCCTTGCAACCCACTTGCTCCAGTTCGCGTGTCCTCATTGTTTTGACCGGCGGCTATCACGACTTCCGCTGTTGGAGCTAACGTCGTCCGTTGTGCATGGGTGGAAGCCACAAGAAAAGCGTCTGTATCCTCATTCTGAAGCGTTTCGTCCTCATCGCCGCGAAGTGGCAAAAGCGAGCCTCTGAGTTCATTCCTCGTCGATGCTTCATCCCCAAAAGCAGCGTGAATTCGACGCATCGACTCAGCAAAAAGGCCCCATCCTGGAATCGAACTTGCTGGTGCGCTTGAGGCGGAGGACAGGTCTTCTTGTGCGATTCCATTGCTATTGCCAACATTCGAGTTCGGAGGCGCGTCTCCTCTTGTTCGTCGGAGATTATCATTTGCCTCAGTAGTCCTCAGTGTAGCACCATTTTCTTGGTCTGTGAGTAGCGGGATTGCTGCTTGGGCGCGCGCGTCCTGTTCCGTTCCGAAGTCCGAAGCAAGGGCAGCCATGCCGCTTGTGATAAGGCGCGTGTCGTGTGCCTGAATCCTTCGTGTTCCCCCCTGGCCATCCAGTGCGATAGTATCGCTGTCAGTCATATGATCGAGCGTGATCTCAAGGTTATTTAGAGCTAGAGGCCTAGTGCCTCGGTCTCCTGCAGTTTCGTAGCAGATGCTTGTGAGAAGTGACCGAGTGATTTCTAATTATTCTACGTATGTATTTCAGCAAAAATTTGTTCATTCATATTCTCTAAATCAGAGGTACTAGAAGAAATTAACACGACAGAGTCAGGACGATAGTGCAGATTTCTAACCCTAAGCTCTCATCGTCTGGCACATCGAGAATCCTCGTACTTCCCGTGATGGCCTCCACCAATGCATCCGCCACTGCGGCCGCTGCCACCTCCGTATCGTCTTCAGCTGAACTTTCGCTCCACTCCAGACCCCTCGTTGTATCGTCGACGAGATTGCCATTAGCATCCACTCGAAAAAACCGCGGTGCACTGTCCAGATCGATCGCATTTACCTGGGCTGCTGCTCCAAAACCTAGCGCACGAGCAAGTGCCAACTCATCGGCGTCTGGATACACATCAACCGGCCAGAAAAAACTCCCGAAGGGTGCATTCAAAGCATTCACGCTAAGGTCTGTTGTCGCTGGAGTGGTCGGCACGGGATCTCCGCTCTCAGAGCGCACCGCAGCAGACAAAGGGGGCAACGGCCTCTCGCGCTCAATAAGCGGGACCGCGCCTTCTCTGGCATCGTTCACAATACCTACATTTGACGAAAATGAAGCAGCATTTCTAGCGAAAGTGTCCACACCGAAATGATCAGTGGCACCCTGCTGTTGCACTCCGTCACGTCCATCCGGTGTCTGTGGACCCCGTTGAAAATGTTGCTGTCCGTACTGGCGGAAGGAAAAGTCTGGTGGATCTACTGTAATGCCAGAGTCGGGCGGAAGCATCTGCAGTGGATCCAGATCTTCTTTTCGACCTAGGCGCACGACGACACCTTCCATCCCCACTGGAATCTGCACAACGCCGACCGGCAACACAACGCGATCTAAAGGCTTCGCAAACAGGCGTCGCGCACTTTTCCCATCAGTAACCTCCCGAGAGATTCGCGTCTTTTGGTCTCCAGGTGAGCGCCTCCTCCTCGCGGGCGAATTCGGTCCTTGTTCGTGCTCTGCTGCTCCTATTGTCCTGTCTACCCCAAAGCGCGATGGAAAATGGGTGTTAGATGCTCTTGCTCCTGGCATGCCGAGGACCTCTCCTTCTCTCTGAGCCTGGTTCGCATAGTCCATGCGCAGCGCATAGAGCTCGTTCCGATTGGGCACGGAAACCACTCGAACTTTCACACCGCGGTAGAAATGCATGCGACAACGGCACAGGGGGCAAGTTGTGGAGGGATGATGCCGTGACCTGGTCCACCGGTCAAACCCCGCCGAATCGTTTGCGCTACTCATTGTTTCGTCGCTCGAACAGTCTCCTACTTCTCCTGACCGCGATTCTGCTTGCTCACCTTCCTCGCCAGACGAAGAGTCACTAGAAGTATCATCAGAATCTTCACCAATGGCGGTGTTGGGCGGGCGTGAAGTGCCTCCTGCGCCTGCAGCGGCAAGGAGCGCGCGGAAAGAATCTATGGAGAAGACTGGAGCCCGAGGGCGATTTTGATTTGCTTCATCGGAGGACAATTGACGTGGATCGCTGCGTTGCTCCCGATCTTCTCTGCTTCTCGTATTTCTAGCTGCTCGTCCACCTCCTCTGGTCCTTCGCATGGAAGACTCTGCACCAACATCATACGTAGTTGTAAGTGGCAGCGGCAGTCTCAGAGTTCGCGGTTGTTGCGGTGGCGGTGCTGTAGCCGCACGATTCATTACATTGCGACTATCCTCTTCAAGCATTGCCACAACATCGTTCAGCCCAAGCATCCGAGAATCATGCTGCGCCTCCAGCCCCTGCTGTCCAACACGACGAGCATGCTCATCAGTGCTGATGCCAGTGAACCGTGCTGATAGTGGGAAGAGGCTACTTTCGTTGATATTTGTGTTGACTGATCTTGGTGCCACATAATCATGCAATGCCACAAAAGGTGTCGGCAACTCGTGTCGCGCAGTGTAAGTTGTAGGTGGAGGACTATTTGGTGATCCGAGTTCGCCTCCATCCACAGCTCTCTGGCCACGGCCTCCGTCCATCTCCGGAGGCTGTGGATCTGGCTCACCTCGCAAAAGTGTCGAAGGCGAAATTGTGTGACGATCTTCTTCTTCTCGTTGTCGACCCAAGCTAATCATTGCAGCAGGGTCGCGACTATCATCTCGTGTCTCCGCCTCCAGGTGCTGCTGAGAAGATGATGAAGAAGGAGGCGACGTCGTCGCACTCTCTTGCACACGACTGCTTGAAGGAAGAACAGTCGCCCTTGACGTCCAAAGGTTTCGCCAGGAAGGAACACTAGAAGTACTGCTAGCGTCGGCAGGACCATGTTGGTTTCGAGTACTTCGGTTTTCTTGCGCTGGCGGTGAAGATCGAGGGCGAGATCGCGTTCTTCTGGAAGGGCCCGTTGGCGGTTCCAATATGCCATTTGAGAACAGTGTCTGAAGCAAGGATCTGCCCAAAGGGCGGCGTGTACTGGAAACATCGTTCAGAAACGAACGCGCTGCGCTCGATTGCGCCGGGTATGCATTAGTCGTCCCAAGAACATTACTCGATGGGGCGGAAAAGACCGGTGGTAAGTTCATCAGGGCTGATGACCACGAGGGAAGGGAGGTTGGTGCCTCCGCGTCTTGCATGAACGAAGACCTCGCCGGCGGTTGGCTTCGCGATCTCCTCTCGGTTCTCGATGTAGTGGTATCAGGTTGCTCTCGCACTCTCTGGTGTCGACTAGAAGACGAGTCAGCTACCGCGGTAGCTTCGTTTCCAGCTCGAGATCCCTGCTGTTCAGCAGGAGAAGACTCCCCTCTGTCAACCGGAAAATGAGCCTCCGAAGTAGGCGTCGGCGCGTTCATCTCTTGCGTCATTGGAGTGTATTCCGCTGCGGATTTAGCAGAAGGCGCGTTCTGTGAAGACATCAATATGGCTTCGACATCGTGGCGTGCTAAGTCTGCAAGTGTGCCACGGTACGCGTCCCTCCCCGGTGCCGTCCGACCAGCACCAGCAGCTACCATTCGTTCCACGACGCCCTCTTCATTTTCTCTTGCTGACGTTCTAGAAGTATCCCTGCTGAGCAGAGAGTAATCGCCAAAGAGCGAAGAGAACGATGGAATTGACCAGGATCCACTGAGGGGTACAAAGTTAGATGAGGTTGCCTGAAACGGGCTTGGAACAAAGGAAAGGGAGTCCAGTGTAGTTGGATTTACTACGGCAGGAGGATCTACTTCGAGAACCCGGGGGACTTCTCCCGCGTCGATCATTTCTGCTCCGATCGTCGTCGCCGGTGTCCCAGTAGGATTAGGCACTTGGCCGGATGACGGTAAGTCTCTTATTCTTTGCCGCCGGCGAGACACTCCAGCTTCAACGCGGCCTCTACGAGCCACCGCACCACGCGCGCATCTCCAATGGAGGATGTGCCGTGGATCTCGAGGACAATCAGCTATGATATCGTCACCCTCTTCAATCGTTTCCAAACACAGTGGGCAGTCGCGTCGCTCCACAGGCGGTTGCTCCTCCGGTTGGCTTATGACTGGGATGACGGTACCAGCAGCTGTGTTGTTGTGCTGCGTACGATCAGTGGAACTTCCTGGCGGAGTTCCACGAACCTCGGTCGTCAAACTCACATTGTGGCCATTTGGTGCAGAAATCTGTGCACTTCGGTGCGCGTCTGACTCACCGTGACCAGTCGTAGCACCACTGGAATTTGGAGGCCTTAACCTTCCTGCTCCGGAATGCGCAAATGTTTCGCGATGATCGGGCTGCCTAGTTTCGTCCACCTCGTTTTCTTGGGGTGCATCAACATCATCGGAATGCACTTCACGAGAAGGTGACAAGTCTACTCCACGGCGACCCAGACGTCGACCCGATGATGTCAGCGGGCCGCAGACAAGGTCCTCTCGAAGGTGTGCGACTAGAAAGAACCACAACAAAAGCGAAGGGGGATTCGACGTGCGTCGCCACCGCGAGACGCGTGAACGAGCTGGAGGAGCACGAAAATTCACCGACATTCTTTATTTACCAGTGACCCAAGCAATTATGAGTCATCGTTTTTATGCATTGCACTAGGACTAGGTAGTCCTCAAACGTTTGGTCCTCGTCTATAAATGAATCACAGTTTTGCAATAACATTCATCATAAGTAGGCTTTCGCCTTAGCTACCTCAAGAATCAGTGCGCAAACAAGCACAAGACAGAGTCTTTCAGATCATTTTGACCGAACTCAAGATGTTTCACAAGTTTGGAAAATCTAGGACTTGTTTGGCTTTCGCTGAACTGTGCGTAGAGTGTTGTAACGCCTGCGGCCGTGGTGGCGAGGCGGACACAGAAGTAGTCCCTTCTGTCTGCATATTTGCGACAGTGTGGTCAGGCAAAACTTGCCACCGTCTTGAATACGTTCAGAGAGGTGCGAAGCAAAAGGAAATCTCAGGCCGCTTTGGAGTTTGCCAATGACTAAAGGAATATTCGATGAGGAGATCTTGACTGCACACACAGTCGCTGCAAAACATTGGTACTACTCGTAGGAGCTCCACGTCCAATTATCGGATAGATGAAAAATTGAAGTTCTACTCAATCCCAAGCATGTGAAAGATTGAGCTTGCGTTTGAGATGAAATGGATTCAGAAAACGAAGATGACAAACAACGCCCACAAACGGGACAGTGCTACCCATGGATTTTGTCTCTGTTTACACTTGGCGCAGCAGCTACTGCTGCAAGAAGCCCTCATCCCCTTAAAGAGTAGAAGTATGATCACCCAAAACAAACACCGCTCTCCGAGGCAAGCAGGGTCTTACTGCTACTTCTTTTTAGCGAGCTTTTCAACTTGGTTCTCGTCATACTTCTCGCGCATGAGATCCTTCATGCCCTGTCGTTTTCGCTCCTCGAAAATTTGTAGCTTTTTTTCCAGCTTCCCATGTTCTGCAGTCTTCGCTTCCAGCTCTTTAATCATCACCTTCTCGGCTTCCCGCGATTCTTTGATCTGTGAAACGGTTTGCTCGTCTATAGAAGGAAAGAGATAAACCGCCAATACTGGTTTTCGACTTCGGTCGTACATAGATTGATCAACATAAGGCACAAGAAAAGTAACAGCCTTGGCGAAGATAAGGATATAGTAGGTTTCTTTAGGGTCGTGCATGCTGTCGGCCTTCCACATCTCTAGGATGAAGTTTTATTTTGCACAGGATGCATTTTATTTGAAAACACTAGGACTAGTACTAGTCGGTACCTCATTGAGGAGCATTTTTGATTTTTCTTTCTCTTCCGCGAGATCGGCTTTCCGTTTTTCCTCATCTTGCCTCGCTTTCTCAGACGCTGTTGTGGCTGCCACGTGGAGGAGACGCTTCGCTTCGATTGTTTTCCTATGTGCTTGCATGTTCGCGTCCTCTTCTCGAAGTTTTTTGTGCGCACGCGAAAGCTCAGAATCGGGGGATTCATCGTCAGAAGCTACGGCCGCGCGCGTCTTTCCGAGTGCGCGCTGTGCTACTCGCTGACCGAAGTTCTGCAATGCATTCAACACAAAGCTACCTCCTGTTGACGAGGATGAAGACGATGATGATGCTCCAACATTGTTGTTTTCATTGGTTCGTTCCTGGTTTTTCTGCAGGAATACGGGAGCTGGCCCCTCGAAGTCATCGACCTCTTTTTTTGCTTCCTCAGCGCGTTTTTCGAGCTGCTCCCTTTCCCACTGCAATTCCAAAGCACTCATGCTTAATTTGCACATTTTTTCGAAGGAGATAGCAGCTTGCTTCGATCCTGCACTATGCAAAACATTTTTCGTCTTCTCCACTTGGTTATCGAGGCGAGTGCGCTTGCCGTCGCGTTCCTTGCCTTTCTCCGCGACCTCTAGCTCTACTTGCCGATTTTCTGTTTCGTCCAAGGCTGCTTGTTCTGCTGCGGAAAGCTTGAGTTTCGTTTTCTCTGCAAATTTCTTTTCGTACTCCTCTGCTGCGGCTTTTTTTGCTGTCTCCTTCTGCCTGGCCGTCTCTACGGCCCTCTTAGCTGTATCCAGAGCCTGCTTGAGTCCCTTCAACGTGTTCTCCGCAGCAGCTACACCACGTTCTGCGGCTCGTTTGTTCTTCTCGAACTCGTCGAGCCTTCGCGTCTCTTCTGTCCACGCTTGCTTCGCCGCTTTTTCCTCCTGCTTGCGAGTTTTGCTGCCTTCAACGGCGTCTCGCAGCGCCTGCTCCGCGGCCGCCACCGCAGTCTTCGCCTCGCGTGCCGCCTTTTCCGCCTCTTGTCGGCGGAAGGAACTATCGACTTTCTTCGCGTTCATCGCCTTGACCTCATCTGCCAGACGTCGTTTCTGTTCGAATATCGGAACACGCGGACCGGTAGACGAAGAGGACGGGTGCAACGGTGTACTACTTGCATTTCCGGAAATACTGTTTATCGGAAGAGGAGCTCCTGATGAAGAACTAATCGTATGCGCATGTTGATGTTGGGCTGCTGTAGCCTGATCACGAGCTGACATTGAAGGTAAAACATCTTCGTTGTCGAGTGGCGAAGTTCCGGCTGCATCTTCCAGCAACTTCAAGTTCTCCAGCTTCAGTGCGGTTCGTGCGGGAGCGCCAAAGAGGCAGCTGTAGTCGCTGAGACCGAGAACGAACTTGCCAAAAAGGCGGCCAATATCGTCCTTTATCGAAGTTGTCGCTGGACATCCTCCCTTTGCGTTCGTCTGTTCTATAGCTGCCCCAGCCGTCGACGGCCCGGAAGGGCGGATTGTTCCGTCGTCTAACTTTCGTCGTTTTGCTACGTCGGGAGCGAGCGGCACTTCCTCCTCGTCCGATGGGTCAGAGTCTTCATCATCCATTCCCTGACGAGGCCTGCGACGCTTTGTTGTCGCTAATTTTTAGAGCTGTCCGCGATGAGGATGAACGCGATTGAGTTGTATTCCGTCACGGACACTCTCACCCACACTAGCACCTCTACTCTACCCTCATACATCGAGTCTGAGTCTCGCCTCTATACGCTAACTTTGGTATTTACAGTCAGTTTCGAAACTGCATATCCAAGTAAACGAACTATGCATGGTGCGCAAACGCGTATGAGTCATAAATTTCAGCAATTGGGGCAGCATCCTGGCGCCACATTTCCCAGACTTTATCTGGTCTCCCGTGCTCCGTTTCAAGGCGTTTACAGGTATCGAGGGCTTCTGGCTCCAGGAACTCGAAGAGATCACTGATGTCGCGATCCGAAAAGTACCGCGCTTGCTGCTCCACCACCGGTGCCCGCGCCAAAGCGAGTTCCAGCTCTGCGTCGTCATCTGTCATAAACACAAGTCCTGCTTCGCCACTAGAGCTAGCTGACGGGGAATCCGCACTAATAGTTTTGGTTCTCGCCACGGCGCCTGGTGCAAATAGATTTTGCTCTTTCATCACATGCTGATTCATCTGTGCGCTAGAACTTGTCGTTGTTGTTGCTGTGGAAGTAGTGGTTGTGGTGAGACAGCTTTTTGCGAGTCCCTGCTTGAAGACCTGGTAGCGGAACATCTTTTCTTCGATCAGGCCCGTCGCGATGAGTCTGTAGGCAACGACGTTGCGCCGCTGGCCCACTCGGAAGGCGCGGTCTATGGCTTGATGATCGGTGGAGGGGTTCCAACTGGGGTCTACGATGATGACCCGGTCCGCTGCGGTCAGTGTAAGTCCGACTCCGCCTACCTGCGTCGACGCCAGAAAGACCGGAAAGGGCGACTTCTCTGCTTGAAACCGCTCTACCTTCTTGTTCCTTGCTTCCACGTCCGTGGTTCCATCGATACGCAAGCATTTGAGCTGCAGAGGCTTCAATACGGCTGACATGAGGATGTCTAGCATCTTTGTGGAGCCGGAAAAAAGCAAGACACGGTGTCCCTGCTGAACTAGATGAGGTAGAAACTGTGCCAGGAACGCGAGTTTGACCGCTTCGTCGCGTAGAGTCGGCAGGTGTCGCGTCTTCGTAACTGCGCCCTCCGATACCAGCGCGCTCTCGTTCGCCGTCAGCGCGAGTGCAGAAGAACGCCGTGGCCGTATGCTCGCAGCGGCGTCTTTTTCCATCTTTATAGGAGATAAGGAACCGGATCGCCGGCGCAAAGGTGAGGCAACGACTTTTGCTGCAGCCTCGCCAGGAGTGCAGTCTATTCTCGCTTGTCCCGCGACCGCTTTCCGCGGAGGCGTGCTGGGGACCTCCTGCACATCGGCTCCTACTGCAGAAGTGCAACCCCTGGCATCTTTACTCGCCGTGCCAGCTGCAGCTGCAGCAGCCTTCTTCGCCTTTCGTTTCTCGTCATCAGAGGAGAGGAAGCCATCATCGCTTTCGTCTTCCCTAATCGGAGACTCATCGGGATCTGAATCGATATCAAAAAATTCATCCTCTGCGCCTCCCGTTCCCGCTGCCATATTCGGTATGCTCTTACCATTTGTCGTGGATAAGTTTCCTTTTGCAAAAGGGGCAACAGAAGTTGTAGTGCCTGCAACTGCTTGCGGTCGGCAAATAGTCTTCATCTTTGAAGAAGTTGCAAATGCCGGTTGTTCTTCTTGTTGCTCACTCTTCAAGACACGAGGCTCTCGTGGCATTTTGCTGTCCTCTCGTCCATTAAGGACTGCCGCACTAGACGCGCCATCTATCGCTGCACCAGGTGTTGTTGCCTTGTCTTGACCCTTCTGTTGAATTTCTTTTTTCACTTCTTCTTGGAGTTCGCGCACGTAGTCTACCCAAGACCCTGGGGTGGTGAAGTCTGGATGACAGAGCACCATAGTGTTCGACACTTTCTTGAGGTACGTGATCGCCTTGAAGACTACCGCTCCTAGTTTGCCGTGCTGTCGCGCGTCCCGAATGAAAGAAGCGTTCGCGAGAACCTTCTTGTAGAATTCGATCTGCTCTTCGGTGGGTCTGAGCCAAAGCACCACGTCTGTCTTCGTCACTTCTCCCATGTTCTTCACTTGTGCCTTCGTGCGCTGCAGGTAGTACGGCCGCGTGCGCTCCTGCAGCTGCTGCGCAAGCTCGTTTTTCAGCTCGACTTCCAACTCGCCCGCGTTCTTCAGCATGCCCTTGCTGATCGGTCCCGCGTAGTTGCGCTGGAAGGACTGGAGGTTGCCTAGGATACCAGGGTTGCAGATATCGTGCAGATTCCACAAGTCCCGCACCTCGTTCTGCAAGGGCGTACCTGTAAGCAGAAACTTGCTCACCGAACGCACCAGTCGGAGGTTTCGCGATGCCTTTCCTCCAGGCTCCTTGCAACGGTGTGCTTCGTCTACGATAACGACATCCCAGTCATATCTGGCGCCCTGCCGGAACGTTCGCAGCTGCAGCGCCCTGCCGGACGCAGCCGTTGAGGAAGACGAAGGCATCGCTGTCACAGCTGAGCGTGTAGCCGACGGTACGGCCGCTGATGATGACGAGCCGACAGCACTAACATCATAAGATCCTCCACCTACCATAGCATCTTCAAGTACTACAGGTGTCGGGTAGCTTTTTGCAAGATTCAGACGACTCCGAGAGTTGTCATCGAACGGGGAGGACGCTGCAGTCTCATCATCCAGTTTGCGCCGCTTTTTCTGCGTCGAAAACGGGCCAGGGGCGAAGCGCTTCCCCGTACTCCCTGGCTCAAGTCGAGCAACAGAATTCGAGTTGTCGTCATCTTGATCCGAATCTTCCTCGTCAAAAGCGCTCTCATTGTCGGTATCCTCCTGCTCATCGGGATCCACGGCACCAAAATCCTGCATCAAATCATCGCCCTGATTTAGAGCAAGCATTTACGTAAGTTTAACAAACAAGGATTTCCGTCGACTACACCTACGTGACAGTTTATTCAGCATAATCTTCGAGACCATCAACATATGACGAAATCGATACTGCAATGCAAGATCTGTTTTCTCGTCTTAACTGATGTTTCTCTAGCAACTTGAGTCGTTTCTTGAAAAGGAAGCGGAACTCGGTCTCCAGCAAATCCTTTTGCACCTTGATTTCGCTTAGGAGATCCGGATTGGAAACCAGAATTTCGATATTTCCAATGAAAAGCAGTGCTGTTTTCTTGTTCGGTCTAGTCTTGCTCGCAGTAGATTTCAGTCCTCCATCTTGATCTTGTTGTTGAGAAGATGCGTCTCCCAATGTTGGTCCTTTGGCTCCTTCGTCTGGTACAAGATACCTACGGAAAAGTCCAGTGCTGAACTTCTTTTGAATCGCCAGCTTTGCCCGTCGCTGCCCAAGTGTTGGAGGCAGTCGTAGACAAATGGGTTTGAAACGAGGAGCCCATTTCTTCGCTTCGCGCATCCACATGTGAACGACCGTAACAGGACGACTTATGAAAGCTGCAACAAATTGAAATCATCATAGAACATGTGAATCTGAATCCGAATCTTCTGCATGTAGTTATCAGCGATGGGACTGCGATCATGACGTCTGGTAATGATGCATTAGGCGATTGGAGCAAATTCAAAAATACTTGCGCATCTATATCAATCTAAATCTAAAAACTATGTATAAACTGCGAAGACGAACTGAGACGAGGTAGTAGAAAGACTGTCTGCATAAATAGCAATAAGCCGACGTGAATTTCTGGAGTCTGCTGGAGGAAAGATAGAGCCTGGACTGTTTTTCCGAGACCCATTTCGTCGCCCAGAATTCCACCTTTGCGCATGTTGTACACTCCACGCATCCAAGCGACGCCATCCTTTTGGTACGAGAAAAGCGTCGGTCCGCCTACGGCTGATAACGGATCCTCTTCCTCTTGTTGTTGTTCCTGATTTACAGTTTCCGTGGCAGCCGACGTAGAAACTTTCTCCCCACACTGGTCGTGAGCGGATGTAGTAGCCGCATCTTGACTTTCTATTTTCCCTTCGTTGGAATTTCCGGACTCATCAGTTTTCTGGGCAGCTGCTGGGCCCTCCGCTCCTCGCTTCGCGCCGCCGAACGAGAACGCGGCGAACATCTTTTCTACTCTGTATACACAACTTGATGTTCGTGATGTTGGCCCTACGACGAGAGCGATTAACTTCAGGAGGATTCAGCAAACCCTCCGTCTTTTATTTACATACTCTAGTACTTTTTTTTTGCGTCTTGCTGAAAAAAACTACTCAATTAAGACAAGGGTTGTCAGTTTGTCAACAAAGACTTACCTTGATATCATGAAGCATACAAGAACTTTTAGCAGCTATTCAGCGATCGCGGCAAATCATTGAGATGAATCTCCCCGATGAGACGATCATAGCCAGATCGAAAAATGTCAAATCCCGTCCTATCCCATGGATAGTCTCTATTTGCGATAGTCCGCTGTAACATCGAGTCTGGATGGTAGCTTACTTACAACGAACGCGTGTTGCTCTCTGGACCTCAGCTCTTTCTCTTGGTCTTGCTATCGTGATGCAGATGCTGTACAACTATCAACTACTATTTTTTGATTTTGATGTGTCTGACTTCATTTGCATCATCTCTTCCCTGCTTGATGCAAAGGGAAGACTCCCATACTCTCTCGTGAGACTTCCAAGCACCACACTTTTCACATGGAAGTGGTTACACCCCACGTCGCCAATCGTATGTTCTACGCATTTTGTAGTTGCTATTTCTTTTCTCTCCCACAGGTGACGGTATAAACTATATATCAGATGATGTAATTTTCTTACTCCCGCGTGTGAAGTCGACGAAATTCAAAACGACCTCACTCTATCGTGGTCTGTGAACATTTAGATTTGCTAGATGTTGGTGCAGGCGCATTTTCCATGTACTTCACGAAATTTGGAAAGAATTCTTCAGTATAAAAACGAAGTCCTACATTTTCAGCGAAACGTCGATCGAAATCGGTTTTATCCATGTGCCTCCCAGCAGAATTTCCGACGAAAAAACTATTCGCATAATCAATCCTAAGGTTCATTCTTTCTGGTCGACCTTTTGTCTTTTGCTGTTCTAGTTCTAATTCTATGTCTTTAGGGCCAACATCCTCTACTTGTGACGATAACGATAAGGTTGACGATATTGATGATGAGGAATTAGTGAGAGAAGACGATGAAGGTCGGGGTTCTCCATCATGCACTAATACGGACGATGTTGATGTTGTGCTTTCATAATCGTGATCTTCAGAAGCCTGGTCAATTTGTAGGTTATATGCGGGTTCATTTTCTATGACAGCTCGGTGGTAATCAGAAGTAGAAGATTCCTGGTCAACAAACAAATGCCACATACCTGGATTCGGTTTTCGACACCAATCCTGAGTGTCGCCTCGCCCTACTGCAAGGTAGAGATCCACAGGTAGAGACTCTTCTCCAGACGCTGTTCTTGGCGAAGCTTCACCCTCATCTTCGGCGATCGATATGCTTCTTGTACTTGTACTGGTATTTCCGGTATTCTCAAGAATCGCAGTATGTAGTCCGCCAGAAGATGAAAAGGAAGAACAAGAAGACGATCCTCTTACACAAGTACTGCTAGTCGAAGTGGCCGACAAAGTGGTAGTTCCAGTAGATGTAGTTGTAGAAGAAGAAACTACACTATAGGATTGAGATGACATTTTTAATGCGTTTTGAAATCGCCGAAATCGAGTGATGCAGCGGCCCACAGCCTCCTGGCACTGCTCTAAAGTGCTGCATTTACGCAAGACGTTCTGGTTCGAAAACACTCAGATTAGCGACAGTAGGTACTCTAAAGAATCGAATGCTAGAAGATCGCTGACAATGCAGGCCAGAGAGATGTCCACTTAGGATTGTTGAGCAGCTTATTGTGCTGTTGTATGAACCGAGACTGTCGTTGTATCTGTAATGATTTTCGTTAATCACTTCTATCAGCATTTCCTCGGTTTTGGTTCTCTTGTTAGCAAAACTCGCTATCTATCAACAGGCACGCTTTTCCAATGTGTCATAATGTGTTCCTCTTACAGTCCTTCGTGACCTTATTACATATTTATTCAGATAAAATAAGTACGTAAACTATGATTGAGAAATTTCGCCCCAATGCCCGACAAGCGAAGTTTTGGCGCGACAGCTGTTACTACGAAGAGCGTCGCCGCGGTTAGCGAGTACCGCCGGCCGCTGCGAGCACCATCCTCCAGGCTTGGGATTTCACAGCAAGCCGGCTGCCTCGGTTCGCGACAACCCCACACCAGCCTCAGGGACAGCCCCATAGAGCAACACACCCTCACGCCTTTGCTTGGCGTGTTGCCTGGCTCTTGGTGCGACTGACGCTGGCAGACCGGTCCCACGGCTCCCCCCACCTGGTGGCCACCAGCATGACCCACCCACAGAGGGTGTGCGTGTGTTGTACAGGTGTGACAGTGACCCTGACAAGCCACCGCCGGCGAAAGCCGTCGCAGCCCGGTGTGGCGCATGACAGGCCACCTGACCACGACCATGACGGTGGGCCCGAGCTGCCGCCTGGATTTGGCTTGACCAGTCGGCTCGCTGTCTCACCACATGCCGACACGCGGCGCCATGGCTTGAGGACTGCGCGACCCCTACACACAGGCCCCGCGCCCGTCAGCATTGCCCACGTGGTGACTCTTGGGCGACTTCCACAAAGTGGCCCCAGGTGCTGGGGGGCCCGCCCGCGTCCGCCTTATCGACTGTGGTGCTTTCTTGTTTTCTGCCATTCGTCCCGCCTTCACTGGGCAGGTGAGGGCCAGGGGTTGAGCAGCGCAGACACCCCCGGCGAGGGATCTTGCCAAAACTTCCTCTGTCATGGCTTGGGGCGAAATTTCCGAGTCATATAAACGTAGATGTCATATACAGGCACGGCGTACATCATCCAAGTTGACCCTTAATACTAGCTTGTATCCGAAATGCGAGGAAAGGATGCGGAAAGTGTGCGAAACAGCAGGGTCCAAATAACAGCCTTGCTGGACAAAAAGTTCTTCGCATAATGCTTCGTCCCGTCGACTGTAGTTCAGTAGTTGATCAAAGTCAAAAGCAGCAACTCGAAGAGGACCTCTACATCTTGTCTTCTTCATCGAGGGATTCTTCTGATGATCGTGGAGGAGGTTGGCTCTTGTACTTTGGTGAGGGTCATCGTTGCTCCATGGGATCGGTTGTATGTTACCGCTGGGACGCCTAGAGCGATAAATTGAAGATTCATTTTCCTCGCGACGACCTGAAATGGATCGTGTTTCGCGATTCAATACCATTGACGATTCGACGACTTCTTCTTCTAGTACTTCGAGGTGTTGTTGTTTCACATTTTCGAGTTCAAACTCGTCAGGCTCAGGGGAGGTGCTATCTTCTCGACGAAAGAAGTCTTGGAGATGACCCAGATCTTGGCGTACTTTTGAGGCTCCTGACAAGCGACTTGCCTCGGTAGTTTTAGACGTTAAATGCGTTCCGTTCTTTATTCTTTGACATCCTCTTTCTTCTTCTGGACAACGAAAAAAAAGACAGGACCCCTTTATACTCCAGTTTTCAGGCAACGCGATGCGTTGAAGCAACGGCTCGAGTGCTCGCCACTTACGTACGCCAGCTGGCACGCGCGTGGTGGATGACATCATTAGAAGCAACTAGTTGCTAGCATGCGGGCGGGCGAAGACATCATCTCGATGAAAGACCTACTGGTATTTAGACAACTACTGGCACGCGTGTCGGTCATGGATCGATGATTACTAGACTCATAAAGTCAAGATTGAAAACTAAATTGTCACAATGTTCACGTTCATGAAGATATTATATCGACTTTGGAGCTTTGCAGAGACTACATGATTCTCGGAATAGCTAGACTTATAAATGCAATCCATTCTTGTATATTGATTCACACAGTTGCACTTGTAAGTTGTTAATCTTAATACTCGCGCCAACATTCATGATGATCTACTATCTGAAGCCGAAGCTCCTCGTGATCATATCTTGATATCTTCTCATGTATGTACCATAATCCTGTAAGTCCCGAACACATAAAAGTGTCTTGCCGCGATGCGATATTCGCAAACTCTGCAGGTGAACCCATTGAAACAACCAACACCCGCCCCCTGCGCAGCACATGGTAGAATCATGCTTGTTTCTTTCTAATTACGACATCCATGGGTGGAGAATCTTTTCCCTCCGATTTCTTGTAGTTTGCCATATGCCTCAGCCACATAAAAATAACGTCAGACTCAGACAAACGCGCATCAGCTACTACTCTGGACTGATGAGAAGTCCTCTACCACAGGAGCTCAGCTCCTAGTTCTCAACACCCCTCTTTCCGGCGTTAGGTGGTCTAACATTTCATCCAGGTTCGCTTGTATGATCGACATCTGGGGAGGCACAAGGCCTACATAGAGAAGCGGAAGAACCTCATTTGTCCATATTCCGCGATTTGCAGGTGCTCCTCCGTTTGCCTCCATCTCTCCCCTTAGAGACACAATTCCAATTGACTCCTTTATTATCGCTACCTTTACCTGCTGCTATTCATATTTAACTTACACTTTCTTAGTTCTATCTACTAAGTGCAACAACATGCGTCAAAAAAATGAGGTGATTCTCTATGGTGCTCATGTTTTCGATCCAGAGTATAACTACGAGTCGTAAAAAGTCCTCGACGATGAAATATTTTTCGACAAGGCGTTGGCATCTTCATACTTATCGATGGATGCAGAATGAGAGTCCGTTTGTTTCTAATCAATAACGCAAAACGGCACGACCTCCAGCGCAAGAACAAATGCCAAAAACTGAGAGAGATCCACACTGCGGCAATCTGTTGGAGCTGTTTGCTTTTCATCTGTTGAGAGTGAAGTCACAGAAAAGCCAAAGAAAGCCCTGGAGCGATCTAGTTGAGTAACTAAGTGAGTAAGAAAAACGAGCGCGACTAGAAATGCACTGAAAACACACACAAGACAAAAACTGTCTGGCTCTATCTTTTTGTTCCAGCAGGCGTTTTACTTTTAACGCATGCCTCGCGCTTTTTGGTATGACACCGATGACGTTTTTTCACATTTTGCAATTGAACGAGGGACATATCGTTGTTCAGAATCCAAGCTGCATAAATATCATTCTACCACCGAGAATTATGCTAGGAATCCCAGACTTGGACTTCATACTCACGCGCTTGATGTGAAACTTGTTCAACTCACACACCCTCCCTATGCCTATGGCCCGGTGCTTCATCTTGGCCAAATTATATTTTGCTTCTTCATTCTCTCCAGGTGGACGAACAATTGAGCAAGACAACCAGTACTAGAAACCCCAACTCCATCTGGATCTTCATCTGTTTGTACTAGAAAATCTGTTGTAGCATCTTAGTCATTACATATGTGCCAGGGCTCAGGGCTGAAGGCTCCCCCCTCCCACGATCTAAATTTTTGAGAGGAGGGCCTTCAGCCCCAGGCGCTTTCTCTCGAGGGACTGCCAGGCGGGAAGGCCTCCAAGCGCCCACCTGCGCGCCCTCGCGGCTTCACTTGCGTGTACCCTACAGAGCCCAAACCCCTGAGGCCGTTCAAGTAGCGACGGCCGGGGGCGGAAGGCTTCCGAGGGAAGGCGGCAAAGGTGGCAAGACTTGACCCCCTTGTCGTGTTGCATTTACCCTACAGGCCTCCCGTGTGCGGGCTCCTCAATGGGGGAGTTTCTTGGGGGGTGGAAGGCCTCCGAGGGCAGCAGGTTGCAAGGGTTGACCCCCAGGCGTTTGGTGGCGGCTGACGCTGCCACCCATTGGGGGGATGAGGGCCCACGGGGCCAGGCCTCGCGACCGTCGCCGCCTTCGGCGGCCTTCTGCCCCCGAAGGCCGTTCCCCTAGGCCTAGTAGGGTCCAAGAGTCGGGACGCCTGCGGGGTACACGCGGAGAGCCACCAGGGGACTCCGGCGCGACTTTTCAGGGCTTCGCCCCCGGAAATCCTTGGCACACGTCACCACCGCGGAAAAAAGGGCGCGCCGACGCCGCCACCGCTCCATCCACAAGGGGGGTAGGGGGCCTCCCTCCCTGGTACATATACGAAGCCTCGCACGAGGACCACGAGCCTCGGCTCGCAGCAACACTCATTGTTACGAAGGATAGAGACAGCACCGAGGTGGAACATGGATATCAAAGCATACATTTTATGTTGTCTAATAGGTTGACCTTGACATATCAGCCCTCAAAGGGAGATCAATGTTGCAGATCGTCTTCCATATCTTTCTATCACATCCATTGCTCTAGCAAGGGGAAAGGGGCGTAGAAATAATGGTGCAAGAACATCCACGTCACTCAGCAGAGGAAGAATTAATGTGTGAGTGGCACAGCCATTCTATTTTGATATATAAATAGGTGCATTGAAGACCTGTCAGCCATAGAGTATTTCTTCGCTCACCTCCCCAGTAGGGAGCTTTCCTCGACGAGGAGCGCTACTGTCGTCGGAAGAACCAAGCGCTTCAACATTTTGATCTGCGTGATTTCCGTGATCGGGCCTGCGATCCACAACTTTTTCGGTAATTGAAAATGCTGCATTTTCTATAAATGAGCCTGTTGGCTTCCTGGAAGGATTGCTATTCCTGCCTTCCGTGCTTGTGGTCATCGAGCTCGCTTCCTCTTCCACATCCACCTGCGGTGCTCTTCCAGAGTCATGCGGAATTTGGCTGGGACGACACGGGAGACCCGAACACTCCGTCATCGAGGAGAGCACCATGTTGAGCGGCGAAACGAAGAAGCCCCCAGGCGTGCTGTTGCTGTCGCTTGCAACCTTAGCTTGCAGAGCGTCGACCTGTTGTTTCAGCGTCGTTATCTGGCTCTGTAGCGCCCTATTCTGCGTTCTCGTGTCGTCAAGCTCTGCGCGGATGCCTTCAGCATTTTGTAGGTCCGCCTTGATCTCGGCGTTGAGCTTATGAATTTCGGTCTGCTGGCTTTTCGCCAGTGCGTTAGCGCTGTCCAGGCTCGTACTGAGAGCGGACCCGTGTTTTGTTGCCGCCTCGACCTGCCGCCGCAAATCCGCGACCGCCTGCGCCAGCTCTGTGTTGTTGCCCGTCACTGCAGTTACATTTTGCGTCAGTTTCGTGTTTTCGGTCTGAAGGGCTTCATTCTGCATGGCGAGGCTGCTCTGTGCCGCTTCCGTGTGCGCTAGTTTCGTGTCCGTCTCTTGCAGCTGCGCACGCGTGCTGGACAAAGCCTCACTGGCGGCTCCAAGTTGCCCACTCTCCGCTGCGCTCTGCGCCTGCGCCATGTGCAGCTGCGTTACCACCGATGCCGTATCGTTCCGCTGCTTCGCTAGCCACTTACGCGTGGTCTCCAGCGCCTCTTCTCTCTTAGAGTAGAAGGAGCAGCAGGAATAACGCGAATGTGAATCACAAATTATTGTAGGGGGATAACTAGTGACTCAGCATGATGGCTCCCATTCACTCTGGGTCTCGTTACGAACTATCCCCTGTCGGCTGTGATGACTCATTGGGTACGTTATGGATCCTGCCTATCGAGCTTCATTCATGGCTTGCGCTTATATTTCGATCAGCCCGCGCCTCCTACACATACACATTTTTGGAACCACAAGCCTTAACCGTTTGCGAGAGCTGTCTGTCCTCAGTAGCGAGCTGTGCGGTCTCGCTGGCCACCGCTTGTCGCAACTGTGCATTTTCGCTCTGCACCTGAGCCAACGCGTCGCCAAGAGCAGTCGCATTGCGTTCAGAGGCATTCAGTTCCTGCCTCACTAGATCAAATGCGCTGGAAGTTCGCGTCAAGTTTGATCCTAGCTTCCCCACTTCTTGCTCCAATGCACCATAAGCCATTCGCTCTGCTCCGAGTGCAGCAAAGATTAGAGCTAACAATCTTGCGACCAGAGGAATCGTTTTCAGCCGACTCTCGTATTGGCGGTGTACAACTACAAGCGAGAGCGAGATGATCAAGATAACTACAAGCGAGAGCGAGACGATTATATACGGAGAAGAAGAACTACTACGCTTTGCATGGAAAAAGAAATTGAAATATGATGAGGGTTATAGATCAAAGTCACTGTCGCTGAGGTAATGGGTAATAATCCAAAATGCGGGGACAAGAGAATGTGAAGGGGATTCCTATTGAATTGCTGTTCAAAAAAGAATGACACTTCATATCCATTTTAGCTCCACTAGCTTTTGTCTTTCATTAAAAACCACTATACAGTAGACCTCGACAGCTGAAGGCATATTCAATCCTCGTAAGGCTAGCTGCATCAAGTCCCGCTCCCTGCTTGCCAGACTCGCCTCGGTTTGATTCAACGACTGCCGCAGTGCGTTGTCCTCACTTCGAGTGCTCGCCAGCTGTCCACCCAGGCGCTGCAGCTCTTTCGCCTCTTCAGCGTCTTGCTCTGCGAGTGCGGTCGCGTTAGTGCGCGACGCGTTCAGCGCCCCCACGAGCGCGCCTAATTGCCGGGAAAGCGCCCCGTTGGACTGGTTCAGGGACGCTACCTGCAAGTTCGCAGCTGCCAGTTCCGCCGCTAATTCGTCAGCGCGCCGGTGTACTTGCTGCGCGACTGCCAGCTTTCTCTCCAACGTCCGCAACTCGGAGAGACTATCGCTATACTGCAATTTGAGAGCCTGGTCAGATTGATTCAGACTACTCAAGGCATTTTCCAAGTGCGCCACCCGCAAGTCTGCAACCCTCGTGTTCTCCCGCGAAACGTTCAACTGCATTACTGAAGCGTTCAGCTCTAGCAAACCCTTCGACAGTTGCGTTCTCAGCGCACTCTCATTTAGGAGACGTAGAAAACCTAAACCTCTAGACCTCACCCCTCAGAAATTCCTTTCCCAGCGATAACTCTAAGTTGTACGTGGTTCGTTTTTCCAGTGTTTTGGCCTTCCTCATCAAGGCTACCACGTAGCATGTTTACATTCACCCTTCTCCCCTCAGACTTCGTCCAAAAGAAGAGTCTCGAAGGAACCCTAAGTGAAAGCGCAAGGAATGAATTTGAATTACAAGAATTAAGAAAGAAGGCCCATAAGTCATCGATACGAAGCATCGCTGTGACATTGCCGTACCTCGCTGTGTCCTCGTCTTCGTCCTTATTCAGAGATGTCCGCAATGTGGTTCTGAGTGAAAAAAATCATGATAGATCACCTACGAGTAATGAGCTTTTGAGCTGTTACTAAAACTCAGATCACAATGATGAATCAATCAGAAAGCTAAAAGACAAAAAGCAGGAGGACGACAAGTAGAAGCCTGACTTAGTTAATATCAAGAGGGTACTTATAAAGAGAGACTTCTAAGGTGAAACAAAAGAACTCTGAAGAATCTAGTACTTACACACAATCAGTGTCGTGTTACCCCCAATTCTCGATGAGATCCTCCTCCTGCTGCAATCTTCTGACAGAGAGCCGAACTACGAAAGCCGCAAACGCTATGAGCAAGACAACCTCCATACCTACGAAAACCAACAAGCTTTTCGATGAGGACGCCTTCGGCCTGACATTAGAATATTTTTAGGTGCAAGTCTGAGAGGCAATACCAGTACCAGAAATAATATTAAACACCATTCTAGTAAATGCACCTTCATCCATTACCGCAGCATATTTTAGATGAGACTACGTACATACTGAGCAAGATTCTAGAGCCCCTACAGCAACAGTGGGTAGCGGTAGCTCAAGTTGTTGAATAGCTAGAACTACAATAAGGTTCTCCTTTCCCTCGTTAAAGCGAGAAAGAAAACGATACGAACGAAACCATGGAGAATCACAAACACTGACGTAGGTCTATCTCTAGTACTTAAGCTAGTACAGCTACACCTAGGGAAACTGGTGAGATAGAGCCTGAACCATAATTAGTGTGAATAGTTCCGAGAGGTCTTCTACGTTCTGCTCTGCCTCACGGACACGGCTCTCGAGAGTTTCGAGGTAACATTTTCTACCATGCTGATCCGCTTTTAGTTGCTGCAGCATTAGAGATAGAAATTTTCGTGTGGAACATGAACTACATGCAAGCAATACGGATTTATACCACTAGCACTACTACATCGCAATTGTATAATCAGGGTGGATCATGATCATCCAAAACCTGTCAGCATAAGAGGACTTTTGCCTCGCTCTCCTGCACCGCCTGCTCCACTTCTTCCCGGAACATGTTGCCGGCTTTCCGCACGAAAACAAGCAAAGGAAGTCGTCGTGACGTGAGACGCGCGAAGTATGAAAGAAAAAAGATATCGAAGCCGATCCATGGATTTGGGTATTCGATACTGAAAACTTCTATTAAATCGACAACTTTGCAACTTAGCAATCCTCTTGACGAAGTATTTGAAATTACTGATCCAACGCCATCATAATCTCGTCACAAACACACTTGTTTTCATCTTGAAATTATATATAAATATAAATTGCTATAAGTTGATAGTGCTAACACTGCAAAAAGAACATAATTAATCTACATTACTCTACATTATCAATCTACGCTATTTCAATTAGACATTTATTAATCTATAGTATTCATCTAGAGCATTAAGCTAGAGCATTAAGCTAGAGCATTAAGCTTTAGAGCATTAAGCTTTAGAGCATTAAGCTTTAGAGCATTAAGCTTTAGAGCATTAAGCTTTAGAGCATTAAGCTTTAGAGCATTAAGCTTTAGAGCATTAAGCTTTAGAGCATTAAGCTTTAGAGCATTAAGCTTTAGAGCATTAAGCTTTAGAGCATTAAGCTAGAGCATTAAGCTAGAGCATTAAGCTATAGCATTAAGCTAGAGCATTAAGCTAGAGCATTAAGCTGGAGTATGAATAATCTATACTGTACCATTCTATACTGTCTGTCAATCTTTCCTGTTAGTCTATATTGATCACCGCCACAAAACTCCCCGCCCACCCCCGCGGAGATCAGTCCGCACGTTCCTCGAGAACCTCACCTATAGTCTCCTGCCCCGGCCTTCCCCTACGGCTCCGGTCCCGATAGTCTCTGGCCGTATTTTTGCGGAAATTCACGATAACGCCCCCGGGCATACTTTCAGAAAAGAAGCCGCAAAAATTCCCAACGGGGGTAGGGGCGCAAGCTGGGAACAGAAGTCCGCCAGAAGACATCTGACGACCGACGACACGAAACGCCATCAGCCTGGCAGACGAAAGACGTCGGCCTGACGATAGAAGAAAGATAGACAGTCTGGCGTCGGTCTTTCGAAACGCTTACACCCCTCCAGCAGGCTGCGCCTTTCTGACCGACGAAAGACGAAAGAGAGAAGCGCAACGGTTCCTGCACGTAGGGAGACCCAGCCAGCGCGGCCATGCGTTGCTTTTTCTTGGCCCGTCAAAGTCCCCCTGCCCTCGCTCTTGCCTGCCACCGCGGCCCGGATATAAGCGCTGGGCCCTGCGGGTCCTTGTGCGTGTCTGGTGGTTCTATTGATTCCGGTTTTCTGTTGGACTGCCGTGAGGGTCTTGCAAATTCTGAAGAATTTCCGTGACTCCTCCGGTAGCCCAATAAAAACCGAAAGCAGCCCGCTCGTCTTCCCATGGATCGACGTAGCTAGGTTTGCAAGCGCCCGGAGACTCGCCGCCGTCAACTCATCGAGGTGCACGACCCAGCCCGCGAGCTGTCTCTAGCTGTAGCCCGTGGGCGAAGAAGTACGAAACTTGGAGCCGTGCGAAGCTTGTGAAGGCTAGTTTGATACACACTCACATCAACTTCAATTCAGTAGGTAGTAGTTGTACATCGGCCAGATTGGCGTTCTAATATTTTGTATTTGAAGTAGAAGTACCATTACCAATAGTGGACACTCACTTCTACGGTAAGAATACAACCTGGCACAACATTCATAAGTACAACATGTCATCCGTGAAGGGGACGTTTGCACTTGAGAGCAGTTGCCACTCCAAGTGATCATCCTGTAGGTGTTCCCTGACAAAGTTGCACAATTCTTCATAGCTCTCAATGCCCAGCTCAATCACCTCCACCGATGTGTTCTGGCCTCCAGCGGTTGTATTAGACAAGGAAAATCAAGCGAGCTTGTATTGTTCATGCCACCTGACAAAGAGAAATGTAATCATTTTCTAAAAATTCTCATCTGTTCGCTTCCGGGGCACGTGCCGCTAGTAAGTACGAACTAGTTCGCCAAAAAATAGAAAAGCAAGGCTTCAGAGCAGATGGCATCCATTCCGACCGGAGACAGTTTCTACGCACTTAGTCAAAAACCATAAGTACGCGCGGTGCGGCAAGGCGTCCCGTGTTTTTCGATCCAGGCCCAGTTGGATGAAAAATCTTAAGCTTTACGAAAAACCGTGTCTCATAGTTGAGACCGCCGTTTGCATTCCGGTGCTCTTCCATGTTTTTTGAGTTTCTGCGGATATCACCAGCAACGCTTTCTCACTCGGTTCTCTCGAAATTTTCCTCGACTGCTTTTTCGCAGCAACAGGCGGATAGTAGATGGAACGAAAAGCTCTAAGGATCATGATCATGTTCACTTGATTTTGATAGAAGATCTTGACCAGGTCACCGATGCATGAAAACATACGAAAAAAATTGTAGAAATATGCGTGTTCAAGTTCACTGGAACACCAACGGTTGTGGACTGGAGTTGCACCCAAAGAGGCCGTTTTTGACAGTGCAGGTGGCGACAAGTTGGATAAGATCAAGTGCCTATAAACAACTTCTACATGTCCATACTAGAGGTCTTTTCGAAAGGCTGGCAGTTCTGCTGCAAAAAGTACCGAGTGTGCCCACCCAGCATACTCTGCGCCAAACTGCTTGACGAACGCATGCTGCGCCAGGTGGTAGGTCTTGTCGGTCAAGGATTCCGCAGCCCCAAGCTTAGTGTTCAAGCCGTATCTTTCCTTTGCGATGGACCAAACGTGGGTATCGACCGGTACTAGGCCAAGGCCATCGCATGCAAAAAGGGCGATACAATCGGCAACCTTGTGCCCAATCCCAGGATACCGCATCAACTCGCGAACGACGTCGTCCACTGGCATTTTCCCGTTGCTCAAATGGTATGAAAGGGCCGCGAAATATTTGTTAGTATGTACTGATCTCTTCTCGAGCTCTAGCAGGCATTACCGCTAGCGTTGCACTCATGCACATGATCAAACGCGCGATATTCTGTCAAAAAAGCAAAAGACGTCCTTGGATAAACGCGTGAAGGTGGACTTGTGATTCATTGAATATATTGGATGATATAATATGAGCAGCGGACTAGACGGTGATTGATCAAAGATTAGTCTAACTCTGCACTAGAACATGATAATCTTTATTAAACGAGCACTTTGGTTTACTTGATGATATAATTATCAAACAATGCCAAGAATAAGAAAATGCAAATGGTGAATGTGAATGAAGATAACATAAATCTTCCAAGCGATGAGTAGGGAGATCTGTGGCCTGCGCTTTCGTTTTCATCGTTCTTTTCGATGATTCGTCGCCGGCAGTTGACGAGCTCTTGTTGGATGATGCTGTTTTCGATGGCCCTGTTCGTCCTTTCATTGCCTTTTTTGCCGTTGCTATCTTGCTCATCTTTTTTAGGACTTTCTTCCCCGGCAGGGCTCGTACCATTTTCATAGAAGACATCTTCTTCTCTGATGAACTCTGCTTTGCTTTGTTGCTTTTCGCTTCTTGCTTGCCAGCGGCATCTACAGGAGACGCCTTGCTTGCTAGAGTACTAGCCTTCTTTCCTTTGGCGCTCTTTTGGATTTTCAGCGTTTCGTCAGCACCAGCAGATGGACCAGATCCAGAAATTGAATCTTCTCCTTCCCCTGGTACTTTTTTGTCCGGGCAAATTTCGAAGCCATATATTCTCGCTAGATGTTGTAGAATCCCGCGTAAGTACTTCGCTCGGTAGCCAAGGCCCAGCTCGCGAAAATCTCTTTCCGTAACAGCGTCACTCCTAAGGAACTCTGCAACCGTCGGAAACGTGTACATCTCTCCCAGGCCGCTAATCGCTTTATGACTCTGTGCTGATTTTGCGCTAGGAGTTGTTTCTGCGCCGTTACCGCTAACCTTGTCTGCGACTGCGTGATCTTGAGACGGCGCTGTCGAGTTAAGATCTCCAGGAGCGTCGTGATTCATATCTAGATGGCCCTCGACAGCATGTTGTACTAGATCGCCCGTATGACTGCCTCGTGCTGCATTAGATTCTGGTACTACCTCTGAGACATTGCAACTGAGAACCAGTCGGCGTCCGTACTTTTGACGTATCCGACTGAGAATTTGAGAAATTCGTGCGACATTGTTGTTCTGGCTCATGAGGAAGGAGATCATCGTCTCGAACAGGTCCTGTTGCAGTAGTCTCACACCCACCAGCTTATTTGAACACCGACGAAACCATTTGCAGGCTGCACTCCATTTAGCGTAAAGCGGAGCAAGCTTGATATCAAGACGGAAATAGCATCGTGGGTCGAACATTTTCGGAGGCAGGGAGAAGTCATCAGGTTCCCCGAAAGACGTTGGCAGCCCATGACCCTGTGGGTTTAATACCTGCGTCAATAATGTTAGACATCAAGATCGAGAATCGAGTTTATTAACGATAAGATACCGATAGTACTAATAAAAATAAATAGAGATAATTGCTTGCAAGCTTGTTCGTGTTCCAACTCCAAGAACATCCACAAAAACTCAGGAAAAGGATGAGCATGATATTGATGATAGATGGCACTAGAAGTAGTGGTACTACTTCTTTACGTATAGATGATACTTACACAACATGTTCATCGACGTCCTCATCAAATGAATCATGGTCCCTTATACCTTCATTCTGGTCGTGCTAGGCAGAGATTCGAGAACAAGAGCAGTGTCACCAACAACGCCCACCCATTGGCGCCGTGAGGCTTCAGAAGGTGTAATCTCCGTCCAACCGAAAGCCTGGCCGATTGGTAGCGTATGCTCCAAGCGAAGCTCTTCTGGTGCTATACAGAGATCGATCCAAGGCGTTCCCAATGCGGCGTCCTTTTCAGAAAACCTTCGGTAATGTTGTTGGTAGTGCCCATTCTTCGCGTTCGTGTTCGTCGTGCGATAATCATAATGCCCGTTCATCTCTGTGATGGTGTAGTCCGCTTGCTGCTGACATTTCCCTCCGTTTTCGTTGATGCCATTCGTTCGAGGATAGTTGCCATTTTCACCACCAACTTTCCTCCTAGACGAGGAGGATGACGAGCTAGACGACGCAGAACCGCCAATAACGGGAGCCGACAATACTGGATCCATCTTCTAGCTTTACTTCTACTTACTAGATGATCTGGCAAAAATCCTAGTAGTTTGAAGTAGTGCCAGAAGTAAGTGCCTAACTACAACTGAATGGGGCTTCTTGTTCCCGAGGCAAAATCCAAATTCGTCAAACAGTTCAACAAAAAAAACGCTAGGATTTCAACAGAAAAACTTCTAAGCTTCACTCCAATAAAAGCAAAAATACGATTTCCTACATCACTGGGCGATCACTTTTTTGGAGTTATGCACATGAGAATCTATCTTTGGGAACAAAGGAGGGTCTATAGCGTCGTCGTGGTCCCGACGAGAAACATTCGTATGCTACACTAGCTGTTTCTATGACTATGCCTTGACAAGCTCAGCACCATCACTTCATCTTCTAGCACAATGTTGCATGATTGGTTCGGGTCGCCAAGAAAATATACTAACAAACTACCATGATCACGTTGGAAACAAAGAAACTTTTGCTTGAATGATGTAACATCTCTAACATATTCAACATCTTCCTAGTAGTGTCTGTCTACCTTCGAAAAGACCGCATCACATCAGCCATTTCATGGTCGAGAGCCTCGAAGCTGTTCAACAAGTTCGAGGCCTTCAGAAGTGTGTCTTCATCATGCGTTTGTTCCAACAACGCAAGGAGCGACTGACGACTTGCGGCGACGTTGCCCAACACTCGCCGCACTAGCTGCGAGAGTCTCGCCCGTGCGACCTTATCTTTGTCGCTGTCCTTGTTCTGCGTCTCGCTATTAGTGTTTATCTTTCGAGCTGCTCTACTATTCTTGTTTTCCGTGTTCATTTCTAGCATTGAAGAGGAAGTAGGCAGAGGATCACGAGGGCCAGTTATTGATGGTTCCCCTTGCACCGTGGCTTCCCGATTTTCATCTCGATCTTCTTCTGATTCTCGCGCTTCTCTCGAAATACTTTGCGTTTGCTGATCGTCCTCCCCTCTCTTCGCCACATGAGACTGCAAAGCGTCGAAAAGCGTCTTGAGGCCCTCCGGGGATGCTACTGCGTTTGCGTCCACAATGTCGTCACCACCGTGAAGAACAGCTTCGTTGTTCTCCAAGAAGACCCTAAATCTGTCTTCAACAATTTGTTTGTCCTGGTCATTTTTCATCTTCATCTCGCCGAGTTCCAATACAGACGAAGAAGATGTTGAAGAAAAAGCAGCTTTAGATGAAGCCTTTGTGATGTCTTCTGTACTTTTGCCAGCGAGAGAGGTAGAGGCTGCAGCTTCGACGTGGTCGTCAATATCAACAAAATTACTGAGAAGATCATCGACTTCATCTGTTGTCGAGACGAGCTCAGAAGAAGTAAGTCCTTCACTTTCTCTACTGCTGTATCGTACCCCGTTAGTCACTTCTGCTAGTTGTACTGTTGTCGTAGTAGGTGGAGTATGAAGATCATCTTTGTTTTGCCGTTGCGCTGGTGTAGTGCTCTTGGTGTCGAATGCGTCGAACTGTAAAAACGACACTTCACTCGGCGGAAGATAAATGCGAGTGTCATCATTGTCGTTCGTTGGTCCCACTTCGTCTGCATCGGACAGCATGTGGGAACGCTCCTGCCAGGTTTTCTGCAATAAATGCCACGCGGCAAGGCCTGGTGACTCTCCTCCAGCAGTGTTCGCCTGCTCGCTTGCCCCTGGCATATTACCTTTCGGGTAGGCGAGGATGACGCTCCCGTGGTGCGCTCCTACTGGAGTATGATGAAGATGATCATCCTGATCATAGTCGCTGTCCACTGATCGGGGATCAAGTGCAGCTTCGATGGCTGCACGGTTGTCGTTGCCGTTCGCACCTCCCGGAACAGGTACTATCACGACTTTACCAGCTACATCGCGACGTCGCTCTAGAGTACCTACTTCTACTGCAATCTCCCCCACATCCGCATGCGTTTCTTGCGTGAAGGCAACGACATCCGTCACGTGTCTTTTGCCGTCTTTGCCCGTCACGGAGGGCATCGCAATGGCCTCGCAGAGCTCAGCGTGCACAGATGGATTGCAGAAATAGACAGGATGAGAGCGTCCACGAAAGAGGGAGTTCACCTGTTGCACTTTCCGGTCCGCATAGTCGTGTACATTGCTCGTGGTTCCATCGTTCAGGATACTGTGAAAGTTTTGTTGCCTTTAGTTGCAAATAATTTGTGACTAGGGGATACTCATACTGAGACATAAAAGATATCTAATCGATAACTAAGATGAGAATCAAAAAACCCTCAATGGGTCATCATGAAGCCAAAAAAAATGTTACTCGGTCTCCTGCGTCAAGATCGTGTCGGCGTTGTCCTTCAAATCTAAAGTTTTCGGCAAGTCCTTGAAGTAACTTTCTTCGTGCGATGATCCTTCTGCATCGGTTGCCGTGTGACTCATCATTGCGCTCTTCCGTACTTTGTCGTAAGATGCTCGCTGTTCCTGTGACAACAGGCCTGCGCGAGTTGGAGCTTCAGATTGCACTGCCTTCGGAAGTGCCTCGAAAGCCGGATCGTCCAAGTACGACGCGAGCGTGAAGAATTTCACGCCTGACATCCGGTGCAAAGTATTGTAGTCTTTGATATCTTGACGTAACTTTTGCAATACGCGCCTCTGGCTTTGGAACACGTTGCCGCCGGAACCGAGAACCTTCTCGTCGCAGCCATGTACCTGCAAAGCCGCTCGTCGGAACAACTCCCAATTCTCCCGGTTGAACAGAGACTGAAGTCGTTTAGCCAGGAGCCCTTTCTTGTCGGTTGTTGATTTCTTACTACCGGCAGCACCCTCTTGTTGTTGTTTGCTGGTGGACTTTGATGGATCAATAACTTCGCGTGATGTACTAGTTGCTGTCTCGCTTGCGGCGCCCTTGGTTGCTGCAGCTTTGTTTCCATCAGCTGCCTCACTTCGAAGCTGATGCTGTTGTACTCGCACATTCAGATGTTGTTCGGTATCGACTTCGAGCAAAGAAATTTTTGCTTCAGCTGCACTTTCTCCGCCAGTCACGTCAGCTTCCTCGCCGTCCACCGTTATGAGTTTCTTCTGGTGCAGAAACGTGGGAAAAATGTCGCTGTCGAAGACCGCGCAGTAGAGTCTGTCTGCGTGTTGCAGCAAACTGGCACCATAGCATTGACTCGGACTCCGCAACTGCCGCAAAATCGTTCGGTCCGCAATGCGCCGCATCTCTCGGCGCCTCTCACCAAGCGGCTTTGTGCGGTGCGGCAGAAACTGCACGAAAGCGTCATGCATCATCTTTCGCGGCCAACTATATTTTTTCACCTTGTTGCTCTTTTTATCGTCGTCCTCATCCTTCTTCTGTGCACCGTTTTCAGGCTCCTCCTCGAACACGGGTATCCGGTAGCCACGCCGTGAGCGTTCACGAAGCGAATCCACGTCGTTTTTCAGATTGGCGCGCAAAGCAAGTGCCCCTCCGTTCGCAGCTTCGCCGTGACTAAGAATATCATCCATTGACAATGCCTGCCCTGGCTTCTCGTCGTCAAGAGCGGTAAGCTAGAGTGGGAAAGAAGTATCTCTAGCTCACTTTAACTTCTTCAAAACGACAAAAGCGAAAAAAAGTATTTCATCGAGCATTCATCATCCTTCTTTCTCACCCAATGGTCATGGTGTTGAATCTCACAAACTAAAGTTGATGTTCAACATTTTTCACCCTTGCAAAAAACGAGGAAGGGGGACCAAAACCATAATGATAATAATAATATCAATTCCATCACGATATTCATAAATATGTTTTAGGTACCCTTCGTGCGACGAGATATCTCTGCCTAGCTCGGCTAATTTCCGGATCGCACGAGAGATTAGGGGTCAGATCCTTAGCCTCTGGTATGTCGAAGCCTAGCTCGTAAAGAAAGACGCGAATACTCTCCGACTCGGGCACGGCCGCCAACCAAGGATCCCGTATCAGGCTGGAGTCCGACCCCAAGACAAGACCTGCAGAATCATCTCCTGACGAATGTTGGAAGTTAGACGCTAATAACTATTCTTTGTTGTAAATGACCATTTCATTCAATCACCTCGAGAAATAGCAGAAGGATCTACAGGTAGAGGCACTACTTGGCTTAACATATTTTCTTCAGAAAACGTACCTAGCCTGAAGCCTATGAACGGCAGAGCGAAGGCTTTTGAACATGTACATGGACAATGTGAAGAATGCAATGATGTATTAAAAATGATCCATAAGCAGGAGTCGGGATTCGAGCGTGTGTAGTGCTGTAGGGTTAGATCCATGCACGCGCTCTAGCACATTGACCATTGCAGCCGCCTTCCGCATGTCGTGGGCTGCCGAAGCGCGTTCTTCATGACCATTATCGACCCCCAAAGTTGTCTCCACATACGACTCTGGTGAAGGTGAAGTAGCAGCTGATGTGAAGTAGGTATGATCTCCATCAGTTTTTTTACCCGCCTCGTTTACAGTTGTACGAGCGTCTGGGTCTGTATCTGCTTCTGCTTGTCCTGCTTGATGACCTTGAGAAATTTTAGCCTTGGTATTAAAATAGTTGTCCGCGAAGATGGCATGATCAGAATCGAGGTTCGCTTCCTCTTGAGTCCGTCTGTGAGTATGATAATCATCTCGATCACTGCTATCAAAAACCTGCAAGAAGCTACTGGGACCCACGAAGAATCCCGAAGTGACGACATCATCTGCACTGCTAGCTGTACCTTGTTCGCCTTTAGGCGAACCCTTAGAAATGCCAAGTGCTGCTGCTGCTGCCGCTGAATCTTTTCCGGAAGAAGTAGACGTAGCGAGGTTGCTTCTATGCCGAGAGCCTACTGGCGAAGATTCACGGCGCAACATGCGACCTCGTGCATTGGAGAACGAAGGAGTTGCTACTCGACGCCACGGTTCGTCTTCGTTTGACTCATTACGTCGATCATCTGCGGCCGTTGCTGTCGCTACAAGAACGACGACCAGGGACACCAGGAGGTGAAATCGCAACAAGAAATACGACAAGAACATCAACATGCTGTTGCTTGTTGGCCTAGGACTAGGTCTTTTTGGCGATAAGAAAGCTGTTCTATCTTTCAAACGCAAAGTGAAGACAACTAAAAATAACTTCTGTGCTTATTATCTGGTTCCAGCAAATTCAAATAATATACATGAAAATCCTTCGTAATCTCATCGCGAGTAACGAAAACGAGCGAATAAAGTATGGGTTTCACACCAGGCGACGGGATGGGAGGGGTCAAACATGCCCTACCTAGATAACAGAGATACAAAAAGTAGTCATTTTCTCATCTAAACTTATTGTTATAGATACAAACGAAGCGTGGGGGTGTGGCGGTATGGGAGCAACGAAGAAAGATGCCACAGAAGGCCATTGCTGAAAATCAAAATACCACAGACCGGTGGCCGGCTGCCACGAACTTGAAGTATCTAACCGATAAAACCAAAATCTTATGACCGACTGCACGTGCTAGCGCATAGCTACATGCTCCAATCAGTCGCTTTCGCTAATCAATATTTCCGTTTTTGCTGACTTTGCACCGACCATCTTGGATTCACCGAAAATCGACGTAAGGCATATAATCGACGTACTTGCCTCATCATGATCGTGATATCACTTTTTGTGCCTTTCACCGATACTTTGTCACCGAAACGCTGTCCGTAATGTACTCGAAACTGATGTTGTCCTGCTGCATTGCGCGACGAGTCTTACAGGTACTGCGGCTGCTCCAAGGTGACATATTCAGCATGCTCAAGCACCTGTCACCATCATTCATCTGCATCTCTTCTAACGAACACGCTCGGTCAGCGGCGTCATGATCGAATCTCGATTATTTCCTGCGTTTATTATAATAAATATAAATATAAATAACAGCCGAGGAAGCGTCAAACCTACTTGAGCGCTATTAAAGATAAAGAGTCCGATCAGAAACAATCAACTTAAAGCAATATAGCCCGTTTCTTACCTGCTTGTGCTCAATCAGATACAACATGAGCTGATCCTAACAATTCGTGTCATTGAATCTACAACGATTCTGGAAGATTGATATTGCTCAGCGCCAGAGCTAATTCCCAAACAAATAAAGGAATCCAACCCCTCCCAGCAATCTTAATTTATTTTGTGTTTCGTCTCAGCTCCAAGCGCAGCTAATGCTCCCCTCCTAAAATTTTTACGCCGCGTCGTGCAATAACGTTGATCACATCGCGTGCCGTTGCTGTTTGTCTTCCGGTGTGGTCCAACATGACGTTTACGTCAAAAACTATCTCCGACAAGAGATCGCTGAGTGTTTCCCTGAATATAGGGTAGGTTTCGTATGAGACGCGGCGTACTCCCCCACGGCGGGCTAGGCGTCTGAGGGCTTGTCTCTTGATACCGACAAGAAATGTGCTCTCCCGCATATTCATCGCCCTCACGAGCCGTGGTCCGGCGTTTGGATCATTTCCAGAGTTGCCTCCTTGTCCACTGAGACCTCCACTTCGTCCAACACATGCAGGAGCGTTGCCTCCATTGGAATCTTCGCTACCATGAAGAAATTCGCCGTCGTGCAGCCCTCTGCCCGCACCCCCGAAAGCGCCTCCGCCAAGCTGCAAAGAAGATGAGGACGTAGACGCTTCTCTTGGCACGAACGAAGAGGACGCAGATGAAGAGCCAGTACTAGTAGTCCCAGTATTGAAGTTGTTAGCAGTTCCTAATGCGCCTCTGACGCGACTCCTGGTGGCGTTAGCACGCCCTCCACTTGGAGTACTAATGCTAGTTGTGCCGCCAGCGATATTATCTGTTTCCCACTGCTCCCTTGCTAGCAGCTTCTCACGCGCCGTCTGCATTCGACTCTCTTTTCTTCTAAGCACTTTTTCGTCCAAGTTTTCATCGAATGTTACGCCTTCGTCTAGAGTTACGCCAGCAGGAATCGTTGGAAGTGCTCCTTTCTCCTGGTGCAATATCTGCCGCCCTAGTCCTGGGTCTTCATTATTCTTATTCATCTTGTCCTTGCGGTTGCGTAGATAATCTATAACCCCACTGAATTGAGGCACGATATTAATTCTTCGCTTAAAATCATCAGCCTCACGCTCAAGCTCAGTGGCCTCGATCGAGTCAGAGCGCCATGCGCACCGACGTCACGATGTTTTTATATAGGGTAGATCTGTTTGGCGTCACAGTCCACTTCGAAAAGCGCAGCTAGGTAGAGAGTCCACTGATTACTCTCTCCTTGAGCCTTTACGTCCGGCACTACTTCCACCAGCTGATCAACCCCAATATTGTAGCACGCATGCAATGCTCCTGTTTGATACAATGTGCCTGTTCGCTATCAATATTGTAATCTCAAAAGCCTGGAAGTCGACACAACGATACTCGGACGATGATTTTGATTTTGAATGCTACGAGATCGACATCAGTACTCAGCAACCGACCCAACAACTTTTCTATGAGATTATATCTTTCTATGCATTTTCTGCGAATTCAAGACACAATTTTCGTCAATTTCGACGTTCATGAGATAGTTGGATGTACTCGCCATGTCGTGTGATGGTCATGGTACGTCGTGGTGTGGCTTCTAGAGCACAGCTGAGGTCGATCTTCATGTGCTTCGTGCTATACAAAAACTATGACAACAAAATAATCTATGCGTAAATCGAATATGTGGAACTAGGTTATAGTGCTCTAAAATCAGATGACACGAGCTCATCATAAAGGTAACAAAGGATCGAGTAGTTTTTGTCGTTCTCATTGAAGAAATCAATTACAATTCACTGAAATCCCGACCAACACATTCGAAATGGAAATGCTGGCTGCAACATAGATATCACAACTTCAAAGACTCACGTTTACTTGTAATCCTAATATTGCACGGCCGCAAGAAGGAAAAGAACAAAAATCCCGACCAATTCTACAAATTGTTCTCAGTTGCAGTTGCTGTCAGCTTGTTGAGATCAGTTGCAGTAGTTGTTGTTAACTTGAGATCGAGATTTTCCCGTGTCACTCCACCAACCTGCGCATCATCTTCTTTTCAAGACTGCATCTTCTGCATAACTCTTCGCACACACTTAGCCACCATTCGTTTGTTATGTGCCTTATCCTTTCTCTGCGTTCTCCGATTATTAGACAACAGTTCTGCCTCTTTTCTACACACAGTAATACTCGTGGTCAAGAGCTAATAGCATCTTGATGATAGTTGTTTCTTCTCTTCTAGCTCCCTCTTCTAGCACCTACTTGTTGTCGTACATAAGATACAAGTATAGTAGAATTCGAATAAACCACAGGAGTAGGTTGCAGGTTAACAACATGTATACATAGTAGTAAGAAAGAAGAATCGATGAACGAAATATTTCAAGGAAAGTAGAATTCGAATAAATAATCTTAATCTTCAGCCGTAAGTGTGCCACTCAAGGGATACGCATTTTCCAACAGGGGATCATCAGGGGAGTTTTCGTAGTCGTAGCTTCCGTGTGGTCCATCATCGAAAGGGCGTCTCTCAGTAGCCTGAATTCCACCAGCAGCAAGCAAAATGCAACCGTGAAGTATGAAAGCGAAAGCAATGGAACTAGAAGAGCAGTGCGGCATGTGAGTGAAAGAGAGTGTTTCTGGTTCTAGCGTATTTACCTCCCGAAGAAGGGATGAAAGCGCAATTTGTAGAGGTGACTTCCCACGACGGCCGAGTGCATTACAAAGACGTGGTACTATTCTTGCTGGTATCATCTACGAATATATTTATATTCTTTGCCATAGCGTAATTCAGCTTCATCGGTACGTCGGAAAAGTAGGAGGGATGTGCAGGAAGAAAGACGTCAGCTCCAACCATCGCCCGCCAAGCTTCGAGGACGTCGTGATCGAGATGCATGGTTAGATCCCAACCTTCTTCTTTCGACGAAGTTTTAAAGCTACCTCAAATTCATCATCATGCCTGTTAGTGAGAATCCGCCAAGGCTCAACAACAAGAACAGCTAGAAAGTTCCAGTTGAGATATGTCGTATAGGGCAACGGTTGAGCTCCAGTGAGGTATCCCCACAGTAGAGATGAAATGGAGGTGGTACCCTTAACAGTCTCGAATTCGTCAAAGTCAGACTTCTTCCAAAAGACGTCTTAGAAGACCGGTTATGCGTCCTGATAAAGGTTCTTGTTACTTCCTTGCACATAATTCCTCCAGTTCAAAATCAATTTCTATTAGAATTCGATTAATTAAACAGAATAGGACGACGAGTAGCCTTCGTTTGCTAGGCGCGACTGAGAATCTATTGTGCCAGAGTTGGCGATCACAAAATGAAAGATGGATCCACAGATACTTAAACAAACGAGCTCATACTCGTCCGATTTATTTCACTAATTTCCCTTTGTTTCGCGAAGTGAGTTAAGACGAGTTGATAAGGCATAGCTGTGACTTTCCGCTCTCACGGAGCTGAAGAGGTGCACACTCAGTTTTCGGTTGTGAAAAGCTTCCTTCAAATACTTCAGAACATCGAGATACCTGAAATGGATGAAGTGAGTGAGATGCACATGTAAGCAGGGAAAGAGATAATAAGGGAAGCCAGCAGGGATAAAGGCAAAGCCCAAGTCAGTGGGTGGAACTCTAACTCACAATCGCGATCGTAAAAAACATTGCTAGATGTAGATGGGGCCACGAAGTGTACACTCATTGCCAGAAGCAGAAGCGCTTTCCTTTTCAAGGAAGTCCCACAAAAAATAGATACGAATATTTAGCGTTGCAACAAAGAGAAAATCGTGATTGACAAAAATTAAAATTAGTTTCTGGTGAAGGATAGACGTGAACGTGATTATCAAAAATTTCAATATAGACACCATCCATTCGGGGTAACATCGCGTGCCGAGTTGTCTTCTCGTCGCAAGTGAAGGGCCACATTCACAATTGCTCCCTTGGCGATTTCGAGCATGCTCTTTCCCCTCAGGAAAAGGTTATCGGTAACAGTCCTATTCAGGAAGCGCGACGAACCCACAAGAAACGTCTCCTTTAACAATTTCCGAAATTCCGGAGGCAAAACACTGTTGACCTGCTTCTCGATCTTGATCGAAGGAACCCATAACAAATTAGAGAAGGGCTAGGTACTACTAGTTATAGGGCCTCTAAGCTGATGAAGCATCTATCTTTCTCTACTTGTTACTTGTACTAGCACCTCTCATGAAGAAAATAAAGAATATGGATACGACGAAGGAAAATGGCATGTTTTTGGGCGCCGGTTAGGGGATCCTCCATCATCTTTAAGGATTAATCCTCGCGTATCCTTCCTACATAAGATTAGGGACTTTGCCAGAAGCGTGCTTCGCTTCCAGAAGCAGCCGATCCAAGTCTAACATTACCGCGTTCGCTGCCGGTCGTAGGTCAGAACCTCCCATAGGACCCCATACGACATTATAGAGCTCACGGCGACGATACCTGTTCATCTTTTCTTGGGTGCAACTTCTGAAATTTCCGATAAGAAATCTGAAGCGAACCCATAAATTTGGTGAATGATAATTATACTAGAGAGGCTTAGAGACTTATCGGCACTGCACGGATCGCCGGAGCATCGGAAGCTCTGCCTTTGTACTCGTTCGCGACTCTTTTCACGAATTCCAGAGAGCCAGCTTGACTGCTCCCCCACCAGTTGCTTTCAGATGTTAGAACAATTTTGAATTTGCGCACACCTTCTGCTTCTTTCAGTTAGACAGCACTTTCTTCTTAGTCTGATCGGCCTGCAGCTGCAGAATGTTGAAACATCATGGTTCTACCTATCGCCAAGAACTACGTTGTTGTGTGGACGAAACAAGAGCAAACAGGAAAGTACGAGAGATATAAATATTAATGGCTTCAGACACCTGTCGTACGTTCATCGTTTTGTTCTGCACATTATCTGCAAGCTGCACCTCTGGTCGGAAAAAGAAATGCCGAAGCACCTCATCGTCGGAAGTGAAATTGAAAACGGCCCTGTACATCCGTCGTCCATTCACCCTATGCGGCACCGCTCCATTAAAAGCTCCATCGACGATGTCTTAGAAGTCCTTCATCTGCAGAACCAACATGATTGCTATTGCGTTTTACAATTACTATTTTTGCTCACTATCCAACATCATAGCTAATGCCACAATAGAAAACAAAATGAAATGACTCTCTTACTTTTTTCTAGCACTACAGTATAGTACGGATCAGCATCTTATTCATCTTCATGTAATTACATCAACACTAGTAGCGCCAAAGCATATTTATTGATCATATGTCCTGATGGTGCGCCGACCGCGACCCAAACCCTGTTCCTGAATCATAAAAAACACCGCCGAACTCCATCTTGTGCGCTTGCGCGAATGCCATTGCGTTTATGATGCTGTTAATTCGGTGCCCGATGCCGTCACAGTGCTCTATTACGAATAGACGGCCGACGGGCGATTCTTCTTCTAGAGCTTGCAGCACCTGTTTAGTCGTCGACTGCTGCGCTATATCGGAGCTTCCTCTTTCCTCGTCATCCGTTGATGACGAAGTCTTCTTGTGAGCCAATGACGTGTTTTTCGTCGAACCTATTTCGGATGAGGCAGCGCTTTTTTCCACCGTTGCCTTCAGTAGTCCAAAACGGCAAACGGGCGAAAAACAGTAGCCCTCGTCGGAGGAGACGGTCTTTCTCCGCTTTTCCACCTTAGATTTACTACTCTGCTTTGTCTAGTTAGAAAAGATAGTTCAGATTATAGTACTTAATAGATTGTCAAGATTGTCACACATCGAATTCGAATGGTGTTTCCGTGACTGATTGAGTGTTCTTCCCGATAACGTCTGAGAAACTTTCGCATCCCCTCAGTCTCGCATAGTCAGACAGCACGACAAGCGGAGAGTAAGGTGTACAAGAAGATAGCAAAAAAGTAGTGGCAGTAAAAAACAGTTTGTTTGCCATATTATCAATGAAATTAAGCTGCCGCGAAAGAAAAGACGACTCTACAGGCTGATTCTGGAGTGGAGAAAATGATGCTGCGTGCTGCAATTGTCTACTACGACTTTGTCGTGGTACTATAACTCTTGCCTTACTCCGAAGAAGCTCGCGACCGGTGTGACGCGCGTCACTGGGCGATGACAACACAAGTAGCACCCAGGCCACATGTCCTAGCACCGCCACCATGGTGCTCCTTTATTTTCGTCTAGTTCTACTCGGCCAAGCCCACCTCGTTCGTATACTTCTTCGAATGGATTTGTCAGAAAAAGACTGACACACCAGGAGCAACAAAGTAAAGCTAAAGGTAAAGTGTGCCTTGTCCAAAGAAGCCTTCTATACTTCTTTCATATTCATCAGAGGCCTTGTACTTAAAGGTCCTTTCAAAAGAAAAAGGCTATCTACTTCGTTCCACTCCTTTCTGATACTGATTTTGAAATTGAAAGGAACTAAAAATTTTCTTGTTCGAATATGAACGTGGGTGTGGCTGGGGCACAAGGTGTAGGTAAAATTCATGAACGTCAACTCATTGTCTCCTACGAAATTCCATGGCTGTGCTCGTAGCGTTACCATTGCTTTTGAGAAGTGCGTATTTTCGTAATATGCACTAGCTGCTGAAAGCAATTCTTGGTGATTCTGCTTGGGAGTGGAAGATTGTCCTTTTCGATTTTATTGGAATCCGCAGAAAAAATTACAAACAGAGGAAGCGAATGCACTTAACCGAAACTCCCGGTGAATGTAAATTTTCTCTTTATCATCTTCTTCCTGGTTCTCTTTTTCACCTGCTTGGCTTTCTAACTTATTTCCTTTATCTTTTCCTGCCACCTCCAGCTCCACTATCAAGTTCTATCATCCCTCTGTTCCTCCTTCTAGTTCTACCGTACTTCTTGGCAACACAGCCGAAAGCCTCTGGGTGCCTGATACTCATGACAGAAGACAGGACAGACAAAAGACAGAGGTAGTAATGACAGAAGATAAGACCGAAGAGAAGTGAGACAAGGACACTCTGACTTCTTTTTGCTTTCTATTATAGTATGTCAGTGGCTGTTTGACCGAAGGCGAACGCGACGAAGCAAGACAGAATGATCTTCGAAGAAGCGACGTCAAGTCGCAATGATGGTAAATTTGATGGCGCCCGGGAAGGGAGATGTTGGCGCTTGTAATAAATTGTGTTCAAATGAGAAAAACAAAAAGTGTTGCGTTCTCTTTGTCCAAAATGATCCAGCGCTCTTTTATTAGCTGTGACAGACCAAGTGGCTTCAGGTTGATCATGCGGTGGATGATATCTGTGACCTTAAGCAAGGGTAGTAAGCATAGCACTGCTTATCTTCCGCCACCTCCAGGTTTCTTCCCATATCGATCGCCCACTTTTGCTTGCTTCACTTTTTGGTTGATTTCCTCGGAGGAGAGGAATGTTGGCATGTTGGCGTTCAAGGAGGTCGCGCGACTTGCGTCTTCGTCCGCGCGCAGCTTGCGCCGCATCACGCCTTCGATGTGTTCGCGAATCATGCGGTCCCGCATCTCTGCCGCAAAGTCGAGTTTGCCGTGAAGAAGCGTGGACCTTGAAATCCGACTCCCCAGTCGCGCGAATTCCATTCCCGAGGTTAGGTATTTGTGTACGTCCAACTCGCCGAAATGCTGACTCTCCTGCAAGTACTTGTGAAAAGCGGTGCGCAAATTCTGCAAGACGATGTCCCGCCACTCGACCAGGAGGGGCTGCACTGCATCCTGAAAATTCAAACCAGCAAGACCAGCAAGCGCAGGCGTGGAAACCAGCAAGGCTTTGACCTGCGCAGAGAAGAAAACAGAGATGACATCTTCGAGAACATGAGGATGATGGTTTGCATCTTGACAGCATCGGCAATCGATCATGTGTAAATGTTACAGTTCACAAAATCAGAGGACAAGAGTTGCAATATAAAATTCAGATTATACAAAATAGTAATAGTACATGGATTTTCAACTAGTTACTTTCGTATTCTTTCTAGCACATTCACACACGCAGTACACAATAAAATGAGAAGGAAATCCGAAGCTAAAGTATACCTCGCCCTCGTCGAAGCCTCTGGGTTCTAGCATTCCGAATTTTTCTCGCAGCTTGTCGAAGAGGATGCGCTTTCTGTCCTGCAGAAGGTCGGAGCGGAACTGCTGCAGCTGTAAATCCAACTCGTTGTCAACACTTTCTGTGTTGATTCCCACTTCCTCCAGCTTTTTGCCAAATTTTTCCTGGAACCGCCTGTCCCCTAGGGTCTTCTCCATGGCCAGACGACCCGTAAGGCCCTCTTCCCACGCCTTTTCCTTGAGTTTCTCGAAGAACGCGGTTTGGAGGACCGTGCCGATCTCGCGTCGCAAGCGCTGCTTCGCGTTCTCGGCAAGGTCGCCAGCTGTTTTCGCTTGTTGTTCTTGTCGCCGCCGCTTCGCCGTTAGCATGCGGCTGTACACGAACTTCTTCTTCAGGATGTCCGTGTAAATCGCCTCACACTCCGCCCCAGACAGGGAAGGATGCGACAGTTTCGACGCGATTTGGCCGTACCTCGGAAACACAATATCTTCGCCGTGGCCGTCTTGCAATGATCCATCGTCCTCTTCCTTCTCCACGGAGGCCTTGGCCTCCTTTTTTTCGTCACCGTCCAAGGTATTTTCAGGCTCAGCGTCTTTCTTGTCCTCTCCATTCGCATCTTCTTTGGTTCCCGCACCTGCTGAAGAGGCAGTGACAGTTGCTGAAGAAGACGCCTTTGGCTTTGCTGGAACGATGAAGCTGCCACCGAGAGGAGCGCGGCGCTTGAGGGACGACGAGGAGTCGGCAGCGGTTGCTCGCGATTGCGCGATAAAACCCTGGAGAAAAAACTCCGCTTTTTCCGCAAACTCTTTTTTGCCAGCGGCCACACGGTCCTGCGCCTCCTTGAGCATGCCTTCAAACGCTTCTTTGACCAGTCGTTCGCGCTCTTTCCGATCGATGGCCTTCCAAGCAGGGTCGCGTTCGACGTGCCGCTCGACTCCGCGAACGATCCAAGCCATCTGTGGTGCCCGCTGGTTGCCAAACATGCGCAGCGTGTTCTGGACGCGCTCGTTGTTGGCCAGAAGTTCCCGGAAGTTCGCCAATTTGTCTTTCTTCACCTCCAACTCTTTCGCGTGCTTCTCTGCCTGGATCTTCTTCCCCATCACTTCGAACAAGGCGGGTCGCTCCTTAGGCGGAATGCACGAGTAGCGTTCGTCGTCGACCATGCGCGGAAGGGCAGTGGCGTAGGGTAGGTCGTACAACTTGAGTTCCTCAAGCATTTGCCGGAAAGCCATGTAAGCGGCCAGAATGCGCTCCTGTGCTGATTGGCCACTTGCCTCCGGCTTCGCGCCACGACCTTCGCGGCCATCGGATTCGGAATCAGATGAGACGACACTTGACGACTCATCGTCTTTAGTATCTTTGTTAGCTGCTGCCTTCGAATCTTTTGTCTTCGTGGCACCAGGCATTTCGACATCGACCCTACAACTACTATCAGCGGCCGTATTTTCACCGCCTCTTGTGATTGGTCCTTGTTCTTGCTCAACTTCATCACTAACTTCTGGGATTTCTTCGCAAATGTAGTGTTCATCCTCTTCGTCTTCGTCTCTCGCACGCTGTGGCACTGCGGCGTCCTGTTCCTCCTCGTCATCATCGGGGATAACGAAATCGTCAAGCTCATCTTCCGCTGCATCTAGTTCAGCAAGTGCGCCGGCTAATTCCAGTGGCTGTTCCCACTGACTCGTCCCGGTCTCCTTGTCGTGGTAAAAAATTAATCCCGTGCTCGTTTTTACTCGAAGCCACGTCGTGCTTCCAACTGCCGTCCAATCCTCAGATTCTCCAGGCCGCGGCCGCATGTCTACTATTTTCACCGTCTTTATTCTCCTCCCACCGCGACCAGCTGATGAGCCCGAATAGCCTCCAGCACGTTCTTGATCATTTACCGGTGTCGTGGGTGTTGGAATCACCCAGACGCACTCGCCAGACTGTGTGTGCTTGAAGTAGACTAAGCCCTCGGTCGTGGCGTGTTTCTCCCATATCTCGTACCAATTACTATCGTTCTCCGAAGTACCCTCGTCTTCATCCATCCAGTCATCGTCCCACGAGCCGCCTCCTGCACCATAAAAACTAGTGCCATCGGCTGCTTTACCTGTCAATGTCATTGATTGAATAACAGAATTTCGTAGACTAGAACCCGAAACGTGCTATAAATCATGATAATTTCGTCCTCACACGGCTGTCTCACATCTTCACAACAAATTCTGCTCAGTGGGAAATCCTAGACTTAGTGCATCCGCTACGTTCTTCTAATAAATTCAAGTTGCAAGACGGAGAGCATTTGTAGTACCTCCTTTTCCCCAGGCCTTTTTGCCAAAGCCTTTTTTGCCTTTCGATGGTCCGTACTTGCCCTTCATCGACATTTCCCACCGCCCATTGAGGAACTGCAGCCTAGGTCCCGCAAGCGCGAGGAAGAACCTGGGTCCCATAAGCGTAGCAGTTTGTGGCAGATTCAGTGTTTTCTGGATATCCTCCACGCTGCCAGCATTGCTCGTCGCTGCATCACCCATCACTCTGAGGAACAGCATCGCCAACTGTTGATCGCGATCCGCCTCTGGGAAGGAGTCCATCTGATCGATCACCGCAGCCGACATGATGCTGCTTTGGGACGAGAGGAGTGAGGATGCCTGGGCTGGCATACGAGCGGTTGCGGCGAGGAAATTCGCCATAGAAGGGTTAATTTGAGGGTTCAACTTCGGGTCGGCGTTGATATTATTCGGCATCATATTATTCGGGAACATCATTGGAGAAGGTGCTCCAGGCGGCATTGGCTGCATGGGCCCCCCCTTTGGCCCACCCATCATCGGCAGTCCTCTCATGTTGGGTCCTCCTGGCATCATAGGAGGCTGCCGACCGCCGTCAGGAAAGGTCGATGTTGAGGATGAAGCCGGATGCGAGGGGCCTCCAGGTCCTAGGTGTGGTTGACCAAAAGGCACAGCCATACCAGGCATAGACATCATGCCCATGGGTCCTGGCTGCATGCTTCCGGGCGGGCCTGCGCAATCTTTTCCACCTATCATATTCATCATGCCACCTGGTCCCTGTGGGCCGCCCATCATGTCCATGCCACCTTTCGTCATGTTAGTGTTACTGCCGTTCATCTTGCCTCTCTTTCCCATCACCGGAATCATGTTCGGATTGCATTTCATCATGTCGAAGTTCGGTTTTCCCCCTCGTAGAAAAGGTACAAAACTAGTACTCTGCTGCTCGTCAAATCCATCCCGATGTTTTGCAGCCCCCGCAGACGATGCCGCTGCTGTTACTGCCTCTGCACTAAACAAGGATGAAGAAGAGCTGCTGCTCGTTTCTGCTGTGCCTGGGGGAACGGCTGCGGACACTGTTGCACCTGGTGGAGGCACCGGTGCAGCTAGATCACTTTCACTTTGATATCCAGCTCCCTCCTCAACTGCTGGGCCAGCATCTGGGACATCCGTATCTGGAGCGGCCTCAACACCAACAACGTCAGGTGGAGCTTCTTCGTTACTCGTCATTTTTCTACATTCCGAGGCAGTTTTTCAATTTCATGTTACCAGTCTCAGAAAGAATCTATGCCACGACAGCGACAGGTACGAAAAGAGCAGGTCCTCAAGTCTCTTCACGTGACCCTGACCATTGTGTGACCAACCACATCATCACTCCTACGTACTCTTCGTCTTCCTGCCGCCAATTATCAAATAATTACAGCGAACTGTCATCTTCATTGATTTTGATAATTGTAGTCAGAGACTTCGTCTCAATACAATCCCGCGACCGGGAGCAATTGGTGTTGGAAAACGATCACCTACGAAAAGTTCCTCCAAAAGCAACATCGGATCCACGGACCAGCAGGATTCTTCATCAACATCTTCATTGATCATCATCATTTTCTGGAACCATGAAAAAGCGTCACACTTGCATCAGCATCACCTAGCATCGAGAATACTGCACAGTGCGTACATCTAGATCGGCGCAGAGCTTCAGCTTCATCAGTTTGGATTCCATGACACCGCCACAGGAAGAACAGAGAGACAGAGAAATCAACTGTAGCAAGCGGGAACGAGTGGAGAATCGTTTGATTTTCGTGCTTCTCCTATTGATTCCATTGATTTCATCAGTCGGATTTCATTCTGCAGATACATTTCCCTCCGTATTCAGGAGATCAGAGCAACGGCAATCCCACGGGAATCATAAACATCCTATTCCAGGAACACGGCTCAGTCACTGATATATCGCCAACTATCATCTAATACATTCATATAATATACCGGTATATTTCTTCACCATCATCCTGCTGGTGCGTGAAGTCAATAAACTCGACATCGAATTTTTCGTCGGGAAGGAGGGAAAAAAAGTATTTCATCTTGCTCTGGTAACGAAGTGTTGGATGTTGTTCTGGGGAACAGACTCATTCGAGTCTCCTACTTATCATCCTCATTTCAGGCAGATGTTCTACGCACCGCCTACTTTTGGCGCATTGATACTTTGAATGTTTCCTTCCCTGTCGTAGGTAACGACCAGCGGTGCATCGTCTCGTTGCTTTCTTTCGGAAATGCCGCCTGTGCGTGCACTCGCTGCGCGATTGTCGCAGGCAGGAGAGCCAACATCCTCTCCAGTGCCAGCCGCAGCCAGAGCGCTCTCCATGCAAGAAACAACGAGTCGCACTTTGCCTCGCACCTCAGCGACATCCTCTTTCATTGCCAAGCATCGCAGCATCGGCATCATCGAGTGCTCCTCCTGCAACACAGCGCGGCCACCGGTAGTCTTTACGAAGAGATAAAACAACTCGACGATGCGTTCTCGAAGGTCATCATCGAGAAGAGCTTCTTCTGAGGCCGAGGAGTTAGGAGTAATACTAGAAACGGTGCTAGTAGAGGTGAATTCGGTAACCTCTTCTGCGCTACACAAAAATCGACTTAGGAGTGGCAGTACTCGCGATTCTGATAGCGCTTTCCACAATTTTTGAGCGTCTGCTGTCGCTGCAGCGCTTTGTGGATTGACTTCGGTGGATTTTTCGTCACAAGCACTGTAGGCGACGGCTAGATCCTCTGCATCAACTTCCCGAGCCCCGGCTCTCTTGGCCACAGCCCCGAAAACAGAGAGAATCGTCTCACGACGCGCAGGATGCGTCCTCAGTTGTTGTGTAAAACTGCGTAGAGCACTCTGTTCTCCTTGTGCTTGTCCCATAGTGAAAATACTGAGAATATCCTTTGTCCCACCCATTTCGCTAATCCGCTGGAAAACAGTGGTGCCGGGAATCGCGAAGTCACGCTCTAGAAGGAGACTCTGACTATCGGCTACGCGTTCATCTTCAGGCATAAGAGAATCTTCGAGCAGGAGCGAACTCCAGTCTTCCTTGATCTGTTCAACATTATGATTATCCGACGACTTTGACGTTGAAGAACCTTTTGACGAAGTCACTGCTCCAGTTGCCGCTAAAATTCCCGGTCGCGACATCGCGGACAGAAGCGCCGGCGCGATGACATCGATGAAAGCTCGGTAGTAGGTGTCGCATTTGCAGTCGTTGTCAATGTGGCGCCGGCGAAATCGCTGGCAAACTGGACCACTCAAGTTCCCGAGCGCCATCAAGCTTAACGAAATATTCTCACGCAGCAGAGCAAGCAGGGAAGTAAACTTTTCGTTGACATCCTCGCTTTTTTCTCCTCCAGCTATGTTTTCTGACGAAGATAAAAACGAAGAGACATCCTCGAGCTGCTGGATGCGTATGAGCGCCAAAGCAGTAAGAGCGCCACATCCTCCAGTCCAGTGTCCTACAGTGGACGCGATGAGGCTGTCCGCGATAACGTTCTGCTGTGTCAAATTGATCATCGCTTTCAGCGCCAGGCTCACGGTCTCGCAAGAATCAACCAACTGGTCCACCATGCTCTGGTCATCGTTCATCAGCATTATATCCATTGTCTCCCTCGATTTGGAGTTAATGTGAGTGTCGCCGTCGTCGTCGTGTGTCGTCCTCGTGCATCGCGGGGCCAGAATGTCGTCAACAACACGCTTTGTGTTTGATTCGTGGTCCTTTCTAGTACATTTAGCAACGTTTTCTTCTTTCAGACCACGCACCAAGCTAAGCCATTTGATTACCCCATCAACACGCCGAATGGTCACCATGCGCAGGAGGGTGTCACACACTTTTTGTGTCCTCGCAGCAAAAGTAGGGTTTTTCTCCATGCTTTTACCGTCTCTTGATCGTGGCTCAGTAGAGGCATCAGCACCCCTCACATACGTAAGGAACCCTGTGTCCTCGGAGAGGCAAAAGAAAGCCTCTGCCAAACCCCGGAGAAAGTCTGGCGATGCTGCTCCAGTAGCAGGTCCCATATTGACCACATCGCCGTAAACCTCGTCCATTTCGGAAGGAGACGACATTTTTGTTACTGATTCTCATAAGGATGGAGTATCAGAACCAGATCCAGAAGGATTACGTACTTACTTCTTGTGGACTGTCGACTTTCTTATGTAATATCGACTGCGAAACCTGCTTTCAAACGGGAATTATCAAAACAAAAAAGTGAGTCCTAATTGAAAAGCAAAGGTGATTCGTGCCTGCCTGATGCTGAGGATAGATAGGAAATGTTTTGGAGAGAAGTGCGTTTGACGTGACAGCTGAAATTCAGTCGTGAGCCTTCTAGTACAGGCATACAATTACAATGGTATTCCAAGTTGTGCAAAATTTGGCACTTGATGGTCAAAAATGGAACTTTCATCTTTCCGCATGCTAATGATCAAAGTTGGAACTTGATGATCAGAGTCTTTCCACAACTCAGTCTAATCTTTCTTGTGACCATTTTCGATCTGGCGTCACACAAGTGGTTGACTTTCAAACAAGGAACATGAAGCTCGACGGCACATCGGAGAAAGGCTTGTTGGAGAACAAGATCGACTGAGATTCAGAAGTGCGTCTCTAGTAATGTGCTATCAGTATCTTCATCACCAGCACTTTAAAAAAATTATTGTCACCACCGTTTACGTTTAGTGGGAAGGGGCAAATCATTCGAATGTCGGTAGGTTTTTCATGAAGTACTAGAATTGTCGACGCCCCATGACAGCTGCTGGCCATCTTCTGAGAGCACTTGTCCTTTGATCGCTGCCAGCCTACCGGAATCGACGAAAGCGCTCTGCACGAAGCCGCGAACAGCATCACAAACCGGACTTAACGCTGGCGTCATCTTCTCAAATCGGTCGAACCATGCTCGCAGAGAAGGCCGACCAGCCCACACGGCTTCACGTGGCCAGTTCAAAGTTTCCGAAGTCAAAGGAACCAAAAAAAAAATTTAGAAGAAGCTTGTTTCTGTTCTTTTACTCTTAGTCTCGCAGGTTTCCGTTTTCTCGTACTTCTACTTGTTGTTGTTCAACAATGTTAAATATATATAACTACGTGTATCGGACTCTGGGGGTCACCCTCTAGGAGTTGCATGTCCAAGATCTTTTATAATTTGCAGGTGTACGATGTTCTTAAACTACCACTCGGTTTGTTGTAAAAGAAATCGACATGCCTCTTAGGTGGCATCCGCAGTGTTTAAAACTAATACTAATTATTAAGCGTTATCGCATAGAGAAAAGTCGGATAGAGCACCAGATCAGCCATTGTCAAAGCTGGGAGGTTTGCGGGTGCTGCTTGAAAGAGATTTTCCAAGACATCAAGCTGCTTGACCAGATCGACGGCGCGCGCACTCCGGTCTTTCAAGGTCATATCAGCCTTGTACAAGGAAGCCTGCGTTGCGAAGTACCCTGGCTGACTGCAATTGGCGCTCGCAAGATACAAGTCGTGGACGCGAATCAATACTTAGAGAAAATTGCTCAGGGCGTAGTCTTTTTGCAGGTCGTGAAAAAACAAGCGAAGAGAATCATGTCACAAAAATGGCTATGCACATTCATAGATAAAAACAACAAATGAATAGCTCAATTTTCTTGTTTTAGAGTACATTGACCCCATAAGTACTTAGTTCATCTCTTTTGTGCCATACAATAGGTTGACATGTGCCCTGCCCTCGACAGTTAGGCCACCTCGGAAGTCGTCGTATTTCGCAGGTGCCGAGGCACGCAAAAATTTGTCCGCCAACAATTCCAGGATCACTTGCGACTCAAACCACGTTGAACCATCCTCCAATATCAAAGCTGGAAACTTTCCTTGCGGATTAATCTTTAAATATTCTGGGGACTTCAGTCCGCCAAAATCTTTGGGGGATTTTACGTCCACAGGCTCGTCGAAGCCGAACAGCTTCAGAAATAACAGGATCCTCGCGCAGTTGTTTGTGGGCAACGAAATGAGAATAGGCCTCTTAGTACTGCAAGAAGACATTTTTTGAATTTTTCAGATAAATGAATTTGAATATTGTCTGATTCTTGTTTCGCTCGTTCTCGTCTGTTCTACAACTATTTTTCACTACCTCGTCGTTCTCATGCTGTAGTGGAAAGTGCATTGTTCTTGTTCAGCTTGTATTTCTTTGTTTTCTATTAAAGGGGCCACTCTTAATTTCATCTGCCGTTCGGATCCACGCAGATCGTGCTTCCGTCCGCGGCATCATACGTTGTAAAGGCCTCCACCCCTGGCGTCCCTGTCAGAACTGCAAAGACGAAGGAACAAGGAGTACCCCAAAACAAGAGAAGGTGTTTTCCTTCTTCCCGACAAGACGGAGGTAAGGTGATAAGCATAAGTTAGGACAGATGCATAACATTATTGATGCCACATCGATCACGACGACTACAAGCAACCCATGTAGTACTAGTATCAGTATGTGTGTTCGTAGACGCACTGAGGTCCTTTGTGCTAACGTACTAGTTCTTCATCTCAACAGTTTACATCTGCAGCTTCTACATGAGTTTTGGCGTCGGTCTGAAGCATATCAAGATATGCTGAATCCAACTTGACGTGGAACAAGTAAACAAACCAATGTCGATTAGGATTCATCTGGCGCTTGTTGATTTCGAAAAATCCTCATCAACATGTACACATCAATGACAAATTTGTAATCCTTATATATACAAGTAGTTCTACTCTACTACCAGTGTGTGTCCCAACAAACGAAGTGTCGTCATCGCTTTATTACGGTCCCTCGCTACGTTGGTTTACGTAGTGGTAGTACACACGAAAAACGATGAATATATTATTTATGTGCTCATCTATGAAAAATGTTCCCGATTTGGTTAACATTTTTTAGATTCAAATTCAGCCGCACGCGTGATGTGACAGCTATGTGTGGTAGTACGTGAAAAATATGTTCTGCATTGCTTGACAGCGTGGGTAGTGCTACTGCCCGCGCCCCAGCGCATAGCGTCGCGCCACAAGAGCACGCCACGTTCGTGTTGATCACCCATCTGATTCTTTGTTCCCCTTCCCGATGAACAATCACCTATCAACATAATCATTCTGTTTGATTCCCTCTACTCCGCTAATTCCAGTATGATGTCACAACACCGGATCACAACTACGGATCATCGTCCAGAACCTCTCACGCCTCCGAAGGAAGGAGCAGAAAGATCCGAAACTCTATTTCGATTTTTAGAGGTAGTTAGAAATTTGCTAGAACCGTTTGGATTTTGAAAAATGATGGAATTCATTTCATCTGGAGCCCGTCGTCGATAAATCCAAAACACGGATAAATGACCAAACTAACAGAAATGAACCACATCAAAACAACACCACCCCCAAAATCTAGTAAATCTCCATCTCCTTCCTATTATAATCATTTTCGAACTGTCTGGATGTTGTTCCGAATCTAGTGTGCGGTTCCTTCCATGTTCCGTTTCATCAACCATTACCATCCGATCGCAGTTCATAATTTTCATAGTACATCAATCATTTCTCTATTCCTTCGACCATTGATTAGCATTACTAACATGCTTGTTCCAGTTGTAATTGTATTTCCGTTTTGGCGATGGTCACGAATATCTTTTTTGATGTCCGCTTGTTCTACTTACCTCCTCTTGAAAAATCACATGTCAATATCTTCTATTGTCGGCATTCTCCTCGGCATCTCTATCTCTTACCTTTTCTTGTCTACATTTGTTCCGACAACTAACTACTTTCGTCCTTTCAACAAGTTTACACAGCTTCCACACTTCAAGGCCGTCCTCGTGCCTCGGGTTGAACGGCGGGTAGACCTGCGAAAAGGTGACGAAGGACAGTGCCGACTTCCTTCCCGGCTCTACCAGCATCTTGAAGCGCTCGGGATTGATCAGCAGGTCCAACCGACGCAGTGCCGGTGGATGCGTTTGCACTCGAACCAGGAGAGTTCGAAACTCCAATTCCATTAGCAACGCCTTCGCAAAAATTCCCGACGCAGCCGACTGATTCGTCACCCAAGCTTCCCACCGCTTTCAGAACTTTGAGAAATTTCGGCACACCATTTGCCACTAGCTCCTCCGTTAACGGTCTAACCTCAGCAACGAACTCGCGCCAGGCTTCAGCGACTGCCTTGCCAGCTGGCGGCTTCGGAGCAGCATGACCATGAGTACGTCCTCCCACAGCGCCAACTGCAGCGTTCCGTTGACAATGAACAAAGAGTAAGGGAAAAAGCTTCCCTTCATACTAAGCACAGCTCTATCTAGCTAAAATGCATCCGACTCCTCTAATTTTCTTCAATGGTTGCTCATGCTCCTTACACCAACTCCAATGGCACCCCCCCACAGTACAGGTGTTGTTTGTTTCTAATAAACATGGGATTAGATCGATGCATGTGCGAACCTCTCATCTACTCGAAAAGATACACATAGTCGAGTAGAGATGACTTCATCTCGCTGCAGAAAAGTTCACTCATGATAATGATCAAAATGGTTGTTATTGTCCTTTGTTCCATAGCCCTCTGCTCGGCGACCGCGAGACCGGCTTCTTCCACGACTAGACGCTGCACCCTCCGCTGCCGCAATGTGAGGAGCTTCTTCTTCAGCGGCAGAACGACGCGGGTTCGCGGCAGATGAAGATGCACCTCTACCATCGCGCTCGGTCAAAAACGGTCGGCTGCCAAACATGACTGCAATACTTAGCACTAAGGTAATGTGGTTAATATTGTGGCCAATGGACTCCACTTCAATTCATCCTTTTTTTTTGTAGTGCGAGCGAGTTCCGATAAGTCAGAACCTACCTGCGTACTTTCCGCGTAGCTACCGGCGTAGGGGGGAGCTCTTAATCTCCTTAACAAACTACGCTACTGCCCCTACGATTTTAAAAATGCAGGACCCTAGGAGCAAAGGCAGGGGCAATTACATACCTAATACCTGCCACCCGGGGCGTTGCCCGTCTCCCAATTACGCGCAAGTCGGTTTCTACGATAATCAAATTTCAATCCAATTGAGAACAATATATTATAGGAAGTGTGAATTACTTAAAGCTTGTGGGATTTCATCGTCAATAAAAGAAACTGATGGATCTCTGTATTATCATTTATCTTGCCTTAACAAACCGTCCAAATCCAATTCCCTGGCAGGACGTGCCAAGTGCTCGTCTCCGGTCGTGCCGCGACCTTCTCTACCTGGCATAGCCATGGCAAGCACTGGACCATGGAAAAACAAAAAACCCACAAGGGAGAACAAGGCGGCAGCGATACTCTGCTTCATCTTGCTGATCACTTGTAGTTTATGAATGATCAATTCTTACTGCTCGGATGGATGATGATGTTCTGGAATCTAGTACTTGATGTGGTAGTTACCACAGGTGTTGTTTATAAATTATGATTTCTTCGATACGGCTGTTATGCGAGTTCGACGTCTTGTATGATTGTATTCCTTCCGATCTTCGTAGTTTTGCGATGTTTTACAACTTCGTTGTTTCTGTATGTAGTCGACAACATCAACTATCGTGAATGATGCCTCACGTTATCAACCTTATCGCTTATGTTTAACGTTGTCCGTTGTGATTGTGATTTTGAACACGTGTATGTACGTTAATTATCCTCTCTCGCATTTACGCTTTCAAATAGACAATCGAGTTGCTGTTGTATTCAATTTTTTTCGTTGCTCCTGTTTTTGGCATTTGGACAAAGGGGAAGATGATAGATCGGAAGTACACTAAACCTGCGTATTCAAAACACTGGACATTCTTTCTGTTGAAGAAAAGTTATTCAAAACTTTTCACCGATATCCAGTGGTGCTGGTGCTACAATTACACAGATGCGCTGTATCATGCCATAAGACAACATCTACTTACTTTGCTTAGGCCTCGATGCATCGACTTACACAACAGATATACAAGTACAACGCACTATAAAATGCAATTTAGATGATGCTAGGTCATCATCAGCGAAGAACTGACTGCAGGGCGATGTTGAAGTTGAATCATTTGAATTCGATTTAACGTCGCGATATATTGACGAAATTGCACCATCATGACTTTGGAACAACCATGATATCGTCCATGCACCTTTTCAATGCGAGATCATCAGGTACTCCCACCATGGTCGAGGGGTAAGGAACCCTCCTGCTTAGAAGTGATATGGAACCGAAGACACAACGTGACTTTCCAGGTACTTGATGTTGTTACGCGTTGAACACAAGTGCCTTTGACATCGACGCTGCGTTCGTGCATGTTGAACACTTCCAGGTAGACAAGAAAACAGTTCGCAAATATTTGACATTTAGAATTGCGCATAGCATGGCTTCGATTCAACAACAACATCGTCCACTTTGAATAGAGAAAGAGGATAGCGGTGGTTTCGCTTCTTCTGCCACATTGTGGTTTTGGAATCACTTGCTTGAGCCCTGAGGTGCGAAAAATACCGAGGTGTAAAGCTTGCATTGTCTATATTGAGTGGTTAGTAAGCTTACTTCTTTCTAGCACCAGCCTTACGCTTAGGCTTTCCACCTCCTCCAGCACCCTGTTTGCCTCCCTTTTTCGACGCATGCTTTTCTTCGACTTTTTTCCTGTTTTCGTTTTCCTTTTCCTGTTCCTTCTTCTTTTCCCGCTCCTTTCTTCGACCCTCCTTCGCGTCGCGTTTCTGTTTCGCTTTTTCCGCCTCTTTTGCCCTATGGGTCGCCAGCTTCTTCTTGTCACTCTTCTGGACCTCCTTTTTCGCCGCGCGTTCCCGCTCTAGCTTGCATGAGTTCATCCGCGCTAACATTCTCGTGTACTCCTTGTCGCTCTTCTTCTTGTTTTGAAGCGAAGAGGATCCACTTCCAAGCTTGTTGAACAAACGGTTCTCATTCTTCACGTTCTGTATTGCGAGTCGCTCGATTTCCGCTAGTTCTCGCTCGCGCGCTGCCTGGCCTGCTCGACGTCCGCGTTTCTTTTTTGTCGTCTTCGGAAGTTCAGACGTTGTTGTTGACGAAGCAGAAGTGTCAACAGAAGATGCGGATGAACTACGGGAGTTCCCCTTTTTCGGTTCCTTGACAGTGGAAATTCTTTGTTCGTCTTCCTCGTCAGATAGATCAAAGCAAACACGTCGCTCGTCGCCAGTCTTCTCCTTTTTTGATCCACCTTTCACGTCGATGTCGTCATCTTCCGACACGGCCTCAGACGTCTTCTCCTCGTCTTCAGAGTGATCTACTTCGTCATCTGATTCAGCATCTCCTGTAGCGACCACACCAGTCTTCGCTAAAGCAGAGGTCATGTCGTCAGAAGAACCGAGGAAGCTTACCGCAGCCGCTGTGCACCGGAAAGGGACTTGGAATTCCGAAATTTTTCGTCCCGCAAGAGCATTATACACCTCAACCGTGCCGTCTGCGAAAGCCGCAACCACCAAATCGCCTAAAGGACACAGGAAGCGGACGCGGCTTCGCTCAGACTCGACAACAGGAGCTTGCCGCACCTCAATTTCCCGTGTTCTAGATGTAGACGAGGAGGATTCCTTGCAGCTTGGATCACTTTTCTGCGACTTCTTCATGTCTTCATCTTCTCCTTCGAGTGATAACTCTTCATCCTCTTCTTCCAATTCTTCTTCCTCCTCTTCATCATCTGAAAGACTGCTAGGATCCTGCTCTTGCTCATCTCCGTCGCTGATGTCCTCCATTTCTACGGACTCTTCATTATCGCCCACAGGCTTGTTTTCGTCGGCAATAGGGACACTGCGTACTCTGCCTTCTGCGTCGCCTAGCATTAGCCTTGTCTGGTCCTTCTGCACGAGAAAGCAGAGCGAAGTCACACGCTTTGCGAAACTGTCGGTTGTGATACTCTGAACGGCAGATGTCGGTGCGTTCACGATCTGGATGTTGCGGCCGTCGCGCGGGAGGATCGCCAAGTGCTTTGACTCGAAGGCGAGATCGACAATGGGAAGGTCTAAGCCCAAGTGCCAGACGGGCTGCGCATTTCTCATGTCCCACATGCGCAACTTGTTGTCGCTGTGGGCGGAAAGCAAAATCTTCTCCTCCTGATCCGTGGCAAGCGCAACGACGCTCTTCGTCTGCACCTTGTGCAGTTGCTCTAAGTCCTGCGCGCGCCAAAAGCAGATACGGCCGTCGTCACCACCCGTGACGATATGTCTGTTGTAATTGTACAAGCCAAGAATAACAAAAACCAATAAATATCAACGAGGACCACACGGGACGACCACGAGCACTGGTACGACATGAATAAGGTTACTTTTTCTCATGCCAATGTGAAGATCTGTGTTAGCTATAACTCATGGGCGCGGCCGCAAGCCTAGCAAAACATAAAACAATAAAACTATGTTGATTCAAACTCAACACAACAAGCAGAACAAAAACCTTAGTACTTATCTTCATACAATCCTTTTATGTTGATCAATCGACGTAAAACAGCATCGAGCAATAATCGTTCTTTTTACCTTCTAAGCACGCGAACTTTCGCAACGGCTCCTTCGTGACCCAAAAGCGTGCCTACATCCTTCTTAAGGTTGAGGTCGAATACACGACATGTGTCGTCTGAAGAAGCGGAGACTAGAGTTTTGCCTCGTGCATGCATGTCTTTGACGCATCCTAGATGTGTCGTATATCCAAACACGAACTTCCCCTCCCCAACGTCCCATCCGCTCACCTGCCCGTCGTACGAGCCCAAAGAAATCAAGATCGACATCTTGATAGATTGAATATTCTACCTAGCCTTAAGTTATTTCAGATTTTAGACGTACCGTATGGTGCTACCTAACCTTAAGTTATTTGAAGAGAAATCGAAAAAGCGATTGAACAGGGGAATCAACGGTATGGAGGCGTGGAACAATAATAATGCCTGTCAGCTTTCTTATCAGGGGAAATATCAACATCAACATGCAAGAAAAAGTTTTTGCTACGACTTCAAACTGACTCCTGCTGAAGGGGGAAAATATAAATAACTGGTGTTCCAATAATTGTGGAGGCGTCATTGTTCACATTCAAGTGCTTTGAAAAGTCAAAAATCCATCACAATACGGAGGTACTGATAAGAAGGTTGCTATAATACGTAGCTGAAAGAAGTCGGACTTGTAATCATGCAGATGATCAAACAATAAGTGCGCCGGTATCTTATCCAGAGCGTTGAGGATCTACTGAGTCTCACTTCTCGTCCTCGATTTCCAGTAATATCTAATTTTGAAAATCCCTTGATCATCGCACATGAGCCTCCGTGATCAATCAGAAGCTTGAAGAGAAGCATCTTGGATCTGTGAAGCCTGAAGGTAGATCTTGTTCTCGTGGCTTAGGATCAGCTTGTGATCAGACAATTTTTTAGATTGCGGAAGCGGATGAGCTTTTTGGCTCTTGTTGTGATCCAGCTTAGGAAGAACTTTATTGAAGTAGATTTAGTACGTTGTTGCGCATGTGTTGACTAAACGAGCTATTCAACCGGTACGAGCGGAGATATACATGTGGTCATAGAGGGCGTTCCTTCGACCAGAGTCATCGCGAGAGGATTCATCTTGAGGAAAAATTCATTTTTGATAGAAGAAGCGTTAAAAATGTGGTGCGCGTCGTTCTGGTGTATCATAGTCTTTCTAGTATTCTTTCAAGTATCTTCATGCTCCCTTCTTGTTGCTAGCGTAGCATTACTGTATTCTTTCAACCCAAGAAGAAGTTCAAGTTTCATCGAAGCATCTGAAATGCTGGCGGTACTTATTGTTTTATCGTAAACTCCAACGACGATTGTCGGCTCACTATTTTTGAGGCATACAAGACATGTGAACTCGTGATGGCTATGGCTTCGCCGTTATGCTTAGGCTCGGATGGTGAATTTGGTGAAGATGCCTCTACTCTGTCATCATCAAGTGACAAACTCATTTTGGTATAGGCCGCCCCTACACCATACCAAGTCCAAGACCATACCAGCCAACCTGAGTAACGTTAATCGACAGCCGACTTCCACCTAGTCTAATAGTAATATGCGACTCTGAAAATAGTTACAGATAATGACGCCTCGCCTTGATTCTTTTCGTTCTTCCATGATGCAGATCGTGGGTGCTATTTTTGATCTTGTTATATATATATATATGTGAAACTAAAAGAATATTGGCAATCTATGGTGTATTCCCTTGATCTTTAATTACTTAGTTTTATGTCTTCCTGTGTGCATTGCCATTCTTAGTAGCGATGCATACAGCCTATTCCACATGTAGCTAGCCAATTTCTTGATGTCGAGTCTCCTTCTCCCGAAATGATCCGACAATCTGGAGGTAGGCCTGTATCTTTTTCAGCAAAGACGATAGAAAAATCTTCTGCAGCGTTCCAGCTTCTTGTTCAAAAGATGTGATGTCAAGATCACCAAGCATATGACGACTTCGCTGGGCGATTTTCACAGACCCACTTATAGCCATCTAGCTCCTTCCCTGGTCTTCGTGCACGAAGCAGAAACTCCTACGCGACACAGGTCCACAGGAAGAACAGATGAAACAATAACAAATAGAAAAATTGAAACTACAGCTACACATTATTTCTGGCGTAAACGAGAAGGAAAAAAAAACTAAATACAAGAGTGATTATTCACAGAGCAATTTGATTCACGATACAGATTGCGACGCCAGCGTCATAGACTCTGTACTTCTAGAACTTATCATATTTATAACATGCAAACCCTGATATCTACCCTCATTCTTTCATTCATTTTTTGTTGCGAGGACTACTTTTATGTCATTGTAGATATTAACAACGAGACTTCTCTGGCCCTATGTTATGCTGACGCATGGCTATTGACAAACACTTAGTAGACCCACAACAGCGAAGGAGGGAAAGCGCCGCCGTCGCGAAGCTAGTACACGAAAGGGCAAAAGGAAGAAATTATGTCGGCGCGTATAGGGAAAGGGCATTGAGATGAACGATGCTGATTTCAATCATCCACGTTGGGGCGAAGGTCGTCAAAAAATCATATTGGTCGCTGCAAAAACTGAATGAAGGTCAGCCGATCAATCAGATTTTTTTGTATTCCGAGAACGTCGAAAGGGTAACCCCAGTGTTGTCCGGTGTCCTCCCCGCAGCTGCGACTGCCGCACCTCTACGCTGGGGAGCGATATGAGGGAGCGACATTGTCCCCACCGCGTGCGCCGAATCCAGACGCGCTTGCTGAAGAAGCGAAGAAAATCAAATTAGACGAGGACTTTCCCAGTGCTAGGAAAATCGACCCAGGACGGCGCAAGTCAATAGTTTCAGTGCGGCGGGTCGCGTGCATTATCTTCTTTCCTTCTATGCTATTTCTTGCGTAGTGGTATTAGTAGTCGTCCTGCGCCGGCCTGCCCTGGTATACTGCTAGTTGTGTTCTAATATTCATAAGTTTAAATTGAGGCCCCCAATAATATTATGAGTCGAGCACCCCATGCGATATACCTAGATGATTTTATGTTTTCCTGAAGATTGTGGAAATACGCGGTTCGCTTCGCACCACTAAGTTAGCATGTGCGATACCTTGTAAATAAAGCTCTGGAAGACGGCTCGTAGTTGCCTGGTGTTGTTCGCGACTCGTTTTATGCTCTGATCCTTTGCATTTGTTCCCAAAGATAAATACACAATCGAAAACAATTTTGTTTCAAAATGGTAAACAGCATTGGCTAGATCATGACTACGTGGTGTTCGCTGGTTGCAAAGGATCATGTCGACAATTTCATATAGCAGTTATCGGAAGCCAATACCTAGGTCTATCGGGAATCTTAATGTACCTCAGCTTCTGTGATTTGAAATTATATGTAAAAGATGTCGCTCTTCGGACGACTGTCGCTTTATTGTAATCTATGTCCTCGGCAATAGTAATAAATAAGAACCAAGTCCGATTAGGATTACAATGTTCGTCGGTGGAAACTATACGCAAAGGGTTGGACGACCCTGACCAAAAACTCTGCACATGAGTAGCTGGTACGGTGTTCGCTGCAGGTCTATGCAAACCTACAAGGCGATTCTACACACGAGACGAGAAGACACCCGTCCCCGCTGTCTCTAATCACTTCATTTTTGAGCTTGATATTGGCCTACTTTTATCCTGCTCTATGTCCATCGCCGTACTCTAATCAAGAGCACGGCATGGCGAGCCAACTACATCCAGAAAACTAAAAGTTTCTCGTCAATAGAAGTCATTAGAAATAGCAGTAGAACCTCCGGCTGCACATCTAAACAAAAACATGATCCCCTTCATCCACCTACTTACTAAACTTAGTAGTCACATCTTCATCTCCGTAGTCCGATTTTCCGTTTTCTGAAAAAATAGACCGTCACGCCCACACGATCAGAAAAATTGTGAAGATCGAAAGACGAAGATGAATGGAGATGGAGAAAACTCCGCTTTACTAGAAAAACCCCTACTCCTTCATGGAAGACAAATCTGCCATGTTCATCTAGTTCATCTATGTTCATAAAAGCTCCTAATCATTACATCAGGAAAACGCCTTGCGGAAGCACATCACCTGGCGGTACTGGTCTACCAGCGCCTCCGCTGCTCGATCCCAGGAGAAGTAGATGGAGTCCCGCAGTTGGTAGCGCAGTTCCTCACCGGTTGGGATGCGGGTGGTGTACAGTCGATCCAGCGTGCTAAGCAGCTGCGCGCCGTCGTGAAACATGCACTCACTGATGAACGGAGACGCTTGGTAGAGCTCTTCGAACACCTGGCAGTGGGCGAGGATCGGAACCAGATTGCACGAGAGAGCCTCGATCACAGTAATCCCGAAGGTCTCGGAGACGGCGCAGCTAAGGAAAAAGTCCGCATTCTGGTACAACAGAGGCAGCTTCTCGTTACTCTGCATTCCCAGAAACGTCACGTTCAGTTCGTTTCGCTTTGTTCTGGCTAAAGCAGAAGTAGAAGCAGGTGCTTCGTTCTCATTCATCTCGCTAGATGAAGACGAGCTCGACGCTGTTGTTGACTTCGAGGAGACTTTTTCCTCGTTACAACACGCATCACCACGAACTGCATCCTCCGCTTCCTTTTCAAGGACGTGCACGGCGCTTGCAGCTTCTTCAAAAATGTCAAAACGGAAATCATGCTTTTCGAAAGCGTCACGCTCAGCACCGTAAAGCTCTTGCGTCAGTCCCACGCAATCCCGATACGAGGGACCGTTCCCGACGATGACCAAGTGGTATTTTCCGACCAGATGCGGCATCTGTCGGATCGCCATTTCAACGCGCTTCTCTGGTGCGATCTGGAAATGGGTATGCAACAAACGGGGTGTTCAAGGTTGTAATCTTCATGTTGATTGAGAAGTGGAACTCATCCTCATGATACTGATAAACAATTACAATGCGACTTATACACAAATTTGCGCTTGCAGCTCACTCTTGACGGACGAGTTATGACGGCTTAATCGAAGAAAGAAAGTAGACTACGTACTACAACTACACTTCGAATCCAAATTATTTGTATGGTACCCTCTGGACCATAAGAATGATCTTCGCTTCTTCATGAATGTTGCAGTTCGCGCGTATGATGTTTCGGTCGCACTTTCTCTCAGTGTCGGATTTAAAAATGGAGCCCACTGCAGTTGGGATGATGTATTCCGAGAAGTTGAATGTAGGTCCCCGTCGTAGGCGCTTGAGGTAGCTGCCCGTACTGGTCCAAGAATGGTTGCTGCTCGATTGTCCACTGTAGGTACTGGCCGTCATGCGGTCATCCATCGCTTCATCGGGAAGCTTCCGCAAGAGACTACTCGTTAGCAGTTTGTACGCTTCAGCGCGAGGACCGGGTACAAGAGTACTGGTAGATGTACGATGTGCAACATGCTCCTCTCTTGACTGAGTGTGCTCGTCGGATTCAGGTTGAGACACACAGAGAAAAACATCATGCAGGTTTTTCGTCGTCCTTGCGATCATAGATGGCCGCACAGTACCATTTACGGAAATCGTAGTAGAAGGACTGTCTGCAGCTTCACCGCGTGCTGGAGAAGATACTGGCCGCTGATCCGCTCCGTTTTCCGGCGTGCTACTAAAACTGCCCCGACGAGAGGAAGTAATCGTAGACCTGCTTCGGGAACGAAAGCACGACTCAACCAGTGGAGACGGGGCTCGAGAATCATCCACAGCGGCATCCAGGGAGTCCTCCCCAGCTTGTGACGATGTTGTACTTGCACGACTGCTATCCACGTCATCGCCGTCAACCGATTCCGCATAGTGTTGCTGTTGGTGTGTTGATGCAACCTCTGCTAGGCGCAGGAGCGAGTCGCTGTCTTTATATATGACTCAAGGCCGGACGGCCCCCCCTCCCTTTCCCCTGTGGTCTGGTCTGTGGTGGCGCGCGCGCGCGCTTTTCCGCGCGTATTTTTCGCGGATTCTAGTGGTGGAAGGCGTCAAAACTTGGCGCGGGCCTCCCCTTGGGCCTCTCAGCGTGTTCCTGAGGGGCCTCCTGCCCTCTGCTGACCCTCGCAGGCGGGAGGTTTCCGGGGTAAAAGGCCGCCGAAGGCGGCCACCGTCGCAAGAGCAAGCAAGCCGATGACCAAGGGCCCGGAGGGTACAGGCGGCACGGCTCAGGGGGTCCAGCCCCTCGCCTGTTGCCGCCTTCGGAGTTCGGAGGCCTTCCGCTGCCGGCGCACTGCTGCGGCGGAGAAGCCTAACGGATGCACTTAGGGCACAGGCAGGCACCTGGACGGGGGCGCCGGCGGTCCCTTGGGCCCCTTTTGAAGCCTCCCACCATCATCGGAGGCCCCTAGGGAACAGCCAGGCAGCTGTTAGGGAGCGGAGGGGGGAGGTCACTGGGCCCCCTTTTGAGGCCTCCCCCCCGGCAGACGCCTTAAAAAGGGGACCAGGGCGCACGGTAGGCTGGGGGGGGTACCGTCGCCCCGCGCCCTGGAACATATATACACATGTGATTATGTTGATAGTGCCCATGCCGAACAATTCGAGTTCAAAAACATTACCTAATCAGTACCTGTTGTTCTGTTGCGTCGAGTCCTTGAAGAGTCGGCGCAAATGAGGACTGTCCAGGTCCTTGCGTGTTCTCGTGATCGCAAGAGTTGAACATTAGAGCCAAGAAATTTGTGGACATTAGCCACATGTAGTCCATGCAAGTCAATGTGTGCGATTGTTTACAGTCTAGTGAAGAGCAAGTTAGTGTTAGTGGTAAACGAAAAACTGAAAGCGAGTTGCACTTCTGCGTTCACGTTCCGTATTCGGCATGAACAAAATGAGACTGATCCTTAAGTAGACACAACTCTCATCCGGCAGCGCCATGCAGCCCATATTGCGGCAGAAGGAGAGAAATTTTTGGAAGACCTTGTTTCGGTAGAGGATGTCAAACTCTTTGTCCAAAGCGTTGTTCGTGGGTGCGACGTTGATATCTGCGAAAATGTATGCCGGCAGTCGGACGGACCAGGAAAACCACCAGTGCGACATGCGTTGCCACAGCGCAAACGTAAAATACTTGTCCATGTAATAGGACATGTCGACATGATGCGAACAGTAGATTGGTACATCGAGCAGGTGCGAAAGAAGAAAGATCGGCAGACCAACCACGCAGGGGTAGAATATGTGGACTACGTCAGGCGTGAAATCGAAAAAGCTCTCCACTAGTCCGAGGTTCGGAGATATCCACTGACAAGAGTAAAGATGTCGAAAAAACAGTACATACTTTTTGCTAGTAGTAGTACTTACTTACAAGAAACATCGACTTCAACATCATCAAAAAGCTTGGAGGTGTCACCGATGTCACGTGGGAGATGTTGTGCTGGAAAATCTGTGATCATGTCGTATAATATTTATAATATATCAATTGATACCACTTTGTTTCCCGGATTCCACATGTTTTGCAAGCAGACGCCCATTTCGCGGTACAGCTCAATAGTTGCAATATCGTTAAAGCCCTCTTTCTGCAGCTGCTCCTTTGACCGTGATGTCAAAATGCGCACATCGTGGTGCTTGCTCAGTTCTTTTACCAAATTTTTGAGCCTCACAGCCATACCATGAAATTCACAGGGCGCATACTCGCACACCAACAAAATTCTCAATCGCTTCGTAGGCAAGGTACGATTTTGGAGTTTCAACAACCTCTGCGTTTCCTCGGTCATCCACAGAGCTTTCGTGCTCGCCGGGTAGTCGACGACAACCTGCGGATTGGTAATAGAGCAGAAAGTCAAAGTCTCTCTGTCATTATATTCCTCCAGCTACGATGGCCGTATAATAATAATGCATAGTTGTTCAAGAAGTACGTATAGAGATCAGACCCAATAATTTCCAAGACGCTTCTATCCTCGATGAGTCGTCCAATTATGGTTCTTAATAAGAACTTCTTATGTTTCACGGACGGGATCGAGCCAATAAAAAATTTTGATTTATATCATGAGAAACTTCTGCAGCACGCATGTTTACCTGTCTTTCGTCACTGTGTCCAAGGACGCCTGACTCCCTTGGTGCTTCTACTTCACGTTCAGCTTCTCCTACCCTCCTCATTTTCGCAATTGTCCTTCTACAGAACCACGACACAGCGTACCAAACTTGATCTACCAGAAACCAATACAGAGGAACGATCGTGACAGTAGTTGCAAACACAACAATCACGAAAGTCCACTGAATGCAGGTTAGGATGCAGAGCATGTGCACCGCGGCAAAAAAATTGATCCGCGTCACTTTCTTTACGCTCGCGTCGTCACTATCGGCACCATGATCTTGTTGTCCTTTCACACCTTGCTCATCTTCATTTACCCTCATCATGATTGAACTGGCGGAAGACGCGGCTCCTGATGCAGACGAAGACACTAGCGACGCGCTACTGGACACTCGAGATAGGTGCTCGACGTCCTGTTGCTCCATCATCGTGTCGTCAACAGATGAGGGCACGCAAGTAGAATCTTGAGGCGCCTTTGTACTCGAGTCAGCACCTTCCTGATGTCTTTCGGATGGGTATTCATTGCGCTCGAGAACGACACAAAAACGAACCCAGCCCTTCAGGACATCTCGGACTCGCCGGTTGAAGTAATACTTGCATGTCACAACCGCGATAAAGCAGTGTAAAAACCACATGTAGATTGTGTTTCGGTAACGTTTTTTGATGAGGAATTTCCACAGGTCAAATTCCACATACCTGTCAGGGCAGCAGGAGTATTATTTGAGGTTGGTTTCGTCCGAGCAGGATCACATTCAAAAGTGGACAACGAGAAGGCAGTTACAGAAAGCAAGAAAAAAAAGTTGAAGACATCAGACAATGTATCTATGACGGATACTTGGTGCTGCGGAAGCTTGCTAGTACTTCTCAACTACCAAACACATCGAACTGAATGGAAAGATTTTCAACAAGTAGAAACTACATCAATACAAATAAACTTTTCGAACAAGACCTGCAAAAAGTAAGCAGCGCGTAGACCAGCAGGAAATAGCACCCAACGGGGAGAAGGTTGCGGGCTGTGCTCGCTTCCCACGCCACGTATGCCATATCGTAAATACTGTGACGCATCTTGTCTCGCTTGCGCTCGGTGGGCTGTTGCTGCATTTTGCTGATAGACTGGTGACTCTTGAGCGGCAACTCAAATTCACTTTGGCCTTGATTCTCGCTTCTCTCTTCATCCCGCTCATGGCCACCACTCGGCCGCAATGAGGCTACTGCTTCTCTATCGCCTACGGGAACCATGACTCCACCTGAGGATCCAGCAGCTGCGAATACGCTGATTACGCTAGGGCTCTTCCTCTTGCGGTGCTAAGGGAAATTCCTGTTGTTCGCTGGCGATTGGATCTCTACCTGGTGTCGTCTCTTAGCTCTTGAACTTTTACTCGGGTCCTCGTCGGAGATCAGGTTAAACAATCCCTGACAATTCAAAGATAAATGTATTCTCGTCTTCTATGCATGTTCTCGTGAGTGGGATCTTGATCCTGTTATTCTTGCATGTCCTTGGAAGCCGAAGTAGTTCTTGGCGGCCACGTCGGAAGTATTGATCAGTTTATTCTGCATGCATAGGAATCATCCACCAGCAACTATTAGGCGTATGCTTTCTTGAATATGTTGTTTGGCAACCGCTGCTGTTTCACGGATCTACCTCTTCCTAACTCGAACTTTTGCGCTTGGACTCGGCTGCTTTGTAGACCTGGTTCGTTTAGGAGCTGCACTCTTCACACTAAAACACAGCAACAACTGACTCACGCGCAGTCAACAGGCACGGGGGACCATCAAGGATAGCCGCACGCAGGCGATCGTCCTTTTCGTTCAGTCGTCCCTGCACGTACGGAAGTCTTGCGAAGCGAGAGCGTAAACAGTCCTCCGCAGCGGCTTGTGGTGGGTCGAAGAGTCGCGTCACGATGCAAATTTCGGCATATGAATCACGTCAGCAGCACATTAACAAAATATATGCAAGAATTGCAAATCTTATCGCGCGTGATTAATATACAAGAGCTCTGCATAGTTCCTGCAAATCACGATCTTCATCTTCTTCTTTGGGATTGCTTATCCGTGCACACAAATCAAACATATGGAGGCTAGAGAAAGGATGTGGCATCCTGCGATGCGGTCCTACGTTATCGTCTCGTAGCGACTTCCTTCACTGAATGAATATTTGTTTCGCTCTTCTCTCTTGCAAGCACGTGGACGCTATTTCCGATTTTGGTTCTCTGCATGAAACGTTCACTCCCATAGGAGGGTGGAACAAGAGACACTGGCGAGTCGGTGGTTCGATGCCGCGTTGCCTTACCTTAGTGGTTTCTTACTTGTTTCTCGCGTTCGTACCGTTTTTAAGGCAAATCCCAAGTTTCTCTGCGTAAAAGTAAATACTTCATCTAAAATTCCGTCAGATCTTACTGCCTTGCTTGCCGCCCTTGTTGACGGTCTTTTCTGCCAAATGAATGAAAATAGAAAAATCAATGTTCCTATGTGCGCTCCGGTCGATCTCTCTCGCCCTTTCACACTGTTCTTTTCGATATAAGATTGATGAGCGTTCGATGCCACATACACTGTAAAGTATTTGTTGATGTTTATCGGGGAGGGGGAAAAGTCACAAAGACAAAGGATTCCTGTTGCCTTGTTGCTTCTTTTGTCGGTTTGTTCGAAGACGTGGCTGATCCTATTTCGCTACTGCACGGGTATTACAGTTCGCCCATCGAATCTACTGCTGTCACCTTCTGCAGCTGTTCTTCAGCCTCTTGATCGTCAGGGTAGACGAACATATTCGAGTGTATCACTCCGAGCAGGTGGCAGTCAATTTGTTTGATGACATCTTCAGTGAGCCGATCCTTGTCAGCGCCGGATGGCGCAGTGCTAAACGGATCGTACTCTTCCTCGTCCTCTTCCTGTAAGAATTTTGTGAGTGAAGCATGAATGGCCGATTCAAATCATCAAAAAATTGTGATCGACGACCAGAAAACGCGGATCATTTTGTTGTGGTCAGACAGGAGGATTTGGTATCAATACAAAACAAAAAGTACCTCCTCTAAAGTTTCCAGCAACTCACCCGTCGTCTCGCATATTATCTGTACTTGATTTTTTCCTGTTGCCGCATCCCACTCCTTCACTTTCCGCGTGAGGGGCAATGCTGTTTCGGGGTGAGTTTGGAGGCATTTAAATGACACAACTTGGTACACACGTGAGTTCGCTACGAATTTCCGTCCTTCCAGCATAAATAACATACCTTCCCATCCAGATCCGGCTCTACCTCGTCTACTACAGTTCAGCCACAATCAGACAAGAAAACAACAGTACGGGATATGCTGTATTTCGTGCACACCGAGGTGTACAGCAGCTGCTCGTTTCCGTCGTACTTCTGCAGTAAGTAATCGATTTTTCCCACGTTCTCAGGGTTGTGCTGCGAATAAAGCTCTTTAAGCTTATTCTTCAGCGCTTGTACCGTCGCTATCTTACTCATTTTGTTGGATCTTGGCGGCTGATCGCTCTAACCGTTCTCGCCATCGAAGGGCACTCGCGTTGTTGTTACCCGTAGCAGTCAGACGCGTGGCCTCTCTGCTTTCCTCACCACACCAGGCTCTGCGAAGCTTCTCCAATTCAAAGCGACTAGAATAACCACTCCCGGAATCTGCTTACCAGGACAACGACACTAGAGGGGCATGTATTTTTCAGATCAGTTTTCGAATTATTGAAAGATAGAGATAGAGCCGTCAAGTGGTCACCAAAGCAAAAGAAAGACCAAATATCTATATCGACGATGGGCTCGTCATCGCTGTTGTGCTGACGAGCGCACAGCACAGAGACTCCCTCTCTACTAACACGGATATGTCACAGCCACCTCCCCACTGTGTACATCAAGCTAACCCCCGGTGACTGACCCTTGATCACAAAATTAAACATGGATGGTAGGTACCAAATTTCTTTCGCATTAATGGTTAGGATTAATTGGAGCGCGGACGTTGACCTGTGTCGGATAGCGATCGCTTGCTACGGTTTATTTATGGAATGATATTTTCAGATTTCAATTCATAGTCGGCTAGTGCGCAACAGCATAGAAGACCCGTGACGCACATATTGACTGCATCTTCCTGGTAAGCTGGATCTTCGCGCGATAAGATTGATTCCGCAGAGGAATATATGCCGGTGTCTCTCTGACGGGTAGCCTTTCATCTCATCTTTGACGATTTCACAGAGACTCTGATCATCCCTGCCGTGGTTAGTCAGAGAAAAGTAATTCATGACACTCTAGTATCACCTCACTCAAAAAGTTCTGTCAATATTATCACAGGAGGCTGTGATCAAAATCGTAATCCGGGCGCAGTCTATGCTTCGCACTAAATTCATCACAGCCGAGAACAACACAGCTTCGACATCTGTATATTAACGCGCTAGGTCGCGCAAAAGACCCAGCAGAGGCACTCGCTTAGCGCGTTTGCTTTTTCTACCGTTTAGATTTGGATAGTCACATTCGCACACACAGTTCTTCACATTCATAACTCTTCTTTGGTCAGATATGTCTCCGTCACAAGAATTGTTACTCAGTAGAAACGAACTGCTAGTTTCTCCTCTGTGGCAAAGGCTCCTTTTCTTCGTGATTTCGGCCCGCTGTCCCGACATCGCTAGTAGAAAGCAGCTGCTCCGTCCTCCGTGGAGATACCGTGCAAATGATTCAACAACTCTCGTCACTCTTCAAGGCTGCTATTTGTCATCGTCTCCCGTGTGGCTTTTCCCGTCCTGTTGTTCTAAAAGCAGAAGGTATGTTGACTACTTACTTCTTGGCCTTCTCCTCAGCGATCTTGGCCTCCTTGGCAGCGGCCTTGCGCTCACGAGTGGCACGGGCCTTCTGCTTCTTGGCCTCCTGCTGCTCGACAAGAGCCTTCTTCTTGGTGTACTCAGCCTTGTCCTTGTGGATGAACTCCATGAGGACACGCTTGTTCTTGTACACGTTACCTGAAATGAGTATAGGGGACTCGAGTAAGGATCTATAAAGCGTAAAGAAATACAGAATTCAATGCGAGATGGAGGTCCTGGCATGAGTTCGGTCTTTAGATTTCAATCAAGAGTTTGGTCTGTAGCTGCATTCTCAGGCCCGAGAAAACAGGCCGACATCGACCTTATTCATGAAACTTTAGATGCTTCGATTATCTAAAAGAGTACCCTTGCACTTGAGATAGAACTTGTGGTATTGGTGCTTGTCGATCTTCTTAGCTTCACGGTACTTCTTCAACAAACGACGGAGGACACGCATACGACGCATCCACAAGACCTTGGTGGGCATACGAGCCTCGCGGGTACCCTTACGCTTACCGGTACCGGTGTGACGACCCTTACGCTTGGCGGCGAGGTTCTTACCTGTTCAGAATTTTCGGAAAGATATGATGAAAAGAAAGTCAGCACCTCTAGGTGGGCCTTTCTTTTGAGAGTGCATGTGGCGAGGAATTTGTAGAGAACATCGATTCAAATAAAATTTTCCAGGCGCCTTTTAGAAAACTCACCCTGGCGTACTTTTTTCAGAAGCACAAAATTCGACTTCTAGCATAATTCTTTCTAAATCATCACGTCGATAAATTGATGAAACCCTGCCCTCAAACTCGTTTTCAGAGCAGTAATCTACAACTAAAGGCTAGAAAAAAGTTGTGGGTACGGACGCGGTCGCGGGAGTGGATGACCTGCGGCTTGCGGATGATGAGACCATCCTTCAAGAGCTTCTTGATGGCCAATCGGGAGTTGGCCTGCTTGATCTCGGTACCCTCATTCGGGTCCAACCAGATCTTGTTGACACCGCACTTCTTGATGCTGGCTGCCAGCCGCTTCTGAGAGGAGATCACCATTTTGCTGTCCTAGTTCTGACGAATCCAAATCTAAATCACAGTTCCTCTCTCGAACGGAGAAACTTCGTCTTTGTCCCTGGATAATGAGAAGTGAGCAATTCTCGACGAATGGTGACATCGGGCCTTGATGAAGGTCGTGGAAGAACCACTTCCTTTAGTACTCAAAACATTTGGCAAACTGGACTATAACTTACCAAGTGGGAAGGAGGGAACTTTATTTTAGATCAATCCACGATGTGCTTCAGAACAGAGAGATCTTTGGACTTTTTTCTTGTTTTTCAGTGAAACGTTGAAGATCGCGACGTCTACTTCAATTGCGCTGATCTCATTGCTTTGATCTTTAGATAATTGTGGATTTTTAGATTTCGTGTATTTGAGGATTGGATGTTTCGAGATCGAAGATTGTCATTAAGTTGATTTCAACAACCGGTTGTTTTGAAGAAAGCGAGGATCCAAAATCACCTCTCAGGAACTTTCGGTAGCATCAATTTTTGAAGCTGAGGCATGGAGGAAAAGTTAGATCGTACGAGCGTGGAGTCTGTCATTCTAAGGGATCACATGTTCACCTTGATCACAATCGCTTCGAGGACCTCAAGATTCTAAATTTCAACCATCAGCTCAACCCGGGTCTTTCATGAATGAACAATGGTCGGTATTCGGATCGAATACGAGAAAGCCGGTAGCATCACGTTCAACGGAATCTCGATCAACCATGAGTCGAATTCTCGGACCTCTATTTTGGTTGTTGTTTTTTCCCAGCTTAGCTTCTCATTTCAACAGATTTAGATTCTTCTTTAGATTTGTGCACGGTATTTAAGCATCATAATCAGGCGTTACCGGTACGATCCACTGGTTCTACTTAGAAGAATTTTTCAAGAAATCAAGTTTGAAACGGCTGCCGACTAACATATTCTCTATCATTTCCTTCCTTTTCGCTAAATTTTCGATCAAAATTTGTGCTTCCGAAAAGAACTTAAAAGAGGATGGCAAGAACGATACTTGTTCCAAAATATCGTGGATTTACACGTCATCGTTGTCGGGCGTGCACTGCTCGACCTCGTCAAGAAGCAGTCTACTTCTCCGCAGTCAAAAAAAAAGTTCACAATATATATTTGCGGACAGGAATCAATTAGGGACAACATTTGATTTCTTCGAAATAACGCAAACAAAATCCAGCTCAGGTCCACAAAAACGTTCAACCGGCTGCCAAAGAGTACTCATGATTAACATAGAGCCTATGCTGTACCTGCAGTATTTACCTCGTGCTCGGGATTCTTTAGATGTTGCTAGTCAGATTAGTTTCGATGCTTGGTAACGCTACTGTACAAAAACTACGCCTTGAAGCTACAGCATGGGTTGGACACATGAATTTTTCATCCGAGCGCTGCTGCAATTCGCTGTGTTCTATTTCAACAGTTCTGCTAGTTCAAGCGTGTAGATCATTTCCAAAAAAAATACTGCTCTCATTTTATCTCTCTGTCTCTATTCCTTGCTACTAGCTATAAATATCTAAAGAAAACTATTTGCTGGTTTCCGCTGCCCTGCTGCAGCAGGCGCAGTCTTTCGCGGAAGAAAAGCGCCCACGATAGCTGCCCAGATTCCTCCAAAGCCCATACCAGCCTCGGCGACAGTCAGAGCTTCTGTATTGACGTCAGAAGCAGCGGAGGCTGTAGCATCCTCTGCAGCTGCGTCCGTAGTTGCTCCTGTCGCTTCCGTTGCCGCGTCAGCCGATGCATCTGCGGCGGTCGCCGCGAGTTGACTACCATCCTCCGCGCCCGCAGTATGATCCATGGAACCAACGCCTCCCGCGTCTTGAAAATCAGCTATGATTTTAGGAGAAATTTTGGAAAATCACGATATTTCTGCATTATTTTTCCCTCTCATCGAAAACTAAATTTCTCATCTCCAAGTAACAGCCAAGAAAACAAATACTTGACTCATGAGCTGACATCCTTGTGATATTACCTCCATTGCTTTGATCCCACATGCTCATAGATTCGTCCCACATTTGATAGTATTTTGCGGCCATGTACATCGATTCGGTCGCCAGCACTTGACACGGCTTGACCGTATTGTCCGCAAAGCATTGCTTCTTGAGATCCGCTAAATTTGCTGCCCACGTGCGCGCGGCGTCCGCATCCTCTGCCTCAAATGCCGCAACTCGCAGTTTCGCCATACTCTGAGAAGGACAAGAGGAGTTTTTTTGCTGATATTCCTCCAAAAAGATCAGGGAGGTATGGTATTTTCAAATAAGGGTAGATTGAATGGAAAAAACCATCACTTTCATTTTTTTGCTTTAATTCACTCTCTATCTGGTCTAGTCCAAGAAATGTCCGTCCCTTCTCTTACCTCCATATCTAGCTTGCTTTTGTCGACTTCCGGCTCCTTTCCAAAGACGGCTTCCATTTTCTGAGCAGTGTTCAAATCTGGCTTACTGAAGTCGACGCTGACCTCTTTTCCGGGCTTTATGGCAGCAAAGGCCTGCGCAGCGTCACTAACATCCTGCTCACCTGGACCAAGATTTCTAGCGAGTTACAATAAAGACATCACCATGAAATATGAAAGTCCAATCTAAGAATGCAAGTGTCTACCCTATCTGTGCCCAAGATGGGTCTTAAAAGCCCAATCTTTTGTCCTGCAGTAGAGATTTCCGAAAACGAAACACATATTGAACAAAATCAAAATCACACCAACGTCATCCTGGTGTCAATTTTACCACCGATATCGACCGGAGCTTCCTCCTCAGTCAGTCCCGCATCCTGTGTCAAATCGACATGATCCGCGGTTCCATGCGTCGCGTCACCGACTTCGGCCTCGTTAAAGTGCGTGAAGTGATGTAGTACCGCCTGCGACAGAACGCCCATTTTTCCCTAGCTTTTGTTTCTTGGAGTGTTGAAACCAATGCTTCTACAACTCTCCGAGCTCACGGACTAAGTAGTTTCAGAGTTTATCAGAACGCACAAAAGATTAAACGGCAATCCTAGAAGTTCTTCTGAGAGATATCGAAAACTCGTGCCACTTACGGGAAGGATGCGACGGATGCTTTGCCAGCAACACCTTGACTGGGGGGGAGCTGAGGTTGTGTGTATTTTCAAGGCTAATTGATAGCTTTTACGTTACCCTGATGCAGAGCGGTTTCGTCTACGACGCTGGAAAATTTGTTCCCGAATCGTTCGAAGACACGAATATCAGAGACCTCCGTGCTCTTTGGGGTGCCGAGTGCATGAGCATATGCTTATCAACAAAATAAAAACCTTCTTCGTAGATCCACGACATACCGATCACGCTTGACGAACGATCAAGACTCTACGCTCCGATGCGTCTCTCTCTCTTTCTCTCCCTCGTCCGCCGTCTCGGGAAAAAAAATATCGGCTCTAATTACAGTTCCTACTAAGTAGTGCGTTGATTATTGACCGAAGAGGCGAAGTGGAGAAAAACAAACAATATTTGCAAAAAGACTCCGAATTATGAGGAAGGCCCTCCTTGTTGTACTTGTCGCAGCATATCGTGCTCTTTCGAGAATGAGGAAAGACTGGTTGTATCGATTGATGTACGTGGAAAAGACGTTGCGTGATAAATTCAGCAGCTGATTGGATCGCATAAAAGAAAAGAGAAAGTACGACTATCACCATGCGCTTCACCAAAATCAATAGAGTGTTTCGTAGACATTCTTGAAACATAGTAATTGTTTCCCACGTCTTAGTGTTGCACGTGCAGCATTCTGTGATTTCGTCACATTGCCTGTCCTGACAAACGAATTATAATGTACGAGTTCCTTGCGCAAAGGCCGCTTTGCAAGCTCGTAAGCCGGCCACGCGTGGAGCAGTTCGTATTCCTGCTGCGTTTTGTAGACGTCCGAGAAGAAGTACTCAAAAGGTGGAACCTGGAAATATCCGAGGCAAATCTGTCGACGTAATTTTGCGTAAAGTTTTTTCACAGTGAAGGTGTCTCGCTTCCCTTCATCTTCATTGTCCCCACCACCTTCGCTCCACGCGTATGAACCACAATTTCTTTCCACTGCTGCATCGATCAAGTCCTTTCGCATCCAAATTAGGTCTAGATGTCGGATGATTCCTACCAAAACATATCCAAATTTGTCCGCAACTTGCTTCAGGGCCGCGGCCGAACTTCCCAGGCTACAGTCTCCTTGAGAAAGCTCTGGGGCATCGAGATTGACCTGTTCTCCTGACGGTGCTTCGTCTGTCTCCTGAATCTGCCTCAGCCGCTCTGCCGCAGCCAGATGTACTGGTCGTCGGCGCGGCACCACGACGATTTTCTTTTTCTCTCTTAGATGAAGCGATGCTGGATCAGTCACACTTGTGACTCTTGTGCTTGTGATACCTTCCACACCTTCAATGCTAACAAGGAATTATGATTTTGTAGCTGTCATGCAAAACTCATGAGGTCAAAACCAAAACTGGGACAACAACTACATAACTTGCTTTTCCGTTTGTACTCCAGTACTTGTTCGTTATCAGCAGCATCGTCATCGTCGTCTTCGGTCGGGTCTGGCGCTGACATTGTCTCATTCGGTCGACGAAGACCTGGACGCCGCACCTCGGCGACATGAACAGATACTCCGTCAGTGTCTTGCGAAGAATCTTCATCCTGCCCTCGTCCAGCGCCACCTCCAGTAACGCCGGTAGACAATAACGACGAGACCGTACTAGCAGCATCAAGGTCCGCCACCGCCTTCCTCGTCTCATCAAGGTCTTTTTTAACGGTATTCATTACAGAAGCGGCCGTAGTAGACTGCTGCCTCTTCTTTCGAACCAAGCCTGGATCCACATGTGCTATGCTTTGCGAAAGCCAGTAGTTCGGATTGTACTCAGTTGACACAATTTTCGGTCGATACCCTGCTTCCAGAATCGCCTCGAAAAGAAAGATATCGTAGCTGTCGACATCGATGGAAAGGAAATCAAAAATGTCGCGCTCCCTTCTGTCCCCTTCGTCGTGAAGTTCTTGAGGCTCATCTTTCACATCTTTCATGTAGTTCTCCACACCGCGCTGCTGTAGAATGGAAGCGATATTCGTCGCGTCAAGGTAGTGCTGGTAGAGTCCGATTTCCGGGTTCTCGTTGCGGGCATCGAGCAGTAACCCAGGAAACCCTTTGGCTCGCAATCTTAGCGTGTTGGCTTGCTTCGTTTTGTCTAGATCCAAAGACTCAAAACCAAATTCCACGTACCGCGGTCTTGGATCTTTCTTGAAAATATCGTGGCTTGTCCTCGTCGACAGAGAGGATGCATCTCTCTTTGGTCTTGGTCGTGATGGTCTGCCAAAAACATCGAGGAGTATCTCGATGTACCGATCGTTCGCACCTTGGCTTCGACTTCTTCCTGGCCGCAAGTTGTACAGGTGCAAGAACCGGTTGCTCACACGAGCAACGTAGCTCTCGTCCAACTCAACGAAGATCGATGCATCATTAGCAACGTAACGCCATCGACCAAGGTCCCGCTCGCTCCGATATCGGGCAAAAAAAGAAGAAAGCAGATTTTCATTTTCTTCATCGTGTTTTTGATCGAGACCGAGTCGAAGCGGACCCTGAAGATCGTCGAGATTAGTATCCTCACCAAGCTTCGTTGTCGATGTCTTTTTCCAAGAAAAGGCGCCCACCTGGGCACTTTCGCGTTCCGTTTGCGACAGCATTTTACCCTGCTCAATGGCAGCCAGATCCCACTCAGCAAAGTCGGGTCGGTTGACGACAAAAGGCTTCCAACGACTCGCGTAGCCGAAGTACCGAAAACTATACGCGGAATACTGCAACAAAGACACATGCAACTTTTAGATGGATTTTTTGTAGTTGGAGAGTAGTCTGGTGACAAGAGAAGTTCCATGTGTGGTTACGCCGTGCACAGAAAATGAATTTCAATTCTTAGGATTGTCGGATTTCAGAACCCATCGTATCTATCAGAGTCAGTCCAAGAAAAGATCAAGAAAAGTTAAAGCCATAACTGTCTGCCCAGGCATCGATAGTAGGGCGGTGGTAGGATGCTTCAAAGTTGTCGCGCAACCAATGAAAAAGACTAAATTCTCCCGTCAGCGATATCCGCTCAACCTCGCCGTTTGTGTAGATGAAGTGCGCTGCAGGCCGAGAAGCATGCTGTAAGAAAGATTGCAGCACTTTTGTTGTAGCACGACTATTCCACCGAAGAAATATCGTGGAGCCATCGGAGCCATCTACCGCTTTGGTTTTTGTCCTCCGGGTCTCCACTTTGCTGCAACGAGTCTCCACGACGAGCGTCTCAGCATGACCGCGTTCTAGCTCAAGCCGATTTGACACGGTTTCATACTTTCCGCAGTGATCCACGTCGAGTTGCCATCCACCTGGATAGTTCCTCTTGTCAACGTTCTGTGGATACCCCAGTCCACTTCCCTGCAACTTTCTTTAGAGCAGCAGAATGTATTTTTGCCTAGAAAGCTCGTCTACTACAACAACAAGACTTCCATCAAATTCCAGCGTTTTTGTGGTCGTACTAGAATGAAATAGCGGGTACGACCTACAACTGCTGAGGAGGTACACGTCCATTTACTGCAAGAACTGCCTTAACATTTTCTTGTCACGTTCCGATCTACGGTTATCACACTTCCGGTTTTCAGAATGGAGCGACTCTGCCCGATTAGCCTGTTCTTCAATTCGTCTCGGAGGACTGCGGTCCAGATAGTCCACGCAGAAAAGTTGGTATCCAAAAGATTCAGCCGCCCCTGTAAGATCTCGGGAAACTGGAGTATCTCCTGTATGGTAATTTCGTCTTCGTTTTTTTTCTTGTTTTTGTCGCCTGTGGTCGGAGCTGCAAAGTAATCTGGTCCTGTAGTGTGGTTGTTTACCGAAACTACAGCGTCGTTCTGGTTCGCAGACGACGGCAAGGCGCCTCCGAGAGTGAGAGGCTGTTCGATGATTTCCTGATTCCTCGCTTGCTCATCATGGCCTTCCTTCCCACGCCGCACAATCGAATCTGGCACTCGAGGAGGAGGTTGCTCACGACCATCTCCAGGTGTTGAGAGGTGGACGAAGCTCGCAACGTCGATGCTGCAATCCCTTCTGCGTCCATCTACAGCTCCTGCCAGTGCTCTAGCAGGATCTTCTTTTTCATCAGAAAGAAGATCGTCGTCTAGGTGTCCACACTCTTCATCAGCATGTGTTCCTTCTGCCTGTGCTTCGTCAGCAACTTTTGCTGCCACAGACGATTCGACCGAACGCAAAACGCTCTTTGTCTGTCTCCGCTGCTCCGTGTGCTCCACCAAGTGAGTGTAGAAGAGGTATTCGGCAATAGTAGCGAGGCGCGAAAAGCGGGGAAAATCATCGAGGCTTTTGTATGGATCCGGCCACTCCTCCGATGTGAGTCCATTCCGTTCGTTCCAATCCGCCCCATCCTTCGAGGATTGAGGCGTGACTTCGTCACCACTACGAGAGGACCCCTCCTGGGTCGAGCTACGCTTCTCATGACCGCCCTCAAGATCATCTTCATTCGCACGACACGTCCTTCGCGAAAAGAGGAGCACAAGTAGCACCCCTCGGACTGACAAAGGCAAATGAAGTTGTCTCCACATTCATCATCAATCTATGACAAACACAAAGACATCCCCCGAAAACGCATTATAGGTATCACCGGAAAGACAAAAATTACGTTCGTACGACACTTAGAAATAAAGAAATACTTCTTTTTTATCAATCTCTATCTAACTGACTTCACACTGTGACTGTCCTCTTCTCCTTCTCAGCCCGAGCTTTCGCGTCCATGAACGAACAACCACAAATCTTCGTTATAGATCAGCTTCAGGGGTTTGCTGTAAGCAAAAGCAGCCAGGTACCCCGATGCCCACTCAAATTTTTATCATCGAACGCATATTCTTGAGAAGACATCCGTCGCCCTAACATCAACCTGAGCATCCCTCCCACGCGATGTTTATTCCGTATGACTAAAGAATTACTAGAAAATCGGTTCTCGGAAAATCGTTGCTCAGATCTTCTTCAAGCAACTAGTAGGTACCTAGCCGCGCATTGATGGTCCTCCAGTTGATACGCTCTAACGTCGATTTGCTGCAAGCACGACTCAATCTACTGGCTATGTAGTTCTTGAATAGCCCTGGATGTTTCACGACTAGTGTCGGTAGGTTCGATCAATATGTTTCGGTTTTAATATATTTCCCAATCGTTTCCAATGCCAATGTACATGGTTAGTCGAATGATGCCCAATAGCCCAAGATCGTTTACAAATTCAAATGCGTTTGCGTATCTTTATCTACTTGTTGATAAAAATGTCTGTTTTCCCCATGAATAATTTCGTTTTAAGCGTACAATTTTCTCTTACTTACATGCCAAGAGGCTCCCGATTTTTCAATACTTTCCCATCTTCAATACTATATTACGTATGAGTATGCGATTATATATGAAATTACGATGATGTTTCAAGCATGTCTTTATGTTACTCGTTTCTGTTGTTGAAAATGCGTTACCTTCTATGCACGTCTCCGTTCACGACGTTCCCACTCTATTCATCGAAAAATAGCACATATTTTGACGATCTTAGTGGTTGATTTCGCTGTGTGTTGACTGGTCCAAAGATTTTCTTGCGCTTAGCCCACTCTATGACGATTTCGATTTTACACCAATTCAATATTTGCACTACTTGCTGAAATCTTTTTCCCGACAAAAAAAAAATTTTTTATTCACCGTTAGCATCCTATAAACCCCTCAAATGATGCATTCATGCGGCAAAGAATCCCTCGTCCAGCTCATCTTAGCTGGAAGACCAAGTCCTCACTGGATACGTATACAATGAGCACAAATTTGGATCGTATCCAGTTCCAAATCCAGTTCTTCCACTAACAAAATGTCCAAGTCCATGATCTCGACGTTTGTTCTCTCGAGTACTTAGGCGGGTGCCGATCGGCCCAAGTAGCGAGGATCCACTTGTTCGAGGATTTCGTTCAAAGCATCCTTCATGTATTCTGCCTCATCAGCGTCCTTCTCCTTGCCGGCTGCATCACCCTGAGACTTAGACAAATCGTCAGTGGACATTTGCTCCAGATCGAGGTTACCCAGTATCGCCTGCAAATTCTTCAACCCCTGACGGTACTTCTTTTCGTTGGCTTGGGCCTTCGCAAGCTTCTTCTCAAGCTGCGAAATTGAGTACGGAAGAAAGGTGGTAGGTCTATCATGGCTATGAACGTTTCAGTGTGAATGACGGCGGAGTCTGTCATTTTCATCGAATGGAAAAAGAACTCTATTTAATGCAGATGGTCGTGACCCCGTCAGTAGAAGAGTGGCAAACGATAATGATAGGCACAGTTAGTCCCTCTACTTCCATGTTCTTATTCTTCCGGTTCTTGGTAGTTCCTAAAAAAATCATTCGAGGTAGTACCTGCTTATTTTCCAATGTGAGCTCAGCAACCTCCCTTTCGTTTTTCGCAACGACTGCATCAAATTCCTCTTGCGTATCGATGTGTTTCTGATGTGCTGCCATCAACGACTCACGATGTTGCTGGATCTGTTATTTTGGCAAAAGATTTGATAGTTCATGTTGATGTTATTGAAGAAATTCTGGCTCTTTATCCTTCAAAGACCTCAAACTTATCGGATTCTTCAACATGATTTAGCGATTTATCGGGGGTGATTAGTGATGATCTTTATCATTTCAACATATGCTACCAATGCAGCTTTGTTCTTTGAATGTTCGTCCTGCAGCTCTTGCATCTTATCCTCATGTTGTGATATGCTTGCGCGCAGCTTGCCGGCAGCGGCCATCTTTTCTTGGGCGTGTGCGTCTCGGATCTCATCCATCTTGTCGTTGTGCTCCTCTATCATCGTCTGGACTGCATCTTTGTGGGTATCCTGAAGAGGTTTGACTTGCATTTGATAGTGCTAGTGGTCGTCATGGTCAACAACTCTAGTATGATTCCGACGATCATCAATTCGTTCTCCACTCTTTGGTTTCGCGAAAGAGAAACTGCATGTTAATGTTTCTGTTCATGAAGAAGAAAAAGATAAAAGATGAGACTTTCAAGTTAGTGACTTGTTCAACTGCATCTTCCTTCTTCAAAATTTTTCGACTAGTAGTTACAGTATGACGATCACGATGACATGACGAACTAAAAGAAATCGTTGTTGTTCAATGAGAAATCTTTACTGCAGGAGCAGACTCTAGAGAAGAAATAAGAGTAAAATAAGTTGTACCAAATTTTTTTGAATCTCAGACTCGTACTCGAGACCGGATTTTTTACGAGTTTCCTCGATCGCACCGTCCACAGCAAGCGCTTGTTTGTGCATGTGCCAGTGATCCTTCCACTCGCCAAAAAAGTGTTTCAGATTCACTTTGTTGTCAGTCTGATTTGAGGGTTTTTTGGTGTCTTGACAACGGTATTAAAATCTAAATCATATAAATATGTTGGTGGTAGTAGTCGAGCAATTTGTTTTTTCTCTTTACTTAATCATTTTATTTTTGGAGAAACGACTACTTCAGCTTTAGAATCGTCCTCAGAACATAGAAAGTGCCTTAAGTAGAAAGATAGAAAGATTTACAGCTACAAGAACTAAGTAACATTCTGATAGTAGCGTACCGCAAAGAGTGTTCCGAAGAGAGTGCGCAGAGTTTTCATGGCCTTGAGCCTGAGACGCAGATTTTCTGCCTGAAGAGATTCGATAGCCCCTATCACCTGCGTCATATCATTGTGCACTCGCAAAAGACGCTCAGAGGGCAGCTCTCCTCCAACATTTTCAACGGGGGCGGATGAGTCTCTGCCTGCTGCCGCCTTGTGGTCCCCTTCTCCATCTGGTGAGTGGTGTTTGGAAGGAAAATAGAAGAAATTCCAATCGATTGAAGATTATGATGGATATCAACTACATACTTGTCAACAACTACATGTATCCTAGATAAACGAATTTACAGATAAATATCAAAGAGAATGGATTCCTCAAAAATGGTCAAGTCACCCAGAATCGTCATCGCGATGATCCAAAAATTCCAAGAACAGCTTCACCTGTATAGCTAGAAAAAGTGGATCATTACATTTCATTCTGTCAAGGACTTGCGAGGCCTGTTGAGAAGCTCGTCCTGGTTGTGTCTTTCCCGACGGTGGCGACACGCCGCGTTCGCGGTCCGCAGGGCGAAAACCACCTCTAGCCGACATATTTTTTGATCTTCAAACTAGGTGGAAGGAGAACAACCAAAAAAAATGTTGTTGTAGAAGCGCAAGCACTCTTCGTAGTAATGTTGTCGATGCTAGTTTCTCAATCTCAAAAAGAGAGATGAGAGTACAAGTTTTTGATTTTGACTTGATGAAGATAGTGTTAGTGTTCCAACAATCGGCTTTCCAACAATCTTCTACTCTACGTTAATGATTTGATGTAAGTACAACTACCAACCTGTACGATGTAGTCGAGAAAAATTGAAGGAGTCGTCCGTGAGAAAAAAGCGGAGAGAGGTTACTCGAGTTTTTTGAGAAATCCTGAGACAATGAAGAGTAAGAGGAGCAGGTAATCAAGATATTATCGTGATCCAGATAAAGCAAGAACTCTGGAACCACAGACATGATGTTCTTTCACGGCGGCATTGGAGTTAGCTACGTGGACGGTATAAGAGAAGTCAGATACTATGACATGTTGCTCTCCGAGGACGACAGATAATTTTCATGAACAGAACAAGACAGCACTCAGGACCATGACGCCGACGCGTAAAGCGGATCATAAACACAGAACATAGAACTCTTCTCTCGCACAGAATGACCACGGTGGCAGGCTTTTGCGTCCACAACTTATTCAAATATAACAGAATCTACTGTCTCTCCCTCTTTACAGATCAAGAATGGCACCATCTTCTGTGGATTCGAGAGATTCACTCATGCATGCATCCACGTAAGACGAGCAAATCCTCAGTCGGACCAGTTTACTCGGTGACTTTGTGCTCAAGTAGTAAGACAGAATTTTTGTCTCTCATCTACCAACATGTACAGATGCAACCCAGAGAGAGGAAAATTTGCCGCTGCACTTGCTTAATTGCGTCTCTCACAAGCTGGACTTCACCCGTGGTGGCGACAGAAGAACTATCTGGACGAGAAGGAGATCAGACAGAAGTCCGAAAAAGCCTACCCAAATGATAGGTGCGTGAACTTTTTCTTCACATCTTCGTATCAGTCTTTTGAAAGCGCGGTAAGGACAACAAGGAGGGCAGTTCCTTCTTGATCATATGACAAGTGTATACATTGCCTGTTGGAAATACTTACTTTTAACTGCTAACGGAATAAGGCACGTCAATACAAGAACTAGATACAGGAACCATGAAGCTCAATGAGTCATTTTTACAAGTACAAGATGAATTTCATTTTTTTAGATACAAGGAATAGTTCCCAATCGAAAATACCAAATTACTGTAATATATCCCACGGCGTGCATCATGGTTTTCTTCAATTTATTATTTCATTCCACTTCTTCGCTACATTTTTACAGGATCTAAATCATTCGACGATGCTATGAATGTAAACTACGAACTGTGATTTTGAGTTCGAATAAGCCTAAGATAGAGGTTGAAGTACTATGACTATCTATGCGAAGTTGTGAGTCGCACCATCTTAACCATTGTTATGACAACAATTTGACTACGATATGAAACTAGAGGTCATCTTGTACCTACCTACAAATGTGTCGAAAGCATCAGCATGGCGACGACTCTTACCACCCTTGCTTCAGTAGAGCTCGCTCCTGCCTGGTACGGCAATGTGCCGACATCCAGTCAGTGCCAGTAGGCATAGTGTCGATGGACCGAGGAAGAAACGAGAGGCCTGGCGCACTCCAGGCAGCCGAATAATTCGGAAGTGGCTTCCAATACGGATCGTAGCGGGTCTTAACCTTTTTATGAAAAAGCAACAGGTCACACAAATATCTGGAGGCGTCATAACTTGTTTGATAAAGCTGAATTTTCCGTTGTGATTACTTTTATCAACGACTCAATACCCTAAGGCGACGCTGATGTATCTAGAATTTGGTCAATAACTAGTACAATATCAATAAGTGAAGCAGCAAAAAGAAAAACAAACTGTGAAAATACGACTTACCATCCATCCTTGATCAGCTCGGTTTGCGAGTTGTTCACTGCTTAGCACTCTCCAATTCGGCGGCTTCGCGGACTGCGTTCGTCGCAGAGGCACAGGATGTGATGTGTTTTCTGGTCCGTCATACGTCAACGGCACTATCTTCCCAGGGGGACGATTTTCTCGTCGCAAGCGATCCTCGTGTCGCATTATCTTGCGTCTCAACGCCGGTGGCAGTTGTCTCGAAGGAGAATCCTTGCGTTAGAGATACGGAAGATAGTATCTGATACGCGTCCATGTTCTGAAGATGATCTAGAGAGTAAGACTATACTAACTCTAACTGTAGCTTCCAATAGTACTTGCCAACGGCTCGTGACGTTTTCAACTTCGCGAAGCATAGACATAGAGATAAAGGATCAGCATAGCAATAAAAGTAGCAACTACTAGCTAGCAGTGGAGATATTTTTTATTGATGTCATGTTTGTGCCCCTGATATCGCCTTTCGTGACGACCGTAGGGCTTCAGTCTGCAATTGATCACGACAAAGCCGAGACAAAAACAGCCTACCCAAACCTTGATCGGTAAGTTTTTTATTGATTCCAAAAGTAGACGATACATAATTGAAAATCCTATGCGGTGATTCGCGGTAGTGAGGATCGGCGGATTGGGCACGGCGCACCGAAGAGGCCGTCGACGAGGTACTATCTGAGCGTGCAGAAATCATTGTAGCTCCTGTTGGTATATTCAAGACTCCGCTCGCCTTTGTGTAATTTCGTCCCGTTGTCGTGTTGTACACTGCGGGACCGCGATGATATGGTTAGAGCTATCCAGAATTCATCTCTTAACTGCATCCCTGAAGAGTATCGCTGTAAAATCCTCTCGCATACGTTTCATCAAGGATGCAGTCAAAGATGAATTAGCTACAGTCTTAATATGGTGGAACGCGCGGACTCTGCCAATGGGTATGCACCTCTTGCTTCTCAGTCTGAAGAAGAATATTTTTACGATGGGGAACAGGATGTGCCACAAGAAAGATGAATGAGAGACCGACAGGACACCGCGATGAAATGCATGCAGAATATGAAAAGGATCAGGTGGCCGAGATCGACTAAGTATCTACAAATTTCCAATAAAATATGTGAATATTAATTATCTTCATCTAGGTACTATTAGTATGACCTTGTATTCGGCCGGAATGTTTGCGTAGACGTCGGAAATGGGTTTCACGAAGACGTTGGGTCGGTAGTCACTGATGTAGGTACTCGCGTAGTCATTTACGTACTTGCTCTGTCGCGGGGTCATGGAATAGTTTACGCAGACTCCTGCATATGACGTCGGTTCAGCACGCCACCCACCCCCTGGTGCCCACATTCTGTGTATTTACCATACCACGGCGAAGCAAGAATGTCTTTCTCTTTGATGTGATGAACTTTCGAACATGTGGTGGACTTCATCTAAGCAACCAAAGCAAGAATCTCCACTATATAAACATACTTAGTTATGTAACGATGTATCACCGGGTATGGGTCAGCAGAGTGGTTTGAAGCTAATCTGCACTACAATGTAATCAGTTGTAAGTAGGCAACAGCGAGGCAAGGCGTCTATGTATATGACAGCAGGGGGGCGATAATGAAGTGTGAACGGGATGGGAAAGGGGAAGAGGGGGAAAAGTTTGTTGATCGACATCTTCAGCATCAGATTATCACAAGGTCCTGACCATTGTTGTGTCACAAGATCAATTCATCATGCGACAGCTGTTACTGGCACAAGAATGGACACAGAATCTCCATCTCTCGCCTTTCTCGAGGATTTTTTGTACCGAGGCGTTCTCGCTCCCTCGTCTTCACTTTAGAGGACCGAAGATGGCAACTTAAGTGCTGATAGCATAAAATGCCCGAAACACCACAGCCTTGGACTTGGAGAATGACTGTGCACGTGCACGATCTCGTTTAAATCATGCATAGTCGTAATGACCGATTCAAATGGATCCACCACCAACTAAATCTCCTTCTATGCTCTCAGATTATGGACGACCAATCATTGGATGTGATGAACAGCGGAAGGATAGCAACGAATAGAAACTTGTCAAAACGCTGTACTGCTTATGTATTTTGGTTGGCGTTTCTGTTGTGCATTGAAAGATGTGGTAAATTTCGGAATTGTTGTAGGTAGAATCAGGACTAGATGAAGAACTATTTTCAAGCAAGTAGAGGTAGTAGATGTCCTTCATCTTATCGTTGCGTGCGGTGAGGCTGAGCAGGAACATTACTCTTACTGTTGGGTCTAGTAGTGAAATACTAGCCTCTTGCCGCATTCTGCTCGTTGGTCATCCGAACCATTCTCCGACCAGTGTTGTCTCAAGACGCGTGTTTGCGAATAAATGGATCTCTTCGACGTTCTTTAGACGCAGTTCCTCACCTTCTAGCCTTTTTTTGCAAACAGCTACTTTTTCCGCAAACTCGCCCCTCGATCGATACACGTTTTTCATGGTGAGAACCACCAAACAATGAGCTTCCAGAAGGTTGGAACGAGCTGCGACTGCGAATTGTTCCGCATTTTTTTCAGGTTCGTCATTCATATCACAGACAAAAACTGCGATTTTGGCTTCACTCATACTTCCCATAGAATGTTTAGCTGCCAGTTTTGCAAGAGCGTCATCAGAGCGCATGCGCCAATGCTCGATAGCTTTCCTAGCCTCCCCCGCAGTTGTACTAGACGAAGCGGAAGCTTCATTCACTTCAGTACCATTCGTTTTGCTTTCGCTGGCAACCGATGATGCAGGCGACGATGCTGCTGTACTTTTATCCTCCTCTACTCCGTCCGGCTTTTCTATTTCTACTTGATGACCCTCGATGACTCCAGTAGCAGCTTGCTGCGAGATGAAAGTGGATGACGTGCTTTTTTTGTCTCCTCCTACGACGACAACTTTCGATAAAATCTCGCGTACCATGTCGTGCATGTGTGCTGCAGGGTCAACGGCGAGAACGCGGCGCGTTCCAAATTCTCTAGCTAGACAGAAACTCCATCCCCCAGGCGACGCTCCAAGATCTATAGCAAGGTTGCGTTTCGAGTAGCTGGAGACGCCTGCACCGCCATTCTTCGAAAGGTACCTGTCTCTGATCTCCAGAAGTTTCCAGTAGGCTGCCGATGGAACTGCCTGTTTCGCTCTCTCCGGAATCAGCACACGCGGCACGTTGGTTCCCACGAAATACAGACCGTCAGCGTAGCAAACTGAATCGCAGCTAACGCTCGACACTGGTGCTGTTGAGAGAATCTTTAATATATCTTGTTCCAGAAGAGGAGTTTCGTTTTCTTCGTCCTCTGTTTTTTCTCCGGCTCCACCAACAGCAGTTGCGCGATTTGTTTTGCACTCAGCTACTTCGGCTGAGGACGTCGAAGAAGCACTTCCTCCCCCACGAGTGGTGCTACCAACACAATTAGAATTTAGTTTCTGGAATTCCGCGAGTCTTTTTTGGAACAATATTGTCTCGATCTCTTTTGGGAAGCAAAGGGTCTTACGTTCGGTCGTTCGTGGGTCTTCCGTCCATCCACGTAGGCTGCCCAAGTACGCTAAACAGTCCTTGAGAGACACAAAAGGCTTTGAGGCGTAATCGACGAAATAGATTCTGTGAATAACACTGCGGAAAAACGTCGGAACATCCGCGTCGGAAAGGGACAGTCCTGTCGTGGACGGCGTTGATGCTTCGCTGCCATTCTCAACCGCTTCGTGATGCGCGTGTTTTGAGATGAACTGCCTGCGAAGTGTCAGGAGTTTCTTTTTGAAGTCCAGTTCATGATTTTTTTCCTGGCCCACGTTATTTTCTTCCTGGTTTTCGTTTCCGTCATCGTCGAAGACGTAGACAAGTCGGTCCTTTGTGCAGTTGGAAGCTACAACACCCTGGAAATATTCGGCAACACGCTCTGCTTGAGGCAGGTGGCACTGCAGAATCATAGCCGGTCGACGATACCCGAGTGGTGATGGTGGCGAACAAGAAGAAGAAGAGCGACAAGCTCCGAGTGCAATAGAAGCATTTGTGGCCATAGATGGATCCTCTTGCCCTAGAAGCGGCTTTATTTTCGTTTCCTTCAGTCTCTTCGACCGTTTAGGTTCTTGTTTCTTCTCCGCGAACCACACAGGCGGGTGGAAAGGGAAGGGCACTTTCTGGCCAACAAATGTGTCTGCCCAGGGTTCCAGGAAGGCAAAAGCTGTAACATTGAGGATTGCTATGCGTGGTAGTCGTGGGTCTGCTGCATCTCTTCGAAACTCGGACAGTCGTAAGACATCGCCGACCTTAATGTCGCTTGCTGCTGCGCCTTCACTCGCCATTTTTTTCTTCAAGTTCAAAGCGGCCTGCTGCTCAGTCCACCTCATCTTCTTTGGCTTCGGCTCCCCGGTCGTTGAAATTGCATCGTCCTCCTTGGTACTAGAGTGCGATGCTGAAGATGGTCGTGTGCTGTTGAGCATTGAAGGTATAATTGGAGCGGTACACTCATCAGATCCCTGCGCTTGTGCTGTTTGGGACACGTCTTCCTCGTTCTTCATCTCTTCATCAGCTTTTTCTTTGGTGGAGGTAACACTCACGAGAGCAGGTTCGCTTTGTACTTGTTCTCCCCGCTTTTTACAACCAGATGTCGCCCGAATGCTTTCTGCCGGCCGAGAGTCGCGTGGGATCTCAAGGAGTTTCGATATAGGCTTAGACATCTCCAGTAAATCATTCTCATGCTTGGTAACTTTCGACGCAACGAGATTCCCTGGAAGGCATAGCTCCACTACACGAGGTTGGTCGTCTAGAACAGCAATCGCGTCTATGAAAACAAGAGAGGTTCCCAGAGTCCGCTTGCTAAAGACGCGAACGTCCAAGTAAGTTGAGGATGAAGATGACGTCATCTTGTTCGTGCTGGGTGTCAAACTCGAATCTCGTTGTACTTGTTCCATTTTTCTTTCTTCTAGTACTGATTAGATTTTCTTCTTCTGCACAAGAAGAATTTTCTCTTGTTCATAGAATCAGTACAGTGTAGAGATGAGCGGCTACGAAAATCGGTCGGGCTGTATCGCTGTCTACGCGTTTGAGTACATATATTAGCCGCAATTTTTCATGTTGATCACATGAGTCATATAAATATATTATTATCATTACGCTCCGATAAGCAACGATGCAAGTAAGTAGATAATTAAAGTAGATAAAGTTTCTTCGTCTTTAGGCATCTTCAGGAAATAAACGCCCAAACTTTCCAAGATCAACAACATTTTCATCGAGATCCACAGCAGTCATGGTTAAAGATAATGACCTTTAGAATTTGCGCATCTTCAAGCAAAGATCCTGCCGGTGATATAATCCTGCTGGAAATTGATCTTCGTGTCGTTCGGTGGTTCCTAGGTTCGATCTCCGAATCACGGCTTCCTGTCTACACATCGACGCAGGCACACACTTCAGAAGTACAGCCCGCTGGCACGACCAGATATGACCTGACAACACGACCGAAACAGGAGACGCCGGTCGACTTGAACCAGTGTCACAGTCACAGCGCATTGCAGTGGTCTAAATTGTCACACTTACATTTGTTGACCATGCCATAAGTAAACATAAAGTATCCTGATTTGCCTCGCATTCAATCATGATCATCAACCTTTTCAGCTCCATCCATTTCAATTGGAATCGATCACATGTATCTTCGAAAAGTTTTTGGTGAGGACATGTATCTTTCAAAATTATAAGTGGTAGTCAACATACTATTAGTTAAGATAACTACGTCGAGCCAACAACTCCTGATTCATTCATTCATTTACCTAGTATGACTGAGATATGATGTACTAGTGACATATTTAGACCTCCAGCACCACTATGAAAATACTTTTTTAGGAGGAGGAACCAGCGTTGGGATCGTTTGAGTAAAAAAGGTCCTGATATCAAGAATAACGAGAACACTACTTACCTACCACTTTCAGATCCATCTTCAACTTCATTCAATTGTTGACAAAACACTGCTTATTTACCTTTACCTTTATCTCTCCCAGATTCAAGAAATGGGTTTATAATCCAAAAAATGCCTAGAAAGGTTTTCACACTTCGTTCTTCCTACTACTTGCAAAGAAAAGCCATTACCCGTTCGACGTGTACTTTCTACATTTCGTAGAATGAGGTGACAGTCGTGCGACAATTCATCACCGGTCACGCGACGCTCAAAATTGCAAAGCCCAAAAGTTAATGCTAAAAATGGATACAGGAAGCTTCCGCACATTCCTACTTCCGCAGCTCTGCAGTCGCGTCTTCAAGCACGTTCAGCACCTTCTTTACATACTCTTCTTTATCTTTCTCGACCCCAGTTCGCGTAAAAGCGTTGTCTCCCAGCGCTCTGTCCCTCGACTTCGATGTCCACTCCGACTCTAGAAGTGGATTCGGGAGCCCATAAGTGTCCCTGATACTCATTGTATTTTTCCAAAGACGTTCCGCGAGTCCGACACCGAAACGTGCCATTGGGACAACAAGAGCCCGCTTGTGGTCCTTAACCGCATTGCAGGTGTATAATTCATGCTTTTCTAGCACATCCAAGAAGCCGATCGATCCCACCAGCATAATATCGGCGACGTCACTGAGCAACATCTCGTGCGGAAAATATGACGCGTTTCGGGGTGGTCCGTCCACCTGGATGGTGCGACTTTCGTCTCCGGTACTGGCGCTCTGGTTGTCCTTGTTCACTAGCTCCCACACACGCCCAGGGGCAGCTTCCTGCAAAATCTCCGCGAGTCCCGGATTAATACGGAACTTGTTGATCAGAGCGAGATATTCGAAGCTTAAGTCTTCTTTGTTGTTATTCCGTTCGCTTGTTACGAAGATCAGACGAGTATCTTCGGCCATCTTCTCCGCGATCTTTTTGGGTATCTCAACTTGGTAAGAAGGCTTGCATCTGATAAGCGCGGATCGGCGTGACGACAATCCCCACCGCCAAGGACCACATTAGCAGCTAGTTGAACTCGAACATATTTGTAGTGCGATGTTGTGCTACTTTAGCTGGTAAACTCATGAAAAAGATGACGTCGAAATCGACTCGAAGAACGAAGTAGATCAGAAACGATTCAACTTGATGTACGTATCTTGTTGCATGTATGGAGAGTAGGACAAAATCTATCTTAATGTTTTGAAAGCGAAAAGAAAATCCTGCGTTACGAATCGATGAACTGCAATTGGTAAGTTCTTTATAATAAAGAATCAACATACGCGTGAAGATGTTGCTCAAGCAGTATATATATATATAAATATATCCTAGAAATGTAGTGCAGAGAGCTGTAGATCTTACTTCATCATATTTGATCCGGACTCCATTTCACTGATCCTTGACCTTTTTTTCTGGACACGACGCCTCTTATCATCAGCACATGCACACTGCACAAGCTGTCGAAGTCGATACTCTCTGTTTTAAGGATTGTTCCTACGTATAATTCTTCCATTTTTGATTTCGATTGATACACGAGATTATACTTCTTCCTTCGACTTGTTGCAATATTCAGAATCCCATGCAGCTTGAGCTTCAGGCAACATCAGCTAAGGTGGATGACATTAATACCCTGATCTTCATTGGGCATCGATATTGCCGTTTCGGGTTCCGTTCTGGTGAGGAAAAACAATACGAGGACATGCATCGAGAATCTTAGTTGTTGTTGTTGTTTTGAGAGAGCATAAGTACTTACTTTTACGTTAATATTCGACTGACATAGAGATACATATTCCCTTTCATCAATACAGGCCCTTTAAACGCGGGGACATCCTGATCAAGTAAGTAATGAAATCCGTATGCACAAAAGAACAAAAAGTTCGAGCTCTAATTTCTTATTCCTTTCTTGACTCTCTGTTTCACCCGCAGCGATTGCGTTCTTTGCGTCCTCTGACGAATAAAACTCTATAAATCTCTTCGGAAGATTCAAAGTCAAAAAGCGAAACTAAGCAGCCACGACTTCTCCATTAATTATGCAGAAGTTACGCTTACGCACGCATAGGCTCCTGGTGCTAAATAAGAACTGCAGGTCCTTACTCCTCGTCAAAGGTCAAGACGCAACGCAGACACTCGCCTTTATGCAGGAGATCGAAACCCTCGTTAATCTTAGAAAATGGGAGCTTATGCGTAATGTACTCGTCCAACATAAGCTCTCCCTTCATGTATCGGTCGCAAAGTTCAGGAACCTTATATATTAAGTGTATGTGCGGAGGAGAAGCTGGAACTAGAGTGTACTTAGCTGTGTGAGGACTATGATATTAATATTGTCGATAATTTTCAAAAATTCGGTTTCGTGGTGCAGGAGCTCCGATGATTATATTGATACAGCTTAATTTTGAAATCTAATTTTGATCATATGAGGTCTTACCTGAGGTTTGCTCTTCCATCCACCGAAAGCCGTTCCTTTCCACGTTCGCCCTGTGATCAGTTGAAAGGGCCTTGTAGCGATTTCTTGCCCCGCGGCGGCGACACCGATGACGACAGAGGTGCCCCATCCTCTATGTGCGCATTCCAGTGCTGCGCGCATGACTTTCACGTTTCCAGTGCAGTCAAAACTATAGTCTACACCCCACTCGGTCATTCCGACAATAACTTGTTGGACCGGTTTCTGTGAAGTCGTGGTCGGAGGCTTTGTTGATTTGGCTAACTAACCAAGCTTGCACAGCGAACGCAAAAAAAAACCTTCTGTTCTTGTCGGGAAGTTACACTACGGTTTATGAACGGAGAAATCCCCAGAGTCCAGTCTCTGGAGTTATGATAGATCACAGCTTTTTCCTTATATATACGAGATATTTCCATTAGGTACGTAAAAAAAAACAAATGGCATAAGAATTATGCTCATTATAGATCAGCATCGTTTTCATTTTACTTAGGAAGAAAGTTCATCATACTCAAAAACAATAACTTATTATGATCATTGGTTTCAAACTTGACTTTTCTTTTTTGTCTTCGAGATCCTTCTTCTAATGAACATCTGGTCCCACTTGGTTCTGGAACTGGACGCACTACCAATACTGTTGCGATGAGGACGAGGACCGATGATTGTTACACTTACAGGCGCAACAGGAGCTGGCTCGAGCGCTCGCCCGACCAGTACCATGAACACGAAGGTCTTGACTTCCGCCGCTACGCATTTCTTCCCATACCGGATAGGGATATCGAATAGAGGAATCTTCATGAAATAGCTGCACGGGGGTGCGTGTGGGCTGTACAAATCGAAGTCCATTTTTTTCACGTTCAGAATCAAAATCAATATCATCAGTGTTTTGGCTTTCGGTGTTTTGTCATATGGTTCCTCCTTCTTATTCGTTCAGCTATAGGTTTTTTTTCTGTAAGATGATCAAAACCAGATGAGGAGAAGAGCTGGCCTGATAAAACTCTACATGCACACTGGACTGGCTTCAGATTCAGTTTTCGAATTCGTATTCATTAAATGGGCATTTCATTTTTAGTACCCAGCGACTTGATGAAACTAGAACCGTCTCGATCTCGTTCAGGATTGAATTTGAGCCATCGCCTTGCCCTTACATTTCTTCGCTGTAAATTATAGTTTTAAATTATTACTCGCCAGCAGAAACTTGCATTGACTTACACTTATTCTTATTTGTTGATCAGCATACTCATCCATTTGCTAACTTTGATCCCGATTCTCGTTTATCAAGAACTTCAAGGTTAAGTTTGTCTTTCTGCTTGTAGATGCGCCACATCTGTGTATCATGGCAAGTATGATTTTGCTACCGGCATGATCCGGAAGTTGATAGCTGAACTATTTTTTCAACGGTTGTGTGAATTGAGATTGAAATTGAAACTGAATCGAACAAAATGGAAGTGGAGCCGTGAGATTGTGCTTAGTGTGCTGCACGAAAAACGTGGGGACTTGTCAACGAGTGCAAAGATGGATCTGAGTTCAAAGTTGCGCTTGAAGTTGAAGTTGAATTCATTGTCGACATTGTGCTTACGACTACGAGGAGAGTCTGAGGCGTATGCATCAGATCCCACTCCGGTAGGCGTCGGCCCGGCTGTTCAACGTCCTCTCTGTGTTCGTTTTTGCCTTAGCCCTCTCTTCTGAGCAATTTGAGAGCGCATGCGCTCGCAGTTGCACTTGCACAGGCATGCACAGCTACAGCGCAAAGTGAAAGTTTAAGACTAGCAAGATCAGCACCAGTAGCACTAGCACATCTATTTTAAAAGCAACATACTCGCCAGACAATAGCCAAGTCTTCCTCTCCAGCAGGAAGGATTCGCTTTTTCCTCGCGCCTATGTCTAGGGTGATGCTCGTGCTACAGCCTACTCTTACTCGTACTCTCTCTCCCAGACTCACACCTAGCCAACAGAAGAAATAGCTACCCGTCCTCGCGAGCCCTCTTTTTCTCGTTCGACTACAGAATGCAGAAGCATTTGCTAAGCCAGAGGGGTACTCTAGTGGTGCGTCCACGTTGTTCTCGTTCGTATTGTACTCACACTCAAAGTCAAAACGATCAGAAAGAGTCGAAAGGGTTATTGCATGCAAATCCTGGGCCGGTCAGGTGAAGCCGAGCCCTTCTCTTGCCCTCATGCTCGTTGGCTTACAGTCACGATCTAATTCTAAATCTTCACCTATCTCTACATCACGCCACGCATCGACGATGAAGAAACCGCTAGCTGTTGCACTTGTAGTTTTAAGAGTAAGGCGGAGAAGTTAATACGATAACGACATAAGCCTGCTGCTTTGATGATGTCACCTGGACCTTCATCGCGAGAGTTGAAAACTCGAACGATCAACACAAAGAGGACGCTTCAGCTTTAGTTTTAGATTTGTCGGCCGTGCTTCTTTGTATAGAGATAGACGTCCTTCTCTGTCTCGCGATCAATAGACTGAGAACGAAAATGAGACGTAGAATTACTAGTACTAATTTTTAGATTTCGATTTAGCAACTGAAATAGATCTCCATTTTAGATTAAATCATTTCCCCCCCCCTAGTCCTTGGAGTTGGAGCTGATGGCTCTTGTACTTGTTGTAGCATGAGGTTTGACATTATGAACGTTTCTGCTATGTCTACTGCATCTACCATTACTTGCGGGAGTTTGTGTCAGATACTATTCGCAAAAAGAAACTGCGTCGACCCTCGTCTTCGAAGTCGATCTTCTACTTCTTACCATTGCAGAACCTATCGCAAAAATACTCACTGCATATGCCTCCCCGACGTCAATTCCTGGCATCCCCGTCTTCGTCATTGAGGGAGTTGATCACCCATGTCATTTGAGGCCCTTCATAATACCATCCTCTCTTCCCATCGCGCCCTCCTCTCCCCGTCCCCAGAAGCCTTGCACGCCCACTCGAGAGCGTAGGCCTACAACCACGACTAGCGTCTGCTTCCTCCTACTCGAGCCTACTTAATCTCAGGGAAAGCGACTCCCTCTCCGAAAAGGAAAACCAATAGAGCTAATCTGATGCGTTTCAAATTCCAACTCACTATGACATTACCTCACGCATCTATCTAACAAGCTAGAGCTAGTAGATCGTCGGGAAAAGCGAAAAACTAGTCTCTCTATCTCTAATCCTAATTCTAAATACTCCAACCGGATACGGCTTGAATCAGAACCAGTGGCTGTACAAATCCGACTAGGAATAGAAGTAGTTGGATGGTTCCTGTGCATTTGTTCTTCTCTCTGTCAGCCTAAACTTAAAACACATCAAGATCAAACTCCTCGCGCTCTCTGTGTCTATAAGATGAAGCTAACTAAGATACTGCTACTGATATCCTATACCTATTATGGAAATGAGTATAATTCTAAATCTAAAACGTCAATCTATAGATTCTAAATCAAAATCAATCGGGTGCATTTATTTCTATATAAAAATCGAAAGTCTGTTACTGAGTGGAGCGAACTCACCTCAGTCATGCACGTCGATGCCCGTCGTGTGTGACTCAGTTCGAAGAATGCACCGCTAAGTCTAAACTCTAAGGGCTTAGAGCTGGAAGTGGAACTCACCTGAAGCACAAACATAACAAAAATCTAAATCATGAACTGGTAGTGGTGCTGCCATCTGTTTCGAAATCGTAGCTAGAGGGCTCATTTAGAAAAGTTGAGACTTAGAGTTTGGCTAGGTTCTGACTTTAACACTCCCTACCTCGACTGTCCAGAGGTTTCTAAATCTAAACCACGCGAAACTTCAACAACAAACACTCAAGCAATCAACATCAAATGTACCTACACCCACATGGAATTAGAAATCGCAACTCGAAACCATTCTAAAAACCAAAGCTACACAAACCTGGAAAAGAATGAGAAACAAGTTGAAATAAATCGACACAAATTCTGAAGTAACGAAAGCGAGACGAGAGACAGTTCTTTCTGAATCCCTCTCCATTATAGACCGGCCCAAAGTCATAAGCCAACGAGAAACGGAAACAGTTCTCGCTCTACTTATATATCTCATAAGCTGCGTCTCTCTTCATCATAGACCGACCCAAAGTCATAAGCCACGAGAACGACTTGAAGTTGAGCTTGATCTTAGACCGTACTAAAGTCTTACCGAACGAAAAAGAGCTCCTCTCCTAGGAATAGAAAAAGTACTCCCTGTACCTCTACCTCCACTACCTGTTCTTCTTCCTGCCCCCCATACATGTACATCATTCTCCATGTCCTCTTACATCAGTCTGCTTCGCTTCGCCTGCGGCTCGGCCGAGCTGGAGGACGAGCCAGTGTCCGTGGACTTCGAAGCACCACCCAGTGAGGCCCACGTATTCTCGGTCGGCAATCGGAAGACGTACTCCTTGGTTGGTACCACCGGGCCAAAAATCGCAAAGCCACGAGCAGTCTTGGTATAGTCAGTGTTCTGGTTACCACTTTCCTTGCCTTGGCAACACAAAACAAGCTCGTCTGGTGTCTTCGCCGTCTTCATCATCTGGAGGTGGAGTGGGAGTGACTTATAAGGAGGTGACGGGCAGTTGTGACGTCATGTGTACTTTGTTAATTCTAAAAATTCTAAACGTAAAGTCCATCCAGAGACTGTAGTCCCCCAAGGAGAAAAGAAGGTTCAACTTTCAGGATTCAAGACCAACTCCAACACCAAGAGTTGAAGTTAAAAATGAAAAGAAAGATAGAAAGTAGTACGCAGAAATGCCAAGCGTATTCCACAGGCGTATTCATGCGGTCGTTCTTTTCCTCGTCGCAGTGCGGTGACTTGTAGACGCACTTGGTTGCATGGCGCAGCGGCGAGACCTTAACTGGCGTCGTCTTTCCATCTCCCTCAATCATGACCATCGGGAGTTGAACGCCAAACTTCGTCTGATGAGGTTTCATCTTGAAGTTCGCTGGCGGGTTCTGTCCATCAGCGCAAACTCGAGACTTGTAGTATCTGTCATCTGGCTCCACATAGCAGCGCAACCACTTGCCCGTCTCCTGCAAAACACCTCCCGAGTCAACTTGCGGCTGGCCCTTTCCAGTCACACACTTCAAAGCGACAAATTGCGGGTGGCGACTCTCACCAGATTTGTCTTGCGGGTAGGCTGCAAAGAGCAGCTGCAAGACCGTCAAATTATCGAAGTCCTCCACCCACTCGATCTCTGCTTTTCCTTGTGCCGCCTGTGAGTTGTGAGTGTGACAGAAGGCTCAGGTTGGGAATGGCGCGTTGTTGGTATGACACAGATCGAAGTGCAGTTGAGTCCTAAAGCTAAACCTAAAACGAATCCTCTAAAAATCAAAATCAGACTCAGCTTCAAAATCCAGATGTGTGAAAATGGAAGAGGACTCATACTCATTTTCAGACCATGACCAAATTCACAACCTAAATTACGTCCAACTCCGTCTGTTGCTTCGAAGCGTCAAAGTTCTTCACTTTCTCCTTCGCGGCTTGTTTCTTGCCGCCAGCTGCTTGCGCCAACTTGCCTTGGCCGCGCGGAGCGCGCTTCATCGAAGGTACCACCGCCAACGCGCGAGACGGACTCGCCGGCCCACCACCTTGAGCGCCCTTCTTCAACATCTGCTTGCACTCATCATCCGGGAAGATTTTGGCACTATCAACTCGAGAGATGTTCAGGGCTTTAGCAAGTGCCTTAGTATCGGTATGCATATCAGCCACAGACGAGCGCCAGCGGGCTGGAGGATTGCAGCCTAGCTCCGTGATAACGCCATGCCCCATCTGCTTGCCACTCGCATCTACGTATGTCACAAAGCAGCCCTTGGTCAAAAACGGCGCGCAAGACGGCACGGAATCAAACGCATGAAACTGTTGAAGAGGGAAGGTTTGGGTTCATCAGAACGCTTCATTTGGAGGAGAGTATGACGATCATGATCTTTGTTGTTGTGGTGCTAGTGCTGGCACAAGCACTGCATTCCCTCGAGGAAGAAAATGAAAGTAAGTGAAGAGTGTTTCAAAGTCAAGATCAAGAAGCACACCCTGACTCAAGCTCAACTCCATATCCATTCCCATTGTAAAAAGGCAATAAAGATGCTAAATGAAGCAGTACCGTCGTAGATCCATTGGCAAAGCGATGTTGGAACTTCAAGTTCGAGATCATCGACATGCAAAAACCTTGCTCACCCTTTTCACTCGTCTCCAAAGCACGCGGGTAGACGAGGCTGTCTTCCAAGTCGTGATAGCTGGGTTGCGCAGCTTCCTCCAACGATGCCATGTCAGTGTCTGACTTGTTTCCCGCGAGATGCGCTGCGCGATATTTCTCCACACACTTGACCCAATTCGCAATAGCGCGGGGACGCACGAACTGTTCTGCATTACCACCCTGGATGTCATCCATCGGATCAGCGTCATTCTCGGCTTTGCAGATATTTACCAGATCGAGTGGAGGGATGGAGCATCTGTCGTTGCAGCAAAGCATCTGCGACGACAAGTAGAGGTCGACGTCGCTTGTGTTTAACTCCTCACCCATGTATCCACCGCACGGCTGCATCACGTTGGCCCAAGTCGACTGAAGAGAGAATTGAAAAAAGGATACTAGTGGCAAAAAAGACAAGACGAAAGCTGAAGTTCAAAGTGTGCTTCTACTTGTGATTGTGGTTGTTGCAGAAACAGAATGCAGCTGCAGATAGAGATACAGACAACGGCGACACGGACACATCAACGAGTCTAAAAACTAAATGCTTTATGTGAATCGAGAATCTAAGTACCTGTAGGTAGTTGGCGATCGGGACCGTGGAGGGGATTTGGTGTAGCGCTGTGTAGTGCGCCACCTTGATCGGGTGATAGTACTCCTTGACGAACCAGGTCTTGAAACACGGAACGAGCGACGCCGACACGTGGGGATAGATTTCCTGTGCGGGTGGAAAAGTAAATGTAAAAGGTTTGAGATTGAAAGAACGTATGAGAGAAGACCTGACTCAAAAACAAAATCTAAAAAAGTCTAAAACTACAAATCAGCAGCACGTGTACTCATCTTGGAGTTGGATCAGAGTGAGGACTTCATCTTCAACTTCAATTAACAGCAAGCACCTTGACATAGTTCGGAAACGTTCCAACTGCTGTCTTCGAATTGTATTCCGCCCAGTACTCGTTGATTCCCCTGTAACATTCTAGGAACGTTGGCTCCATGGCAGTGGATGTCTTGAGGTTCACGCTGTTGATAAATGTCTTCGACGCCTCCTCGTGGAGCAAACACTTCGGGTGCATGAACTCAACCTGTAAGAAAGACAAGACATAGAGATAGAGAGAAGCTGCTGGCAGAAGGAGATGGAGTCTTTGTGATCAGCATCAGCATCGACTTATAACGCACATCAGACTTAGATACCAGGATGTTGCAGTGCATGATTCGAGTCTCCCACGCCGTTGCGTCTTCCCTCATATTCTCGATTCCAGCTTGGGTGGTATGATTACCACCAAACACAGCGTATTTGTTGCGGTATCTCTCGAAGACATGCGGCAGCTTTCGCGCCATTTCTTCCGTAATTTGAAATCCGTCCACGTAGAGCATCGCTGTAGTTGTATAGAGTATAGAAATAGACCCCGATGAGGAACTGGAGAAATGCCATGGGATTTGGTTTCGGACATGATGTTGATGATGATGTGGTGCTGGCGAACATGAAGTAGAGAATTATCATGGGTCTAGAGCTAGAGCTAGACCTTAGCACAAGACGCTACATACTAACTAGGACACATCTAGCTTAGTCTTAAACTGCAGTACCCTCTTGGGTGTCTTCCCACGCCTTTCCGTTCCTTTTCATCTGGGCATCCTTGAGAAGCGTCTTGCGCGGATAGTTTCGGATGAAATTGTGATGATATTCGATCGCGCTCTGGAAGTCCTCCTTCTTAGCAGGTCGGCGGCTTCCTGGGATGATGAAACTCGCGCGATAAGTTCTGATGTAATCATTGCGATCCATTCCTGCAACATTCGATTTCAAATTCTGAAGATGTCCGTCCCACTCCTCTAGGGACATGCCAAACAGCTTGGCCATAAGCAGCTTCTCCGCATCGTGGCTGGAGTCTGACATCTTGTTTTCTTGTTGTTTGTGAGTGAGTGAATGGTGAAGAAGCGTAAGCTTTTTGTGGCTAAAGGGTCGCGTTTATAGAGTGGAGCGATCGTTAATATTCACCGTTTTTGAACAGTTATGGGCGCCGTTTTGAATGGTCTGCGTCTCTACACGCTATGAAAAAAGCCCTCTGAATAACTGTCTCGCAAGGCTCACCGCTCATTCACGCACCAGGAAAAAACATCCCTCGTCTGAGTCACCAGCGTTTCTTTTCTTCCTCCAGAAGGGTCTACTGATCGCTCGTCCAGCTTTGAAAAAAATGATTACTGTGGATTTTCTCTCAGAGTTTTCTGGATCTGATTCAGATTTTTCTGGCTCGCAGCTCCGCCCGGAAAGAAATTTTTCATGAGATATCATGACATATGCGCGCAAAAGCTGGCACATGCCGGAGTTAGCACTAGTATTTCATGATATATAATGGTTTTCTCCCTTGCCTCCACGGTGCCACGGATGCGCATGGGCGTGCTTGCGTTTGTATTTTTTGCTTCCACCCTACTTTAGTTTCTTGCTCAGCCCTGCGCTTCTGTCTTTCAAACATGCGCTATCTTATCTCCATCGATGTAAATTTTTACGCTGCGTAGCACATTTTTTTACGTTAGACTATACATGTTTTTACGTTCAGCTATACAGATTTTGCGTTCAGCTATGCAATAATTAGATTCCGCTACTGACTCATGCAAGGATCGCTGCCCCTCTTCCCCAATCACCGTCGCTTTCCTCAACGCTTTCACCACCAGACTCCGAGGTTGCCGAGCTAGCGTCTGTGTCGGCGTTTTCTACTAGAAAATTATGAGCACATCCTGCATTTTTCTTGTCAGATTTCCTGACATCAACGACGTACTGCTTTACTGCTTTGGTCGCGTGCATCCTCTGCTGTACAGTCAGCTTCGGCATTTGTCTTCCCAAGATCGTCACTATATCGCGAATAATCGCCTCCCGCGCGATGCCAAAACTATCGCCCTTAACTCCCTCTGAGATACATTTGTACCCACGCTTCTGGATGCTCTCAGTGATAGTCTGCAGCATTGTTTTTGCAGCGTTGTTGGCTCGAACATGCGACCGGACCCCGTCAGCAGCAGCGATAGCGGGCGCTCCTGACGCAGCAGCGACAGCGGGCTTGTTATCCATCGGGAGCAGCCTTTCACCCTGATCGTTTGCTTCTCCACCTAGACCTGCGTCTTCCTCTCCTGCGTCTCCCTCACCAGCCGCTTCTCTAATGAGTTTGACAGGTATCTGCGCATGCCAGAGGCAGGTCTGCGTCTCTACCTTTGGCACGGCGAGGTACACTTTGACGCTTAGACTGGCCAGGCTCGAATCACCTATAGATAATTTGCATCGTTGTGAGCAGATGAAGAGCGAAATCGAAAACAATGGGTATGACAATGAGACTGAGAATGACAATGAGCGAAAGATGAAAATCAAAATCAATATCAACGAAGATGAAGCTGGAGAGCAGATGAGTTTGAGTTTGACTTTGAGATTGAGTTTGAAATTGAACAAACGAAATATTAAGGATAAGAAAACGAACGAAACAAAACGGAGTACCCGCAAACAACTCGGGCACTGCAACCTCAACGACCTCTTTCTTGGACCATAGATGTTCGCGAAACGTTGTAGGTGCCTTGGCGGACTTCATCGCTCCGAATGCATTGGTCCGATCTGCGTTCCTTCGGACTTGCACCTCCTTGGTCTCCCGTTGCCGAATACCAACATGTCCTGGAATTTCTTCTTTCACCAAAGGAGTGGCATAGAAAAGATATCCGCCTCGTATCTCCCGACACGCGTCGCGAATGTGTCCTTTCTCGATCGTGATCGTGACAAACCTGCTCTTCTCTGCGTTTGCAGCGCCGCCGTTGAAGAACTTGGCATCAACGTAAAAGTCGGTAGAGCCGCGCACGACTTCCACGATGGGGCCGTTGCGGTGCTTGACATCCACGTCATTCATCGTTGCTGCTACGCTGTTCCATCTGAACGCAAGTTTACAAGGTAGCACCCTAAGAACCGTCTTGCGCTTCTCTAAAACGATGTAGAGGATGTCTAGATCGCTAGCAGAGCTGGAGCTGCTACTTGCAGCTGCGTTTCGCATGGAGAGCCGAAAGAGATCACCGACATCAAGCCCAAGTCGAATGGTCATCCGTGACGCAGGCGCCCTCTGCGCGAGACCACGTGATTGGCGAATAGACGGCTTCTTTCCCACGTCGTAGTTGATGCGCATCAGCTCCAGCGCTGTCAGTGCTGGGTGCATGCTACCGCTCTCGATTGCCCCTGCTTTGCGAGTAACCCCTTCTAGCAGCTGTATCTTCTTGCTACGACGGTCGCGCACTGTCTTAAGAACGAACCAATGCTCGAAAGGGAGCCGCGGCGCGCGCGCAATACGGAATCGCACACCTGCGCGCGTAGACTTCATCGCTGGTGCTAGACGCCGCAGATAACTTGTTGTACTATTGTAGGACTCAACGGTAGCAGAGGAATTTCCTGAAGAAATCACTACAGGAACGATCTCAGCATTGAGACGCGCCGACAGCTTCTTCCGCCTGCCGTCCGCGATCTGCTTAAGCTCTCTGCTAAAGTCGTCTCGCACCATTGCAGAAAAGCACTCTACGTCTTCGTGGCCAAGATCTTTTGTGGCAAGCAAGTCTCGTGCTGCTTTGATACGCTTCTCGTCTGAAGGCGATAGCAAATGGACAAACCGATGTGGAAACTCGTTCAGCGGTTCGTGGCGACGTTTCGACTCGAGCTGAATCAGCAGCAAGCCAAGCGCAAATGCGGCTCGCTCCTTGCCCGTCTCTAGAACCAGAGTGACTAGGCCTATGCTATCCCAGAACGTTTCCGGAAGCGCCTCTACAACATAGTGCAAGGCCGTCTTCACGTCGAGCCAGAGCCACTTGCAGAACCTGGAGATAGAGTCAGTAGCCATTTCAGATTCATACGGGTGGTTGTTTGTCGGAAAGAATCTCAATTTGCTACGATAACCAAAATGAACACCAAGAAAAGACCACGAAGTCTCATGAAGATGAACAACAAACAACGAGTTGTGCAAGAGTCTTAGTCTTGACGTCAAGAAAAAGAAAATACTTATGCTTCTTCAGGTTCAGTTTAATAGACAGTCGAAAGATGGGACGGCTTATACTTTTGCACGATCGCTTCTTGCCTCGCTATCAGCTGCAACAGTCTCCATCCTACGTTAATCACTGTCCAAAAGGCAGGATTGTCCACAAGCTTCACCGCACGCGTGAACTTGACAAGCGACTTGGTCTTCATCTTTACTTTCGGATCTGCGTGGTACCGCTTGACTGCGTCGGTGATCTCGACACGCCGCTCTCCGAGTGCGCGAAATGCCGGATAAATGTTCAGCCATCTTGTCATGCAAAAATCGGGAATCTTCTTCAATTCACCCTGGAAGTAGGTGTTAATCACGAAGACGAATGTTTTCACCGCCTGCCGAAGGTGAATGTCGAAAAACGAAGAAAGAAAGATGATGACCTTCCTCGCTGTCTCATGCCAGTAGTGCATCTGGCATGCAACGACGACGACGAAGAAGATAGGCGCCTGGGCACACGAGAAGACGTCTGAGTTGTTGGATGCTTCATGAAGAAACGCTCTCCGCTTTTCATCGTACCCATTCACTTGCGCAGCAGCATTCCGGTCGTGGTGAATGCGCTTCGCTTCAGCAAGTGCTTGTGCCCTTTCCGCCGCAGCCGACTCTTCAGAACCAGAATCACTTGCCCACACAAAAACTTGCCGGACTGTGTTGTAATTAACAAGGTTGCTTCCCCGCCCTGGCATAACTGCGCCAGCTTCTTCACACATTTCGAACACCGAGGATAGCGTTGTCATCGTGTCTCCGTGAACCATCTTGGATTTCGGGGTGTACCTGTAGTACACGACACGCCGCGACTCCTCGTCGATCACTCGCGCCGTAGCGCACTCCGCATTCAATACCTTCGTGCCACAGCCATAAGGCGTCGCGTCTGGCCCGATTCGGGTGCACACTAATGGAAGTCGCTCTGGAGCCTGTCCAGCATCTAGTTGTATCTCCGCGTCCAGTCGGGCCTGCTCCATCAGATCGACTGAATCGTCAGCGTCATTGATTTGATCAAAGAGAAGAACTTGATCTTCTCCAAGCGTCCCAGCGTAGTCTTCCTCTTGTTCTTGCTCGCCGTCATTCAGGAAGAAGTCGTCAAGCATCCTGCCGCTATCCCGGTGCCCGTCTTGTGCTTCGACCTCCACGCCCACCTCCACCCCCTGTTGCTGCTGCTGGTCATCAATGTCGCTGTCGGCTAAGAGGTCATCCTCCTGATCTGCCTCCACGACCAAGCGACGCTCTCGCTGCGTCTTCGTCTTCATGCTCTTCTTGTTGTTGTTGTTGTTCTTGCAGCTTGTGGTTGTGGTATTCTTGTTCGTTTCTTCAGGACTGTCTAGTCCGTTCCCTTTCTCAGAAGAAGAAGATGTAGATGCGTTATTTTGGCGGCGACGGCGAGGTCGAGCGCGAAAGAGTAGTCTTGTCATTACTCTGTCACGCAGAGAGAGAACATCCGCAAAGACATCTTCCCAGTACAAGCAGTACTTTCTGCGTCGATCAAGGTTTCTCTTGGCTTGTTTGTTTGTATCCTCGTGGGCCTCCTCGCTGATTTCACCAACACCGACGGCACTAAAGTGATCAAAGAGCTGGCCCCATTCGAGCTCACGCTGTGCTTCATCAACGGATATTGCACCTACGCCGCCGTTGTCCTCAGCATCACTATCCTCCACGTCGCCGTCGACGCCCGATGCTTCCCTAGCGACACTAACCGTGAGACCAGTCTTTGCACTCTTCGTTCGCGGACTTGTCTCGTAGCGATCGCGCCATCGCTTCAAAGACTGTGGCGCAGCAGCATCCTCTGACCCACCAGTGACCCGCAAGCACATGTCTGCCTTGACGTTAGTTGTAGCTAGACGCGCTCCCCCGATGGCATACTTCAGACGATCTTCAAGGGTCGCTTCCTTGACATCGACAGCCTCCCCTAAGACAGAATACACATGTGCAGGATCATCGTCAGGGGCAGGACTGGCTTCCGCGGGAGATGAAGCGTTGTTGCTGTCATGACTTCCGGCTCCCATGTCGATGCTGGCACGGGCTTCGTTGTTCTCCTCTGCTTCTTGCACGCCGAGGGAGTCTTGATGTTGATGTTGATGTTGATGCAAGCTAGAACTAGATGAGCTACTCACTGTCCCCACTTGATTCAGGACACGCGCAGATGACGCAGACCCTCCACCTCCATTTCGCTTATGGGACTTGATAGCAAGCGCATCTTCTGGATCGTCCTGATCGTCGTCCTCTACCTCGTAGCGCTCCTCGATAAGGAACTTGCAGAACCTCTGCCAAAACAGGATACTCTTCTTCTTCTTCGTCGCATCTTCCTCGAGGCCGCTTCCAGGTCCACAGAGCCTCTGGATGAACTCGTTCTGCTTCCGAAATAATGCAGACCGCCGCGGAACAGCACAAGTATGTCCTTGCTTCCTCGTGAGGAGCTGCGCAAGGCCTGAGTCGTGAATCTCTTGCAAGACCCTCTCTACGTCATTCCGCGAAGTTACTCCCAAAAGCCATCGCCGGACGTCTCTTGAAGTGAGATGGGACATTGCGCCCGCTGTCCTCCTTGTCCCCACAAGAACTATAAGACTAGTAGGTCTAAGCTAAGGGCAACAGTGTCAATAAGTGTAGCCGTAAGTGGAAAAGATTTCGGTAATAGTAGTACGAACTATACGAAACAAGTTGGCTATTAACAGATAGTGATGGACATTGCCATTAGTGGTAGTGGTAGATAGAAATATGACCAAAGTGACTTTGTGGAGAACTCGCGTGCGTGTGGATGTGAGCCTGCTACTAGTTCTAATACTAACACTATGACATGGGTAGCAAAGAGCATAAGTCTTAGAAGGGACGAGAGTGGAATGGTAATGGTGCAAGCTTATTCAGGTTGGAAATGGAATATATGAGTTTCTATCTTAATGAGATGCTTATGCACAAAGAAAATAACGAGCACGCCAACCACGCGGGACTTTTAGTTCTACTTCATGCACCATGCGAGGAGGAGGGATTATGTCAAGATCAAGTACAAAACTCAGTTCAGCAAGATCAAGCTCGGCTTCAACTTCAGCTTCAACTTCAAGATCAACTTAAACTTATACAACAAGAAGGCCCTACTGGCAGAATTCACTTGAGCTCGGAGATATGCGGCTGTGGCGAAGACAATGAGTATGACTAAAATGAAGGATACTCGTCTGCTCCTGAGCCTGGTCCTGCAACTGCGCCCACACCTGGTCCCGGGCGCCAGCGCCTTCCAATACCAAAGCCAACTTTTGTAGACCCAATTCCCCACACCCAAATCCTAACTCATCTTCCTACGACAGCACGACGATGGCGCCACGGCCAACTCACCTCTCATCGTTTATCCCCCCAGCCCAAAGCGAGGACCTCGCCGTCCCGGTCCCCTGCCCCAGGCCTGTCCCTGCATGGTTGTGCCTGTACTTCGCATTAGCGATTGCCAGAACCAGAACCAGACGTCTATGCCTATGGGGTTGGGGTGCCAGTGCAAATGAGCAAGGAGCACGAGAACGCCAGCGCCCATGCTGGCATAGCATGCCCCAAGGTGGCGCCACAACGTGACATGCCTCGCAGGCGCAGAGGCAGACACAAGATCGGCATCAGGTTCAGCTTCAGACTCAGCTTCAGGCTCAGCCTCAGGAGCGACTGGCAGCATAATCTCAATTGCCCAGACTTAGCCCCAATGCCAAACGTGCTTACTCTAGGTAGGTTAGTCTTATTCTTAATGCTAATCCGTTAGCTCAGCATACAGCTCGTCACGAAGTAATTGTCTCCGACTTAGAGTTAGTGTTCGATCTACATCTACAATAAGAATAACTAAACAATTATAAAAATAAAACTGAGTCTGAAACTAGATGGTTGCAGTATTAAATCTTAAATGGAGAGAGCTATTCTACTTTTACGGCTACGCTTGCTTGCTTACGTGGTTCCACTACTAGCTCCTACTTGTCCATGTGTTTGTAGCTTCTGATGTTCCTAGTTTCCGGAGTGGCTCCTAAGGGTCAGTTTTGATTTCGAGATTGAGATTGAGTAGTCCAAGCGCGAAAAATGAGAAGAAGTAGTAGAGCTACAAGAACAAGTAGAACTACAGAACAACGACAACCCATTCGAAATCGAACACGAAGTGAGGGGAGAGAGTAAAGAGATAGATTTCGAGTTGGAGAACGAGAAACCGACTAGGTGCTTACTATGAAGTTGGAGGCGTCTTTTATTTGCTTTCCGTTTTGCCTTTTCGATTGTGCTTAGACTTTCTTACAGGCGCATGGACGGGTAAGGGACTTCGGGGTGTGCGATTTTCCTTTTGTTTCTGGGGGATGTCACGCCCACGTTGACTTTCGTGCTCATTTTCATCTTCATGCTCGGGTTTATCTTTATATTTATATTTCTACTTCTCTCAGCATGAAGGAAAAGACCGACTCCACCGAACTCTACCGCGACACATCGTCAACCGACCGAAAGACTTTGAGGCAGATGCAACTGCAAGAGCAAGGTGAACAAAAAGAGGATGAGAAAGAAAAACTCGAACACCATAACCAAATCCAAAACCATAACCATGACTGCCAGTGGAGTACTATAAGGCTAGCTGTTTCTAGGCCGAAGTCAAAACGCGACTGATCATGCGAGCTTCGTGCGTCTTTCTGCTGATTCTTCCTTTCATATTCTCTCCCTCGACCTACAGTGCTCACTTCAAGTTCAAAGCATCGCGCGCTTTACTTCAAAGAAGTTTCCTTTCTTACTCCCCCTCCCCCACGCCGTCACAGTTTTACTCCTCCTTTTGCTTTTAATTTCTTCTTTCTAAATCCGAGTCCGAAAGTAGGCAGCGGCAGAGAGGTTTCGATACGGTAAGCGAATGCAGTCAAGCATAAGCTTACCTCGAATCATTTCCAAGTCCAAAAGCAAGGAAGACCTCCCAGGAAAAACCAATGAAGCGTCATACTCGTGTTCAGCTTCGCGAATCTCCCACCCGGAACGCCGACGCACCTGTTGTTATTTGAATAGAACCCCACACCAGACAGGAGAAAGGTCAAGGAGGGAAAATTCCATGTGGTTCTGATACCTGTTCTGTAGTGGGATAAACATAAAGAGAAGGTAAAAGAGAAATGAACTAAGATACAAAAACGAAAGAAATAGAAAAATATCTATGATTAGAATTATAAACAGCAGCATCATACTAGAGGGAGGACAATGACAAAAAAAAAGCGATCATGATCAGAAAGAACGAGTTCTTACTAGTAAGTGCATTATCATTATCATAGAAGAGTACATGTTGTAAAATTAAAAGAAGACAAAGTTATATTTTATCTTTAAGTTTGATTATACAAGAAGAGAAAAGGCATTAGACCTTTTCAAAAACCTGATGGTTCATAAGGAAAAAGTGAATATTCATAGGCAAAAAGTTGTGATCTATCATAAGGTTAGAGACTGGACTAACTGGAGATCCTCCGTTCATACTACGGTTACCGCCATTGTCACCAATGAATAAGATACAATAAAGAGTTATCGAAGTTCAAAATGAAAGTGAAAAGATGTTGCGAGAGAGCACCTCAAGATTTCCGCTGTTAATAACGTCGGTGGCGCCCCATTTTTTCGCGAGTTCCAGTTTGCTGTCCAGCAAATCTACAGCGATGATTCGCTTGGCTCCCGCCTTGACGAGTCCCTCGATGACGCTCAAGCCCACGGCACCAATACCGAAGACCGCTGCTGTGCAGTCCTTTTCGCACTCCGCGGTGTTCCACACTGCGCCCCAGCCCGTGCTGACGCCACAGCCCAGGAGGCAGACCTTCTCCAGAGGTGCGCTCTTCGGGATTTTCGCAACGGACTCCTGGTGCAAGACCGTGTACTCCGCGAAGCAGGACGTGCCCATAAAGTGGTAAATCGGCTTGCCCTGATACGTGAATCGCGGCTGCTCGTCCGCCTTCATCACACCTTTTCCCGTGAAGGCACGAACCGAGGTGCACAAATTGATCTTGGGCCGCTTGCAGAACATGCAGTCTCCGCAGTATGCCTGGTAGCAGGGGATGACATGATCGCCGACCTCGAACTCGGTAACTCCTGGGCCGACCGACTCTACCACGCCCGCTGCTTCGTGGCCGAGCACAGCCGGAAATAGGCCTTCCGGGTCCTGACCCGAAAGCGTGTACGCATCCGTGTGGCAAAGCGCCGTAGCTATGATCTTAATGCGCACCTCGCCGGCCTGCGGTGGCGCCACAGTGACCGTCAAAATCTCCAAGGGCTTCTGGGCCTCCCATGCCACAGCAGCCTTGCACTCAATCGGACAAGGAGTACACGTCGCCATTTTTATCTACTTTTTACTCCCTATTATAATTTACCTCGAGTAGTTCTTGTAAAGGTATTTTTGTTCTCTAATGCTTCATCTAGGTAGTACTCACTACTTCAATCCTTGTCTTTTGTTGTTATAATACGGAAAGAGGATGAGGATGGCGCCGACACTGTTATTCTTATTTATTAACATTTCAAAATATACATAGCTATAGTACGATGCACATCAACCTCCTTTAAGTACTTCTTCTTCTCCTTGTTCTTGCAGTATCCATCTGGAACTTGATTGATTGATTGATTGATTGATTGATTGATGTGCCTGGCAGTGGCAAGAGGTAAACTCTTGAGCTAAGAAAAATCCGAAATTTGAGTTTCGAACTTGTTCTTCCTTTACGTCTGCGTCTTCAAGTGCCTCATCAGGAGAGCTTGGTGATTGTGATCACATGCACATCAAGAACAACTGCAAATGTTAGTAGTTTGATCTTTGCGTTATTCAGACGAGAATGTAAGTCATTTAAGAATTCTCAGAACTCTTGAAGTGTGTGTGAAGAACCTGCTGGATTCTGCTACCTATTCCTTAATAGTGGTGTATTATATATAAGAGCTATTAAGTATTCGTTTAGATTAGATCGCAGGTTCACTTCGCGTCGCATGAGTATGAACGTTATTTTCACCAGTACCAACGACCGGCACGAACACACAAGTCTTCTTCATCTTGATGAGTCCAGCTCGGCCATCCACCTGGTCGTGACTCCTTTCTTGATGTGGTTTAGTAGCTTTACCTACGCGATAAAAATATTACGTATCTGGTGTAGGAAAATGCATATGCATCGAAAAGATCTCAGTTCATACTGCGTTTATTCTTGCTGTGACCCATATTAATGAATGTCACTTGATGTTAAGATGGATCCCTCTACTCATCCTTTGAAAAACTTATTATAAGAATCAGAACGTTACTTACTGACAAATCATCAAGAAAGTACATATTCGGAAGATTCAGATCGTTTGACGACTCGGGTAAAAATACTCATCTTCTTCTGCAAAATGACGTAGCCTGCTGAGCAATGCAACATGATGTCGCAGTCTGTCGCTGTGAAGATTCGAATACCAATAATCTACATGTTCACCTTCACTATAACTCCCAACCAACCTCCGGGTCATGCTTACGCTGTGCATCTGCCGAAGGAGTTCGACGAGTTGTTGAGGAGTATTAAAGACTACTACATTTTTAGTACACATGCAACAAAATGAAAATCATTTATTTCGTTCGTACTATGTATCCAAGAAAAAATCTAGTTCTAGTATAATCTTTACACCAGCCATAAGTTACATGCCATCAAGTTTCGTTATTGCTTCCGCCAGCAGAGCACGTAGTTTATAGTCTGTTACGTGACCACCTCGTCTAATTTCGTAGGTATCAATCCACTTTGTCTTCTGCCACGCGTCCAGATTGGGAGCAGCGATTTTCCCGCGTATAAACCAGTTGTAGTATGACCTTCTATACTTACAAGGTATCCTCGTGGTCTGCTACTGCCTCGCTTCTCTCGTAAAAATCTTCTTGGTCTGCAGCGTGGTCGCGGCTAGTTGAAGTGGTTGATGTTTGTACTAAACGGTTGAGTGGATATGTGTAGGATAAGAAGTTCTTAAGCATAGCGAGAAAATCGGTCACTGGTTTGCTCAGAGGCCGTTGCTCGCGAGCGCTACGAATAATGTTCTCTTCGGTCCAAGACACTGCGGCCTTGGCGAGCCCGCCAAGAAACTTTCCTACAACACGGAGAAGGTCATGTTCTTTATCATCGATGTTGCTGCCCTTGCAGTTGCCATCGTGGTCTACTTTTCCTAGTTCTATCTTGCGAAGCTGAACTACATCATGAACAATTGTTGGAAAAAGAGCTACAACTTGCGCTACCGCTCGCAAGCTCGTCGTCAACATTGTTGTAGCCAACAAGATCAGAGTGATCATTTTCAGCAGCAGTCCCTACTTCTTCGTCTACTGCTGTACGAGAAGAGAATAAGTAGTTCTTTCCTCTCTGTGGTATCAGAAAGCAAAATTTGTGGACCGAGAATACTTAGCCTCGTCTGCATCGAATCTGTTGACAATAGTGTCCGTGAACATGGACTCTAAAAAATCCGCGGCAATGAGGCTCACGGTCTCCTGCATCGGGGTCAAAGTGGGCAGCATTTTGCTCGCACGCACGAACGTTTCGACCGTCTTCGTCCACATATTCCATGCCCACGCGGGCTTGTTCACATCTTCCAGGTCGACGACGAATTCCATTTGCTTTTCATCTCCCTTTTTCAATACTAGACGAGAAATATCTTCTGAAGAACTCCTCGATGCGGCGTGTTCCAGCGTCCATGTTGAGGAGCCTGATACTGAGACAGGGAAATTTGAACGCAAATCAGGCGGTGATGTTGTCCAAAGCTGACATTATGAAATCCAATTTTCATCAACAATGTTTGCAGCCGCCGTGCTGTCCCCCTCCCCCTCATCCTCCTGTCGTTCGTCGCTGTGTTGTTCTACTAGACCTTGTTTCTTGTCAGGTGGAAGTGGAACAATGGGCGCATCTGAGGTTAGAGGGCGCAACAATTCATTTGAATTTTTTGGATCTGGATGATAATGACATGCTGCTGAATTGGTAAATTTTAATAATCGGGTTCGGGTGGCGGTGATCCTCAAGTAGTTACGATAAGTAGAGTGACTAAAAAAAAAGCGTGCTTGTACTTATCGTAAAAGGCACTTATCCGCCCAAGAAAGGCTCGTAGAAGGTTTTCACTGTTAGGCAGAAAGTCAGCTCAGCCCTGCACAAAAACGGCCAACATTGCGCCCATACTGTCGAGGGAGCGGTCTGCGGAGCGATGTGCCCCCCTTGTCTTCTTTCAAGCCCGTGAGTCTCTTGCCTTCGCTTTCTGCGTTTCCCCGCGCCCCTCCAGAGTCCACCACACCAGGCGGCGAGTGTGTGCAGTGGGATTCTGGAGGGGTGCGGGGATTCCCAGCGTGCCCGAGGTTCTTTGATCGCAATCGTTGGAGGGTTTTCGTTGAAGGACCTCAATAGGTGGCGAGTGTTTTCGGGACTCTGATCATGCCCGGCAAGGTTGAATATTGTCCGAGTTTTTCCCTTAATATTCTTACAAAGTCAGGAAAGAAACACCTAAAAAATAGCTTTCGGAAGTCATGAATCAGGTGCAAGCTTGTATCCACGCGCGACAGGTGGATCAGGCAGACCATGCTTCCGCGCAGAAGCAGGTGTTGAAGACGCGACTCCACTCGGATGTTCTTCCTGTTCTCTCTGGCTTGTTTTAGCGGTCGTTGTGGCGGCTGTTTCGAGGTCAGACTTACGAAGGGGTTTGGCTCGAACCGTTCTTTAAAATCCTTTGCCGCTATCCCGTGACGCCGTTGTTCTGCGAATAGTTGTTCTGGACGATGCGTCGGACCAGTCAGACAGGCGCGCACACTTTTTGTCATTAGAGCTTCTAGTACGGCCCTTCATAATCAACATAACTCATTTGTCTAACTGACGACTTCCAACCATAATTCGTCTCTGATAAATGTGTACTATTCATTTGGTTGCTAGGGTCGGATCATCCCTCTTGCTAGGCGGGTCGCATCATCCCTCAACAAGAACAAGAACATTAAAATCCGTTGGATATTACGTTTACGTTTGAGGGGTCCCCATAGACATCGTTAGAGATGGATTGGCGAGGTGGACAGCCTTAATGCTAGTCGAAGTCCGAGGCTTTTGTTCTCTGTTGCCGAGTGGCATCTTCCATGCACTGTCCTCAAAGAGGCAAAAGGAGGCGCGCGGAGCAACGTATCCCAGGAGCGACCTTCCCCAGGATAGTGCGCGTTCCTAAAGTCGTCAACTCCAGGAGGGATTTCCAAAATCCCTGTACTCCCACTTGGCTGCCCTTGTAGTCCTGGCGGCTGAAACTCTTCGTAATTCGGTGGCCAGACCGGTCGCGGGTCAAGATGCTCTGTTTCAAGTCTAGAGAGTCGGCGTCCGGGTACCGGAGACGCAAAAGCCCAGGAGAGAGCACCACAAAATCGTTAAGCAAGTCACGATGGGACCCTACCTCAGGCAACGCACTTTGCACGCTCCTAGCGGCTTTGTCCATCCTGACGACATGAGGGGAACGTTCATTGTTGTCCCTCCCCTGAGGCGCAGCGGGACGCACAGTGATCCCTCGTACTTGATGATAACGTGGACGAGTTCTAGTTGGAGGATCCTCGAGCAACGACGACACACGCTCCCTGAGGCCATTCCGGTGGAGTAAGCCATGAATCATAACCCCGCGGCCCACTTTGCTCTGGAAGAGTGCCGGTGCCGACGCTGCCGTAGCCGTTCCTGTTGCATCACCTTCACCACGCGCTAGAATTAATTTTAATATCACCACAAATCGTCGTGCCGGAGGTCGAGCTCGAGCTGCTTGAAGTTCTCGTCTTCTCTATAAAGGAATAGCTTCCAGTTCTTTTCATAGAAGCATCTTGGAGTTGGATAGCATGTTCTCGAATTTCGTCCGTCGTCCGCTTGATGTGGTGACGCAGATGAGGCCCCTGGGACATCATCTACTGCGTGTTATCCCACCTTCTGGCGCAATCTTAAAGGTGCCGGCAGTACCAATGTCTCTGTACTAGATTTGAGGCGGTGGAAGATTTGGTTCATAAATACCTTCAGATCCCGGTCTTGGTTTCGTCCTCCTGGTCCCCTCATCATGAGGAAGAGTCAGGTCAGCACCGAAACGTGAATATGAAGCTGATTCCGCAAGTGAGGCTGAGACCGACGTGATGCCAAGAGCCGGGAAAATGACAAGAAAGATGCCGATCGGCAACATTTTGATGTGGACGATCATATGTAAGAAACTAAAACAATTTGAAAGAAAAAGCAAAAAAAATATTCTTGTGGGATTGGTAACTGAGCCTGAAGATGATATAAGTACCTGCCGTGGGGCGACCTTTAACAAACACAAAGGCCAACTCAAGGAAATGGAATCAGCATAGCTACAGCCAGCAACTCCAATCAGTTAAAAAAATACACGCATGATCTTAGATATTAGATAACACTTGCACTTCTGTATCTATAAATGATAAAGTTGACGAAAATGAGATGGACTCTACTATGCTTAAAGAACACGACGTTGGAATGCGATGAAGTTGCAATGTCAATACTCCTCAATCTTGATCTATCAACTGACGAGACGGAGACACAAAAATACCGGTCTAGATCTTTCGGTGCAATGCAATACAATTAATCTCGCACAGTTTTCAGCGCAGACTGCCGCGCGGCGTCATAGTGTTTCGTCACGGTGCTTACCCACATAGGTTTTGACTAAACTAACAACGACACGGAACTGAGAAAAGAAGTGACAAGAAACTTACTCAAGCGATACGAATCAATTTTGTGAAGAAACGATGAAATGTATGAAATCAATGAATAGATAATAGAGTAGAGGGTCCTCAAAAGGAAGACATAACACAAACAGAGACGAGAGAGACACGGACACGAGAAGGAACACAAGAACATGATTGATGTACTGAAGTGATTCATTAATATCCTGTCAGTGTCAATGTAGGAGTAGTAGACTCAGAAGATTGACAACTACCTAGAGAAGTTTTTCAACACCAACAAGGTTGCGTCGTCCTTTTCTCGAGTCTTTTGAGGATTTCTTCAATTCATTCCATGTGCTCCGATGATGCGGGGCGAGGAAACTGATGCGCTTCAAGGTAGTAGGAAGAGGAGGAGTAGGAGTAGGAGTAGGAGTTGCGTAGGAGTAGGAGTAGGAGTAGGAGTAGGAGTAGGAGGATTAGGAGGAGGAGGAGGAGGAGTAGTAGTAGGAGTTGCTATCATGTTGCCGATCGACTTCCAGTTTGTATTTCACGCACCGCCTACAGCGTATTGCTGGCCTGCCTGCTAAACACGTTTCCGCGCCTTCCGGTGGTCTAATTGAACAAGTCCTCGCATCTCCACCCACTGTAGTGCGACCAGTTTGCCTCAAGGTAATTTCCAATTTTCACAAAGCTGCAGCTTTCAAACAGTGCATGACAGCCGACGCTTCGGAACTTCTTGTCCTCGCTGATCCTGAATCGATACGATAGAACTCGATCTCGAAGGATGATGATCATAGTACAGAAAGAGCTCGAATACATGTGCAGTGGTCGTCAAGAACTCAACGAATCAGAAATTTTTTGAACATGATTATGAAAGTGATACACGGCTTCTTCTGATGTCATAAGTCCAGTGCTCATGAAGTTCCACCCGTGCGGTCGCCGTCGACTCCATCCAGACGCGGGAGATCTTCCTGTGGAGGTTCTTGAAGATGTTGTAGTATATGTCTTTGTGTTCATTAGGTTAAAATTGATTAATGAAGGAACCGTCCTTCTCCGTGTTCGATCGTTTCGTTGGGTTTTAGTTTTTCTAAATGATCCACGGACCTCGTATATCATAAGTCTTCATCCAGCCAGTTTCTGATTGCCAGTCCCTGAGAAGTCCGTACATATTCACAGTTCTTTGGAAGAGGCAGACACCTCAGGCATCAGTTTCATAAAGCTATCTTCAGACCACTGGTGCGACTGCGTCGACTGGATTTCATCATGGAAAAGTAGAAGAAGAAACGACAGCTATACTACCTGATACTGATACAATTTCAATGAATGATGGTCCTCGAAGCCATCAACATACAGCTGCACCAACGAGAAGTGCAACATGTTGTTAGCGATAGCAATAGGGACCGCGTCCAAAACAATGTTATAAATATTAAAATCAATATACATCTTCTTGTTTAATCAAATGCATCAACCTGCACGCCATTTGATGCAGACAAATGGTCGCTGCACGTCATGTGATGCAGAGAACAAATGGTCACCAGATCAAATAAATGAGCCTCTAGCACAGTGTCAGTGGAGAAAGCTCAGCATGATAATCACTACTTCACTTTGATATATATCATTGCTACGCGTAAATAAAAACCGGAGACTTGAAATCAAGAATGTATGACGAGTCGCTATGTCGTACAACGTATGATCGTGTCAAAAGTTGCAACTGGCTTGTGTCTTTGAGTGACATTTTCATGTTGAAGATGCCATAACCAAAACCAGATGGAGGTTCATGTAACACTACTTGTAATCTATTACGTCCTATACTTGCACAGGCTTGGTTTCTCAGACTAAATGTAACAAGTTACTTAGTAACATCAAATCTTACTAGCCAGCGCAAACAAGTAAACAACGAATAATCATTCTATTTTCCTTAATGTTTAACATCAATCATGATTCATTTTGTATTTTCTGCAATTATAAACACAAGCCGCGCACCCGCATCAACGACCTACAAGTGATACGGAATTCTCGTGCTCCTCTTTTAGCACTCGCCCTGCTCTTCAGATTTCAAACCTTGGAGTGCTGCACATCAGCCGTGCGCGTGCCCGTGCGGCGTATTCCAAAAAAAAAAATTAATAGCTTCATTAATTTGGATGAATAGTACTAGTCCCCATGGTAGCTTTCTGAGGCAGAACCAGTCCACACGAATTTTCGCACCTCTATACAAAGCACGTCGGCACACCTAATCATCAAATTCAAAACGGAAAGAAGATGGAAGTGGAACGATGTCCTGTGGGCAGAAGCATGTTCTTGTGATACTCTAGCTCGTGGAGATGGAGGTACTTACCTTCTTCTAGTTCAACATCCTTGTGACTGTATTACTTCAGTTGCAAGGGCATGTACATGTTCCCTCCCCGTTCCCATATGCACTTAGTTGTCCTATTTCCTCATGCAGATTTGTCTTCTTCTATCAAGCTCAACATAAGTAAAATCAAAATTTTCTACCATTTCATGACTTCGTTCTTTCCTCAATTTCCTACTTTTCCTCAATCTTCGGCTCCTCTTTCTGTTCCCCAGGTGCTGTAAAGTGCGCCATTTTCAAAAAGGCTTCGCGCTCCTCGTCATCGTTATCATTCGTAGAGGTTACAGAGTTCTTAGATCTTCTAGAAAATCCGTGGCATCTCTTTTTCCTGAGAAAAGAGTCAAGGATTGTAGTGCGCGACGTGATCGTGAAATGTGGTATTTCTAGCCCTTAATGTCTTGTTGATGAAGAACTTCTTAGGGTTGGTATTAACGAACTAGAAGTAGAACTTACTTAAACTTAGTATGCGCTTGTACTTCTAACCCTTAATATTATGTCCTGCTGTGCTGGGGCCACCTCCACGACTTTTGGACTCCTGGTTTCCTTCTGAGCCTTCGAAGTCATTGTTGTAGAAGGCTGCTGGATGAAAGTCGTAGGAGTATGATCCACCAGATGAATCATGCTGGTTGGTGTAGTACTGAGACCACTTTTCTTTCTCTTTTTGTATCTCAGCCTGGATTTCTTTCTGTCGCCTCGCGCCACGCATTTGCACCACACACACTGTCACAAAGACGCAGATCAACAAGCAGCGTGACTTAGAGAAGACGAGGAACGAGGAAGGTGTTGATCGCATGAAGAACTTCTGCGAAACTAGTACAGGGAGCTGTAAACGGCTCCTGTGTAGTAACAAAAAAAACGGTAATGGAATAGTTAGCTGAATTCACAAAAATAATTAAGTAGCTAGGACATCAACCTCAACACGACGATCCGAGGAAAAGTGGCCATAGAATAGAAGACGAAGACCACTCCGACAACCCATAAGCGAATCAGGTTGCCGCGGTTGACAATTGCATCCGATGCTGATGCGCGAACGGTGTGTACAGGGTTGCCAGCAGGCATATCGAAAAAATCCAACGGATCGGCTGTCTTGAATTCAATCCGGTTGCTGCCACTGACAAGGAGATACTCCATCGCAACCTCGCCGAGCAGGGCTATGCGCACAGGGGGAGGGGGAGGTCGATCAGCAGCTGGCTGCCCTGTCGCAGAGGAGTCTCCACTTACTACAGCCGCAGGAGATGCTGGTGCCGCGGAAGCGTCTTCACTTCTGTTGCGCACCGGTTGACGATAAAAGCCGCCGCCTGCATCCTCAGGAGGACTACTCCTGCCTGATTGCGGCCCTCCAGAGTTTCCTTCACCTGGTGCATCACGAATATGTGCAAGTACTCTTTCGTCGATGGCCGCTTGCTCGGCCGATACGATATGTTCTGGCGCAGCTCCCCGTCTTCGTGAGACTGGTCGTGTCACTGGTCCATTAAGGGTCATAAAAATGAATTGCCCGTTCGCCTGCGGGGTTCGCCCTGTCTGCAGGTCTGCTTCTTGTTGTGCTGCGGCCCGTGCCATGATCCGCGGCAGCAGTCGGGGCAATTGTTTCGCCATAAAAAGGTTGAGATTTTGTTGCGCAACTGCGCGCTCAGCCCTCTGGTCCTCTGTCAAATTCTCGTCGTCTGCGTTATCTTCGTGTTGAAGAGATTGGATATTCATGACGTTGACGTTACCTCCAGCCAAAAACCCCCCTGATGAAGGAGCAGCGGCGGCAGCAGCAGCAGGACTCTCGTCATCGTCGGAAGCAATAGCAAGATTAGGAATACCACGAGGACGAGCAGCGTCGTTGCTAGTGCTACTACCATCCTCCTCACTAATTCCAGCAAGGGCTCGAAAACCGCGATCTCCTAGAAGATTTGCAAGTTCAGGAGTAAGTTGATGCCCATCTCCTGCCTCCAAACGACGAAGTCGCGCCCCCTCTACAATTTGTACCTCTCCTTCCCCGTTAGCAGGTAGAAAAAACGTTGTGGTAGCCAATGCTAGTGGGTCTTCCTCTGCGCGGTTTCGCTCTGGTTCTCGTCGGCCCTGTTCTACTTCGCGATCGCGATTTTGCAAGTAGTTCATAATCGCGCGCGGTGGCGTCTCACTAGTGCCGTTTAAGTTGTCCAACAAAAGCCAAACGTTCGGTGGAACTACAGCCGGAATCTCGCCCTGCTCTCGACCGTGCAAACGTGACAACCTAAAGTGCGGCTTCACCTGGTTCAATCAACATTGGAAAAATGCACTTTTTGAGTCCTCTAAAAACTTTTTTTAGTTTTGGAAATAAAAGAAGAAGAAGATAGGGATGATCATGACTAGATACAATTTTTGGAGAAATATAAAACCTATGCATTTCATCGCCTTCTCGGAGATGCATAGTTGTACGACAGTTGTCTAGTATTACATGTTCATTATCTAGTACTAGTACACACAATCTTCTTTGATAGATATTAGTATCTCTCTTTATGCATCACAAAGCGGATGACTACAGCTACTATTTAGAAGTAATATGCACTAGATCATGACCACAGGGGGGGTACCGTCCGGCCCCGAACCATTTATAGATACTTAGTTAAGTTAGTAAGTACTTGTACTTGATGAATCTCAATGTAGGCTAGTAGACCTAGATGATTATCGTTACCTGCCACTCGCCGAGAAGATTAAAGCAGCCGTTTTCAAGAGCTTCTCTCGCTTCTTCCGCGTCCGCGAAGTCTGCGGGCAGTGGTTCGTCGCGATCGTAAAGCCAGTGATCCGCTCGACTGCCAACGATACTCGCTCCCGCGCTGTACGCTAGCACCATCAAACGCCCCTGGTCGATTCTCTCCATCATGGTGCGCCAAATTTCAGGGTCGTCATTCTTCAAATTCCAAACATTCAAAGCAAATCGGGCAGGCTTGCCTCCACCCAGTTGCAAAACTTCGCAGTCTTGAATGGCGTCCCGCAAATGCTGAGGATTGTACCTAGTATGTATGATCTGATGGAGGTTATATTTTATTTCCAATGTGACCACCTGCAGTGACATCTAATCCTCATGCAAATTGACATCATAGAACTACTGTAACAGGAGAACTACAAGACCACCAGGAACTTCTGCTGTAGCCGGTGGTGGTAAAAATTGGAATCATTCAAAAATATCCTTCTAGTATGTAATTGTACACGCCTCTCCGAATCATGATTTCTCGCACTTGCAGGCCATGCGCGTGTGCACCAGAGAGTGCGTTGTTGCGTGCATGCGCATAGTATTCGTCACGGTCGTCTGCGCCGAAAAAAATGAGACAATTTCCACGCTCGTCTCCCTCTTGTTCTGGTCTTTCTGCTCGACGTCGTTCTCGAACTCGCTGCGAAGTTAGAACAAGTAGAAGAAGTTGTAGAGCAGCAACAGCTACACCTTCTGTCCGTTGTCGTAACCATTTCTATGCGCTGATGATCGTTGGAGATATATCAAGTATAAGTAATACTTGATAGGCATTTATTACAACTTCTGGCTCTACTTCATCTAGGCACCGTGAATCTGAATACTAACCCCCACAGCTATCATAACAGCATGGCAGCAAAGTCGAAGTTAACACTTGCTGGTAGGTACATCCTGTACCTCGTTTCGCCTGGGGTCTGCAACGGGTGCCGCGCCACCTGCTGAATTCGTCGAAATTAGGTTACTAAAAAAAAATAGTTTCGTGATGTATCTGCAATCAATCGAATACACTTGCCCTGAATCTCGTCGGTCAATTTCAAAAAAATATAAGCCTCCAGTTCATCTACCTCTTATCAGGACCTCATCTGGGAGTAGTACTAGTATACACTGACTGGTGGAGGAGTGAAAGCACGTATAGTCTAGTAGAGTGAAAACAAAGCAATGAATCAATAGTATACCATTTCTCTGATGTAAGTGGAAACGACGATGATTTCTCTCCGCGTCTCTCTTCCCAGCAGAGAAGGCGTCATGTCGTAATCGGGGGCCGTGCGGACTCGCGCTCCGATTCTTCGCATCGCCATAGCCACATCGCCTGGCGAGGTCCAAACCACTGCAGAAGGAGGTAGCTCAGCATTGTCAGCGATCATCAAGGATGGATCATTCATTTTCTTTAGAGCAGAGCGATAGAGGTAAAGGAGGAGGATGTAAAAGACCGACAACTTGTCTTTCTCGAACATCATGTGGGAAATAAGAATTTTCCATGTTCATGTTGTAGTACATGTACTTTTCACTGCTGTACTAGTACTACTTTTGTTATCTGCAGCACTGCTTCGCCTTCGGTGTGCTTTTCCAGCTTTCTTTGGCCATGAAGAGCGCAGAGTGTGACGAGAGTGGTGTGACGAGAGTGAAAACAAAGCTTACTTTTAAGCTTCGTCGACGTCGTTTCAAATGCCAAGATCATAAATTTTGTATCGCTGTCGATAACCGTTGCGTTTGTGCGGATATTCTTGGATCCAACTCCCCGTCTCCACTAGGCTCCTCCTCCTGCTCCCCCGCAGCCGGTTCCCTTTGTCTTGTGCTGTTTCCGTCTTCTGACCCTTCGATAGGGCTCGCTTGTGTATAACGATCACCTCTACGGCCTTCACCTTCGACGGCTAGGCTGTTGGTCTCTGGATTGCTGGTGCTCGATAGGACACCATTTGGGTTTTCTGCATTGGAGGTAGCAGCGGCGGTGGCCCCTCCACCAGTATGATCTACTCCATGCTCTTCTTGACCTCCTTGACCTGAGGAACCTACATCAGATCCCACCAGGGCAAGCCCGGGTCCGATAGCGAGATCATCTGCTTCTCCATCATGACCAGATCTTCCGTTGTTCACGGCCAATGTGCCTTCACTTGTTCCTTGTTGTTCGGGCTCACTCCTGCTACTTGTTCCACCTATAATACCACGCTGCTGTTGTAGTTCAGCAACACTTTCGTCGTTTGCTAGCTTTGCACGGCGCGCCGCAGCGACCGCTGCAGCTTCTCGTCCTTGCCTTCGTCGTGCATCTTCGGGATTTCTTGTCTGGGGCGGCGATGCTCTTCCGCCAGAAGATGACGCAGAAGTGGCAGCCTCTGAACCGGGTTGTTGCGTCGTGTCATCGACACGACGGGCCACCGTAGCCTGCAAACTAACCACGCCTACCAGAAGAGACAATGAAAGAACACGAAATGTTGTACTAAATGACATTTTGATTTTCATTTTGTTCATCATGATTACTATGAGCAGGAGCAGGACGATGAGTATTCGAAAAACTAGATCAACTGAAAATAATCAGCTCAATCATGATTCATGAAGTAAAAAAGTTGTCACGTCAAGAAAGCACCCTTCTCTTCCAATATCTTCCCCCGCCAACTTTATAAGTATTCTTCAGCTGATTTTAGAAGCAGGTGAAGCTGTTCGTAGGTCCCGGTTCGGCTGCATATAATTGATTCACAAAAAATATATTGAAGTAGTGACTAAGACCACCCTACAATGGAATCAACAGACAGTCACAAACACCGATCACATTTGTGAATCAGAACGCGGATCCAATGAACTGTCACCGGAGCGTGAGCTTACCTAGTTCTTTCTCATACAACTGCTATCTGAAGCTCGTAGTTGCAACAGAAAAGAAGATGAAGCCAAAGTAAATGACCGATAAATCCAATCATACGTAAGTAGTTCCGACGGCAATCAAAAATGCATCCGTGATTGAGATCCCTCTGCCCAGACTGTATTGTATAGCGCGAACTTCGCAAACGGTGAAGCTGCAATATCGCTGCAGCTGGCCCAGCTTGCTCGCAGCGCGCTAATCAAATAACACACGACCTCCGCGAGCCTTCTTCTTATTTACAAGACAAAATGACTGCAAGTTTTGCAGAACAAGAGCTGCAGTCGCACATCGCTGGTGCGTCGGGTATTTGCTGCATGTATGTTAAAAGGTTGCAATTGGGGAAGCAAGAGGGCTAAATTTCTCGTTCAGGTGGTCGTTTGATATCTTTGCAGCAGTATATATTTTATAAATATGTTGGAAATCGATGTTTCAACATGAGCACGACGGGGCACAGTGAAATCTCTGTTTTTGCACTCAGTCCTTTTGCATCCTACTTGGGTAGTATTTTAGAAAAGCCTTTCTGGCTTCGCTTTATTCCTCCTTCACCTTCAATCCTGACGGGAATAAAAATTGGATCAGACCTATGATATTGTCATGCCTATCATAAAGAACATTATCAACATATATGCGCAGAAACAATTGTGTTGACTGTGGATCGTATCTAGTTAATATCTATACCTGCTGATGAACATGATAAAATTGTTCTTCGTAATTTTCGAAGGAACAAAATAACAATTGGTGCTGCAATTGTTCATAATTTAATAAATATGCTGCTCCTGATGGTCATACTAGACATAAGGCGAGGGGTAAGAATATCTTTGTTGCTGTTTTCGCTTTGCTGTTGGACGCTTATGTGCATTCGTTTGTGGGAGTAGGGGGAGGTGGTGGAATAATAAAGTATGGGCTCATAAAGTTGATGCAGACCCATTACAGATGAGATCAACAACAAGGATGTCAAATGCAAATCGGAATAAATGGAGAGATTGATTGAAGAGAATCACAATCGGAGAACAAACGAACAGCCCGTTTCTATCGAAGAGGAAAGGTTGGAATGGAGATGAAATCAATATGTGGATTATGTTGTGACGAAAGCCAAGCTTTCATTTTAAAACTCATGACGAAGATGATGAAACAGATGTAAGGATAGTAGTACTAGTATTGGATAAAAAGATATGATATTTCTCTACTTAGCATCTGCGGTATTTTTTTTTGCAACCACGGGAGACGTTCGTGAATTTTTCTTTCCAGCATACCTGCTCGTTTCATTTTCTATGTTGCGGTTACTTAATAGGCCCAATGGTTCCTATTCCTCATCCTCTGCTCATTTCTTTCTCGATTCATTATATCTTCATTCTAGTATACTCTAGTTTTGGAGATTTAGTTTGCTACCATCGAAAAACCTGTAGGTTGTATGAGTAACTAACACGTATGTTCTTCTTCACTACGCCAATCGACAACGTGGAAGCTTCTTTTTAGAAGAAGAGTTTTTCCTCCAAGTCATCGGGACAGAGGACGTCGGAACCACCCATCTTAGCCCAGAGTGTTTTCAAATTGCCCTGGAATTTCAATTTTCGAACGCCCTTGCAGAAATCGACGAAGCGCACTTCTTCGCAGTCTTCCCCGAATGTTCCAGACCATGCCCTAGAGCAGTCGCCTTCGAAGAAGTCAACGAAGACAGCACAAAAATCGTCAACATCGGTAATCGGACCAGATTGCGAAAAGTTGCCATTCGTGGGATCCTCAACAGGCTGGCTTTCAGCGGTAGAAGGCGCGGCAACGTGGAGATCCTCTGGCGCTGCTGCAGGAGCAGATGGAATAGCAGGTGGAATCGAGTCACTCAGAGGAGCGGGGCTTTTTTTTTCAACGGTGTCTTCTGCTTCGACTACCCGGGAAGCGGAATCGACAGCACCGAAAGCAAGGGGAGCCACGTTGCTATCTTCTGCCTCCTCAGCCGAAGATGAAGACGTTGTTTCTGCCCCCCCTATTCGCTTATTAACGCTGTCCATATCCTCCTCCTCGTCACCACTCGCACTAGCGCTCGACGATGGGGCTTCTGTTCTTGACTCCTCTTCGCTGTCCTTTTCCTTCCCTACTGCAACTTGTTCGTCACTTGGCTTGCTTGTGATCGCCGCGTGCTCCCCTGCTTCTGCTGGCTCGATTGCTGCTTTGTTTTCTACAACGCCGTCTCCAGAAGCTCCTCGTTCCACCGCGCTGCAACTGTTGTCGGATGCGCTGAGAGGAATGGCACTGCTGTCGGAAGCTGATTGCGGCACGCTAATGTCGCTCCGCGCACGATTCGCGGAGGACAAGCCCGACATGGCGCTGCGCGACGATGCGCCTCCAGGCAAACTGGGCGCGCCTGCCGCTCCGCCGCCTTTTCCCTCATTATGGCGGGAGGACGCGCTGCCACGTCGGCTCCGACTCACACCAGCATTCGCTAGCGCCGTTGCTGCGAGGCGCTTCTTCTCGCGCATTTTCGGGATATCCAGAGCTTCGAAGTCCTGCTCTGTCAAGAAGCCGCTGCCGTCCTCCTTGGCAAAGTACTTGAACAGTCTGCGCGCTTGGTTCTCCGACAAAGTCTGTCCTCCCTCTTGTAAAGAAGGCGCCTCTTCCTCTTGTGCCGGTGACGAGAACGCGGACGACGAGGACAATGTTGGGGCCATGACGATTCGTTTTTGGCAGATATCCAAAAATTTCGCGAAGTCGATCTTTAAGATCGTCGCTGTCACCGCCGAGTTCTCCAACGATCGCAAGTGAATATGTCTTTCGTGGATGTTCTGATCCAGAAAAAAAACCGACCACCACTTTCCGGCAGGTCCGGACGCTGTTGACCCGTTGGACGATGCGCCAGGTGATGAGGCGTTTCCGGTAGCCGCTTTCACTGCATCCAGACAGCCTTCCTCAAAAGACTCTAGAACTCTCCAGGCAGAGGGATCTAATTCCGCAAGGGAAAGCAATCCGGAGCCATCTCCGTCAAGCTCGGCAAACAACTTGCCGATGTCGCCAATAAACGCCTTCAACTCCCGACACGTCGAAAAAAACTCCTGCTGGGACACCTGGAAGTATATTCGAGTGAAAAAATTGAGAGACGTTGCCAGGGGATGGAGATTCTAGCATAATGATTCGAATTGGAAACTTTGACCCAGCATTATAGATGACGAGTAGCTGGACTTGGATGAAATTCTTCTACTTTCACTTTGTAGAAGCAGCTTTCTGCTACCTTTCCATTCCCGTCACGATCGAAGGTAGATCGCCATGCTCGTGGAATATTTCCCCATTTTCGCCGAAGGAAGGACAGGAACTCTTCCTTGTTTGCTGCGCCCATATCGAAGCTTCGTCGACGCTCATCTTTCTCAGACAATTCCGCTCTGTGACGTTGCGCAATCTCCGCACGCAAATTTTGTATCTGGCGAAGCGGAGCAGGAGGTGCAGCTGAGCTAGGCGAGGCGACAGAAAAAGAAAATACAAAAACCAAAAATATGTCAACAGCTGAGGTAGAAGTTGATACATAATCTGATCATTGCTACTTACCACCTGCACGACCAGCATTGAAGGAACACAGGCTTGCATTATCCACCAAGGTAAACCTGTCTCTGAAAAGTGTTTTTTTTACCTCATGACCCTTTTGCCTTTCTAGAAATGCAGACGTTCGCTCTCGGCTTGCCGCCCTGAGGTTTACACGCTGTCGCTTCTCCATCTTCATTCGCTCAATGTACGGCGGCAAGTGCCCATTGAGAAGACGCTCACCAGCCTTGACATCTATGTCGTGGAGCCGCAGATATTTCTTGCCATCGACGTGCATCAGTTTGAAAAGTTGTCTTGATTCAGCCTCTGAATAGGCGGGCTGAAAATCGCCCTCCTGGTCCGTTAAATGCCCTACAAACTCTTCGATAGTGACCCGGTTGCTTCCGTCGACATCCAAGCCTACGCACCACGCGGTCACGAGGTCACGGTATCTGTGGTAGCGGAGGGAGATTGCTGGAGTAAAAATGACAGCGAGCAGTAAGTAGTTGCAAGTATCCCTTGTGTCAAGAAGAGCCACGACACTTAGAGCTGTCTCTGTCAAGAACATGGTCATGGTGAATTGCCCAGATCATGATCATGTAGTTCTGGTTAAAACAAAAATACTTGTCAACGAGTCGCGCTCGGAAGGTTGCCACAAGTCTTGCGCCCGCTGGATCCAAGTCTGCGAAAGTCATGAGTCCCTTTCCCTGCATCTGGATCACTTCACGCCAGACCGTGTTTGCCCCTTCAAAACCAAGCGCGCGACACACTTTGCCGAATTCCTGCGAGCCACAATGGCCTCTGCCTTGCGCGTCGAAGGCCTGTCGCCATGCCCCACTAAGCGACCGGTATTTCGTCACCAGCACCCGCTTCAGCTGCTCAAGCATCCGATTTGCGTCCTGCTGCGCGGGTGCCGGCGTCGATAACGGCGCACCATTCAAATTATTGTCACTAGAAGACATGCGCTGCGTCCCTCCACTACTTTGCATCATGCTGCGCGAGGTCCTGCGTACGCCGCTTCCACCTTCTTCCAAAGAAGTTGGCGAAGCGCCATCAACGGCGTCGTAGTCCTGCATCACGAACTTTTTCTGCGGCGACATATACGACGCTCGCCCAGGAACTGTGCCAGACGCACCTCCGTTAGAGGTAGCGCCGCCTCCTCTACCTGGCAGTGCGGCTGGGTCCAAACAGCGCGCTAGCCCACCAACCAATGCTTCTGCGGGCAACGTGCCGTACTGCGCTTGGTAGGAAATGCACTCTTCCGCCGTCAGACACGCATCGGCGTAAACTCGGCCACCCATCTGAAGAAACTTCATCAAGCGTCGGGCTTTCGGCACTTTGATGTGCTCCACGCAGTGCACAAAGTCCTCTGCGGGAAGAGACTCCTTTGGACCGAACATCTGACGGATCCCGTTCTCTGGGGAATGGAAAATGTCTTGCAACCGCAGACGCAAACTCGCCAGAATCCGGTACCCCTCCTGATCCAGGTCCTGCAAACGCAGCTTGGCAGTGAAACTTCCCACGACGTCGCGGAACGTCATTTTCACATTGGAAGCAGACACCAAGCCCAGTTCTCGGCACGCGTGCGAGAACTCCTCGAGCGTCAGACTCTCACTAGTTTCCGAGTAGGCATTCAGCTGCCGCCATCCGCGCACAACACAACCAAAGCTTTCGCACAAAGCCTCAACAAAACTCTGCTTCAGCGGACGACTCCCGGTCTCACCACCTCGCAAGTATATTAATCACCACATGCGCAGAATCTAATTGTAAGTAGACTACAAAAGTAAGTACACCCGCCGCTCGCACTCAAGCTCAACCTACGAAAAGGTAAAACTTCACTAGGTAGTCTTAGCCTCAGCTATGAAGTAAAATCCAAAGCACATCGTTTAAGTTTCAAATGATATTACGGCAAAAATCTTCAACATTGTAGTACCTGACTTTGTCTTCCCGTCGGGAATGCCGTAATATTTCGCCCATTTAGAGTACCCGCTAACGGGCGACACGTCTGGTTCTTGGTCCGACATAACTCCACCTCCAGTTTGTTGGAGACCGCGCAGAGGTTCCAGGAAGACCCTGTTCCCCGTAGAGGTTGTAGTCAAACAGTGGCTTCCGGAGGCAACTTCCGGGGTCTTCGGCGCAGGGTTGAAGGCGGCAAAACGCTTCCCGATATCAGCCATTTCTGTGATTCTTTGTCTCGCATCGGCCAGAGCATTCTCCATTCGAACCTTGTCCGCTTTCAAATGCAACAGGGCCTCCTTCGTCTGGTGATGCGTGTCCATTAGCTTCGACAAGCTGAGAATGAGATGTACTTAGTAGCACGAGGACGAGGAGTAAGATGATTTCTAGCCAAAGAAGATAGTTTTCACGACGAGATTGTCGTTAACATACAACAACAACAGAGAGAAATACAACTCATGATCAACATCAATTCTACCTTTTTAGAAGAAAACGAAAACCTACTGGTTAGTGACGAAGTACTCCTTCTGCTGCTTCTCCGTATGCTGAAGTAATTTAAAATTCGCTTCTTCGAGTTCGCGACTACGCTTTTCGAGTTCAGCATGAGCTTCACGCATCTTAGCTGCCTCTGCCTCCGCGTTCGCAACACCAGCTGCTGCCGCTTCCTCGATTTCTTTGGTTCTGGTGTGAAGAAAGCAGATGAAGAGTCTTGGAGAAGTAGAAGATCATAAGTTTTGATTTCAAGTAAAAGCATGTTGAATGAGGCCATGAAAAAATAGCTATTAGAGCGATAGAAACTTTATTAATGGGTAGAGGTCAATTGAATCTGTAAAGTACAGTTCACGTTACTAAAACCACCAAAATTTTTGTCTATGTATTGAAGCCACGCCATCTGCAACGATTATAGAGATAAAAACTGTACTCATTCGCAAAAACGAGATTAAAAGTTTTTTTTCATGTTGAGACTTCACCGCTTGGCTGGCATCAAGCCACAACGAGGGCCGAGCGCCGTACTTATAGCGAGGGCACAGGCGTGGCGCGCGAACCCCAAAGAAAAGCCAACCAAAACCACCAAAAGCGACACAAACCAATCCAAGAGCGCGGACGCCAAAGACCCGCCGTTTGCACTCTGACGCCAAGGAAGCGGCACGCGGCTCCTGGGAGCAATCCACCAAAGCAGCGCAAAATAGGCACCAACACCCGGCGAAACGGGGGCTGGGGGCAAGAGTGGCCGCCGCGCTGCAAACCGTGAAGGCACTCAGCCAGAGAGCCAGCAGCCGCCGCCGCCTGTCAGCTCTCAGAGCCCTTCAGCAGATTCGCCCAAGAGCTGCGCCAAGGGTATCAGGCCCGACTGGAGCACGCACCAGGTGACGGATTGGATTCTAATGCTGGAGAGGCTCGAGGAGTGAATTAAGTTCGTAGCATCTTTTTCGCAACGTCCGCGCCTCAGGTGTGTCCTAACCCTCAAAGTTCAAAGGTTGAGAAACAAAAAGACGCACTTTCAGTCGTAAATAGGCGGAACCTAGTGCGAAAAGGCTCGCGAAGCTTGTCCAGATTTGTACGCGCTGGAGCCTTCCCAAATCTGGACCGTTCTCGGGAGCTTCCTCTCACTAGGTTCCTTCTTTCTATCTTTGAACTAAAATGAGCAATCTTCTCAACGTCTGGATCTGAGGGGTTGAGCCACGCACACCCCAGACGCAGGCGTTGATAAAAGTATGCAATTTCATTCAAACCGCTTGAGAAGGTACAACAACACACACACACACCAAGTCCCCAAGAGGGTCACGCAGCGTCACCGCTGTGCGCAGCCCTCGAAGAGGCGCTGTCTGCGTGGTTCTTCTCTTGACTACTCCAGGAGTGGGCCCCGTTTCTCTTGGGCTTGGCATAGCATCGCTACGAGCTGTCTAGCGTGTGCCCCGTCACATGCGACGCACATGAACAGTGGCACCCGCCGCGCGTGTGCGCGTGTGAGTGTGACTCCCAAGGGCAGCAAGGTAATGGCTTGGCGCCGGAGCCGCAGGAAGTGAGCGCCTGGCGCCCTTGTTCTTGGGCTGGCTTGTGTCCTGGGTTTCCCGTGCCACGCCTGTCCCCTCGCCGTATGGATTGCGCCCGGCGCCGGTTGTGAGTGGCCAGCCAAGCGACGAAATCTCAACACGCGAAAAATTTTTGAATCTCGTTTCCGAGAATGAGTACAGATTTTTCTTCCATAGATCTACGCCTACTTTTATATATTACGTGTTCTATTTCTACTTGTCCTAGAATGTCATTTCAAGTACTTGCTGAATTTCGATTCCGCCTCAGCTAACTCCTTCGTGAGAAATTCGATCTGCTCTTTAGAGGATGAGATTTCCTCTTCGAGGGCCGAGATCTGCTCCTCTACCACGGCCTTCTCTTTTCGTGCGTTCTGGAAATCATCCAAGAGATCCTGCTTTTCCTTCGCCAGTTCCTTCTGCGTCTTGACGTACTATGACAAGTGAGAGTGTGAGATCATACTCTAGAAGTTGTAATCAATGATGATCGTCGATGGTGATCTGAATGTTCATCATATAAAAATACTGAATTTTAGGTAAGTAACCGCCGTAAGTGAAAACAAGTGTCGAAAAAGGGAGTAACATCTATAATGAAACGGAAACCAATTACCTCTTGTTTTCCTTTTTCCACCTCCTTTTTCAGTTCTTTTATTTGCTTCTGCGTGGCGGCGTCCTTGCCCGCAAGCTCATCCAAAATCGTCTTGGTGAATTCTCCCCAGCCATTTTTGTTCTTCAACAGTTTTGTGACGGCTTTTTGGTCCCCGAGCGTTGTTCGTATGCGCTCCATGCTACCACCCGCGGCTGCGATCGCAGCTGCCTGAGGCTTTGGCTGAGCAGACGGCATGATGATGTATAAGCTCCCGTCGTACTCGACGTGGAGGCGGAAGATAAGATGTGAAAAGACGCCCTATGAAAGGACAGGAGCCGCTTCTACGCGGCTGCACCTGCAGCTGCGCCCGCTCGGTGAAAGGACATGGGATTGTTCTCTTATTTACTCATACAAAACTTCAGACCTAAAAATGACACCCAGTTATTTTCTCGAATTACGAGAGCAAACCTGTGTTTATCTTCATCATATCGACCACGAAAATCTATCAGGTGGCGACTCCTTTTCCCTCGTTACGCTGTATCACGACTTTGACTCGACGTTACGACTGACGATTTGGATTCGACGAGCACTTCAATTTTGAAGATGTCGCCTACGCGATAATTTTCTTGCCTCACATAGATAACAACGCGTTCCCACCTCCCATGACCTCTACCGACCTAATTCTTAAAAGTAGAACTCCTAGAGCTGTTCCAAACCCAAACTTTAGGTTTATCCATCATGACCCTCAGCACGATGGGACAATAGAATCTTCATGAAGCTTTATTTAGTCATTGGTGAGAATCGTCGTCCTTTTTATCGCTATAATCAACAGACTCCTTTCCTAGTTTACCACGACGCACCAGCGAGTTTTTCTCGAACGAAAATCGTCATGCAGAAAAGAGACGACTCCGTGGACCATGATAAGAAACCTTTAACGAGTCTGGCGGACTCGTACTTCCAATAGTATCATGGGTAGCATCTATCATAAATATATTAGATAGTTGTCTTATATACGATATGTAGAGGTAGACCTACAAAAAAGAGCAGTAAGATGAATGTCAAAAAAGAGCAAGTTCGAGCACTCTTCATTACTTTGGAGCTCAAAAAAAATCAAAAGTAGTACAAAAAAGAAGGATCATGCAAGAGAAAAAGCAGTAGGTTCTACTACTTGTCCCACAAAAGCAATAGGAATAGGCTCTCGAACTGATACTGAGAGATAACAACAGTAGCATTAAGACCAATTATAGACAGCACAGGATCGCTGCATCAACAAAGAACCATTGAACGACACGAACTATTCTAGTAAATGTAAAGTATTGATGCAAAAAATACCAAAATTTTCGTGTTGTTCCTAGGCCTATCGCTAGCACAGCATATGGTTATCTATGAAAAGACCAGGTCAAAGATTTTGGTCCAATAAATGATCGATCATGTGGATAGACATAGAGCTACTTGAACAAAAATAAGAACAAGTGTGCTTTTGTTCGCTTGTTATGATCCGCACGCCACACACTCGTATTTGGATTTGGACTCTTGCTCCGCTTTGAGACGTTCCTGGGCTTTTTTTGTGTCTGCTGTATCGACTGTGAACTTGATCGCCTCGACCGCTGCCTTGGTTCGCAAGTAATACTGGCCCGTCTTCAAGCCAAGCTTCCAACCGTAGAAATGCATACTGCTCAGCTTTTGTGTCGTGCAATTCGTCATATGAATATTCAAACTCTGCGACTGATCAATGAAAGCACCGCGGTCAGCTGCCAATTCCAGTATCCGCTTCTGCTTGATTTCCCAGACAGTTTTGTATCTGAATGATGCGTGGTTTTCTCAAACAAGAATAGAAGAGGTACACGGAATATGCCAGCTTTCCAAACAATTGCTAGGTCAACATGTTGACTTGTTCTTGGTGGACTTTGGCTAAAAATAGCTCAATTCACAAAAAACGAAAAAAACCTGAAGCAAAAACACGAAGATATATCACGATGGTGCAGTACATTTCCTTCATGCTGCTTGGTATTTCGTCGATGCTCTGAATGCTGCCGTTGTGTGCGATGAGCTTTGTTTTCATATCCGGGTTCCAGAGGTCGTGGTCGATCAGGTCTTTTAGCAAGTGCCTATTCACTTGCACAAACTCACCGCTAAGCACACGTCTGACGTAGATGTTCTGCGTGTAGGGTTCGAAACTTTCATTGTTGCCCAAGATCTGCGCCGTCGAAGCCGTCGGCATCGGCGCGAGCAGAAGGGAGTTTCGCATACCGTGCTTCGCAATGGAGTCCTTCAAAGTTGACCAGTCATGGAGATCCGTCGGCGTAACGTTCCACAAATCGTACTGCAGCTGGCCTTTGGAGGCAGGACTGCCAACCCAAGATTCGTAAGGCCCATGCTTCCCCGCCAGCTCCATCGATGCCTCGCAAGCGCCAAAATAAATGGTCTCGAAAATCAGCTTATTCAATTCCCGAGCCTCCTCCGACTCGAAGGGGAGCCTGTAGATTTTTCCAAGTAGGGATGAAAGCGTTTTTCTTTTTGTTTGTATCATCTCGTAGGTGGAGCAGGATCGAAGAGAACCAAATATCGATTACAACAATCAACTCGATACATAACAAGTACGAGTAGATTCTTGATATATCATAGAGGAGTACTTGAGTTTCATAAACGTGTCTGCGAGCCCTTGCACTCCGATACCAATCGGTCTGTGCCTCCTGTTGCTGTTCTCAGCTTCTTTCACTGGGTAATAGTTCACGTCTATCACCTTGTTCAAGTTTCGCGTGACCATTTTACTGATCATTTTCAGCTTGACGAAATCGTAGCGCTTCCGCAAAGGCTCTGTTGTTGGGACGTCCTCTAGCGTGAACATATTTAGGGCGATGCTGGCAAGATTGCACACTGCGACCTCGTCAGGACTGGTGTACTCGAAAATCTCAGTACATAGATTGCTGCACCGAATCGTTCCCAGGTTCTGCTGATTGCTTTTTCGGTTCGCCGCATCCTTGTAGCACATGTACGGCACCCCGGTCTCCATCTGAGACTCCAAAATTTTGTTCCACAAGTACTGCGCCTGCACTGTTTTCTTCCCTTTGCCTGGTGGTATATGAAGTAGGTTATTTAGGTGGACGTCCTCTTACTATTATTTTAGAAAAAGATGAAGAAGAACTTCCACTCAAGTAGATAAACATAAATTACAAGATGTCCCGTTGCAACAGCAACAGAGGATCATGGAATAAAACTTCGCTAGATTAAGTAGAACTCCTCTATCTAGTACCTGTGGTAATCGTACTCGTAGACGTAATATGCCGTGAAAATCTAAATGCTACAGTAGTACCTGCTTTTTCAAGCTCTTCGTATCTTGCTTCAAACTCGTCTCCCCAAAGGTCTTGGAGTGTTTTTCCGTTCGAATCACGGGTTTCATCCGGACAAAATAGAGTCCATTCGCCGTTGGCCATCACACGTTTCATGAACAGGTCTGGAATCCAAAGAGCGTAGAAAAGATCTCGGGCTCGCGCTTCCTCCTTCCCGTGGTTCTTTTTCAGCTCTAAGAAATCGAACACGTCCCCATGCCATGGCTCTAAATACTTGTCTTAGAAGTTGGTGCTAGGCGTTAAGACCAGACGGGAGTGGAACAAGGGAGGTGGATTCCAGAACGTTGTCAAGGACTCCTTGGAGTTGGGACGTTGACGCGCTCGACGTGAGGCGATATACATAGAGGGCAGCAGAGTAATCGATAAGCTTCGCCGGCTCGCATGGCATGGAGTGCATGGATCGCATGGAGTTGCATGGAGCTCAAGGAGGCGCTTCTTGCGCTCCTTATGGATCTGCGCTCCATGTTCTCCATGCTACTCCATGCGTGCAATTATGAACTAGAACTACTCTGATAAACTACATTAGTACTAGAAGTCGGAAACCATAAATAGCAAACGCTCCCTTTCGTCGACCACCGCCCTGGTCGACATAGCGGGCTGTGTCGTTGAATACTCGAAGCATCGGCACTAAGCCGTTGCTGTACCCGTTTGTGCCGCGGATATAACTGCCCGAAGCGCGAACGTTTGATATTGCCACACCGATTCCGCCTGCCGACTTCGAGATTTTTGCACAGCGCTTCAGCGTGTCATATATTCCGTCGATGCTGTCGTCCACCATACTGAGCAAGAAGCAACTGCTCATCTGATTTTTCGGTGTGCCTGTGGAGGATGCGACAGATACATATTTTTGTGAGGAAATCAATTTTCAAGATTGATGAAAATCAAAATCCGTGTTCAATTATTTTCCGCGGAGTCGTGATGTTGAGAGTATTTGATCGACATATCTTCCACCAGCACCATGTTGTGTTTCCAGAAGATTTTTACATAGCTTTTCCTTCAAAACGTAGATTAAACCTGCATTGAAAAGCGTAGGTGTCGCGTGCGTGAAGAACTTCTGACTCATCCAGTCGTATGTTTCGAGTGCTGCGTCGATATCGTCCATATGGATTCCTAACGCGCATCGCATAATCATATGCTGTGGCCTCTCCACGATTTTTCCCTCTACCTGATGTAGTTTTTGAGACCAAAGAACGTTGCAGTCAAACGCTGCGCAATCACCAGAGCCAGATGAACCAGAAGTTCTGTGTCTTCACTTCCTAGTACAAGTTGAAGAAAACGACATTTTCAGCCAAGAAGAGCAAGAACATGATACATCAAGGATTACGAGTACGACGAGAATTAGTAAAATGAAAAATACATCAAATAAGTACATGGTACCCTGAGGAGATAGCTTCTCTCCAACGTCTTAAATCCAAAATAGTCGTATGTAAAATCGCGCTCGTATTTGAGAGCCTCTTGAATCTTATCAAAGTGCTCCGAACAGAAGTCGAAATAACGTTTGGACAAGAGTGCGCAGTCGCGTCCCGACTCATCCGCATAATAATACAAGCTTTTGCATGTTTGCTCGAAACTGAAGAGGACGAGGCATTCAAGATTGAAAATGACCATAACAAACTAGAACTACAATAAACACACAGAAACATCTACTTACTTACAACGTATCAGTAATATGCATGTTGTTGTATCAAGAACAAGGACGACAACTCCGTACAGAATCAGAACTAGGACGTGAACCCTTCGCATAGTTCTTGTACCTTGGACTCGTCATTTTCTGCAGGTTTGATATCGCTATTCTGGCTGCGAGAAGGGAGAAGTCAGGATGCATTTGACTCATGTAGGCGCAAGTCTCTGCGGCTAAGTTGTCAAGATCCCAGGTGTGCACGCCATCGTAGACACCCTCTACAACCTTCTGTGCTATCTTTTCAGGTACCAAGTACTCCCTGTTGAGGCCGAAACACAGTTTCTGTAGCCTCTGCGTGATCTTGTCAAACGCGACCTTCTCCCGCGTCCCATCACGCTTAACGACGTACATCTTGGCGACGGTCTGTTTCTCTCCCTGAGTGAGAAGACTCTCTAGTCTTGCTAGTACTACAGTTCTGCTGCTACAGTAGGATTGGTGTTCGTGCTGATACAAGCCGGTACTAGTGCTGGAATTCGCTGTTGGTACTGGTGCTAGAGGCGCGTCTTCGCTTGATGGAAAAACACGTTCTGGTGCGTTTCGTTCGCGCCAAAAAAGATTTCGAATTTGCAACTCGTGGCTCTTTACTTCGACTTCCTCACTTCGTGATCGTGGAGAAATCGCATAATATCTATCGCCTTGTTAATAGCAGCGATGGACTTACAATGCGAATCGATGCGCCGCACACCAATGAGACTCCGAACCCGAGGACAATAAGGTGAAGAAGCGTCCTAGTTCTTTACGAACTTGATGTATGTATGAGGATTATGAGCGTGGTAAGCGTTTCTGTTCGCCGACCACGTCCTTTGTAACAGGGTGCAATGTCTCTCCTCGGTTCAGCAACTTGTGAAGGCTCCCTCCCAATGTTAGCACGTTACACAGAGCTTGTATCACCGTGGAGATTAGCGCGTCGTCATCAGCAACTGATCAACAGCTCGGAGGTCAACGACACGTCTTGCTGCACATGCGTCATTTGTTGATCTATTACGAAGTACACCCATCGAACAATCTAGTAGAGGTTATTTCACGAGGACACACAAAAAATCTTACCTCAACTATATCATGCATGTATCACGTATCACTCAAGCTTAATCCTAAAATCGATATCGAAATTTCAGCCGCTGCGGCCCATGCCGCGTATGCAAGGTGTACCTTTTCCCTTTAATGGTAGGAGTCGGAATGGTCATCACTCTTCTTGAGGAAGAGACCCAAGAATCTACTAGTAATGAAGATGTAGAATTGTATGTAAGAAAGCACATCACATCACGAATTTAGCGCCCTTTTATTGGCCTTCGCAGCGTAGTGGCTCCAACATAATGCAATAACAGATGCATAAGGCGTGGCTCTCATTTTGCTTGACAATGACATCTTATACCCCTTTCTTTGCGTTCATCTTTGCATCTACTACTTCCTATTTTTCGGTTTTCCTTTTGGTATGTTGTAGTATAGACACTTCCTTTTCAAATATGCAGGTAATCTCCCGAGCGTAGCTCAGGGCTACCTCTTCGAACACTGTAGTTGTTCTTCGGTCAGCTATCATAGCTTGCGCCACGACGAATGACATATCCAAGTCATCAAACAGAGAGGAGAAGGGCGAGGCTGATCTATGATCAAACATTTTGTTTTTTACGAGCCTGTACATGGCATGAAGATGCTTCTCATGAAGTGCCGTTGATTCTATGTATCTATACATAGCAATGCATACATTGCAGAAGCGAAAACTGAAGCTCTGGCTTTCTTTGTTACAAGTAGAACTAGTACTATGCTGCTTTTTCTTCGAAGTTGATAGAATTTTCACTAATGAATCATAGCTAAGCCATATTTACTTACCTTCGATACTAAGGGCCGTAGCCTTTGAGTTTTCAATTTCATGTTGATGTGTGTGTAACTTCTACTGGTCTGCTGATGAACAAGAAGAATGAGTAGATAATATTCTTTTGAATTATGGTAAACGTTGACGTTGTAGTAGATGAGGTTTGATTACGATCATAATGAGTAGTGAAAGGATGTGAATGCATGATTGATGTGGTTCATTTGTGTTCTTCTTACGTTTGAGGTAGTGTTGAGCAGGTGTAGAGCCTCTTAGTGGGAAGCTGGCGATGAAGAGTACTGGCTTCATGAGACATCTTTGAAGCCGCAGAACTAAGACGAGTTTCCTTTTCGTAAACGCAACACATTTAAATTATTTATGGAAACAGAATATAGAGGTCTTTATGGGGAGAAGTTATACTGAGTGCCAGGGAAGACTATGCAATCGACTTTCATAACGCAAATGATGCTGTTATTGTTGAACTACAACATGTGCGTAGAGACTCACAATTCTATTTCTATGTTGTATTATGTGAACTCTATTCTACTTGATATTTGGTATATCTCTAGCAGGTTATGCTTTTAGTGGACAAGAACAAATTCAAGTTCTGCCGTAGTCGTTATGGGACTATGTTCCTATACTATTGGGCACACCACATGTTGATACTAACAGCCGTGTTCGTTTTTGTTTCTTCTTTCTTCTGTTCAATGTGCTAGTTGCTTTTTACACAAGAACGACACCTCCTTGCTCAAACTCATCATGGTTCTTCATATAGATCATGAAGTACAACGATAGTACTAGTCGGTGTTGGAATTGATTCCTACAACTCGTAAACAAGGCAGCACAACCTTCACACTTCGTCCGCCATCGCATGTTTATCGGCCTTCAAATCTTTCTGGCCCGGGAGCGTAGTAGCCGTCATGGGGGTTCTGTGTTCCAGGTATGGGCATGAGCCAGAAGAGCGGGTTGCTCCCGAGGTAACGGCAGGTGTTCTGATAGTACGTATTGTGTTCCGCCGGCGCGTATTCGTGGAAGCTACCAAGCAGATTGCCGTCCATGAACTTCTTCGCTTGGTGCGCACCCACCCAGTAGACAAAGACGACGCAAAAGCCGTACCAGATGATGCCCATCCACAGCATGAAGATTCTCACGTCGCTGTGGTTGTAGAAGATGCCACTTAAGTAGTGTCGGACAAGATGCCAACCGTACCTTCTCTTCAGCGCGGCGCGGCTGATGCGCTTGCTCTTCCAAAACTCCTTGCTCCTGTTCTTGATTCGACTGGCAAGACTAGTATTTTTCTCCGGTGTATCGTCCATCTCCGAGGTTGTCTTGTTACTGGAGGACAGACCGTTGAGCATGTCCTCCTGCGAAATTGTGTAAGAGGAGGCTGCTTCCTGTAGTTTGCCATTTTGCTGGTGGAACCTGGACGCATCGCCAGTCGCATTGCCGTCGTCAACAGAGGACTCCAAGCGTGCTCCGTCGTCAGTGGAGCCGTAGCCTCCCCGACCACCCGTAGCCGTGCGCATACGAGCAGAAAGCGCGCCCCCACTAGCTGCAGTGAGTGATGAGCGTGCGTTGTTCTGAAAGCCGCGCCCCGCGTTGTCTCCTCGAAGACCGCCGCGCGCGGATGCGTTCCCGCTGGTCATTCCGTCAAACTGGCTTCCTGGTGGTGCCCGACCAGCCTCAATGTCACCAATGACGTCTGCAAAAGCGCCACCGCGCGTCGAGCGGTCTGCCCGCAAAGACTTCTCGCCAGGAAGTGGCAAAGGTCCCTCTGACCAGTCCAATTCGCCTGTGTACCGGTTGCGCTTCACGATGAAGACTAAGAGAACACGACAGTACTCCCATTCTGCCTGATTTCGATACTGCACAGCAACGAAGTCTGCCAGTACGTCACCGCGCTGTCGAAACAGCGTGTCACTACACAAGTCGTTTAGGCAGTAAAGCGAAATAGCTGTAGTTTTCGTGTAAAAGTGAAGACAAATGCTCAGCGTCATCTTTGGTATGCAGCTGCATAGCGTGCTAAATCATATCACAATGTCTTCTAGTTCATTGGGGTATCATCTGCAACATCTGGAACCCGAAGAGGAAGAACCGTAGAAGAATAAAAAGAAGAAGTACGAGGAAAAGAAAAAGTTGAAGTCCAATTACAAAATCCAGGACCGTGACAATCAAAATAAAGTTTACATCAATACCTCTGAGGTTGAGCAACGATCCCAGCATGGCCATCACCCAGTACCAGAACAGAAAGAGCATGAAAAACTTGTAATTTCGAAAGCCGACGCAATTGCCGATCCAGGGACAATGATGGTCGCGGCCAAGCGTAACGACTTTACAGATCGAGCAATAATGTGCCATGTCTGGAACATACTGCGACGTTACATTGTTCCAACGAAGGCCCTCGGTTGGTGCCGCTGAAACCTGATGGCGTGTAACAGGCATGTGCCGACTGTGTGTAGTAAGCAGATGATCATCATCACGCCGTGCCAAGTCTTATCCTGCTCGTTCAAAAATCTAATTAAAGAAGAAGAACAAGCTGCATGAAATAAAAATTATTCTTCTAGGTTGTTCCCCTCCCCCCCGAAGAGCATGATTAAAAGAGTAATAAGGGCCAAAAGAGTCGAGAGAGGTTTTTTGAGGGATTGTCGGGGGGAGAAGGGGGGTCCGAGGGGGGTAGGGGGGACCTACCCCTGTCCAACCCCTGTGCCTGTCCAAAAAACAATAAGAATGGCCAAAAGAGTCCCGACCAGGTTTTTTGAGAGATTGTCGGGGGAGAAAGGGGGCCCTAGGGGGGGGTAAGGAGGGGCCTACCCCTGTCCGACCCCTGTGCCTGTCCAAATGGTCGAAAGAATCTCGACCACCGGGTTTCTTGGGGGATTGTCAGGGGGAGAAGGGGGGGGTAGGGGGGGGCCTACCCCTGTCCAACCCCTCCCCAACCCCTGTGCCAGTCCAACCCCTGCGCGGCCCCCCCTCCCAGCTTCCGCGCCAAATCAGACGCGGCGACGCTTGAGAGCCTCAACGAAAACTGAAGAAAAACCAACACGCACCACGATAGGGAGATTAGCGTCTCGCAGCTCCTCTCTAGATGGCCGTGTGCGTTCGGAGGCTGCGAGCGAGGTACCTTAAAGGGGGCCCACCTGCTGGCAACGCCTTCACACCTTCGCTCCCACCTGCTTGATGATTTTCACGAAGGAAAGCCGAAAAAGCGCCGAAAGTAAGAGCCAGCCACGCGGGTGCGAGCCCATAGCTGTAGGCGCGCGGCTAGCTCCTCGCGGATCCGGACACCCCTCGAGGGGAGTGTGGCCGGAGAAGCCCGCGGGTGAGCAATTTCGCCAAGATAGAAACGCAGCGCCCAACTTCCACCCGGGCAACCCCCTCAGGCTCCCTGCCTGCGCCCGGTCACAACCAACAACGCGAGGAGGAAGCCGCAAAAGGTGCCAGCTTTGGAGGCTGGCCCCTGGTAGTGCTGTGCTCTTCGGGGTCCTGCTGCGTTTTGGGGTCCGTGCTGTGTTGAGGGTGCTGCGTTGTTTTGGGGGTTCACCTTCACGCTGTGTCTTTGGGGGTCGTGCTGGTGTGTCTTGGTGGTCATAGAAGTGCGTCCCTTTGAGGGTCTATGCTGTGCCCGGGGGTCATGCCATGTCCCTGGGGCTGTGCTTAGTTTTATGCTTACTTTGCCACGAAGTGCCTACTTTGGGGTCAGGGTCGGGGTGCCTCGGGGGGGTCGTGGTGCCTCTTACGGCCATGCCCTTTATTTTTAAGGGGCGGGCCAGGTCATAGCCCGCCAGGGGCGACGTGCTGTCTGCGGGGTTGCTTCCATCCTTTGTCTTTTAGGGGCTGGCCGTCTGTGCGTAGTAATTTTTGCGCGGGGTCATTCTGTGCCCTAATGCTCGCGCTGGTGTTGTGTTCCGGGGGCCGTAGTGGGTTGCTTCGAGGGTCATGGCGTGTCTTCTTGGTGGTCGTGGTGTGTTAGTAAGCTTGGGGGGCCTTGGTGTACGTAGTTGGTGCCTCGTGTGTTTCTTGGGGGGCGCGCTGCGTTTGCGTGGCCACGTTGTAGCTTGGGGCCGTGCTGTGCTTAGGGGGTCACGCTGTGTTTGGGGGGTCATGCTGTGTTTGGGGAGGTCGGTCGCGCTGTGTTTGGGGAGGTCGTGGGGCATTTTGGGGGCCGAGGTGGGACCGATGGGCAACCCCCGCTCGTTGAGCCAAACAAAGAACAAACCTGAGAACAGATAGCCCCAGGTGAGAACGCGGGCAGCTCAGACCGGAGAGGCCTGAGCGGCCAAAGCTGGCTAGCCAAACTGCCCGGGCAAGCTGGGCGGGGCCAGCCAGCAAAGATGAGCAAGACGCGCGGGCGTGGGAGGGCTCACCGACGTCGAGCGCCCCCGACGGCATTGGCAACACCTCCGCCCCCGCGCGCGCATGTCCGCCGGGCCTGCCTCATTGGCGTGGCGTGCCTAATTGATTGCGCGCGCCAGGGTTCTGGGTTGCGTGGGCTGCTTCGGTCTTTGTTCCTCTCCATCATCTCGACGGCAGCCGCCAAGGGGCGGGCGCTCCGTGCCTCCGTCGCTTTTTTTTGTTTTCTCTTAGGTTTCTACTCTGTGCCCGTGGCTGTGCTGTTATCGAGGAGGGGTCGCCTAAGGGGCGGCCCCGGTTTCTTGTAAACATAATGATAGTCTTGATCTTCATAATGGAGAATAACCAATGGAAGTACCAGTTTTCGGATCTCATTTTCTCGCGCATTGAGCTTTTTCTGCTGTTCCGGATTATTTTTGGCCCAGTTGGTACCACCGTGAAATCCGTCAGTTTCTGGGTTGACGTACCATGGTGCCGCCAAAGGCAGATGGCCTGGGTCCATCCAATGTGCGGAAGTGATGGCAGCCCACGTCGCAAACCAGACCCACGACCAGAAGATGAGGCAGAACCACCAGAAACCACTCCTACGAAACGACTGCACGTTCAACCAGTTTTCCCGCTGCACTTCGACGGAAGTGCAAAGGTGCTCTTCGAACCAATTTTTCTCATCCTCCGGCAATGTGCCGACCGTTGTCATGAAAGGCGATTTGTAGGTTCCGTATTGCGTCTCGACTGGGGCCGCGCCTGTGCTTCCACGTTCTCCTGCTGGTCCTGTTGAAGAAAAGCTGGAGTCTCTCTCCTTGCTCTGATGTTGTTCCCTTGACGCCCCTCCTCGAGGAGACTTCGGCGCCATCGGAGAGGAGGAGGACTTCATCCACGTTGTTGGTGAGAAGGAGTCCGCACCTGTTGCACTTGGTTTTGGCACATTGTTCGCTGGCACAATCGTCTCTCGATAAGGCGTCTGAATCGACGTCATGCCAGGTCGTCCTGGAGTAGCTGCGGCGCTAAGTTTGCTACCCGCTGTGCCATCCTGCATCTTTTGCAGACGGGATTCCCGCTCCCGGCGCTGATCCTCGCGACGTCGCTTCTCGCTGCTGCGGTCGTTCAGAAACAGCTCCCATTGCTGGCTGTACAAGTAGAGCAACTGGTTCAAGAAGTGGCTGCGGTCTTTCGAGAAATGCAACGAAAAAATTGCGTAGTCAAACGTCACGTACCCTTGCAGAATCGTGTAGAAGTACACGAAGAAATGCAGCTGTCCGTAGTCGGAGTAGTTCCATTTGAGCATGCTGTAGAGCCCCGTTTGCAGGATGAGCACAAAAACCCCCGCCGCCGCTGCCGCAAACACCAGCTTGCCCAGAGGATTCCGCTGACGCCACCAGGCGACACCAAGCACCTGGATAAAGTCCCGAATGTGCGAAATTCCCGCCGCACAACATCGCCTCTTCTTCTTCAGAGGCACGGCGTTGATCTCGCCAGCGTAGTTGGTCGAATACACAGTAATTGGAAGCACAGCGTCTTGCATATGCTCAGACGAGAACTGTTGCTTCGAGTCCTCCCAGATGGGCACGTGGCTGTGCCGCAACACGCGGGGAACGTACACCCTGAGAGATGAAATTTCATTGCTTGGGAGTTCTTCAACATCTGCGAACAGTCAACTTCACGAATTGTTACCTCTTCCGTTGTATCAACGCCTTTGTTCTTTACACAAAAATTGAAAACTTTGTTTACTTCCTGTATAACTATAATGTGAATGCAGGCAAAAAAATGCACCTTTCCCCATCTTCCACATTCTGGCCTTTGTAGGCGTCCATGAGTGAGCCGAATTGCGTTCCTCCCGTCGCATAGGCCGTTTCTAGCTCTTGAATCGCCTGTTCGTCCTCGCGCACCGGTTGCACACCGAGCATGCGATTCAAACGGGTGACCACAGCATTGGCTGCTGGACTCGACCGCTTGGCAAGGTCGGCATCGACCCCAGCAACGTGCTCCGAGTTCACGGCGCACGGCCGCAACACGAATCCGAAACTGAGCTCCAAGTGCGAGAACACCAAGTCGTACAGTTCCAGGTCCAGAATCGCTGCGTCGGAATCCAGATCCGAGAAGTCATCGTCGTCCTGAGCAAGAACGAGCATTTTTTCGCCTCGCGAATCAATACGATCCTCCACAGTGGGAACCGCGCGTCCGCCAGCACCTCCTCCACTTAGGGAACTAAGAAATCCACCAACTCCTGTACCGGCATAACCTCCCTCTTGATCCTGGTTACTCCCTTTGCTGTTGGAAGAAGCGCCATACGTGTTGGCTCCGTTCATGGCGACAGGTCCGGGTGACGTTGCTGCTCCTTCCGCGGTTGCTCTTGGGGTTCCATTTGCGTTACCTCCCCATGAAGTCGACGGCATCTTCAGACCTCAATCTCGGGAACTGGAGGCCCTCTCGCGAAGAACGGGCAACAATTCACAAGAGCAAGATCGAGTTCGTATCAATCTCAAAAGCAAAATGATAGTATGTCGCTAAAGCGAAGTCAGTCGATGAGGCTTACTATGTTCCGAGCTTTTCTCTCTATCTATTTGTGTTTCATTCATGGTGGAGATTCGGGTTGCATTCACTTCAAGGCCAAGGCGGTTGTGAATAAAATCATAATCAACCACGATAAAAAACAACTACAACTACGATGTGCCAGAAAATCATCGAAAGGAAGTTTTACGAGTCCACCTAGATGCAGTGTCGGGGAAGTGAATTCGCCTACAGTGTATCAGTCATGATGGGTGGGTGCTGGAAGCGGAGATAACACAGTGAAGTTCATTGGACAGACGAGCAGTAACCGAAGATGAAGAACACAATGTTATTGAACTTCGTAAGTTGATAGCCATAGTATTGCACCGACAACATCTAGAAGTACACCGAAATGAGATTTGTTTTCTTCGTCTGAAGTTGTGTGACCGATCACTGTGATGTGAAATAGCCGAGTATGAGGACGCAGGTGGTTCAGCCGATTCAAAGACTGATTTGCTGCTCATAAAAAATACCGAACAGACAGCAGCAAGCTGCAAGTAGTGCATCACCATCACTCAATCTTCATGTCATGGTGCCTCATTGCGCATCTATGTGTGAGGCCATTCAGTTCCTCTATTCATTGTATCTACATACTTAATTATCTTCAACTTCATGGTCATCATCTTCTGCGGCCTAGTCCTACTCCCAGAATAAGCTTTGAAGCGGAGAGAACAGTGAATCCTACACCTAGAGGCTCAATACCTGAGCAGCACGAAGTCCATCAGATACTATCAGAAAAAACCACGGGAGGAGGGGGATATTGTCGATCGTAAAAAACTTGAAAAACAACAGAGGCGCGAGGAGGTCAGGGATAGCTGACTGAGCACCTCTTGCACAGCTATCTCTCACTACATTCAGTAGCCCGTGCCGACCGACCACAGACAGTACGAAAAAACAGAGATTTTATCAGGGTTCATGAACATACACAACACGTTCACCACGCTGCAGATAAAGAGACGCAGCATCAGATAAGTAACTAATAACTCATTAAAGTCAATATTAAAGAGCTAAAAAAAATTTAACAACAACCCCGCCAAGCTCCCACTTCCAAGCCCCAAACTCTCACTCTTTCACATTTGAACTCATAAACTCACGAACTCTTAGTTAGGAACTTAGTTAAGAACTTAGGAGCTTAAGAACTTGTGAACTTGCGAACCAAATCCAAGAAATTGAACTTCCGAGCAACTTGGTAAAATCACAAATTTTGGGATTTGAGGAATTCAAATCCAAGAAATTGACCCCACGAATCAAACCCAAGAGATTGAACCTCAGAAGAACTGGCTAAAATCAAAAATTTTGGGATTTGAGGGATTCAAATCCAAGCAATTGACCTGACGAATCAAACCCAAGAAATTGAATCTCAGAACAGCTTGCTAGTGCTAATCAAAATCAAAAATTTTCGGAGTTTGGGTATTCAAATCCAAGACATTTAATTTCAGAAAAACTCGCGAAAGTCAAAAATTTCTGGATTTGAGGGATTGAAATCGAAGAGGTTGAATCCCTGAGAAACTTGCTAAAGTCGAAAATTTTTGGACTTGAGAAATTGAAAGCCAAGAAACTGTATCGCAGAAAAACTCGCGAAAATCGCAAATTTTTGATTTGAGGAATTCAAACCCAAGAACTTGAATCTCGGCAAGGCTCACCAAAGTCCAAAGCTTTCAGATTTGAGCAATTCAAACCCAAGAGATTGAATCTCAGCACAAATCGTTAAAGCCGAAAACTTTTGGACTTGTGGAAAGAGGTTGAATCTCAGAAAAACTCCGGAACGTTTTTGCCAAAGTCGAAAGTGTTCAGATTTGAGCAATCCAAATCCAAGAGATTGAATCCTCGAGAAGCTTGCTAAAGTTAGTCGAAAGTTTTTGGGTTTAAGTTCTCAAATCCAATCTGAAAATTTATTAACATCCTAAGTTTCTAGATTTGAGGAATTCAAAGCCAAGAGCTTAAATCTCAGAAAATCCTGCTAAAGTCGAAAGTTTTGGGGTTTGAGGAATTCAAACCCAAGAAATTGACCTTACGAACCAAATCCAACAAGAGGCTGAATTTCAGAAAAGCTTGCGGAAATCAAAAATTTTCGGAGTTGGGGAATTCAAGCCCAAGTAGAGGCTAAATCTCAGCAAGAACCTGCCAAAGTCAAAAACTTTAGGATTTGAGGAATTGAAATCCAAGAAGTTGAATCTCTGAGAAACTTGCCAAAGTCGATAGTTTTTGGATTTGAGAAATTGAAAGCCAAGAAATTGAATCGCGGAAAAACTTGCGAAGGAAAGTCGCAAATTTTTGATTTGAGGAAAAATTCAAACCCAAGAAGCTGAATCTCAGAAAGGCTCGCCAAAATCCAAAATTTTCGGATTTGAGCAATTCAAATCCAAGAGATTGAATCCCAGCTAAAGCCGAGAACTTTTGGATTTGAGGAAAGGGGTCGAATCGCAGAAATGCTCCGATATGTTTTCGCCAAAGTCGAAAGTGTTCTGATTTGAGCAAGAGCTTGAATCTTCGAGAAGCTTGCTAAAGTCGCAAGTTTTTGGGTTGGAGTTCTCAAACCCAAGAAATCGAGTGCCATGACAAATTTGCCAACATCGTAAGTTTCTAGATTTGAGGGATTCAAATCCAAGAAGTTGAATTACAGAAAAACTTGCTAAAGTCGAAAATTGTTAGCGATTGAATCTCCGGCGGGCTTAGTGCTCCGCGGGTTACCTCGGGAGGAGGGGAATCCTAGCGCGAGGGGGTGTCATCGGTCGCTCCACGCTAGTATATAAAAATCAATAAAATTCCTACTCCCAGAATAAACTTGAACGCGGCTCATTCTATGAAGAGTAGATGACCTAGACGATACGTGCTTCGATTGCGTCTTCGTCTGGGTAATTCATGCAAGGGCGCGCAGGGTACATCATCATGACATGGGAACATTGATTGCAAAGAGCGTAGTTTAGTGTAAAGAAGGAAGGGTAAAACAAGGCGCGATAGAAGGTGAGTTCATGCTTATTAATGTGCGTAATGAGGTGATGCTAATGGAGGAGAGGCAATATGATGTGGGCGTGTCAGTACGAGCGCCTGCCACCAGCACCAGGTCCGGGATCGGAGTCTGAGGAGCTCATTTCGGCGAGTCGTGGAGGCCGTGATCGTTGAGGTGTTTCAACACGGGAGGTGCTGCGCGACTCGTTCAGGATGTTAAAGCCCTTCAAGCTCAAGCCCGAAGGTCTGGGACGCGAACTAGTTGCACCGCCAAAAGAGGATGAGTGCCTATGCTCTTTGCTTTTGGAGTACTTGTTGTCCTTGTGTCGACTCTCCCCATCCCCGCCAGAGTGTTCTTTTTCGAGACGCTGTTGCCGATTCTCCCTCGCTTTTTGCAAGATCGATTCACTGGCAGCGCTGTTGTCCGAGGCAACCCCATTTCTGTTCGTCTTGCTGCCACTTGAGTCGCGCTTCTTACTTGGCATCTTTCGCGGGCTGTCGCTGGATCCTATGACACTCCCTGCTGGTGTTCCTGCTGGTGAACCTCCGACGCTGTTTCCGCCTCGTGGTACACTGAGACTCGGACCAGCCGGCTCTTCGATGATCTGGTGAAGCTCATGCGAGGAGCTGCCACCGTTCGCGCAGACTCTCGTGAACGAATCAGTTGTCGTTGTCCTGCTGTCAACACGCAAGGAATCGGTGGAGAAGTTACTACTTCCACGTTGTAGTTGAGAGGTGTCTTCTTCCTTGGATTTGTAATTCGCCCTTTTCAACACGCTGCTCTTGTCGTTTTTCCGGTCACTGGATCGTTTGTTGAGTTTACGCGGGTCTGTCCCTGGAGCGCTGTCAACAGCGTTTTCGTGGTCTCTGGAGGTCTCAAAATCTTCTAACCCCGATGCTGCGCCCACCTGGTTGTAGCTGCTGCTTCGACTACCCCCACTTCCGTGCCTATTCAAGCCACGTCCCGAGCTGGAACTCCCCACTTTGTTTGCGTATGGGCCGCCGCTGCCGATACTGCGACCAAATTGCGCCGCGTCTTGTGGAAAGTGCGCCAAGCGATAACTGACTCCATGCAGCAACTTCGCACCGTAGGAAGGCGGTCGCACGTCAAAGCGCCGTTTGTAGCGAACAATGTACTCTGGGTAGACTTGCTCAGTTTTAAAGAACACCCACTCCTTGAATGTGTCCCTTGCTTTCTCGCGGTCACCCAAAACACTGTCAAAGCGGTTGAAGCGGCACAGAGACTCGATGTAATTCGGGTCTGGGTGCGGATCCGCGGTGTAATACACTCGCGCCGCCAAGGCTCGTACAACTAACATCGCACAGTAGTTGTCGTCCTCTAGCCACTCTTCTCGAGAATACTCATCCGCTTTGGTGCAACTCTCACTCGCGTAGATCCCAGCGCCGTACATTGATCCACCGTGGCGCCCTGCATACGAAATTCGAAACCCCTCATTAGCAATGGATTCCGCGGCGGACGGATTGGTACCATGAAAAAAAAGAAACTCATTGAGCGGCTGAAAAAGCTCTGGCTGCGGCAGGCCGGCGGCGTCCCAGGATCGCGTCGAGAGCGGAACTGGTCGGTGCGCAGAGACTTTCAAGTCGCTCCCCTGCGACAACTGGAAGAGCGAAGACCTGACAAAAATGGGAAAGGCATGGATATTCGTCAAACTTGGCAGGTATTCAAATTTCTCACTAGCATCAACCGACGAACTCGAAATCAAGTTCAAGGAGCAACAATAACTGTAATTATATATTATGACCAACCAACTCGCGGACGACATTCATAGGTCAATACTTGAGTAGTGGTGCAGCATGGGTGAGCTATCACGATAGCGATACCTCAACTTCGCATATCGTTCCCATAACACTGTGTTTTCCACTCGTGCGACATAGCCCACTTCTAACCTTGTCGGAATGCGCGCAGTGCCACCGATCCTTGCCGCAAGTCGCTTCCGATCTCTCGTCCACGTAGTGCGCCACGTCTCGTCCAGCATTCTCTGCACACCCTCGACCACATGCTCATCGCAGATGTGGAATCTACACGAAGGCGCGTACCCGCTCACATGCGACTTGGCGGACGACGGGGAAATATCGGCCTTTGGCGAAGGCGAAATCATGGCCAAGGACGTCGAAGAAGACCTGCGCTCTTTGGATGACGGAGACGCCAACATTGAACACATGGGCTGTGGCGCAGATGAGCCTGAATTTCCGCCGCTTCCTGTTTGTGCAGAAGGTGCAAGGTCGTAGACATCCATTCCTACTGGCATAGGCGGGATGTAATAGTCGTCTTTGCTGGGCCAGTCTTGGCTCGATTTCTTATTCGGCGACCCATTAGCGGAGGCACCATCGCTGAGCGCTTTGAACGGCGAAGGCGAGGATTGGATCTCACGCACCCTGGCTAGTTTTCGCTCGTCGGCGATGCTCCAATAGCTTGGATACGTTAGCGCCACATCGCCACCGACGTTATCGCCGTAGTAGTCGTAAAAACTCTTGGTCAACACAGGGTTGTAATTGTAGCGCAGAACCAGGATCAGCTTCAGTCTCGAAATGCAGTCGTCCCGATGGAAGCACAGACTGTAAAGGACGACGAGCGCGAATAACAAAGCGATGGCAATCATCACAGCCAGGAGGACTGTTTGGTAGATCTCCTCCTCTTTCTCAGCCGCCGTCCCAAAGTCGAGGCCTCCCCGCTGGGCTTCGTTTTCCGAGGCAAGCGAGGCGCACGTGGTCGATACGCTGGACACTCGCTGTCCACCGCGTAGCCACACGTTGTCAGTGGGCTCTAGCTGTGTCCACAAGAGAAACTCAAGCGTCGTGTCATCTTGAAGCGAATAGGCGCCATCCAAGGACGGAATCGTCTTTATTCGGACGCGGTTGTTCCCGGCGTGGAGCTGGTTCCAGTAGCTTCCAAGCGCGTTTTGCGCGGGAAACGCAACAGGCTCAGTCCGCAGAAGCTCTCCTTCTGACACTGTTCTTGCTGGAAGGTTCGGAGCCAAGGTCGTGGTTGTTGTGACATTGTCACTTACCGCGGCCAAGGCAGCAGAGGCAGCTGGCGGGGGATCCAATGGGTCGATGGCCGAGCTCTCGATGGTTATTTGAGAACCGCACTGACTAAATTTTCTGCTACTGATGGGTCCCACTCCCAACCGCAGAGGAGCATGCTGCAACAAAACTCGTTGCGTCGTGGTTCCCGTCCCATTGACGACGGGAGTCGTTGTAAGCTGAAAAAGTTCTAAGACCCCATCATCAGCGCTCGGAAGCTCTGCTTTCACCTGAAACGTGAGAAACCGCCGCGTCGCCATGATGTTGGATATTTCGAATTTACTAAAGTTGTCCCAGCACGTGAACGTTTCGTCCGTGGGCGACTGCTGCGGCAACGCTGCTGAAGCTCCAGGTACCGGAAAGAGGCTGCACCGCGGATTTGCACTTGCCGCTGCCGTAGCTGGGGCTTTGAGAGTGAGGCCAGAGAGCCGAAGCGTGAACGAGAAAGTATTCACCAGAGCAGTGGTGTCAGGCATGTGAATGTGGAAAACAATGTTCTGCGAGGAAACAGCGGAAAACTGCGATCGCGAGTCAAAGGTACCTGCGGCAACAGAGAAATGCTGCGTCTCACCGAGATCTAGCACCGTGGTCGCAGTTGTGCCGGCTCCACTGCCATCGGTTGCAATACCACCAGTGCCTAGAATCTGGAGCACCCACTTGTTCACGTCGTGGTCAAACGGTTGCTGGCCAATGCTCGCGAGCGCTGCTCCAATAGTATTGGCGTTGTAACCGCTTGGCACTTCCGCCACACGCAGTTCCACAGAGAGCTGGACTTCGCGATCCTGAATCAGTTTTACCATCTGAACCGGAATCGTCACGCTATTACTAAATGTCGAGAGTTTCTGGATGCCGCTGGTCACACGTGCTAGCGTCACCCCGTTCGTGAAAGAGAGAATCTCGCATGGACCTACGAGACGCAGACTCTGAATGACCGGTTCCGTTGATACGATTCCTACGCCAGTGCTGACCAAGTCTATCTTGCGTAGCCGAAAGGAAAAAAGGGCGTCCACGATGGTCCCAGACACCGCAGGCACCGCACGAACCCTGAAATCCGAAATGAAATCCAATGGAGGCGGCTGCGGAGTTGCCAGCGATAGATGCGAGACAAAGTTCAAATTTGCTGAGTTGTAGTCCAGCAAATCTTTCAGAGTGAGACTCGTACTGCCACCGCTCGTTACGTGGTTCCGAAGATTCGCAAAAGCAGTGGCGTCTGAGGACAGCGCAACGCGCCAAGCAGCAGTACTCGGTGTTAATCCAGCTTGCGTCGGTTTCGGGCTGAGCGCAAAGAGTGAGACACGGACTTCAGAAGACGCAGTGGAACTAGTCTCGCCGAAGACAGAGAACCGCTGCATTGATGTCAAGTCATTGCTTAGTGTACTTTCTGTAGGGTCCACCACGTAGCAGCTCAGTGTCCATTCGTCACCGCGACAATTGGTACTCGTGAAGATCCATTTCGAAGCAGACGCTGGCGTGGTTGGCAGAACTGGATCCGTCCAGAGATAGAAAAACCTTTTTCCCCCTAGATTGCTTCCAGAGATCGTTATCACTAATTGGACGTAAGACGAATACGGCGCCGACGACATCGCTGTTGAACTGCTAGAACCTGTTGTGAAGCCTTTGACAACAATGCTAGCGCTTCGGATCTCCTCAATCATCGGATCCCGAGGATGTACAGACACTAAGCCGAGTAACTTATCCATACTGTCGCTCTGGATGAGACCATAGGTGAAGCGCCAAAAATCTGTTGTAGTCGACGTAGTCCCGCTACTTCCCGCGCCGGCAGTTGTTGTAGTTCGTGCTTGAGGGGTGGTCACACCTGTAATTCGGATTTTCAGTAGAACCGTGTCGTCCAACGAAAACGCCAGTGCCTGTGCGCTTTGGTCCAAGGTCGCGCGCGTGTAGCGCGCTGAGCTCGCGGCGTAGGACCACAGATCGCGATTAGCGTGTGCTTGGCTCGGTAATGTGTCGTTCGCGTAGTCGACTACCAGGTTTCCCGCCTGCGGTCCCAGCACATATGGACGCTCATCGGCCGGCAGTGTCCCGCTGCTCTGCGCAGCAAGCAGGCTTTGGTTCAAGCGCGGATTGCTCGAAAACAACGCGGCCAAAGCGGTCTCCCAGTCCTGATTGTTGTACTCGTACGTTGCGCCCAGCTGCGCCCCCAGGTAGCTGCCAGTGCACACAGAGCCTATACGCCCGCAATCTGTGAACAAGACAGGGTGTAAGCGCGTCGCCGACTCTGCGAGCACGTCCGCCGTGGGTGAAGCGACGGAACCGGCGGCGAAAATCTGAATGCTGCTACTCGGCGAAAACGAGATTCCCTGCGGCGCATCGACACCAATCCAAGAGTTTTCGGGCAATTGCTTCTTTTGTCGTAACCCGCGAATACGAAAGGCAACTTCCAACGTAGCGTCGCTGCGGGCGTAGAAATACGGCGTCATAGCAAACTGGAGCACCTCCATGCTACCCCAGAAGAAGGCATTGCGGATGCCACTAGCCGCACGCAAATTGCTGTAATTGATCGTCATAGTCGGATTTTGGTTCGTGTCACTATTCGTTTCTAGAGGATTCGCGCTCTTCCGCAAGTCGAAAACCAGCCTGGGGCTGGCGGCCGTGATAGTATTCGCAGGCATCTCAAACTGGTACACCGAAAGTTCCTGTATTCAAATTAATAAGTAGTTTGTTAATATCTGCGATATCTCGTCCTGATAATCTTTTCATCTCTGTTGCAAACCGGATTCGCTTTACCAGCATGAACCACCAGTACCATATTCTACTAAAGGACAAGTACAACGATTCCCCAAAACAAAATCGATTTGTAGAAGATTACAAATCAAATAGATAATGATAATGCATGATCCTTCAAGAGAAGTAGAAGTTCGTATTAAAGTGTAACAAAATCAATGTCCTCAAGAGTAAGTAGCAGTGTGTAAACTTGGGCCTAGAGTGAGTACCGGACTTCGTATTTGGCGCACATTCTGACTGTCGTAGTAAAGGTCTACTGCCGCATCCAGCATTCCGCAGTGCAAAAAAGCGCTCGAAGTAACGTTTTCCCTCTCATAGGGGATGCGCGGAAGAGCAAACCAGTTGGCTGATGCTTCAACAAAAGAGGGCGCTCCGTTTGCCGTGCGTAGATCCACATAGAGCTCTGTCCGTGGATCCAAGGTCCCTTTCGTTCCAGACACACACATTTTTGTGGGAGTCACCGTGGAAAAAGAAAAGGTCGTCTCCCACGTCATTCTCAAGTGGACTGGGTAGCCATTTACATATTTAGACGGGCTCGACACTGTTTCAATCACGAGTGCTTGCTGCAGTCCCCGCCTGGCCGTGCTACTCGCACGAGTCGTTTCTTCTTCCCGTTGCAGAAGGCCTGTCGTGCTCCTCCTCTTGGCCGTCCTTCTTCTAGTCCTTGTCGATGAATGTTGTAGTGCCACAGCATGAGTTGTTTCGGAATCTTCTTCGGCCTGCTGCAGTTCTCTTCTGTGACGCCTCTGAGCTCCTCCATGATCTTCATTTCCCATGGAATGATGAAGACCTTGCTTCTTCCCTCGAGGTGAGTGCAACCGCCGGTCGCGACCTTCTTCTTCAGCGACATCAGCGATTGGCGACGATGGTGCAGTGGTTCCCGCAAAAGAAACATCCTCAAGTCTAGCGCCGTTGCCATCCGCCGATGCTCGACAGAAACCGATGACGGACGCCAGGAACAAGATGCACGTCCAGAACTCGAAGATCGAACAGAGCCCATACTTCCACGACCCTTTTATAGTCACGTTAGTACGCGCACAAAACCTGGAAATTTCGCGGCGCGCCTTCCCGACGCCCATATCGCCACATGCACATGCTGCTCAAGAGCATGCAGCAAGGCTGGTGGGCGATATGCAAGCACCTCCTCTACGTTCGCGTTCGTGATGATGACGCTCTTGTGGATCTCAACTCAACGACAACGACCCGAGCATATTCTATTTCGTGATCGTGATCGAAATATGACAAAGATGCTTTTATGGCTTCAAGCATGATCATTGTGGTAATTCGTATTTGTGTCAGCATAAAGTTGTTTCACGCTTTTTACGTCAACATCAGGAAAGTGCATTTTGAAGACTAATTGATGCGAGAGGCTACATCACCGTGAACAATATCATGCAACTGATAACAGGAATGTGATTGTGAGACAAGCATCACAATGCGCACGAAAAGGAAACTAGTCGAGGTACTTAGACGCAGAGGGTGGATGTGGAAGGTCAATCAATAAATTGCTCATGAATCCACCACGTCGCGTTCCTGCCGGGAAAAAGGGAATCAAAATGAAACACCATTGATTGAGACCATAAACACGGGAAAATCGGGAGGGTAGTGTTGAAGCAAGAGCGAGCTCACTCGCGGCACTCGGTTTTCTATCAACCATCTAGAAGGTGTTCCCCTCTGGTCGTCCACATCTCACACAACTCCTTGTGTCGAACACGATTAAACCATGGAGCCAAGATTGCTCTTCAACAAAGACACAGGAGATCTCAAAACAACCATGTGAAATCAATATAGAGGGTATCTTTGCCTAGAACAAGAACACGGGGATGACGCATTTGAATCTCTATGACATTAGCACTGTCGAGCTCATACAGATAGAGGATCCTAGTCCCACCGCAGAAAATAGAGAAGACCGAAAATGTAATAACCTTGCTCCTGCTGTCCGCGGTGGCCGTAGCGGTGTACCGAAGTTGTTGTAAATAACAGAACGCCCATTACCGCATTATGCATGCCGCCTCGACACAGAACGGCAGCATGCCGTTTGCGAAGAATCCCCACCACGAGTACTAAACGCAGGCTAAGCGAGGTTTTCTCGTTGCAACAAGGAGTTGTAAACAACCTTTGTGTAAGGAAGCTGATGTTGATGATGAAGATAATGTGTTCTATTTATGTTTATCATTTTTGCAACCTGGATATATCATATATGTTGAACGTCTCATTCCTTCGAGCTTGCTGCAGTAGTACGAAATGTGTTATTTGGAGTTTAGGTTTCGCAAACGCCGGACATTCATGATATGACGTGTCCCCTCAAAAACATCTTCAAGATAGAATGGGCACTACTAGTGACTAGTACGACGTATGCTTATGCTACCCATCCAACAAAAAGATCAATCTTCATGAACAACTTCAGCCGTGCCAACAACATTCAGTCATTTCTATTAACATTGCATGTACAACTCTTCATAATATTCTTAAGTAAGTAAGTACTTAAGTAGGGACTTCTTTACGTTCTCAGTACCTAGTATTCCCATTCCTTCGCTGTACTAGCAGCGAGTGTATTTGATCTTCGTCTTCTTACCTTTCTCGCATTCATGTTGGCGAAGAAATTTCCGACCGCTGCTAAAAAACTGGACCCCGTTGATTCTACAAAAATGTGCTCTGTGGATAATGCACAAGTTTTAATCTTCACCACTATTTCAGGTTCAAGAATCATAGCATCACATGACCACTGTTCATATGGAATGCTAAGTAATGACGAGTAGTTACTATGCGGACTTCATTTTCCCTACGACTATTCTGGCTTTACTGTTCATCTCTATCTTCTCGCTCTCGCCACCGTTATATATAAATATGAAGTAGATTATGTACTACTAAAATTCTCTTCTAACACAACAACTACAGAATGAGTACATGTGATTTGATCGAAATCTATTGCTGAACGAAAATTTTGTGCGAAGGCAAGAATTAGAATCTTGAGTTCGTCTTGATCTTAAATAATTGAAACTTCCAAAAATAGTCGTGACATGCGTCCATATATGGTGCAACCCGGCGTGCTTCTAGCACAGCCCCCGCAGTACCCTCGCAGACGAAAGTGAACAAGACAAAAGAACGGTATCAACCGGTCCATACCAAAAATCCCGACAGGGTTTGCTGGGGGTAGATTCGCAACCGATGAAATCGAATGAGTATTATATTCTACTTTATAAATCACATTTTTTCAAACAAACAGGTCGAAGAAGTCCTACAAAATCATGTTGAGATCCAACAGACGGACAGCTTCTCGTGAAGGAATTTCGCAATCGACAAATACACAAAAATTCAGTGGTGCTACTGCAAAGAACAACTATAATGGTATGATTGAACATGCGTCAACGATATTACAAGACGCAGTATCCTTGAAAAAGGAGTGTTTGTACCTGACAGACTTCTAAGGTCGTTTTTGAAATAAAACCACTTACGTCTTCCTCTTCGAAGTGTTATTCACCGGAGTAGCTACGTATACCATACATCAGCATAACAACAGCACCAGACTCTTCATCATACATCCTCATGTAGTAAGTGCTTAAGAACATCGCGGTCTGCATTCGACATCACGCCAACAGCATACCCAACTTGCTCGCTAGGCGATGCGATTCATGTGCGCTGGCCAATTGGTAGCTTTTCTCTTTGGCATCAACACCCGGACTGATGTTCGCAAAAATGAAGCAGGGGAAAGATATGACGGGCGGGAAAGGGAAGATGAAAATTGAAAACAAGAAGATGAAGATATCTATGGATACCCGATACATATGTGAACTGCACTAGGTATAATGTATCTATCTATGATATTGGTTGTATATACGTACTTATACTAGGCTTCAATGCAACGGGGTCGTAATCAATCACTTCATATTCTCACTCAGCCGATGAAGATGAGTCACACTTCCTGAAAAAATAATGCGATGTTTAAGTTCATCTAACATAAAAGTAACGCGAGTGATCGACACCCGGGATCCACTTGTTGTTGCTTGATTTTTCAATAGCCAACGTGTCTTCCGCTCTGTCGGGAGTGGCGCAACGAGCTCAAGGTACGCTTGATGGTACCCGATCGGGATCGTTAGTGTGGCGTCTTGCTGGTCTTCTAAAGGGACCCATTCTCGTAGAGGGCGGGGCAACCCGCGGGCATCCACCATAGTATACTCCGCGCGCTCTTTCTGCGAGCTCGACGCACTATCGCTCCGCCGACTGGACCCAGGCGTCATCATCGTGCTTACCTGCATGCAACAATGAAGCTAGAACCTCTAGTTTTGAATTTTTTGTGATCAACATAAGCACCATACGGTGAAGGCTTACTAAAAAATTCGCATATATCTATCAAGTAACACTCACCGCTCGACGTTAGGGATAGGGATAACCATACAAGAACAAGAAGTATTTCATTTATTGTATGATGAGAGCAATACTACGACGAGTGAAAAGTGGTAAGTAACCGGATAATTATCTTTATGTCCTTGATGAAGCAGTATTGAGATGATGGATTTTCATATTGTACTATTCCCATGAAGCCCGAGGCCGGTTTCGTTTCCGCCTCCTTTTTCTTCAGCCGGAAAAATGTTTCGGGTTCACGCATGTGGCATTGGTAAAAGAGGCGATCGAAAGCCACAGGCTGATCTTCATATTCCAATCGCTTCTGTTTGCGGTGCAGGCTGACTTCGTCTTCGAGTAACATCATCTTCCATTCTGAGACTTTCTCCTCTGAGTCTTCCAAAATGCGACTCTCAGATTCCATTTCTACAGCATTCAACTGCGCCAACAGTTCCAGGTTGTCCTCATCTTGTTGTTGTTGACCCTTGCTGTTCAAGTTCATCTTCATCTTTTGTTGTTGTAGTTGAGTATCTACAACTAGGTTCTGCCGTGAACCGGATGGGAGGAGCACCGAGCCAGTGCCCGGAGTTGCAGCGGGTACGCGTGACGACGGACTCGTGCGCGTGCTTGGGCCAGGCCTCGCTAACGCTGTCGTACTCCACGGAGACCAATCGCCGGGAGGATCCATGACAACCTGCGCGGGTGGACCTACTGGGTCAGTATAGGAGTCAAGGAAATCATCCATCGCGACCAGATGTTCATCGATTGGTGCAGCGTGCCCGCGTTCCAGAAGGCCACTTCTCTCGTTCTGTTGGTCCTCAGGAGCCTGTGGTTGAGCATGAGGTGATCCTCCTGACTTGTAGTTGTTACTTTTGTCAGCACATGAAGAACTTCCCTCGATATTCTCCAAAGCGGTTGAAAAGAGCGTGTCACCTTCTGTGGTCTCAGCGGGAAGCAGTGGCGGCGGACTGCTGACCGGCATGACTGGTTCTTTTGGACCATCTCCCGATGAAGAGGAGACGCGTACAGCTAGTGGCGTCTCTACTACTTCTTTACTCGCACTACGACTAGAAGAAGTTTTCTGATTTGCAGATGAGCCAGCGCTTCCGCTTGTTGTATTCTTCTGTGTTAATCCACTCGTCCCAGCGGACGACGACAACAGACCCCGCTGAGCATCGTCATCGCTAGAGTCTGAATCTAGCGGATTTAGTGCTTCAAAAATTGCCGTCTTGGCTGAATTCATGGCGTCCCCCAAAAAAGCAGCGTACTGAGCAGCCAGCGCTGATGTTGGCGAGCTTCTTTCGCGTGCTTTATTCGGTGATGACGCAGTAGGGTCTGCAGAGGCAACATCAGCAGTGGTCTGTATGCGCGAAGATGGCCTATCCATGTGTGATGATTCTGATGGGTTTTTCTTGTTTCTAGCTTTGTTCTCATCCATATCATCAACTTCGCTAGAAGAAGCTGTTATAGCTGGACCTAAAGCTTCTGCTTGGGAAGAGTTGGCTGTGGTCAATGGCTGAAGGTCGAGGTCCCGCTCTTGAAGCAACTGCCGCTTCAGTGAAGCCCGAATCCGAACGACCTGCGGCACATTGTCGTCTGCAACATCGACAGAAAAGACACTATTGTCATCTTCTGCCGCGACATCAGAAGCACGCTCTGGCTCATTATCGTCCAATTCCACATGCTGCTTGCTTCCTGCAGAACGCCCCACGATCAGCTCGTCCTCCAACGTCCCATCGCTGAAGGGAGACACACCGGGAAGAAGCCGTCGCACTCGCGTGCCATCACCGGGAGCCTCTGGATATGGCACTCCAATACTGTCGCCTAGCAAATCGTTGCTCACATACATCGCAGCAGAGGGTTCCGTTGGAAGCAGGGTGTATCTGACTCCATCTTCATGGCCTCCTCTGGAAGTCGCACCACTGGCTTGGAGCTCTTGCTCGTAGCCAGGGCCAGCACCACCTGCTGAAGTAGATGTAGATTGCTCAATAAAATCTTGTCTCGCTTCTTCTCCGAGATGGTCTTGCACATTCATTTCTCCTACTCCATTTCCGCCTGGACTCAGGGGAGCCTCCGGCGAACTCGTTAGAGCTGGATGAGGCGTTGAAGACGTCGACAGGCAAGATACAAAAGGCGCTGCTGTCGTTGTCGTCGTCTCAGGTTCGTTTCTACCTAAGAAAAAAGGCGTGGTTGTAACTGTTGCCGATGAAGAGTGCTCGTCTCCAGAGGTCGTACTGCCTCGACGTCGTCGCACCGTATTTCGACGATGCTGCGATGACGCACTACCTGCGTCGCCTTTCAGAACTGTGCCGCCAGCGAGAACGTCCAGAAATGCAGGTTCTTGCGTGAGCCCAGCTTCCGACCCCGCTGGTGAAATTCCCTCGAACTCAGATCCAGAACCCGCGGGGTACGCGTCTTTTCTCCCATCTCCCGCACCAGGTACGACATCGTCGCCGATGTAAAATCTCTTCACGGATGGTGGCGAGCTGTTGTCCGCCATACTTGACTTCCTCTTGTTTCGAGAAGCAGACTTCCCACTATAGAGGCCGCGATTGATCATAGGTGAGCCAGATATTGCCGAGTCAGCGTCGCCGCCATCGAAGTTGCTCGCTAGAGACGTGTTCGGCGGTCGCGGCACCGGAGAAGAGGAAGGGGACGAACCAGGCGTGGTACCAGCTTGCTCCAGCTCCGAGTAGTTGACGTGTGGCATGTAGCTTTCGTCCCCTGTTGGTATGTAAAGGTCTGATGCCCACGATGCCTCACGCCCGAAGCCCGTAGCCTTTGTGCCTACCGCTTGCTCTAGCAATCGTTGTTGCTTCGCTATGCTCGTTCCTTCTGCGCGGCTCACCCTCTCTACCTCGTTTTCGGACTCCTCGTTTCGAATTCCCACTGCCTGTCCTAATGGTTGCAGGGCAGCAAGTCCTTCATCGCCTCCATCCAATATATCTTTTTTCCGCGTGGTCGTGGGACCAAACTCGCGGAGATGGTTAGTGCCCGATGGCGTTGTGGAGCCGCTCGAAGCGCCGACAGTACTCTTCTCAACGTTTTTACTTGATAATGGCGTTACCGGATTCAAACCTTCTGTATGTTCATGCTCTGCCAGGATCTCGCGCAGAGCGGCACTGATGTCCAATTGCGAGCGCGCATTTTCTGCGCCTCCAGCCGTCGTTCGCGATAGCCTCAGCGAGTCGAGCTCGGATTCATGGCTGCGTTCCAAAATAGCACTCATACCGAGCTGCGTAACGCGCCGATCTGATACCGATCTGCTACCTCCGCTTCGACTTTTTTCCAAATGATAGGTGGAAGACGAGTCATAGTCTTGCTCTGAGTCCTCACTTCGGGCGCTGGCATTCGAGCACTTGGAAGATCCTCGCGCTGACTTAAAATCAGCATCTGTTGCGGAGTCTGCGCATCCCTCTTTGCTGTCGTTCGGCGCATTTCGGCTCTGCAGCTTTGCCGCGGTAAGCTTCGACGAAGAGGAAGAAGACCCTGGCACACCTCTGCTCCTAGTTCTTCCGAGCGGTAACGTTCCTTTGCAATTTGCTCGCTCGCCCGCGACTGCCTTGCATGCAGCTGCAGTAGATCCATCTTCTCTACGAGGGCCAGATGAAGTTGTCGTCAGATTCCTGGCGTCACAAGGCGAATCCTCAGTGGCCTCGCTAATTTCCGTGGTCGTAAGCTGGCCAGGCATGGGTGCCCGCCCCAAGCTCGCCAGGGCAGACTCAGGTCGGCGAAAATCGGGACGAGTAATTCCGAAAGTCGCAGCGAACGGACCTCCAGCATTCTTCTCGTGACTAGTGGCCGTAGTTGCCGTGCCTTCTTCTCTTGATAAACCCGTCTCCTCGGAAGAAAACTCAATGGACGAACTCGGTGGTGCTTGCAAAACATGCGGCTTCACGCCTAAAAAGTCGCACTCGTATTTTAGTGCATGTTGGTACGTAATCGTTTCTGGTTCTTCTGGAGCTGGCGCCCCGCCACCAAAGAAAAATGCTGAAGCTCGATGGGGTTTCGGCGCGGGGGTCGTGCGCGGCTGCATTACCGAGAAATCAGCTCGTAGATCGAAACGAAAGTGGCCTATGCGGCTCGAAATGAACAACCACAGCTTTTGCATCGTCAGCTCTGCGACCATACGCCGTGACCGCAAGAATGTCAATTCCGTCTGCAGTTCCTCCTCCCTGTTCGCCTTACTCGTTTTTCCTTTCTTGGAAGCACCCTCCTTCTCCGCACCTCCTGCACTTTGGTGCTCGTGCTTGGCCATCGAGAGCGCAGATGACACGGTGCCGGTGCCAGCAATCCTTGGGGGTTGCAAATCACCGCTCTTGGCTGCTCCATCCACTCCAAAAAGGTCCACTAGGCGGTCCAAAACCAGCTCAGGCGTCGGCATCACCGGCGCGTACACCTCTATTGAGCGGTCTCCGTTCACGAAGACAGTTTTCTTGTCTTTATCGTTCAACGAAGATTGAGATTGATGAGCCGTAGACTTTGACTTCTTCCTAGTGTGCTTGTTGCCGGTAACTTCCTCGCTACTTTTGTCTAATGACCCTACTGGTTGAAGAGGATCTCCCAAATCCACTGGTTCGAAAGCCTTCAATGCGCGGCGTGCGACGCGCGTGGGGTGAGAGCTGCGACTTCCAGCTACTTTCTTGCGTTTTACTGCGCCATCGTGCAAGCGCACAACTAGTTGCGCATAAGTCTTCAAAGAGCCAAGCATCAAGGGAATCTCCTTTCTAAGACCGGCTATGTCACGAAGCAGGTCTGAAACACGTTCCTGCGGTACGTCCATTGCCGAAGAATCTGTAGATATCTCGAGTTGATCCCTCACCTGTTCAGTTCTTATGACCTCCTCGGGTGAATACTCTTCTTCTTGTGGTTTCTTCATTGCCTCCTCGTTCCGCAGCTGCTTATCTTCTTCTATCGCCGATGTCTTCTGCTCCGTATCAGAGGTAAAGATAACTGAGTTGATATCGTTTCCTGCGTCAATATGTACTGGGTGGTCTTCTTGAGCATTCTTTTCCGCCACGTTCTCCGATCTTTCTGTGCTTGGCTTTGCATCACTATCTTCTAAATCAGCTGCCATGTTTGATGTCTTCACGCTCTCGTCTGCCATTTCGCCTTCATCTGCAGTTTCTTTTTCTACCGGACGAGTCGGCTGCTCCCCTGCGTCGTTTTCTGGTTCATGCAATAAATCTGTAGCCTTCATCATCTCCCCCACCAAAGGTATTCCAGCACCTACTCCCGCGCTCGCTCCAACAGTCCCTTCATACATGCCAGCATTGTTAATTGGGACTGCCTTTTGATTGACCGCATGAACATCTTTCTCGTTCAGATCAGGATCATACGCGTTCAGCAAAGGGACTGACTGCATCACTGCAACATCTTCACTAGTTCCAACATCGACGTTAATTTCCGAGTTTGCAGGGAGCCTGGTCCTGTCAAGATCCTGCAAAGCCAGAAAAGTCTTTAGGTTTGGACTACTACCACTTGTAACGTTGAAGATGTCGTCGACTGACCTGGTCAGTGGTCGGTCGAAAAAAACATGATGAGTCAAAAGAAAACCAAAGCAAGGAAAAGTGAAAGAAATCCTCATCTGCAACATTCTAAGAAAGTAACTTCTTCTTCTGCTCTGAAGACAATAAAACATGACTCATTCATTGATATATTTACCTGTTCGACCAAATCCGTAATCTAGAAGATCTCCCACATGTACAAGATCAGTCATCTTCATGCTACCACAAAATACCTGACACTGACAGTCGAAAAAGTAAAATAACAAGGTAAGTACTTTGTCACGACGACGCCATCTTCACCTGCGACAGCTTTCGCAACCGGGACAGCGAGCGACAACTGTCCTGGCCGCTGCCAGTTTTCCATGGCAAGCAGCGCCGTATCTTGCGCGACCGATTTCGCATCAACAGATGCTCCGTCTGTGATAGCCTTTAGTGGTGGTGGACCTTCTAGTGCTACTTGCTCTTTCCTTTCGTCCAATCCGCCTATTAGAACTTGGTGCGCATTCGAAGCACCTACTCCGACAATCGGCACGAGAGACAATGACTGCGACGTTGTTTGATGATCATCCAGATCGGGCGGCCCTATAACTGGTCGTGTCACTGCCGGGTGTCGTCCTTCTTGATTTTGATTCGCCAGAACTACCGCTTCACTCGATGCAGGTGTGCCGCGCGCTGCTTTCTGTTTCTGCTCACTCCGCGTAGTCGTACTTGTTTCTTGTTCAACACGACCACGATCTTCATCTTCGTCCTCACTCTTAGTTCTTCTCATGCCATCGTGATCGTTACTTCTTGTGTTATGATTTCCCTCATCTCTGCCGGCAGCACCCGCAGAGGTTGGCTTACCTCCACTCGCAGCAAACGGCGCTCCGAAAAAGAAGCGACCAGCGTCTGAGGGATCTGCAACATGCTGAATCGTGTAATAGCTGTTATTGATCACATTTGATGTTGTTTTCTTCGAACGTTGGTTCACGTATTGCGTCCTGCTCCGCTTTTTAGTGACTGTTGGTGGTTTTTTCCTCGTCCCCCCGCCACCACGTGCTGACCCAGCTACACTCTCATCACCACTTTTGAAAGCGTCGTCGTTGTCTTTGTCGGCGGCCTCCGAGTCCCACTCTTCCTGAGCCACCGTCGTAGACTTGTCCCCCGCACTCTCTTGATAGAACGACGATCCTCGCCCCTGTCGCTGCGAGGTTGACGAATAGCGTCCCTGCTTCGATTCTGTGGAGCCCCGAGGTTGCCCCGGGGCGCGCTCATGCTTCTGGCCCGAAGAAAACCGGCGTCCTTTTTGCCTCGTCCCAGACGAGGTCTCGATCGGCGGCAAGACCTTTTGATGAATCATGTGCTCATCCGGCAGCGCGGTATGCTGAAGAACAGGACCTGCATCAGAGTCACTATCGGGATCAAAGCCATCGCTCTCGCCATCACCACCCGAGGAAGACTCCCAAAAAAAATCCTCTGAGGACGACGTCCCGTTGTACGACGACCCTCCGATATCACCGCGCTGTCCACTGGCAAAGCGTCCAGAGCTGAGCCGAGGTCCGCGACTTGATCCTCGTCGGGAAAACGCACCTCCCGAAGACCCGGAGTATAAATCACTGTCGCGACGGTGCAGCGGGTCAGAGTTTCCGTTCTTGTTGTGCGAGACTCTCCGTTTCCTCTGCTCATCACGTTCGTCCCGTGTATTCACGCCACTGTAGCTGCGACGTCGCACGCCTATCGACGCACCAGAATGGCGGGACGAGGAGGACACACGGCGCTTCCACGGCTGCTCACCTCCAGGCAGCCATGTGTTCTCAGCGCTTCCCCGCCAATCAGGCATGTCAGAATTGCTCCCACGTCTACTGTCCAACGGCAGAACCGGGGGTGCACCCGCTGAAAACCCGCGCGTAGTCGAATGCGCGCGAGCGCTTCGCCGGCTCGCACGTGTACTGTGAGCGGGAGATACAAAGCCTAGATTTCGCAAAGCCCGAAGACGTTGGGCCATTTCTGCATCATCCGCGTCGGCATAGATCAACGGTAAACCGCGAGACAGTGCATCGCTTCCCCTCCAACCTTTTGCTTGCTCGTCCCCGAAGAATGGCTGCTCACCCAAATGGAAATTTCCCTGTTGCGCGCTAGTACCATTGGAGCGACTTCTTAATAGCGGAGATCCAGGGAGCGGTAGTGGTCCGCCATCAGAAGTTCGCGCTGTGACATTCGTCTGCTGCCGAGCATGATGTCCTAGTAACTGAACATCACGTGACGTTGTTGTTCCGTGGCCTTGTTGCCCTGTTGATACAGCGCGCACTGGCACGTTTGCCGACGCGAGAGAAGTAGCGGCCCCTGCCGAGGAAGAGATTCTCGGGTTCGTGCCAGGCGGTCCGTCGAGGAGCGAGGACGGCGAATTCCGGTCAACCATGGGAACGCGGTTTCGTTCCTGCATATCCATGTACTGGAGGTACGCAACGCAGGACAGCAGACATAGGCAAGCAAGCAACGCGCCAGCTTGAAGTCCATAGCAACAAAGCTTCCCTTTTGACCTTGGCGGCTTTCCGGAACCGGAGCCACTCAGTGTGCGATCCAGTAGGTTCTCCCTTCTGTTGCTGCGAGACCGCCGCTCGCGTTGCCCGCGGCCAGGTGGAGCCCTACTAGAGAAAGCAGACGCACCACCTCCCATTCTTCTGCGCTCTCCTGGTCGCTCACGACGACCACGTGCATTATTGGAGGGATATCCTCTACCACGCTCCCTCGAGTGCTGGCCAGTCCGTGAAGACGAGTTGGAGCAAACTCCGTCAGGAACACCGCTCCGACCTGCTTCACTCATCACGTCACCCACCGAAGACTCCCGATCGTCGGATTCCGACGTCTCATCCGAAGACACAGCACCCAGTACTAGCATCGGCTTTTCGGGCGTCGGCGGGTGTCGCACATTGCGACGGCTGCTCGATGCCGCTGATGCAACTCCCCCTGTTACTCCTCCTGTACTGGGCACACGCACATCAGGATTAGGATTACTCACGATAAAAACACTATTGCCCCTACCTCTTCCACCAGGACAATTTGTTTGCTCTTGTTGTGCGGCAGTTGCGCCCACAGTATTCTCGCGAAGAACACTAGTTCGTCCAGGCACAGCAGAAGAGTGCGGATCCTCGCCTTCCGGTTCAGGCTCTGCCCCACCGGAAGCAGAGAGGCGATTCTGAGGAACGTGACGTTGGACTAGCCCATCTTCATGCTCATCATAACCAGCATGTTGCTCATTGTCTTGGAGGTCTGTCATCTTGTATTTACTTCCTTCTTTTCGTAGAGACTGTTGTAGACCAGTGGTCTCGTGAGATAAGTAGATGAACGTGGATTCCTCAACAGAGGACAGCAGGCCCCTATAAAGTACAACAAGATAAACAACAGATACAGATCATCCTGTCACGCGGGGTTTCTTCGAAGCTATTTTTCATCCATTTCCCAGTCTATACTGTGAGCGAGAGTACGTCTTGTCGATGTTCTTGACAGGATACCCAGAGATCAGCTGTTGCGTGCCAGCCACTGCAACATTAGAGTATCTCGTATAAGCTATATCGAGTTGCGAGTTTCTCGAAGTTCTGCATTCCTTGCCCGAGAGTCTGGCTTTTTTTTGAGCATGAAGACAGACGAAAGACGGCCGCACGACGATAGTTTTTTTATGCTTGAGACGATGAGAGAGACAAAGAAGCCAAGCAAAGAACGTAGACGAAGAAGCGAGTCGATGCATTTGATTACCGTCGTTATTTTGTTTACTTTCTCTTTGTTTTCGATCCGTCGGCACTTCGTCGACGACTGGCCTGCTTTCTGCTTTTTTAGGCGTTACATCTAAGGCGTAAAGTGACGCAAGGCGTTTAGTTACTCTGCTGATGGTCTAGCATACGCATGCTCCCGCTTACGGCGTTGCGTTCTGCCTTTTTTTTCATAAGAAACAGAAAAAGGATTCCTGCTATCTTACCAAAAAAACTAAAGTCGACGCTTTCGTTAGTTTTCGTCTCCGCTCTGCGTCTCTGCGTCGTGTTTCTCTCTCGGTCGAAACGCTTCCAGTTTCCATGGCCCAGCCCTCTAACTCTAAGGCCCTCCCCCTTTCAGGTCTATGATCTGCTGACGCAGTTGGTAGCCGCAGCACCCGCCAAGGAGTGCGCGACGTCAGCCACCACCCACAGAGGTGGCGACGCCTCTGCGCTGAAACTCGTGCGCAGTATGGCTGGGCGAAAATAGATCGCAAGTCCACGGTGCCGGACGTGCTCCGCCGCGATTTTTTGGAGAAGTATGAAAGTGAAAAGCTGGGCGCTGCTGCGTACCAACCACCCCAAGCCCCTACGCAGCACCCCACGGATTTGCCTACTTCCGATCCCTCTGCGCTTTCTTCGTCAGAGCTCCCAGCGAGCTCATGCGGCTGCTGCCGGTAATTGTCGAACTTTTTGCGTGAGAAGCTGCCCCATACTTAACCGAAAAGCTTGAAGTGAATTCGTCACAGACATTCATACCCCGCCGCTCTTCCATTCCCAGCAGGTTTTTCGTCCGATACCAACATCGACGCGGAAGCACTCAAGCAAAGAACAAGAACGAACCAACTCCGCGATCAGCGAATCGCCCAAGGCTACCTACCACGACGATGAATAGCGCTAGCACGAGCAAAGCCATGAAGGCCCAAGGCGTTGGGGAAAAGCCTCCCCCTATGAAGAAAATGGCGAAAGTGGGCAACCCAATGAAAAAAACACAAAGCAACCGAAACAAGCAGCGACGAAGGCTGCCAAAGTACCGAAGAAAGCTGCCAAAACACCGGGGAAGGCTGTCAAAAAAATGATGGCCATGGCATGGAAGCGGAGTAGCTTGCTATATAACTTCCCCGCTGTGGCTCGCATCGCTTTCGAAAGCCAACGATGGGCGCACTCCCATCGGCTTGCTTCCGACTTTAGAACGCAAGGCATCACTTCAGTAAAATCAAAGCAAATCGATCAAGTTCGAGAATCAAAGAGCGGCCGCCGGGTTGATGGCTTTCATTTTCCATCCATCCAAGTAGAGGCCTCCGAGCAATATAGAAAAAGCACGCAGGTAATACGTACAGGAACAGTAAGCGAGTACCTCGCTCGGTGATATATTAGAAAAAGCGCCAGTAAATCACTGCGAGCGTTATCCTTTATGAATTGCATGGAGAGCCCCCAGACGGGCCCAGATTCAACTATGGCGCCACAGTTGTGACGAACTTCACACAAGGATTAAGAATCAAGACCAACACGAACGCCACAACAAAGCCACGGCAAGCCGGTGAGCTATCAGCTTAACCAGTCCACAGCATAGCATACGCATGCCATAAGCTTCTGGCAGAAGCATCCAAATGACACGGCGCCAAATTTATAGAGCCCGCCGCACAATCAAAGGAGAAGCCTTCTCACATCAGCGCGCGGCATTTGCATTACCTGGCTAACGCGTCTAGCACTGCGCGCGTGTTCTCTTGCATTTTTTGCAAGCGACGCCATCGGCGTCGACAGTTCAGCCGATGCACTGCGCACGACATGGGAGGAGCTAAACCAGACAAAAAAGCAAAACACTAAGGCCACAGAGTGCGCTAGGGTTGCGCGCTTCATTGTTATGCCATCGCGGTCGGGCTTGGTCTCTCTTTTGCTCTCTATGCATCGAATTCAAATGCTCCGCGTTTTCTTCTGCTTTCTTGTCATGTCTTTGCTGCAAGTCATGCCATCAGCGTGCTTCTTCCGGGGCAAAAGATGCCGCACATGCGCCGGCGCCAGCTGAACAAGAACGACGACGGAGACACTTGCGGTAAGTTTTCTTTTGGAATTGGATTTGGATACTTACCAAAGAAAACAGAACACCAGCCCAGCAATGCTGCCGGGATGATCTTCACGGGCGCGAGCACTATCCACGCAGGAGCATGAAGCACGGGAACACTTTGGAAAGTGGGCACTACTGTGCTACCATCAACCACATCGCGCCAAGGTTTTTGCTGCTTCGTCAGTGTTAGCGTGTAAGATTCTCACCGCATCGATCTACTTCTAACTCGCGAGCCAGCGAGGTCATGCTTCTTAAGCACTCGCCTCGCTGATAGCAATCCTGAAACCAGTGGAACCAACCAGAACCAAGTCCGTCGCTCGCTTTGGACTATGCTACTGCTTCAGCCGCTGCGGGATTCAATAAGCCACGGCCACGAGCTCAAAGCGATAGGCGCAGCGCTTGCCATACGGTAGAAGGCGGAAGCCTTGCAGCAGTGCAGCACTTTGGCCCCCCTTCGGGCTACCCTGTTGCGCGGTTTTTGTATCGTGGAGAAGCATGGACAAGCTTCCCCGCGACAGTTTCGCCAATATCTGAAACAGCGCAACCCGCTATATTCTCAATTCGTTTGGCGCAAGCCAGCCAAAGTGCTGGCATATCGAACCCAGGCAGTCCGTACGTGCTACAGGTTTGCTCTCTATTAATTCGCTAGCCAAGTCCTCTCCTTTGGGTGTTCCCTCTGTGTGAGGCGCTCTAGCAAGTTCTGTCTCGATCGTGGGGTGGTCGCTGTTTTTGTTTTTCTGATTCCCTCAGCCTCGAAGATTTTTCCAATTCTTGCTGCCAGCAAGCTCTTCGAGGTTTTCACTGCATTGGACAAGCAACACAGTGGCAAGAGCTAGGCCAAGCATCTCGCGTATACTGGTCAAAATTTTCGAGCGGGTGCGTTGTCTCAATCTGGTGCGAATTATCTTGCGCGCAAGAGTTTGCAACTCCTTCAATAATGTCGCACGCCGCAACTGTCTGCAGCAGCACCAGACCCGTCTGGTTCTGAACGTAGTGGCCTTTCTTCTGCACTGCTGAGTAGCAGTTTTCAACTTTTTCAGCAGTATACTGATGGGGCTTCGGCTATTGCGTGGCTACTGTGTGAGTGACTGAAGACGCGGCGCATATCCCTCACGCGCGTCGCGTGCAGTCAGGTCGCGCCGCCTGGGTTCTTTTCAGTTGATTCGTGCGAAGGCTCCCGGCTCTGACGCGTGCAGCCCTCTGGCGATACTTTCACGCGCGACGCTTGTCGCCAAAGCAGCGCACTTCTGTAAGTATAGCTCCCTTCAGTTCGGACCCACGTTCTTGCTGCCAATCGTTGGCCGCTTCCAGAAAGTAGCGGGTAAGTTTATCCCTTCTGGTCTCTGCAGTATTTCCCTCCTCCCTCTTCTTCCCCTTTTTCCTTAAAGTCGTGCACTTTGCCAGTATGTCAGAGCCTGGCGGTCTCGTTTTCTACGTCTAGACCTTACACTTACACGAGACAGCCCGGAGTGACTTAATAAACTTAACAGCAGCGCAGGGATGTCGTCATCCCTGCGCTAGCCTGTGATATATATCTATATATAAATCACTTAGACGCAGTCATTCATTCTCGCATTGATTTCAACATTGCCTCTGATGAAAAATGCGGTCACTGCAGAAAAGACCAATCGCAGCTCGCAAAAGGCTCAGTGATTATATCAAGCGCTCATCTCTTCTATCAACGTCAACTCAAAAATTTCACAAGAAGATCGTCAGATCTCTAGGTGAATTCATTCAAGAATTCATTTGTGGGGTCTGCAAACTCCTCACTTGCGCCGTACACGTCGACGCTTAGATTTACAAAGACGATTTGTCTCTGCGTCTGCGAGAAAACGCTTTTTCTGACTCAATTCAAAGCCAATTGCCTTTCTTCGAAAGAACTATGTCCAGCAGGTTATGAAAAATTGAGGATTGCGTGGGGAGGAAAAAAGGTTACAACAATATCGAGCTTACGACATCTCAGGCGCGTTAGCAGATCGTTACCTGTATTCATTGAAAAAAATAATCCCTGTTCGATTCCTGTTTCCGCGGTCACAGGTGGGCACTGTTGTGCAACTACTTTATGTGAAGACTGATTTGAAAGCCAATTTGCAGTCTGGTTGCCGCGCGCAGCACATCGCAATGCGATGATGGGCACTCTACTTTATAATGCGCATGCGATCTACATGTTGTACATGTCGTAGAGCGTGCGCGTAGGATCTTTAATATAATTATTAGAGAAATCATATATTTAAGTGAAAAAAGGGACAAAAATGCTGTCCTGGTTCTTAAAATCTCTGAAGATAGTTTTAGATGTGTAGATGTGAAAATGGGCTACTTACGCAAGCGAAAAAAAACTCAGGTCTCACAGTCATCCTTGTAACAACCTTTCAACACGAAGTCACAAAGTACTGGAATGGGGCCGACACAGAGCCATCGGAACAGGACGATTGCAAGAACCACTATGAGACTATATCTTTTAACATCTGTGGTGAAGGAAAAGGCTAAACCCCTTTTTATGCTGGGGCGAGTGTTCTTGCCTATGTTTCTATACCTAGTGTAAGTGGGACGTCTTTTAGTAGTAGTTAAACTGTTGTAAGACGCCGTCTTTACTAGTAAGACGCCGATACAGTGTCAGTCTGCGAATGTAAAAAGAATCTATTCATATACCCTGTTGATATTTTGAATATCCAAGTCGTCAACAAAAAAGCCCGAACTGCTACTTCTCTTGAAGGTGAAAAAACGCGTTTTGTGATGGCGCACTCTACCTGCTTTCTCTCCTATACCTCCAGGGCTGCATCTAACGTACTCTGCAGTGCAGAGACCTGCACACTTTTAGGCTGAGGCGGACCTGTTCTTTTCGAGATCTGAGCAGAAGCTGAGTTTGATGACGGTTTTGGCTTGAACTTGAAGAGTTTTTGCCTTCTTATGCGCTTCCGCTGACAAAGCCGCTGCGCGAGCTGCAGTGCCCGCTCCTGCTGCGCCAGCTCTCGCTCTTCCTCTGCGAGCTCGTGCTCCCAATACACGGATGACGCCGAAGGCCGCTCCAGAAGCTTCCCACTGCCTCTGCATGGGGGCTTGAAGTTGCCGTCTGCAGTACTTTTCTCGAGCTTCAGAAGTGCGTTCGCAGTGGCTGCGACAGCATACTTCAAGCCCTTCTTTACGTCCTTAGGAAGTGGCCTGCGCATGATAAAACGCGCCAGAGCATTCCTCGTGGCTGTGATGAAAATGATTTTAGCTTGCATCTTCATGGATTGTGATTTTCTTGGTTTCTAACTTCTGCTACCACTTTTGAATAGAGTCTCTAGAAGATCTTTTTCATCGAGTTCTACATGCATGAAAATCCTATTCAAATTCATATCGCTCAATAAATTCGAAATAGAAACACTCATAGACAATTAATGTCATACCGGAAGTATTAGCTTGCAATTTGTCGCGACTAGCCTTTTCGAGGGAGAAATGGCCCCCTTTCCCCATGACAGCATCGAATTGGGCTAAGACCTCCTCCTGCACGCCATTCTCCACGAGAATACGAGCACTTTCTCGCCAACACTTTTGCATATAAAGCGCCGCGTAGAGATCCGTCATTGGCCCTGGCTCTAGATCTTTCAATGCATCCGCAACTTTGCTCTGCTCCTCACTGCGGTTTTTCTGAACCTCGGACATCTTCTGTAGTTTCGCTCCGGTTGGCTGCCTGTCGCAATGATCACAAGAAGCCAGGGCATCACTTTTTTGTACTTAAATATGACTGATGTGGGCTCATATTTATTCTGAAAATACTTTTGTTCAATGATCAACCCATGATCTCGCCTATTTCTACGAAAACTGTTAGAAGAGCTAGAGAAGAAACTGCGTCAATGACTTAAGAGGAGCGACAAACGTTATGTGTATGTGAAGGTCGTCGGGTATTTTCGTGATTTGTTGTTGTTCATGTTCATCTATCTAAATCTAATGTTTTGAATTTGATAGACCTTCTTGCTTGTAAGTTGTAACACAAATATCAATCATGATCGGTAATTTATGTGTTCAGAATGAAAGTACCTGCGGGCATCTTGCTTCGTTTTCTTCAAGCGCTGCTTGCGCGTTGTCTTTGCGTCGGATTTTCGGACAGACTTGCTTTTTGGGAGCTTACTTCTGCCGCCGTTCGCAATGTTTTTACCAACGGCTTGCTTTGTCTTCATGTCGCCTATTGGAATCTCTGCGGCCCGTCTCAAGCGCTTTTCACTCTCGACTTGTAGATCCCGTACTTTCACGTCGTCCGCGCCCTTCAGCTGAGCTGTTGCCTTTGCGAGCTCCGCCTTGAGATACCCTCTGACAATTAGTTTTCGACGTGCATCAAGAGCCGCAGAAGACGCGGCCTGAGATAGCATTTTGTCGAGCCCGTCTGCGAGGACGGGATCCCCGCTTACGCTAGTGCCTCCCACGCGGGCCACAGCGTACTGCGTGTCGGGGTCAAGCAAGATATCTCTAGTGAGATTTACATCCGCAGCAAGCTCACCAAAGTGAATACCAATGGCATGTGAGAGTCGATTCGGATCGTTGCTTCGAGCAGACCGCACAAGCTTTTGTTTCACCTGAAGTTCTTGTTTACTACTAATTGCTGTCGCCGCCTTGAGATTCATCAGTTGCCGTCTTTGCGCCGCAAGGCGTGCGAAAGCATCCTTTTCGGGGACAGCACTTCTAGTTGACGCGCGGATTAACTTCAGGAGCCGCTGAAAACGCAAGAACTTTGCGGAACGCGTCACGAGATTCCGCGAGATAGCTTGCGGGTCCTCAAAATTGACTAGTCCGTCTTTCCGGATCTCATCCTCCATCTCCTTAACCGGAACTCCAGTGGTTCTCTTGCGATGCTGCAGTGACAACTCTTGCGGAGCTTGCCCGGCTTCGATGTCACCGCGCGTGCGCTTTCTTCGCACATTGGGTTCCGGCTCGTCAATAGGTCTAGGTGTCAGCGCGCCTTGGTCAACTGCGACGTCCATGTTTGTTGCACCGGCTGCGTCTATAGTGCTTGCAGAAGCATGACCAGCAGAAGTCGTTGTGGCCAGCGTCGACGGTGGAGTAGTCATCGGCGGTGTGCCGGAACCGTCATATGGGTCGAGAGGCGTCGGAACCCCGACAGTCCCCGTGGTGCTGTCTCCGCCGCCCGTGGGCGTCGAACCCGCATGGAGACCCGTACTTGTGCTAGTCTGCCGCCCTTGGAGTTCGGCTGCTGTGGCAAAGCCAATGGGCGTGTGATCGCCATCTTCGAGATCCGGCAGTCCTTTGTTAATACGAGAGTGGTTGAGGCGAGCCTGCTGCTCCGCTATTCGCTTGTCAATGAGCTCGGTGTATCGCTCTTCCAGCTCGCGCTGCCAGGCCCCGGTAGCTTGGACCGTGTTCACCTTGTTCACACGGAGCAAGATCTCCAGCAGTCGCTCTGCCGCACGCGCAGGCTTCACAGAGCGCAAGACTTGGATTTGCTTCCGGCGCTCCGGAACAGCGACTTGAGCTCTCAGACGCCAGCCGTACCGTAGCGGTCGCGCCCACCGAACAAAGCTGCCTCGGAGACGTGCACGGGCACCCAAATGTGGAGCTTTTCGCATATTTGCGATTGCTGCGCGCATACTTACACTTGCTTTTGCAGGTCGGGTCACCGCGCGAGCAGACGCGACAGCTCGAGCTTCCTTTCGTCGCGAGTGCTTGTGAGATCCCTTGGACTCCTTCTTCGATATCTTTCTGATCTTCGGATCCGCTGCCGATGCATGATCCTCGACCTTTGAATTCTCAGATTCACTGGTCGTGTGGCATTCCCCATTGCTAGAACCCAAACGAATACGAGATCTGTCGTACTCAACGCTCATGACGTACTCTGGCCCACCACGAGGAACTTCGCTCATTTTCACATCTTCATCGTGGTTGTTTGCTTTGTCTTTCGATCCGGACCTTCCTCCTTGCGCGGCGCTGCCACCGAGCAGTGCAGGAACTGCAGCTGCCCCAAACCATTCCGGGTTTGGGCCCTCCACATCGTCGAGTTCTTCTCCAGGCTGCTGCTCTGCTTCCATGGTTGCGTTTTCAAGAGCGGCTAAAGCGCTAGCATTCAAGGAAGGCGCGTCCATGAGACCAGCAAGATCCTCGTTTCTCTCCTCGTCAGTAGAGGACCCCTCTTCAGCATGGTTTCTTGATGCGTCTGCAAACTCTGCGCCAGCAATGTCGAGTTCATCACGCTTGGAATGCAATGCCTCTATCCAATCTCCGTGCTCTGCCGCAATTCGATCTTCATCATACAGCGAGCATAGAGTCCATCGATCGTTATTTCGTCGCATCAATGCCCGTTGTTGCGCAGGCGGCATGCTTCCCAGCTTCCGACGCAGCTCCGTCATCGGGTCGGAATGCCAACGCCTCTTGCGGTTACCAGTAAGCATCATGCCGGTTCGGTGGAAAGCCAGCTGCAGCTCATCCCAGATCAACCCCGACCACACGCGCACTTGCTCTCTCGTCTCTGAAGCGGACAATTTAGAAATGCCCGCGAAGATTTCCTTTCGCCGACGCTGGCGTGCAACGAGCTCTTGCGCAAGCCGCGCATTGACGACTAGCGACGACCGCTCCGGGGAGCAGATATGCGTCCACACGAAGCCAGGCCATCCGCCTTGCGGTATAACTTCCGGCGGAAGCTCCAAGCGCACTATTTCGCCATTCGTGAGCCGAATCCGCAACACGGACGGAACACTCTCAGACCACTTGCCAGATGCGGCTGTCCTGTTGCGTATATCGTTCAGACTTTCCCGTATTCGCGCGAGAACACGTACTGGAAGATCCTGGTTATTGAGGAATGGGATTCGCACCAGATCCTCTCTGCGAACAATGCTGCGACCAGCCGTTTGCACTTCTTTCAAATTCAAGTCGATTCGAGTCTCCCGACTACCTCCACCTCCAGGTCGAGTCGCAGAAATATAGTTTGAGCTGTGGCAGCCACCTTGCTTCCCTTGTAACTCTTGGAGGAGTATCCGCTCGCGATTGATACGCTTCTGCATCTGCAATTTCAAGCACTCGAACAGGTACTCTCGCTGATCCTCGAGACGGTCTGCCTGAGCCTCTTCTTTTTCGTCGTAGGAGTCGCAAAGCTCCGCCTCGCTGTCCTCTGCCGAATCTGAAGCTTCTTCGGCAATGCCGGCTGCGGTGGATGCCCCGGGTCCCATTTCAGGAATTGCAGTTTTTACGTCTGGAAGCATGACCTTATTGCTAGCACTTGGATTTTTCGCAAGGTCTGCTTTCTTTGCCTCTATGCGAGCAGCAACGAGTTTGGTCATCTTCCACTTCTGAGTGAGACGCAGTTCAACACTGCGCTCCGCATTGCCTGGATTGTCTATGTACACTTGATGCTCCTCTCCCTTGTGTAGGTTGGGTCGGGATATTGCAAGAGAAGATGAACCAACCGTAGAGGACGCGGATCGCACTTGTATATAATCCAGCGATTCAGTTTCGTCTTTCGAACACCAAGCGTCGTCGCTGCTGTCGCCGTCATCATTACCGTCCTCGTCAGAAGCCAGCGCACCGTCGTGGATATCACGAAGGCGCTCGCGCGTTTTTGCTATCATGGGCAGAGGATTCTCGTTCAGTTGCTCAGCGAGATCCTCCTCTTGTTGTTCTATCCGAGAGATCCACCGGGAAGTCGTCTTGTCCACCATGCGCCGCAGTCGCGCGCGACCACGACGGCTTAATTTGTACCCCACGCTCTCGAGCTCACAGTTGAGACGATGGATCCTTAGCCACAAAACATCCACCTCATCGAGATCGGGATCCTCACCCGTCGCTTTCGCCTCCACAAGTCGCAACCAAATGCGGTTTTGAGTAGCCAGAGGAATCCCGACCCTCTCCCGATTTTGCAGGGCCAAAACTTTGTCTCGGACACGTGCGTAGTGCTTTTCGACACTGACACGAGCAGCGTTTTTGCGTTTCTCGATGCGCACTTTGCTCTTTGAATAGATGACTCCTGCATACCCCTTAGGGATGTCGACGCGGAATGTGAGCGGAGGAACGCAGTGCACACGATAAATCTCCAATGTTTCGCCTGTCGCGCGCACCTCAGGAGGAGTCACGTCCTGCACCTGAGTACTCGTCTCGATCGTCATCCGTCCGTCCCGTGGGGGTCTGTGCCACCGCACGGGCGGCTCGGTGTCGAATTCGTACCTGCTCCAACTATCCAAGACTCGGTAATGGTGAAGTCCTCTCGGATGGTCGGGGTCGCCAATGGGCCAGTCTGGGTCAGCTCCGCGCACTTGCTCCTCGGTGTCGGATAGCTCGCTCGTGATATCGTCGCCAGGGGTCCACGCGTCAACGGCGAGCTCTTCTTCCTCCTCGACATCCTCAACCGTCGCTTGACCCGATTTCTGCTGCGCAGCTCGTCTTCTTCGCGCCCTCTTCAGATTGCGCAGGTAGGCTCGCATCGGGCCTGCTACCCTCCAGCCGTTTCTGATCAATCTACGAGCACCAGGGCGCTGACAAGCGCGCCGACTTTTTTCAGAGACAAAATTCTTTCCATCACCTTCACCACCAGCTTCTTCACCCTCCACGTAATAAGCATAATCCGCATCGTCCCAAGAGTCTTCTTCAGCAGCCGACGAGGTGGCGTCCTTCGGCAGTGCCTCACCATCCATATTTACCCTTACTCCGATCGCAAGAGGATTATCCTCCAAGTCTTCTTGTAGTTCGTCGTCATCTTCGTTTTCACGGGCTCTCTCCACGGCAGCGTCGCCTGCATTAGTCTCGTCACCAGACGACTCCGCTGAAGATGGATGCCATGCTTTCCACCACCTTCTCAACAAATCATACAGCTTCTGGATGGATCGAAACTCGCTACTTCTAGGATTTTCGCGCAGTTTCTGTCCGAGAAACGATTCCAGGCCTTTGATGTACTCTGCCCAGGTTTTATCAGGATTGTTTACGGCATCATGGAGGTACGACATCTTGTCCCAAACGGCCGTCCACTGATTTTGAAGATCATAAATTTAATCAAAAGAAGCTCGTCAGGATCACGTTTTTGATGGACAAAATTCATGTTGAAGTTCTCCATCTCATTTTTTGATCTAACGCTTACTATGTCCCAACTATCTTTTTTCACATTGGTACAGACTATGAACGTTTGACAAACATCAAAATGAAAATCAAAAAAAAGCGAGAAAAGGAGATGAAGGTCCCAACTGCGACGTCACGCTCACGTAAAAATCTTAATAAATAAGTAGGTAAGTGCTCGACTAATACCTGGTAAGTTTATTGAGGTAAGTGCTGCTCTACTACAGTAAATATGCAATAAGATCAATTTCATCAGTACCCTTTGCGGACAACTCGGTTGATCTTGCGTCTGCTTGTAGTCCCGCACTTGTGCCCTGTCTTCCTTGCAACGCCTCTGCAGCATCTTCCAATTAATACTTTGGTGAAGCCGTGTGTGCGTATCATACACAGTAATCGGATAAACATCGTAATACTCCATGTTGTTGTAAGATGACGCTGCTCCGTAGTCGTAATGCTCACCCCACCACTCGCCCTGCCGCTCTTGGTCCTCGAGTGAAGCAGATGCCTCTGGACTGACAGCGGTTGACACGTTGAGGCCCTGGAGAAGAAAATGTGTATGTGAAATGGGATACTAAAAAAACATGCAGAGGACAGAAATGCAAATGAATGAAGTCAAATTCTGCCAGATCTCGCTAACTTACGGATCACATCTACAGACCCAGAAGCACGAACACGTTGGGTATCTTAACCGCCATACTAGAGGGCTGAATTAGTACAACTACGAGTAAGACAAAGTAAATTAGTAAGTACTGCTGGAGGAGCATCGGCGGACTCCACTTCTTTGAGTCTATCGTCTTCATCAACAACCTCGTCGTCTCCTGGCCACATAGTCTTCGCATCCCAGTCTTGTCCTGGCTCGACACCCATGAAGTTTTTGTCTGGTTCAATGATTGTCAGCTTGCAACGGAGCTGCCGCGTAATGTTCAAAACCTGAGTTGTAGTTGTGTAATACGTTGTACATTCGCTATAGTGGTCTAAGTACGAGAATAAGAAGACACGCGCGAGTTCTTGACTTCACTTTTCGCGCATAGAAAGTAAAGATGAAAACGAGTTATTCAGTTACAACAAAAACATATCTATTGGATACCGCGCCATTGTTGTCGAAAGTTCCACAGTAATTTGGTGCTGAAAAAATCGTGAGAAGCTTCTTGTTTGCGTAAAACTCGTAGCCATCTTCGACTTTTTGATGTGCTCGCACGATGAGATCTAAACCAAATTTTTTGCAACACTCGTCTACAGCGGCCTCATCGAAAATCCAGCTCACGCCACGCGTATTCCATCCCCAGTGCCTATTGGGCGGAGGTATATAACGGACAGCCAAGTTATTCGGGATGCTGTTGCACACATCCTGGCCCTCGTGAAGCTGCTGCCACTCGGCCGCAGGGTCAGCCCACAGTAGGTCGCACAACAAGCCGTTATCGGGAACGCCTGAGTGAAGTGGTTGAATGGGATGGAATTGGAAACACTGATCCCTCTCCATCGCAGACGCAATAAGGTCCTCCATAAAAAGAAGGTACCTGTACATTGACGCAAGCGCATCTGGTGATTGCAAAAGAGCACAATCCCAAGATCAAGCACATCCTAGTCCATTCAAAGAATTTATTGGAATTTTGTCGAACTTTCATGAAGTATTGAAATGCTCTAAATAGATACCACAGGGACGCACGATGTCGTTTATTTCTCTTATGTCGTGGAGCCGGGGCGATATTCCGCCATGCATGCAAAAAATTTTTCCTGCGATCAGACCAGCGCAGGGCATCGCAGCGAAGACATCTTGGAAAGCTTTCCACAATCCGACAGAATATTTTCGTTTCACTTCATCAAAAAAGCCGTAAATTCGGTTGACCCCTGGCGCTTCATGGTTCCCGCGCAGCAAAAAGATGTTATCCGGAAGCCTCACTTTATACAGAAACAACAAAACCATGCATTCAAGACCTGTACGTGGATTACGAGATGGATTTGAGCATAATGTGACTCGTGGTCATACGATTTCGGTCGATGAAGATGTTGATGTAGGTCGATCGTTATAGAAGAAGGAGAGCAGCATACCAAGAAATGCGTAATGTGTAAGGCCCTCCTTAAGTTCAGAATCTTCATCATGATGGTGGAGTTGTCGCTTTTTGAGGTCGAATTGTTACAACGTATATTAGACTTTGACAGCAAAGAGTACTATTTCTCCCCCGATCTACGTAATCGCCTAGGAACATGTAGCTTGTTTCTCCGGGTAGACCATTCGCGGCAAAAATGCGTAGAAGATCGTAATATTGTCCGTGGATATCACCGACAAGGGACATGTCCGCTGCATCGGTCTCAATCAGCATTGGCTGATCAAGCAGAATCTCCCGCACAACTGTCAGAATGCCACGGATCTCTCCTTCCGTGAGCACGTTGCCTTCTTTCTCACCCAGCACCTCCATCGGAATCTCTCGCACGCTCCATAACTTCTCTAACCACTTCCGAAGGAGCTATCGAGGACAAGGTGAAGAAAATCATGATGAAATAAATTCAAACATATCTATTATATATGAGCCAGGGCGCAGGGCGACGGCGCCCCCCCTAGCGTAGGGAGGGCACCGGTAGCCCCGGGCCCCTTTTGCAGGCGTCTGCCGGGAGTGGAAGGCCTCAAAAGGGGGCCAAGGGACCTCCTCCGCTCCCTTTCGGCTGCCTGGCTGTTCCCTCGAGGCCTCCGGCGTTGGTGGAAGGCTTCAAAAGGGGCCCAAGGGATCGCCTGCGCGCCCTTCTAGGTGCCTGCCTGTGCCCTATACACCTCCGATATGCTTCGCCGCCGCAGCAATGCGCCGGGCGTGGAAGGCCTCCGAAGGCGGCAAAAGGCGAGGGGCTGGACCCCCTGAGCCGTGCGGCCTGTACCCGCCGGGCCCTTGGTCATCGGCTTGCTTGCTCTTGAGACCGTGGCCACCTTCGGCGGCCTTTTACCCCGGAGACCCATTAGCTTGCGAGGATCAGCAGAAGCCAGGAGGTCCCTGAGGAACGCGCAGAGAGGCGCAAGGGGACGCCCGCGCCCAGTTTTGACGCCTTCCACCACTCGAATCCGTGAAAATCAGCGCGGAAGAGAGCGCTCGCGCGCCACCACACCACAGGGGGGAGGACCGGTCAGCCCTAAAACATATATTTATAACTATAAGTGCGTATTGTTCACAGCGTGACGAACGCCGCGTCCTTCGTGACTTTCAAATCCCAAAGTCATATCAGTAGAAGATCATGCAGAGGTCGCTCTATTTTTTCATGATACAACTTCTGTGTATGATGAAGTAAGATCAACACTGGTAATGTGTTGTCTTACACTGTAACATTAGATCAAATTCATGTTGACTACCTCTGGTGTCGGCAGCACCGGTGGATGCTTTCCGTCCCCATCGTCGCGAAGTGGTCCGCGGTTTGCACGCGCTTTTCGCGATTCAAGGAAGTTTCCCTCGTACATGTCTTTGAATGAAGCTTTTGGGTAGAGGGCCTCCAGCTCTTCCGGAGGCATTTCTCGAACATTGGCCACGACATTGCGGGAACCCTGGCCCCAGCCGATGACTTCATCGAGAGTCACGCCCACCGTTTTCGCTTCTATCGTGAGTTGAGGGTCAGGCTTTTCGTCGGCCGGAAGGGCATGACGGACCAAATCATGAGGCCGAATACCTACACCTTCTTCATCTGAGTCCGCAAATGCTTTCTTTACCGCCTTGACCTTGCTGCTCTTGTTCTTATCATCGTCCCCAGTCGTTCCGGTCGGCACTCTTTGATCTATCAGATAGTTGTTCTGCAACAGCCAGTCAATATATTTTGGATTGTCGTGAAACATCGCCCGAGCCTCCGCCAGAGACAAGACCACCCATCTACCATCCACGCGAAACAAAAACTCTTGCCCAACATGCTTCGCATCACCGCCCAGGCCGCCTGCGCCAGTCATCTGCATGTCGCCGTCCTCTGATCCTTCTGCGTCTGCCCCCTCACCACTCGCAGCAGCAAATTTCATCTTGTCGTCCTCTCCTCCCATTGTTTTTGCTTTTTTTCTTTCAATTACTTATATGGAACACCAAGCCGAGTTCAGGACACCTGACGTTGACGACACCTAGACGAATATATACATCAGGCTAGTTGGCGCCTCCGCGTACCAGTACCTTAAGATTAAGAAGAGTAACAACTAACTACTTACACATTCAAAGCGCGCCTCAAGCTCGAGTAAATTCCAATGAAGTCTCTGTATCATGGTCATTTTCAATAAAAGAAAAGCCGCGCACCTTTTTAGTAACGAGAGTATTTCTTCAGATATTCAATATTTGAAGATCTGAAAAAATCAACATGCACAAAAATACAAATGCCAGAATCGCGAAAAGTATGTTGTAATCGGAGAGAGAGAGAGAGACCGACTTGTCCCTGGCAAGTGCTCCAGCTCGTACTTCATCTCATTGTTGTTCTTGTAGTCGGTCAAAATCACAGGATTTCATTCCTTGGACTCCTTTTTCAAATCAAATTCTCAACAAAATTAAAACAAGCACCGCTACAGAATCAGAATCATTCAGATTTTGTGAAGCCAGTAAGTAGACGCAGTACACCTCCTCCGATTTTTACTCAAGGAAGAAGATGTTCTTGTAGTTTTGATTCCACGCACAAGCGCATGATCTCTACGGAAAATCCAGATGAAGCTTCAGCACATCAAAAGGGAAGATCAGTCACAATTGATCAGGGAGACCAAGAGCAGCGTAGAGCCATAGCCGTGTTTTTCTTGGTAAAGAATTCTCGAGGATCAGTTGTCTAAGCGAGCGTGTTGTGGTAGATTTACCAAGCAATTGCCAGAACAGATCACTCATCAAATGCACCGTGGTAAACGGACGCCAGTCCCTCTCTGCACGAGACGCAGAAGCCGAGATGAAGACGCGACAAATACATCATTCTTGGAAACTTCGAACAAGGATTTATGGTAACTTCGCGCACAAACAAGAAATCAATTGCACCAGATCTTTGACCGTTCAACCATTTTTCGAGGTGGATCTTCAGCCACATTTAATATTTTTCAGTAAGTATGTGTACTGCAAGTAGTATTCTTCTATTCCTCAGCTGCAAGATCCGGCATAGCATTTGGCTCGCTTCCTGCATCGGGGGGAATATCCTCATCTTCGATATCCTGCTCCGCGCGAGGACAATCCTTCACATGTCGACTGCATTCCGGAAGAATCGGCTCCAATAGCCTCTGATAATGTTTACATTTAAATTTTGTTCTTGTGCCACTTTTGTAGTAATGTTGCTAAGTAGAATGAGTGTGATGAACGTGAAGCTGAAGGTAAACCAAAATATACATAGGAAAAATTTATTTGCTTCTTGTACGGAGGAAGGGCAACAAAAATACTCATAAAAAGATGGAAATAAGATTTTTTCCTAAAATTAAAAAGATACCGGCTCATTCGCCTTATCTTTGAAGGTAACACTGCGCTTCAATGGCGGGTAGACATCGTCGTTTCTCACTGTCCGGCCGGCGCCTTCCTCATTGAGTGTCGTTTCGTTTTTCAATTCTGTGATTCGCTCTCGCCGCGTGCTCGTGGCTGGTAGGGCAGCATTTTTACTCTCCTCCGTTCCACTTGCAGCTTCTTCTGCGTCCTGAGCATCCTCTTCTGCGGCTTCCTCACCCGCTTCTTTTATATCCTCTAGTAACGCTTCTGCTTATTAGAGGTAGACATTGTTTCACGCTGCATGGCGACTGAGGAAGTAAAAAATTTGCCTGTCCTGGTTCTCCTTGAGTCCTCTTTGGCATTGCCCACACCACTGGTTTCTTATACAAGAACTAGCTAGACTCATTCGATTGATTCTTGACATAAAACCTTCACACAGGATAGTGAAAAGCTGCCCTTAATTTTTGCCATCATCCTCTTTTTCTCCGTCTCCTGCACCGTCTTCTTCATCAGCTTCCTCTCCGTTTTCGCCATCCTCCCCCTCTTCGTCGGCCTCGTCTTCACCACCAGCGTTGCCTTGTTCGCCAGGGAAGCTCGTCCATCTCTTCTTAGCTGCACCCGTCCTTCTACCACCACGTTTCGCAGACCTCGCAAGCATTCTGACATCCTTGTCCACTTGCTCGTCTCTAGTAGTATCAGCGCCAAAAAAGCAAGTCTTCTCAGCCGCGTTCGCGTCTGGTAGGATTGAAGATTGTACTGTGCAGAGTCTCTTCGGCAATCTTTGCTTGCTCCCGCTGGCAAAGAAGGATGCTGTCGTTGTCGCGCACTGTTGCTCGGCCGCTGGACCAATTGATGTGTGCAAAAAGCTACTTCTAGCTCTAGAAGTGGAAGTTGCACCAGTCAGCATCGAATTATAACCATCGGACAACTTCTTGTTTGCTTGTCGCACCCACCCAGTGGCACAACCTGGAGAAGGGTCCTCTGGTATAAAACAATGTGAGGTGAAGCCGAGACTGGTACTTTTTGATGGATGAAATCCTTCGCAAGTCCAATCCAGTGCAGAGGACAAGAAAAGCTGCATGCCAGACATGATTCAATACGATTCTTGAATAGAGGTTAGTATCTTGATAACAAAATGAGGGGGCTGAGCAAAACCAAAAAAACAGAAAAGGATAAAATACAACAAATTAGTCGAAGACCTATTGGTGGAAACAACATCAAACAAACGTGGACATTAGAGTCTTTTTGTCCGGAGCTCAGAAACAACTTGTATTATTTTTCGTCGATTTATTTACTGATCATGATCATTCATCGATGTCTCCGCATCGATCTAGTCAAGTGTGGATGTCTGATCAAATTTATGATGTCGATTCTTCGATAGACGCTATCGACAGGTCTGCTGGAAGCTTGGGAAAGATGGGCTCAAGTGGGGTCTCTTCTCTCACCGACAACAGACAGATTGATTGCGGGCGATAAAGTTGGACCAATTCGAGTGAGGATGTAGAGGATCATTCGACATCGCCTTTATACCAAAGAAACTTCTTGTAGATCGAAAAAGTATACGTCTACGGATTGTAGTACGGCTACAGCGCCAGCTCAAACATAAAAATCTATGCTCCTCCTACAACCGACAAATGAGAATAATATTAATTCAACGACAAGATACTACAAGGCATTCACATCTCGATGATGGCATGACCGATCCTGGCTCCTTCGATGCACCCTCGTCAGGACACAACCAACACAATGAGAATCAGTTCCGAGGATCCTGAGGCCGCGGCTGGTTGTTCAGAATGTTGATGTTTATCAATATCAAATGAGCCTGTTCTCACGCTGCGTATTACGTGAGTATAAATATTAATGTTGTAGAATGAAAGGATGCGCATAATTATCAATCATAATTAATGTCGTCATGTGCATTCTCCTAGAGCATTATTCGCTCATTCGTACTTCCATGGTTTTTTCAAAAAAATACGTTGATAGATCGTCTCCGAGTTGATAGAAGTATCTAACACCCGCAGAACTACTTACTTGCTCTTCGATTTCGACTTACTTTTTTTAACTAAGTAGGGTAAGGGTAGTTTCAACATACTCATTCAAATTAGTAGATTCCTACTATAATTCATCTAAATCTAATTCTGCAAGTACAAGGAATTAAGTACTTAGATGGTTAGAACGGTAGTGGTGCTGGTACGAGACGTGGCTGCGCAAATTCCATCTCCGCCAATGAGTCGCTACCCAAGTCATCGCTATAATTCAGATTTTCTTGGTGGAATCTCGGTGATGCAACCTTCAGGTCTGGGGTCTTCATCACGTCATGGAAATGTGAAAGCGATGCTGATGTTGACCCATGAAGAATCTGAGCGGGACTGGCAGGCCCCGCCGTTACAAGATCACGACGGTCGTTGCCATTGTTCATTGAAGATTGACTTGTTCCGACTTCTACTTGGTCGTCATCCTTGCGTCCTTCAGCTGGAGGTGGTGGACCATTTCGTATCAGTGAGACGCGGCTGACCATCACCTCGCGCAATGTCGGAGTCCTGAACTCCGGAATCAACGGGCGCCCTATAGCATCGTCCCGTTTTTGTTCCTCGGTGCGTCCGTCTGCGAAGTCCTCTATAGGAGGCACTTCTCCTGCTGACTTCGATGAGGCAGCATAATCTTCTGGGAAGACCTCCGCAAGCCTTGATGACATGACTTCGTCATTACTTGTGGAAGTACTCGCAGCAGCAGCAGCAGCAGCAGCAGCAGGGCGCTTTTCCACGCTCTGCTGCGGCTGCAGCAGTGGTGCAAACGCTCCTCCAGAAGGTTGGGGATCTTCTTGGCCTCGCACACTGAAAGAGCCAGAGGATGCTGACGGCTGCGACCCTCCGAAGACGGGAGTCCTCTTCTGCTTGCTTGAAATTCCGCCGAAAGACGGAAGATCTTGTTGTTGCTTACCCTGCTCGCGCCGCTGTAGGTCCAGAAGGGCAAAAGTTGGTGGCGATGAAGAAACCTTCGCACCACGTTCCGCACGTATCACCACTTCATGTTTTTCTCCTTGTCCTCCACCCTTCGCTAATACAACTCGATCTCCAAAGCGCATTTTTTCAATCGGAGACATGGCTTGTAACAGCTCATCGTCTTCCGGAACGACAGAACAAGGCGACGCTTTTCCACTCATCTTCCCTGACCCTGCTCCTCCTCGTTCATCTTGCTGATCCTGATACCGCTGGTCCCTGTGCAGATCCCCAAACACGGGATCGAACACCTCGACTTTCGGAGTCTTCATAACCCCAAACATGGGAGAAGCCAGGACTCGAGATGAGCCAACCGGACGACGATCATGTTGCTGTTGACCATCTCCAGAAAAATCTGCTATCTTGTGCTGGTCATTGTGCGACTTATTGGAGCTCGACGACACACTGCGACCCCAGCAGGGCGTGGCCGCCGCCTCCTGTTCTCTTACACATTCCTTGTCGGGGACCGCCTGCTCAAGTAGTGGCACCCGTGATGCCGCATGGTCACAAGCGAAACCGAAATTCTCCGTTTTTTTGGCATCCTGGTGAGAATCGTGCTGACCATACCGCAGATCCGCTTTCTGCGCAGACTGAAGAAATAGAAATCAAGACAGAATTATGCTTTCAATTCTTTGTGAGGATTTTTATGAGCGTGACCGTGAGCAGGTAGCGAATTAACACAAGCACTACTATTACTAGCCCCTTATTTTTGAACCGAAAAAAACAAAAAAACTACAAGCACAAGCTCGACAACAAGCTGTTGTAGCTAGATACCCGAATGATCACGTCCCGAAACTTCTGCCTCGCATTCGACTCGAAATAGGTCGGACCAGGCGTGCTCACTGCATTGGGACGCTGGATCATAACAGCCTGTTCACAATCGCCCTTGAAATTTTCGTCTCCTTGGCTGAATGCATAACTCGGACCAGGCGTCGTTATACGCTCCTTAGCACTTGCGTCCACAGCCTGGCGGGACGTATAACTCGGACCAGGCGTCGTTATGCGTTCGCGCTTGCTGTTGACATTTTTATCCCCTTGAAGAGCATAGCTCGGGCCAGGGGTCCCAGCGTAATGCTGTCTTGTGCCCGCCTTGCCTCCACCACAATCCCGACTAGGGTCAGCGCTGGCCTCGTACCCGCCTTGCGCTGAACCTTTAAGATTTACGAGATTGATTGTCAACTTTGTGTCGCGGAATGAAAGAAAAGTCGAAGTACTACCACCTAGCACAACAACGAAGCTGGCAATAGTACCAAGTAATCAACGAACTGCATCAAAATCGCACTCCTTCTGCGAAAGCTGTGCCAGAACTAGAGAGACGCAGACATCAATTACTATTACCCGCATGAAGATAATCATAATGTTTAGTGTACGTTTTTCTCGGGATCCGTTATATCCGAATGCGACTTTCTGTTTTTTGCTAGGCGGAGGTGTAGCAATAGGAATAGCTCCTGCGTACGATGGTCCAGGTGTCCCGAACCGCGGCTTTTTCAAAACCGGCGACCCATGCGGAACCAGTGGAGTGTTAGAGATATCCCGCAGACCACGGCGCCTAGACAACCCTGGCGGAGCTTCGGAAGTCGACATGATTTCTTTCTCTCGGTTTTGCCTTCGCATTTATTTCAATAATTGTTATCAGAAGGTAGTCAATAAACTCTTCATCCCCATTATTTTTGTTTTAATCAATCGTCTACTGTGAATGAAAAGTTCTCGACGCGCCAGCTGCTTCATCCAGATAGGAGCGATATTCTTACTTGAGAAGCTCTGGTCGTGTAGGATAAGAGCCCTTTGTACAAGAAGCAGTTCTCTTTTTCATCATCATGAAACACAAACAGACTCCTGCAAATAAGAGCAGGCTCGCGAAAAGTTCTGGTTTCGAATCGTCTTTCGAATCATGGACCTACTGCCCACGATACAATGCAAGTGGCAGCTCTTGCCACTTCCTTCTGCAGCTGTTCTACAGTCTCACTCACGACTACAAAAAAAACGTCGACGATGCCATCCTGGAGCGACCTCAAAAATTCCGAAAAGATCGGTCTTCTCACTCGAACATATCGATATTCTTGCTGTTGAAATCGGGTCTATAACACGAAAACGAGTTACGAGTGGCGTGTGAAGCGGACCGTCATTTTCTGGGATTATTTCCCCGATCAGTGTACTTAGCTCGAGTAGTTACCTGCGTCCAAAAAAGTCAAGCAAGTTGGTCGCACACCACGAGGATGAAATCACAGTGGAATGAGCAAGGCCCGTCAACCATGATAGCATTTTTTGAGACAGAGGTAAAAATGTCTTTGTTCGCACCACATGAAAGAGTTGCATTATTCATCAACCGCCCACGTGGATGGACGGAGAGCATGTATGACACCAGAGCCAGACTACTTCAGAACGAACAAAAAACTAGAAGATATAACAAGTCCTTGCCCTGGAACCTTCAAAGACAGGCCAGTGCCAGATGACCTCATGATCCACCTTTGTAAATATTAATTGCGTGGCTGATGTTGATAACAGCACATGATCATCGTAACAACAAAACTACATCATATAAATATTTTCATGTATGAAGATATGCTCCGCTCTATGTTAGGGTGGTCGTGGCCACCTAATATGACATTGATTTATTCAAGTAGGGGACTACTACTTTTTTATGGAGTCATCATTATTGTGTCATCGATTGCGATGTGACTGTGAGTCTGAGTTGTACGTAAGTAGTAGTATGAAAAACTAGTTCATCCAGATTTTTTTCCCTAGCATAATTTGTCAACATATAAATTGTGGACAAAGTAGGACTTCTTCTCTTCGTTTAGCTTGTTCTCGAAAACAAGCGTTGTACATGCCTGCTTCCCGAGACCGACCAGTGTAAACGTCTAGGTCATTGTGACGTTGCAATCAAATCGTCTCTATGTTTGAATATCATCATCTTTTCTGGTTCACCTCGTGGACGCCCAGAAGGCCGTGTGCGCTTACAAGTCAACTCCGCGTCAGACCGATATGATTTATTTCATCACTACATGTTCTGTTGCATCAGGAACACACCGCCACCACATTATAATTCAAATTTTGAGAACGACATCCTTTCAAATGCAATTCAGAGTTCAGAAATGCTTTTCTTTCAGATTCAGTCAGAGAAACAAAAATAAGGATGATATTCCCCATTCCGATCATCTTACGCCAACATTCATTCTAATTCTTTCTCAGAAGAGTCTACCTGTTCTACCATAAAAGCAATGGCGATACGACGTCTGTCAACTGCAAGCAGTCGTCATAGATCATATGGTGAAAATGTTGTCGTCTTGTGACTTCATACGGCCTCGACAATGCGACTTCAATTTCCTCGCGCACACCCGTCACGTCTCCATAGTCATGGAGGTGGTTCACCCTGATGCGCCTCATGATCGTGGTTCACCCTCCACGTCATATTAACGTAGCAAGCGAAAGCCGGCTTATGTGACCCCTTGTGGGCAAGGACCTCGACCTTCTTCCCTGAAAAACACACTCATGCACGCTAAAGCAAAGATCCACGTAGAAGCCAGCAATGCGAATATCAAGATCAAATTGGTCGCGACGATCAGACGCTTCGAAGTAGGCTTAGGACGAACCTGCAATCTCGTATCAAGAATCTTCATGATCTATAAGTAAAAGAAGTGCTCCTTATTCGACTGCCGAAATTTAAATATTAAATTTATTACATCTATCTTGGTCCTCTCTGCTAAATAATGTTATGGTGCCCTGGCAGACTTGTTGAGGTTTTATACTATAATAAACAACGAATGGCATCCCCGTCCAATAATCATTTTCTTTTTATTGTAAGTCAGAAACAGTGTCACAAAAATCTTCAGCATCAGCGGACCAGCCACCACAATAAAAAACTATCTATCAATGCAATAAAAACCATCTACCGCCCTTCCCCCGGTACAAATGCAAACTTGCCTCCCTGCTTTTGAAACTTTTCTATGTAATCAACGAGCCGCACTGCTAATGAAGATACGTGTGCTACAAAGGCTTCACATGTGCTGACATGGCTTTCCTCTTTCCGCCCCCTACGAGTCTTAAAGAATTATCAAACGGCCTGTAGAAATAAGTGGAATTAGAAACTTTTGATTTCGATTCAAGATTCGGAAGGCGGGAGCGGGAATTGCGGAGCTAATATGTTGTTTTTTGGTCTCAATGCTGCATTCTCGATTCCTACCAGGTGAGGAACCTGAAGCACGACTTCCGGACAGGCATAACTTCTGCACACGCATAACTTCCGCACAGCTAGTTGTTCTTTTTTCTTACTTCAGGAGGACTGCAGCAAGGTACTCAACCGTAACACACATACATGATAGTGATACCCACGCCTTACATCGAGTAATAATCTTCTTAACGACTTCTTTCTTCAGTGAGTATAATGTTAACGGGTGCAGAAAAAGCCGCACTGCACGTTATGAACGAGGAAAGTCTTAGTTTTAGAGCATCCTTACGCAGTGCCTTAGCAATGAGGGCACTTACGTAAGGGGACTCTTCAACGCGTGGGGTCTTCCACAATACTGCAGCGCAGGCATGTCGCCCGTGTTCAGTCTCCGGGGGAACTTGAGGCCGGGCCGAGGGCCTTGCCGTCACTGGCGTGCGTGTTCCAGACTAGCGGGGGAGAAACTCCAGCAACGGAGCCGGCGGCAGGTGTTCATCAGTGAAGCTCCGCCCCAAGTGACCAGGTCCGCCTTGGCCTCCTCAAAGTGCTTAGCCAAGTGAAATAAGACCGCATCGCTCCCCTTGCGTCCTACTGTGTTTCATCTGAGCCCGAGGATGACCAAAAAACTCAAATCCTTTCACTTTCGAGACCCGAAATGCAAATGATCGATAATTTTTGTTGAAATAATAGAGGTTTGCTCCTTCGTCCGTCGCTCCTGTTTCCCAAACGCGAACTATCATGACGGCGACACAATTATCATCATTATGCTCGCGCGCGACCCTATCGCCGCACACGTTCCGCGCACGCAGCGCGCCTACCATCTGTCACTATTCGCACGCAGCGCGCCTACCATCTGTCGCATTCATATTCACGTGTATATAGAAGATTTCTCCACGCGGGAACTCAAGGACGCATGTCGAATATCAACTACCCCCTTTCTTCGATAGCTTCTGACCTCAAAAATCACGAAAGGGCGATATCGTGATCATGTACATCAACTTAAGAGCTTAGAGAAAGAGACTACTTTTATACTATTTCACTTGGATATCTAGTGTCGTGGAGTCTAAAAGTAAGTATTCTTGTGCAATGATGAATGATCTGCCTCCCGTATGTCTGAGTCTATTTATGACAAAGAGATTAGTTGCCAGAGTTTTTGACTTACTTCCTGACCCACTCTACCAGACCTGGCTCCTAGTTCCCTCTACCAATAAAAGGGAAAGAGGAGAAGAATGCTGATTTTCTTCTTTAGTAGGTCGCTCTGAATCTCATACCCAGTCGCTTTCTTCTATGTATCTAATGAATAATGATCTTCCTTGTTCAAGGTAAATAATTCATTCTTAAATTTCAAGTGGTTTACAGTCACTTCCTCCACCCAAGGAGTAAAACGAGGGCAATCGTTGCAGTTAGAAACAATACGAACCGTACTACTACTTCGTCGATGATAAACTCATTGTAAGTTCCTCATCAAAGGATGCAAGATCACGACGCTAGATATAGTTTTCTCATCCTTATTTTATAATTATATATACGCAGAATTTTAGAGCGTAACGCGATAGGAATAAACATCCACCACCGTTCTCGTTGTGTTTATTCCTATCCTGACACCGAGCGACCCCGACGATAGAGAGAAACGCGACGACAGGAACCAACGCCGCCCCGAATTGTGAAAATCGTGCGCAGTTCTGCCTGTTCTGTGTGTTTATTCCTATCCCGAGAAAAGTTTCCTGGATCGTGTCTTCGTCTATCGTTCTGCAGTCGGTTTAGCTTTAGAGCGAAACTCGTGAAATGGTTCGAAATCGCAAAAGATACGAAGGTCGTTAGCACAGTTTAGATTTACGTCATAGACAGGCCGTCGAAGGTGTAGTCTGTCGAGCGAGTTGAGGGGATGGCGTAGTCTGTTGAAGGTGTTCTGAGGCCTCTACTCTGCTGGGAGAGTAGTCTGTCGAGAGAGTTGAGAGGATAGCCCGCTGAGAGTATTGCAAGCCTTTCCAGCGTGTTCGTAGGTCGTTGGCACAATTTGCTTCGTAGATACTCTGCTCGGAATGAAATCTGTCGAGCGTATTGGGTGGCGATTCTGTTGAGAGTATTGGGCTGCCTGTGGGGAGAAGTTCACACGACGCCGATGCGAGAGAAGTCCACACGACCCCGCGCCAATCTGTCAGAGCCGTTTGCTTGCGATCTGTTTGGGGTTCTGGTTCGCTGCGCTTTTCAAAGAAAAGGGCATGGGGGTTGTCTGGTCGAGCTCGAGTTCGGGGCCATGCTGCAGCTGCTGCATTGAGATGAGAACTGAGAAGCCTGCGCGGCGCTAATCTGTTTGAGCTATTTGCTGGCTATCTGTTGAGGCTTTAAGCCACAGCCTTGCAAATTTTGAGAGTTTAGGCGCTCAGAAGGATCCACACTGCGCCCACCTGTTTGAGTTACTTACTGGACATCTGTGGAGGGTTGAGCCATGCAAAAGTCTGGGCTTTGGGGTTGTTTCGCTAAGTAATTAAGCGACTAAGACGCGCCGGACTTGACTCGCAGCGCACTGGCGTGGCGATGTACTTACTCCATCGCTTCGCATTCAAGTCCATCCATGGCGTTGCTGCCTCCCCCCTCCCCGTTTTTTATCGGTTTGCTGAATCTGTATAACGTTGACAGTCCGGCCGCTATCTCCAAACTCCTACGCTTTTGATACAGTCGCTACGCATCGCTGGACGTGTTTGATTTTCTTGCCTGTTGCACAAGCGCGTCGAAGCAAACAACTCGCCCGCGAGGACTGACGATACTCATGAAGTACGCGCCGCAGTCAAATAATCGCGAACATTCTCGACGCCGTGAAAATCTGCAACATGCCGCGCATTGCCATCCTATTCGCGGCCCCCACTGCTCCACGCCGCGCTTGATAGTTCTGTCGTTTCTCATTGATTTGGAGCAGAATCCGTCGCGTGAATCTGTGGGCGCTCCCTTAGATTGCTCGCCCAATTATGCTCAAATTATGCGAGCCCGCCCTTATTTAATTGTATTAGAATTGTATGACTGCGACGCACTTACGCGCGTCGTTCGCTACTGGTTAACGCTCCGACTTATGTTTGGTTCATGTGTTTACTCCTATCGTTTCGCTTCCTCCTAAAGTTCTGCATATATACATATACATATATATATATATATTTTGTGGTGGAGCCGACCTAACTAGAAAAAAGACAACCAGAGGAAGACATAAAAGAGTAAGGGTCCTAAAGCTCAACAAGGGTCCTAAAGTATCCTGCTAACTGCTAAAACTAACGAAGCGCCGGCGCTATCGTCGTCCTGTCAGCCCCATAGGTCTCACCTTCAAAGGCAGGCCGGAGCCCTGCGCAACGCCTCCGGTGAGTGCTCAGCTCTCTGGTTGTGTGCACAGGTTTACGCGCTATGGGGTACCGGTTCACCAAATAAACCCACAATCAGTTATAAAGTAATATAGTATTTATGTACCAGGGAGGGAGGCCCCCCCCTGTGGATGGATCTGTGGCGGACCACGCCAGAGGGGTCCAGCCTTGCCACCTTTGCCCGGTCTGTGGGGTTGGGCACATGCAACACGCCAAGGGGGTGGGCCCCGCCTTGCCTCCTCTGCCAGCTCTGTCGGGTACCTGCAACACGCCAGAGGGCTCCAGCCTTCCCATCTTTGCCAGGTCTGTAGGGTACAGGCAACACGACAAGAGGGCCCAGCCTTTGCCACCTTTGCCAGGTCTGTCAGGTACATGCAACAAGCCAGCAGGGCCCTGCCTTGCCTCCTTTGCCGGCTTCAGCGTCCTCCGTTTTGGTGGCGCTCTAGGGTACAAGCAAGAAGCGGGAAGGGGTCAGAAGTGGGCGCTTCGAGGCCTTCCCGCCCGACAGCCCCTCGAAAAGAGGGTCCGGGGCTGGGAGGCCCCCCCCTCAAAAAGTTAGATCGGAGCGGGGGCCTTCAGCCCTGAGCCCTGGAACATATATAAGTATATATATAACAGAATAACTTATAAGGTTCGGCAGCTCGCAGGGCATGGAGTGCATGGATCGCATGGAGCAGGTGCTCCATGCGTTCCATGCGTGAAAATGTTTTCGATGCGCCCTCCGGGCGGCCCTTCGTCAGAGCCCACACGCCTACAGCTCGGCACCCCGGGCGTGAACGTCAAGCATCCAGACCGCCAGCACCCGAGCCAACTGCTACATCTCCAAGCAAACTCACTCGCGGGCCGGGGCCTTGGGGCGCGCAACAAATCAGCATGCTCCAGCGCCGCCAGTTACATCATGCCCCCGCACTACACACAAGGCAGCGCTCCCGCGGCATCAGTCTAGCCGATCAACCGACCCCGACCCACCCACCCCCGGGTGGGCCGGGGGCTTGTTCGTGCCCCATGCACTCCATGCGTGGCGATGCTGCGTCTGCTCCATGCACCCCATGCTACTCCATGCGTACTACAAACTACTCTGATTATAATATTTTATAACCATGATGAACTACGGCATTATACCCAGAAACATCTTCAAAAAAAAAGTCCTCCTGTCTTTAGTAACAAAACCGGCTAGTATTACCATAAGTTTTTCTCCCAACTCTCTAGGGGACGCGTACCTCACAGCAGAGTTATATTTTTTACTTAGAATTAGAAAAAATGCCTACTTACTTAGTAATGTTCACTTCTTCTCTTATTTGCACTACCAAGGCCAACTAGTCCTCATTGCGCATTCTGGAGTGGTTGCGATTCAGGTTCTTGGCCTGGACGTATCCACGAGTAATCCTCGACCGGAGTTGCACTGCCACTATCTTCACCTCGCTGCTCCCGGTCCCCACGAGTCCTCTTCTTGCGCTGCCTGCGGCGACCAGCCGCAGCTGGTTGACTTCTGGATTTCGATGCATTATAGTCCTGATGCGACCATGGGCGTTGAGCTTCAGCTTCGAGATGTGATCCCGACGAGGTGACGCGCATGGTGCCTGACCAACCGGCTGGTCCGGCGGACGATGTCGCCATATCTTTGTATTGTTTATTTGCCAGTGTACTAGCGCTGTCTTGTGGTTGTGAAGGAGCAGCGAAGAACTGGTCAAGATCTTCGTGTCGTTCAAACCCCAACGGACGTCCGACGCCAGGGAAATGAACAACTAGGGGAGCTTCGGTGTTGTCGGATGCATATCCGTCCACCTCATTTGACCCGCGAGCGCGGGACACGCGCGAGGGAGAATCCGAATAGGCTCCTGCAGCTGATGCTCCACTACTTCCTGCTGATAGCAACGTCGTGTTTAGAAGAGGAATTTGTCACTCTCTGATCCAAGATGAACTACGCAGTCTTATCTGCGGATTACGGCGCACGCTATAAATTACTAAACACTACGACGTCCGAGCTTCTCTATTTCCGTCATTCTTCTACAGTCGAATCGCACTGAATGGGTCTCTTGTTGGACGATGATGATGTTGAAAAGGTACGATTGAGGCACGCATTAGCATTCTTTCACTGGAGATAAAGCTCAGTAGTATTATCAACCATCGAGAGGTTGCTAGAAAATTATTGATGGTGACAACCACAAAAGAGTCGTAAGAACGTGGGCTGTGCAGATAAGGCACTCGGTGTTACGTGTTGCATGCTGTAAACATTATCCGTGCGACGAGAATCTAGAAGGCGCTTGAACTCTCCTTTATCACCTCCGCGTATCGCGACTGCAGCATCGGCAGCCCTGTAATGGTTGTGAGAACACGATAAAAAATCACTCATAGCAATAGGCAATGGAGGGCAACGTATTTGTATCATGCACATGCTGAATCTAAAGAAACCCAAACGCGAACAAATATCTTTTAATACCCTTGATTCGTAAAATCGTCCGTCAAGCTTTGCTCACGCTCGCGAATTCCACTTCCGGCGACGCACGCGAAATATTCCGATGGAAAATGCGCAACATGCCCATGCCGCGCAACTGATGTTGGAGTGTGAAATAAGAAGAAAGATGAAAGTTGCTAGATTTTAGGTGCGTCAATCAAGCACGATAGTCTAATAACTTCTCGGATATCAAATTAATGCACTCACTTCCAACTTTCTCTCTTAACTAAGTTTTGACTGGAGGAGAAAGGCCGACCAAGACTGAAGATGAACTATACTCTACATGATCATGATGATAATTGAAAATATAAATATTGTCCCGACCATTCAGTAGCACTGAAACTGAGTCATGACATTAATTAGCAGAAGCAGCATCGTGTTAGAAAGCAGCAGTATTAACATTATTTGATATTTCCAGGGTTGCATAGAAAATACAACTTGGATTTGGATAGAAAAGTAAATCAACAACAAGACGGAAACCCCTTACGTAGAATCAATATATTTAAGTAGCGAAACCAGTGGAAAATTGTGGTTGTTACCATATTCATCTTTTTCACTTGCAATGAAAGGTTTTCCGATGTCCCTGCTGCCGGTTGCGCCAAAAGTGGGTATCCAATCGCGATGAAGAGCCTGTGGTAAAGCTTGTTCCTTCATCGCCTTTGTTCCAGGCTGTGGCCCTTCGGTGGCTCCTCCAGCATACGACGACGCGGCGCCAGGAGCAGCATTCATGCGCTGCCCGCCAACTTCGTGGTCTACGAAAGGGAGATTGGCTGCAAAAGAACCAGACGCCTGTGGCTCTTGATGTGCCACCTCAGCGTCCGCACTGTTCCCACCTCCCGGCTGCGGGGCACTCGGGGACCTGGTCTGTCCACTTTCGCTACCCAAATAGAAGCTCGATGCCACGCCCTCGCGGTAGAATTTCGGATTCGAAGGATACACCCCGGCTTCATCTCCGGGGGCAAAGTCAGGCCACAGGCGAGTAGAAGACGCATCGCCTGAAAAATCGGTGGAGGCAAAAGAACCGTGTTGAACGCCTCCCGCGTAAAACGGGGTAGTGCCTACTACCGCTGTTGCTCCGGCAACGTCATGCCCTGTTGCCGCTAATGCGCCATGATTGTCTTCCGGTTTTGCCCAGATTTCGCAGACGGCGGCATCCTGCCCCGGCGAGAGCGACGACGGAACAGCACTCGACATAAAGATGTCCGGCAGCGGTTGTCGCTTTGGCCCACTGCAGAGATGGAAGCTGTCACCAGAACTCCTCGGAAACCTTTCCACCACCCGCCTAGGCACCGGCACCTTCATCGCATCCGCATAAGAGGGAAAAGCGGCTGCATCCTGAGAACTAGTATTAGAAGACCTAGACCAAGTTACTTGTTAAATGATAGTTCATGTTCTCACTCATATCAATAAACTGCGGATTCAAACGAACAACCCGTAAAATTGAACAGCCCATCGGGCTTCATCTCGGGTACCAAGTATCTATAGGGACTTGTCATTTGTTGCTTGATGCAACATTGGAAAGCTAACGACCGTAAAAGCAGCAGTGAACTGTGGCGAAGTCGGCGTCGGCCAGCCGTGGTTTGCGACCCATGGGGCAGCTGGTACCTGGTGCGGCAGTGACTCCATGCCAGATGGCGCTGTCTGAACCGGGCAAAACACTTGACCGGTCACCTGACTCCAACACATCCAGGTGGCCACGGACGGTTGTTGTTGTGCGCTAGGGGCACTTATGGTGGTGCTCGTGCGGTCTGCCGGAGCGACATAGATGCACTCGGGCTCGGGTGATTTTAGAGCTCAAATAAAACAGAGTTCATCTTGTTAGACGCCTCCGGCAAATAAAGTGTTTTTCCTTCATCTACGGTGTCCGAAGATGTTCGGGAAGATGGACTCGTGGGGAAGGTCTTAACGTTCGCACACCTTCCTCATCACGAATTCGCGCCATGATATCGTCACGCTCGCGTTCCTGGAGCCGAAGAAGTTCACCTTCGTCGGACACCAGGGGCGCATTGTTCCGTGTTTGTCCAATAGATGGACGACGCGAACCCTCTTCGGCTATCAGTCGCGCGTTCGGGGACCAGGCCGTCGATTCGGGTGAATCTGAATGCACTGCAACAGTATAACATTTCTCGGAGTATTTTCGCGCCAACTCCAACAACTCTTCATCGCTACAAGAGCTCACGTAAGCTGCATCGAGTTCGATACCGTTCAACTGGTCCACACATTGTGCTGGTGCAGCCGTCTGCTCTTGCTGCCGTTCTGCACCTCCCGGAGTACATGGCAAGACCGCGCTTCGTCCGTTCCTTGGATCGTGACAACCCCGATTCATTCCATGAACGCAATTTCAGGATAGAAAAAATGACTCATTCAACAAATCATGACACTTTCGTCAGTGAAATTATCCTTACCCTCGACGCCCTCCAGCGACAGGTGACACCTCGTCTCCTTCTATCACGCTTCAATAACAAATACAGTAAGAGGACATCGGAAGAATCAGGACAAAGGAAAACATGATCATTTTTTGTTTTTCCTGTCATCAGAAACTATTGAAAAACAAGGACATCATCAATGCCAGTTGCCATACACCAAATTAACAATGCCTTGAACACGTTCACCTGCCCAACCCTCAGCCCGCCAGATTGATTTTAGTTCGTCGGTGGCTCGATCATCCCAAAAGAGTTCGTCTCCTGTCTCGGTTTCCTCATCCTTGTCAGTCGTGTACACGCCATGAGCACGAGGAGCATCACCCTCAAACCTTTTATCCGGATCGACTTCGACTGGCAATGTAGTAATTTTTGTAATTTTAGACGATGCAGCTTCATCGCCCCGGTCCCCTTGCACGTGCACTTCTTTCTGGCAAGCTTGATCTCCTGGTGCAGTTGTAGTTGTACGAGGATCATTGTATTCCGCGACAGCGCTTTCTCCCATAAATTCTTGTTTTTGCAACACAGCGCGTTGTAGTGAAGCAGGTCCTTGTTTGCTGTGTTTCTGTTTTTTCATTGACGTTTCACCTCCTTGTTCTTGCTTTCGCCGTCCTTCTCCTTGTACCATATCCATTTGTTCCATACCATAATTCCGATTGTACAAATAATAACCCGCGGTAGAAGATGAATGCGCATTGTACGGCACATAATTGTCGTTTTTGCCTCCCTTCTTACCACGACGCCCGCGCCTGGTCGCTCTTTTGCGTGGAGACGCGCCTCCAGGTGTTGGAGCTGAAGCTCCGTCCACTTGTGGTTGTGATTGGTCTGATCCACTCCAATTAGAGCCAGTAGCAATGTTGACTTTCTTGTCCTCAACGTCGTAAGCGCTCTCTTCTTCATCTACGTCACACCCCCTCTCTGGCTGAGCAAGTGCACCAGGGGGGAGACGAAGCGGAGGTGGTCCTGCGAGGGTTCCCGCGGAGAACGTCGACACCTTAGACGACGAGCTCTTAGTGGGTGAGCTTCTTATAGACGGCTGAAGGTTCGCCGAAATAGTATTGTCAGTGGGCGTTCGCGCCCTGTTCATCAAGCTTCTCCAGCCTAGTGCCACAGCAGCATGTTGATGATCAGGAACTCCTGTTTTTTCCTTGTTCACGGACGAGGCGTTTGACGTTCCCACCTGGTATGCATCCTCGACCCTCTGTTGCCTGCTCAGAAGTGCTTGTTCCGGATACTGACGTTGTTCTACGATTGCTGGCTTTACCTCCACCGGCTGCAACTTCGGGGACCTCCAAAGAGGGCCACGCTTTGCTGGTAGTTCTACTTTCTTTCCCGAGGTCTCCTCCTGTTCCTGGCCGCCTGCCGTGACGCTCCCCAACGATTTACCTCCTCGGACAATACTGGTTTCGACCAGCTCATCACGCGACGTTTTCCCTAGGGCTCGCCCTGGCGCCTTGTCCTCCTTCTCACCCCGAATCGACAATTGCTGTTGTTCTCTTGAACAAACGGCAACAGTGGCTTGTTGTCCTTGCATAATAGCTGCCACCTCCGGCGTTGGCTTCTTTGATGTGGTGCTCTCCTCTATTTTTAGCTGACTCTGGAAGGCTTCAACCACTTGAAGAGGACTCGAATTATTTTTCCGGCGAGGAGCTCTGGATTGCTTTGCAGGACTACACAAATGACAACGGTCACACCGAGCACCATCCTTGCAACCACGCGCTGATATAGTGGTGCAAAGAAAACACTCACATCAAGATGAAACTGAGAGGTCAACATCTTACCTATTTTATTCATCTGTTCACGATGATGTTGTAAGTGAACACAAAATGATCTCCGGCGTGCAACGTAATGAAACCGAAAAACATGAAATTACAAATTGTAGTTTGGACCAAACAGTAACTCATCACTGAACAATCAGGCACCATGATATGATGTTTTTTCTTTTGTGATTGGCCACATCATGATTACTATTACTTATAGATACCGTGCACCCAACGTAAGTAAGAAAGGATACAAGTCAAACCCTCTGTTGGTTACTAGAGTTGAAGGTAAAGAAAGAATGTAGTACCTTTCCTAGCATATTTGCAAGGATCAGCACAACCATGCGGGTGATTCACCGATCCGATTGTGGGAAAAAGTCCCGGCACTCCCAGTTCAGCGAGATCCTTGTTAAAGGGCTGAGGAGGAGGATCCACCACTACGTCCTCGCTCCCAGCATCTACTTGTGGGCGTGCAACTCTGATGGAGTCATCTCCTGCATCCACATCGTCTTCGTCTGTAGCAGTGCCAGAGAGTTGCGACTTAAACTTATTTTCCTGACGGTCGTCGGAAACCTTTCTGTTGTTTAGTACGCCTTCATTTTGATGAATGGCGCGTTCTCCACACTGCCACGTGTGTGTCGCAATGTGGTCTGTTGTTTGGAGCAGAGAGGACGACGGCGGACGACGACGGGCTTCATCAAACTTCCCACTCTTCAACAGCGCAAATGCACCACAGACACTTGTTGTTGAAGCACACAAGACAGTGGCGCACCAAACGTGTACCAAACTCCGCGAAAGCTTGTTCATTTTTGTCGCGACACTAGTTGATGATCGCATTTTTAGCGGTCTCGCCAAATTCATTTGCTCTTGCATCTTCATCGATATTCCTTACAATCCTTCGTTTTTTTAGGTGACCTCGTTGCTGGTCGAAAATTTTTATGTTCAGGTTTGTAGAAGATGTTCTTGTCGTTGATGATGTACTAGAACTAGTACTTCTGCTGTATAATTTTTCGGACTTGTGGGACTCGTTGAAGAATCAACTATCCCAGTTCGATACTCTTGCTGGCGGTTAGTTTGAAGATTTCATTTTTTACACCTTTCTTGAAGCCAGAGAATCTTATAAAGACTTAACAACTCCATATATTCACACTACACTCTCTAACAGCACGGAACCCTGCTTCTGAACTAGAAGTTTTTTTTCAAAGTGTTTCAGGTTCCCAATACTGTCCGAAAGCGGATTAATGTGGACGTAATTCAGATCGAGTCTCAATCTACATACCTACTAGAGGTAGGCTTTTGGTGTTCGTTTATCCCGCTTGTTATGGCTGTCCCCCTTAGGAGAGCCATAACAAACGGTAACAAAAGCACCTCTACCAACCTACCCTTAATATTACCTACTGTTCACTGCCAAATCGACTGAACATGTACAGTGAGTTAGAAAACGAACAAGGTTTCAAGTTGCCTTTATCCTAGCCCTAAAATTATCTAGTTCACTACGACCTAGTGCAACGAGTTAAAAATTCTTGATGTAAGAATTCAATAGATGTTGCAGCTTTTTATTGTAGTTCTCCTTCTACCTCAATTGGTGCCTCAGCGTGTAGGTGTACGCCAGCGCCACTCTCACACTACGAGGGTGGCGCTTTGCCGCACTCTTTTCTCGTGTGCTTTTTTGATACAAACTAAGTAAAAGAAGAACTCGTCGAAGCCGTCGTGCCGATCACTTGCAACGAACAGACACCACCAAAACGACACGACCACTACGAGACGAATCGACAACAACCTATTTACACAGAGCGGCCAAAAATGACACACGCCCAAACGAATAAGCACAAGCAAGAGGCGCAGGGGTGGCGAGAGGGGAAGCCAAAGCCCCACCGTCAGGGCGGCCCATACCGACCACACAAAGGAAAAACGTCGACAGACAGACTACTCAAGACGCCAGCCTCCCGAGGAGTGCCGGCGGAATGGGTGCAGCCGCCGATCGTGCACAACGGGCGCCACCCGGCGAACCTCAAGCCCCAAAGCGGCCCGCCCCCGGGAATGCCATGAGATGACGACGACACACCCCAAGGAAGGTCTGAGCTCTCCCTCGCGGCAATCCGATCGCGCAGACTCTTCACGCCTCCGATGAGTGCCTTGCTGGTGGCATTGTCAGCCTAATATGGCTGCTGTGCTGTCTGTGGTTCGTTCTCGCTCCCGGCTCGCCGGTGGCGAAGATTTCAGACAGGTGGAGCCGCTGAAATTTAGGCTGGCGCGCGTGGGACTGCGGCTGGTGTCGCGCCCTCGACTTGTCAGGCGAGATTTCCAAGTCTTCGCCCGGGATCTGGGACTCTCGCCCCCCGCAAGCGAAGAGCGAGAATCCCATCACGCGCCGGGGTGTCGGCGGCTGATTTACGTGCATCTTTTTCGGATTTTGCTCAAAAAACGGCGCGAACCTCCCGGCGCGTGCTCAGATTGTCGCAGAGGGGGGCGAGAATCCCAGAGCCCAGGCGAAGGCCAGGGAGTCTCGCCTGAGGAGCCGAGGGCGCAGCGCCGCCGTTGCCTGGCCAACGTTCACGAACCCCTCCCGAAATCTTGAACGTGGCCCGCGCCTGGAGAATACATATCGCGTGAGCCGCCGCGGGCCATCACGAAGACCACACGCCGCGCCAACGACGGCCGGAAGCTGAGCCTAAGGCTATAGGCCCGGCTAGAAGTGGAGGACGACAACCGCAAGACCCGACCCGGGCCTTGGGAAATTGGCCAGAGCGGCCGACGGTGGCTGTCGTGGTCATGCCCACCATTCAGCGCGGAGGAGAACCCGCGCCCAGATATATTTTCGCCCCCCGCAAGAGGGGAGCGAGAATCCCAAGACCCGGCCAGCGCTTTCGAGGGAGACATCTGTGAACCTGCGCCGACCGTGGCCAAGCCCAACCCTGGCGGCAGCCGTGTCCGAGTTTCTTGCCCCCGGATGAACGCGGCGCCGGCGCCAAACTGCTGAACCCGAAAGACAACGCGAAAACCCTCTCCCCGAAGATCCCAGAGCGAATAACATGCGCCCCCGACTACATCCACGACAAAGCTACAAGTGACCGGATTCGCGACTTCGTAGGAGTTTCTTCGTTTCGGAAGCGCCATTTCAAAAATAAATCAATCTTATCGTGAAGGCCAGTCGTACGAATAGGTTGAATGATGCTGAGTCAAGCTAATATATAAATTGGAGAAACCGTGGAGATTGACGTGGTTGCAGCAGCTGTAGCTCTTCCTTAGGAGTACAGTTTAAACTCAAGACTTTTACACACGAAAGAAAGCCAATCTACCTCCATCTAAAAACCTTGCCTGTACGTTTTAAGCGAGCAATGCTGATCAATCAATAGATGTTCATCATGGAATGCATGTGTTACGTCTTTGATACAATAAATATATTTTGTTGAAAACCGCTGCGTAGTTTGCTTACTACAGTTAAAATCTTCAACGCTAAGCCTCCTTACTCCGATGGCCGAACTTGCGATGAGGATGATGAAGATGAAGTACTACTAGAAAATAACTCTGCTTCTAGTTGTTATTAGTTATTGCTGTCCTGCTCGGGAATTCGATTTACTTCCGCCCATTTGTATGTAGTTGGTCGCGTTGAATCCTAGACATTTAAAAAAAAGAGAAACTTTCTTACTCATCAGTCTATTTGTAGCGAATTCAGAATCAGTATACTCAAAAGATTTAGTCATCTTCGTTCATTCTGAAAAAAGAGAATCAAAAACCAACATTATATATAAATATTAAAAGCAATAAAACTTTGCAAACACTTCCCTTCGGAAGCCTCAACCCCCAACGCCCAAACCCAAAACCTCCAACACCCGAACCCAAAACCTCCGACACAAAAACAAACAAACCCCAAACCCGTGAACCCAAGAAACCCATGAAACCAAACCATGAAACCACGAAACCAGACCACGAAACCAGGAAACCAGGGAACCAGGAAAACACGAAACCACGAAACCATGAAACCACGAAGCAATGGAATTGAATTTCGGGGGAAAGGGCTCAAAATCAAAAACTTTAGGATCTTAACGCTTCAAACTCACGAGACTCAATCCCAAAACGGCGACAAAATGTGGAAAATTTTCGAAATTTGAAAAGCTCGAATCCAAGGAATTAAATTCCAGAGAGAGGGCTTAAAATCAAAAATTTTGGGATCTTAGCCCTTCAAAGTCAACGGATTCACTCCCAAAATGACGAAAAAGGTGGAAAATTTTCGAAATTTGAAAAACGCGAAGCCAAGTGATGGAATCCCAGGGAAAGGGCTTAAAGTCAAAAGCCTCGGGAACTTAACGCTTCAAACTCACGAGACTCAATCTTAAAACGGCGACAAAATGGGGAAAAGTTTCGAAATTTGAAAAACGCGAAGCCAAGGCATCAAATTTCAGAGAAAGAGCCTAAAATCAAAAATTTTGGGACTTTAGCACTTCAAACGCAAAGAACCCAATCCCAAAACGACGACAAAAGGTGGAAAATTTTCGAAGTTTTAAGAATGCAAATGCAAGAAACTGAATCGCAAGGAAAGGGCTGAAAGTCAAAAATTTTGGGGCTTTAGCGCTTCAAACGCACAAAATTCAATCCCAAAACGACAACAAAACGTGGAGAGTTTTCGAAATTTGAAAAATGCAAATCCAAGAGATTGAATTTCAGCGAAAGACTGAAAGTCGGAAAGTTTTGGGATCTTAGCACTTGACTTCAAGCGCACGAGACCCAATCCTCAAACGATCGCAAAACGTGGAAAATTTTCGAAATTTGAGAACGCGTATCGCTTACATCTTTGCCTTGTTTAGTTTCTCACTTTGGGGAGGAGGGGGATCCTAGTGGGGGGGATGTTATCGGACGCTCCAAGCTAGTATATCTCAAGAAAAAACTTAGAGAAGTCGTCTCCTCGCACGGAGATACCTCTATTAAAGCAAATGAAAAAACTATAGTCGTGGTATTGTACGGTAGAGAAAATGATACAGTTCATCACCCCGGCTTAAACAGAAACTTCATTCTGGTTTTTGTTTTTGAAGCAACAACATTTTTTTCATAGCCGCGATGAAAACCACGTAACTTCTACGCCGTTTCCATGAAGGATCCAACTTCAACATGGAGGCTTGTCTTCGGGTATATTCATTCACGTCACGACACGAAGGACAAATGAGAATCAGATCTAGCAGAGGCTTTTGACGTTCTTACTTTGACATTGATCATCATAGATCGATTATACCACGTCCTCTTGGCCTCCACAAGAACTTGACTTGTGGAGTGGCAACAAGAGTGGAAAATTTCGTACGGTCACGTACAACAACATACGTGACACAAGTGACTCGAGGATGAGCAAGTGACTCGAGTATCTATGAGCATGTCGAAGATTCGGGATTCGATCAAGTGGTGAGAGATGCAGCACCAGCGGAACACGAGTCATAAAAAAAACTTGATTGAGCTGCAAGGTTGTTGCCTACTCCTCCTCGAGGGCCGCTTACAACAGCACTAGCTGAAGATGGATTTCATCAAACAACTACAACTTAAATCTCCCTTGTACAAATCGAAGATTTCTTTGCCTCTTGGATGTACAATGTGTGAAGAGAATCTACTTCACAAGAGCAGTACACCTTCAACTTGTTCCACATGATGAACGCTCATCAGATACTAAGTAAATCATCTAAGGATACAGCTGCAGATCCATGGTCGCATACCTGTTGTTCTTGTATGTAACTGATTTCCTCAACGCAATAAAAACAACATTTCAACAAATATGTAGCTGTGCCTGTGGCTGTAGTTGTCGATGAGCATGAGGGTATATATAAAAGTTCTTGCCTTCTCGCCGTCGCTCATGTTTTGTACTATCGCTTCTTAATTATCATAAACAATTGTTAGTTGTGCATATCCTCCTTCATAAAATTTCCAGAAAATCAGTTATCGAAGTAGAATGTGGAGCCCGCTGGGAATGAAGATATTGGTAAAATACGGAAAGCACGACGTTGCAATAGACGACGATGTACTACTGCTGCCGAGAAAACGGGGGCAAATTTTACGACCATTACTAGTTGTGGAGTAGACCACCAGGAGACAGCCCCATGAGGCTTTTGTGATAGTTGCTCTGAAAGGTTGGTATGCTCTTCTGCTACTGTTCATGATTCCCATCAGGAAGATCGGATCAGTGTTCTGTCTCCTCTGCGATACTAACCTCCGCGCAGTATTTTTGCAGACGAAGATGAAGCGTGGTCCAAGATTGTGCTCTTATCAACAGCAGAGATGCGTTCCAACAGTGTTACGGAACTTAGAGCTCCTCATACAGGAACTGGGCATAACATATTTCCTACCATTAAAGCTCAGCACTCAATGGTCACTGATGCTGAACGGAAGAGACCCCCTTCAAAGGTCTCTCCTTTCCCTTCCTTTTCCCCTGTTCTCCAAAGGGGTCGCTTCTTCGATCTCAGTGACCAACCCCAATGACCATTGAAAGCTGAGCCTTAATACCAGGCTAAAACTCAATAAAATAGTCCTCTTCTACCCCAGGGCCTGGCCCAGGCCCTCAGTGACATCTTGACGTTGATTTTGATTGCATAATTTTGATAATCTTTAGAAGAACAAGAAGAAGTGTACCTCCACAAGCAAATGAAAGATACACTTAATTTTTTTTTATACGCTGCCATAATTAGAACAGGTTGGTCTTCTTCATGATGCGCAAGAATTCTTCTTCGTTCACCTCACCATCGCCGTCGCGGTCTGCCTCGTCGATCATTTCTTGCAGCTCTTCGTCGGTCATGCGCTCTCCCAACTCCTTTGCAACTCGCTTCAGATTCTTGAACGAGATTTTACCTGATACTTGGTTCTTGTTGTAGTATAATGGATGCCTCTATTCTTGGCTGAAGTAATTAAGAAAGCAAACCTGGTCAAAAAGTTGATCTTGTTGTTCTTAGAAGAGGAGTAGAACAAGAACTAGCCCAACATTAAAAGATCTGAAGATTTTCCTTTATCAATAGGGATTTGAAGATGTCATCCACCTCCATACTCAGCTCAAAAACTGTGATACCAGTCTCATCGTCATCGAAGAGTCGAAAAGCCTTCAGAATTTCGTCCTTAGGGTCCCGGTTCAAAATCTTCTGCGTCATCATCTTCAGAAATTCCTCGAACTCGATGGAGCTGAAGAAATTATATTTGACGAATAGCTCCCAAGCAACCAACTAGGTACAACTCGTCGGACAATAAACTTCAAGTTGTTCATGTTGGTTATTCCTTATCTTACTTCCAAGGACATACGTGTTTGGTTGTACTTGTACCCTCATCTAAATTTATCGTCGAATGACTGAGTAGTTGCCTCCATCAGAAATCCTCGTCCAGCATGGATGCCAAGAATAAGTTTTCAAAGACATTGATATTATCCAAAAAAATCCATCTAATTCCAGTACTATTGGGTCACGATATGGACAACATCTATTTGTTAATATTTATAATTGAACCCGCTTCCATCGTCATCGACATCCGCGATCATTTTCTGGATTTCCTCCTTCTTTGGTTCAAAACCCAATGCTCGCATCGCAACTTTCAATTCTTTCGCATCGATCGATCCCTTTTTTTTGAACAATCATGTTTACTAGTTGATGCTGTTTCGGTTGAGTGGAAGAAAAGACTGATTCGGTTTTCTTCTTTTTTACGCAATCTTCAAAATAAACCCAATAAGAGTGGAAGAATCTATTTCAAAATCAGAAAAAAGTCGCAAAATTAGAGTACAGATCCATCGGTATCAAAAAGATCGAAGGCCTCCTTGATTTCTTGCTTCTGCTCTTCGGTGAGCTCCTTCTGCTTGCCCTTTCCGGCAGCACCAACACGTCGCAGAGCCATTTTTTAAGGGAGCTTGTTACGGAAACTACACGACTATTGATGAATTCGAATGCACAAACACAATCTAGTTGTGTCGTTACCGATCTTCCTAAGTTTTCTTGCAAGATGATCTACACAATTAGTAGGGGAATAAATATCAATGGATGCTAGGAGCTATGTATTGTTCTTGAGTTATCCTCGAACTCGATGTAGATGTACGATATCACTAGATGCTACCATCAAAGCAAAAACTTCAAAAATTATCACTTCGATTAGTGCTAGTACATCACAGTCGAATCTGTGCAAGCCCTAAACCTCACGTCGGCTTTCACCAACAATGACGCCGACGACAGGCTGGCGTTCCCCTGCCCCTGAATGCAGGCACAGATGCAAATGAAACCGACATGAGTTATGAACAAGAACAAGGAGCACTCGCAGGTATCTTGACTGAATTATATCCGATCGCTGACAAAGCCGAATCGCTGTAAACTAGATGTGATGGATGACAAGATCGAGGACACGAAGTTGCGAAAGCATCGATGATCTTTGTTCATCTTGGTACTAACAAGTTGTACAAGGAAGACTAAGAAAGACATATAGTTAAGTTATGTACAGCGAACTACATCGATAGAAACGTTGATATTTCAAAATTACTTAATACTTCTTGCGTCATTCATCCAGGCAGTTAGTGCTGATTAGTGCTGTGATTCTTATTCTCAATGTTCTGCACGACGCAAGAGGTCCCAGCTCGTCCTCAAGATCAAGATCAAGAAACATTCCTCCACAAGTGAAAGTAGTAAAGCTATGATGTATAGCTATGCCACACAAAAAAGCTAATAGCACCATTCATTTACTTTCTAGGTGTTCCTTTTTGCATCATGCGAAGTAAGATGCGCCTCCTGTTGAGGGGGTATTCTCTGAGTAGTTGCTGAACTACTCCCATGAGGATCGTCGTAGACACGACTCCAGTCATTTGAACACGGATGATCTTCTGTCTGCTTGTTTTGCACCCTTCATCTACTCTCCCAGGATAAGCAATAGAGTGAGAGAAGGAGTTTCTGAAGTGTCAATCTTCTTTGGAGCGAGAAGAGCAGTTCTCTTTTTTCCATCTTCTTCTCGATGTAGGGTGGAACAAGACATATTCTTTTCGACATAAGTAGTAAGACCAGCGACAGCTGCAGATGAAATTAAACATAAAAAAGGTAACACCAGTGACACCCAGACTCACTAGTTTGAAAAAATAAGACCATAATTTTCTCATGTTCAACATGTTGTTCATTCATCGTGGCAAGACTAAGAGGACCGCATCATCCTATTCGCATAATGAGTCATTCTTCTTTATACTGCTCCTGTAGGGAACAAGAGCACAAGTTTCATGATAAAATGAGAAAGAACCAAAAACGATTGATGCTCCTCGTGATAGTAGAATGGAGAGTGACATCTTAGTTTAGTTGACGCAAAAAAGCGGTGATAGATTATGATCGGAATAAATTATCTGAAACTGAATAATTCATAACATATAAATATGATGAGAGGACTAGATTGTAGGTCGTTAAGATGACTAACCCCTGCACTAGAGCTTTTAATCTTAAACGAAGACGAATTTGTGGAGGTGGAAGATAGGGAGGGCTTTGGAGGACCTGTCATGTTTTGATTGGTAAACCGATGAAGTAGAGCAGGGAGGTGCTCTGGGCTCTGCGCCATAAGCACCACCTGCAGCCCAGAGCTCCCGGCACGAAGGCGAAGACGTAGATGAAGAAGTTGACATAGACATTGACCTGGAAAAAATATGTATTTGCACGATAGAAGCGAGAAACATCTATCATCATCATCATCATGCCAATGTCGAGCCCAAGTCAATACGCAAAAGAAAATAAAGAATAGGATTTGATTGGGTTGCGCGAAAGCAATCAAAACGCGTGGTGGTTAAGACATTCTTTTATATTTACGTGTGTAATTCTCATCATCATAGATACCTCATGTTCATATTTTCACATCACCACTCATACCCTCTTCACAAATCATCAGTATGATCATCGGTGCTGATATTGAAAGATTACCAGAGATCATTTCTAACATACATCCGATTAAGAATTCTAAAGAACGAAACACTGTTGACGAGGGAGAAGCGTCGTTAATTTGCGTCGTTAATTTGCGAGGTCCCTTGGCAATAGCAGGCAACTAAACCGCAACTGACACAGGTCGCCGAATCAAGAAGAAGATGAAGCGACCATGCATTGTAAGAAAGTAGAAAAAGAAACTACATATGTTCCAGGGGCCAAGGCCCCCCGATCTAAATTTTTGAGGGGGGGGCCTCCCGCCCCTGCTTCTTTTTCCCGAGAGACTGCCGGGCGGAAAAGCCTCCAAACGCCCACCTCCGACCCCTTCCCGCTTCTTGCGTGAACCCTACAGAGCCCCCCTCCCTGAGGCCATTGAAGCACCGAAGGCCGGCGGTGCAAGGCTTCCGAAGCAAGGTGGCAAGGCTGGGCGTGGGCCCCCTTTGGCTTTTTGCATGCACCCTACAGGCCTCCAGGGTGTGGGTTCCTCACTCGGGGAGTCTCTTGGGAGGTGGAAGGCCTCCGAGGGCAGCAGGTGGCAAGGCTTGACCCCTTTCGCCGTGCTGCATGTATCCGACAGAACCCAGGCGGGCACGCCTTGCCCTCACTCCTCCGCGCCTTTGGTCCTCAACCCCCCGGGGGTTTGGTGGTCGCGGACGCTGTCACCAATTAGGAGGATGAGGGCCAAAGGGGCCAGGCATCGCGACCGTGGCCGCCTTCGGCTGCCTTCTTCCCCCGGAGGCCGTCCCCCTGATAGGGTCCAAGAGTCGGGACGCCTGTGGGGTACACGCGGAGAGCCGCCAGGAGCCTCCGGCTCCGCCTTTGGAGGCCTTCGCCCCCGCAGGTTCTTACATGTCACCACCGCGAAAAAAAGGGCGCGCGGACGCCACCACCGCTCCATCCACAGGGGGGGAGCCTCCACCCCTGGAACATATATGAGTGACAACGGTGACGTTCATTCCGACATATGAATACAAGAAGATGCGTACCTATTTATACCTATTATCATGTGGACCATGGAAGTCAGCTAGATGATGGAAACTAATTCTTACGTGTGCGTGTAAATATGTATGATAGGATCTCTCAGACACCAACGGCACTTCCGTCGTCATTCTCCCGGCGTTCTTGGTTCCCCGAGTCTTGTTGAGCAGGTCGTGGTAGCACGAATGCATTAGGATTAGAAGTAGTCGCCGTCCCAACCCCAAGATGGCCAACGTGTTCAACAGGTCCTCCTCGAAGAGAAAGAGAAGCAAAAGGAGGTACAGTTTTTGCGTTGAAGTAGTGATCAACAAGTGCCGTGAGCTCTTCCACACCGGCGTTAATCGCCTGTTCACATCCCCGCACCACTAAATGATCCGAATGATTCCTCTCCTCCACGTGCGCCAACAGGTGGTAGCTCATAGCAAACGATTCAAGGTCCACTAGAAAATCGGCTGGCAGATGCCGGCTTTGCTCCTGATCATCTAGCTGTTGCCCGGATACAACTTCTACATGGTCTACTAGGTCTTCGCGACAGTCCTCGGACATAGTTACAACTGCGGTCGGACTTCTGGGATTCGTCCTTGGTATGATACCCTCAAGGCGCGCCTCCGGATACACAATAATCGGCGACATATGCCGATAATTTTCCGCTACATGAAGATGGGAAAAGACAAAGTTGATGCGCGTAAGCTCGAAGTCAAACAAAAATCCACAACCTAGTACTAGAGACAAGACTTCTATTTTGGTTAATCGAAACCGAATGAGGTCTCCTTTCAGGTAAATACCTATGTATTCTATTTGACCAGTCTTAATCGAAGATTTTCTGGGCTAGTCCAACGTCTTCCAGACCTTGGAGTGAATGCTTGCCGACGGACGCTATCGTGTCACCAACACCAAGATCTCGCTGAGGCGTGTTCACGCGTGTCACACGCATTCCCCACCAGCAGGCTTCGAGTTCTAGAGAGGACGAATCGCCTACTTCTAAAAAACCACGCCTAGCAGGTGCAGTCGTCATCGGAAGAAATTCAAACTTCTCAGCAACTACTGATCGTTCTGGTGGAAGTGGTTTTTGTAACCCCAGTTGCAGCTGCTGGTGGTCTCTCTTATTTGGCGTGCGGAACAAGTTACTGACACCGTCATGTTTGTCTGTGTCTACTAATGTTGTACCAGAAGTGATATTCTCGGCTTGGTTCGGTACGGGGGCACCGGTGGACGATGAAGAAGACGCACTGAGGGTTAGTTGTTCCCGCATCGGCGAAGTAGTCGGAACATCAACAGTCGACACAGTGTTGACCCCCTTGTCCGCTGAGCTTGAACACCTACCAGAAGAGCTGCTATTAGTTGTACTGACACAACTACCGACTCCAGGAACAGGAACGTTATACGAGGTGGTCGTGGCTCCGGCGAAACAAAGCGAGGGAGCGACAACATGCTGCTCTGAAGGAAACAAACTCTGGATAGAAGAGGTCTGGAAATCTTCAACAACATCAAATGTCGTCCCACCCGTTTCGTGCTCTTCCAGAACGTCGCGAGAACCAGCATAGCGAGAGGAGAAAGTCATTCGATCGTCATCTTGTTGAACGAGATCTTTTCCGTGGTGCCGGTAGTGAGCATGCACTGCCGCGTAATTCTCCAGGGAGAGGGATCTACCTCCATCTCCGCTCTTCGACGCCTTTCCTGCGAAGAGCCATTTTTGCCCACCCGCCTGTTTTTGTTCTCGTTTCTTTCGTAACCGCTCTTGTCGTCGTAGGTCCTCTGCATCTACCGCAACTGTTGTGGTTGGCACTTCTTCTAGTACCTGGTGCTCCTTCTTCAGCTCACATGTCGTTGGCTTTGAGGATTCGCTTAAGCTGCCAAAACTACTACTGCTGCTTGCGCCTGCGGTTGGCCAGCACGACAATTCTCGCAACCGCGCTCCAGCTGCCGGGCAGGCCAAAGTCGAGGGTGCGCCCGAGCTATAGTTTTGCTGAGTCGACATGGTCGTGCTTGACGACGAAGACGGCCAAGCTTGGAGCCATGCCGCTGCCGTTCTGTCGCCTTCTTTAGTCAGTTGGGGTGCATTACCTTCTATATTACTTGACGTTGTCGCGGTGGTTGCAATCGCCATATTTGAGTGTGCAATATCAGTGCTCCCTTCATCACCATGCAAAACGCCACTTGTGCTTGTCAGCTCAGGCCCCGCGAAGCCTGGCGTCACCACTCCCAGGTTCGATGACATTGATTGAGCCGTAGACCCTGCTACGGCTTTACTCACTTCTACCTCTGTCGAAGCTGTTGCTGCGGAAATGGAAGCCGTTGCAGATACCGAAGCACGCGCTTCAGTATTGGACTCTTGTAGCAAGCCTGCTGCACCACCTGCTCTCAAGCCGATAAGGTCTTCGCCTCTGTCCAAAGTTGCAGGCAGTGGCTCAGCTTCAGCCGTGTCCAACATTCCGCCTACAGGGTCTAAAATGGTCGCCGTCTCCACCGTGGGTTTCGGGTCAATAGTACAAGTCGTAGATGACGAGAGAACTCCAGCAGCTCCTGCGGAGGACGATTTTTCGAGCTCCTGCATCGTGCTTCTTGAGAGCTTCATACCACCCTCGCCTACCGAACTACGCGAACACGGACGCAGACGTGAGTCATATGATGGGCGATGCACCACGCTTGAGGTGGGAGGAGGCACTTCACTAGCTGTGCTGCCTAGGCCTCGAACTGCCATAGAATCCAAAGCATCTGTGTTGAAAACACAAGAACCTGCTGTGCTTGTACTTGCGGTTGGCGCCGTCCCTTTCTCAATCGGCGCTGTGATCTGCTTTTCCTCTGTCGTTTCCTCAGCCGTTATGGCGTCCTGCCCTGTGGAACAAGTCTCCGCTTCACTCCAAGGAATCAGTGCTGGAAACTGTTCGTCCGGGCTCCCTCCACTAGGAAAAATTGACATAGTCACCAGCAAATCTTGCTCCCCGGAAGGGGACTCTTTATAGTTGAGGTTTTCACTTTCTGCTTCTTCTACTTCTCTTCCTTCTTGGTCGCGCCCAGTACAAGGTGGATATTGTTGTCGTCCCAGATCATGATTACATGTCATCCTGTTCCTGGCATGATGATGATGAGGATGATGATGATGGTGATGCTCTTGTTCTTTAACAAGACTGCTCTCGTGGAGGTCCACATCATCATCGTCTATAATCGCAGACGTAGTTCTTGTAGGAGCTGGTGACGACGCTGATAATTCCTGTACCCACTGCTGTAACGCCTTTAACGATACGTGCTGCAGAGGCAAAATCTGGACAGTCTTCGTCGCTTCTACCTTTCCTCCATCATCAACAAGCTGCTTAGACGTGGATGACAGTCCAGATTGTGGTTGTGAAGAGGACGACGATATCTCCACTCTCGTCACAGTACCAGAAGACGCTGGCTGAACAAAGTGGCCAGTCGCTCGCCTCTCTATAGACTCCAATGCCGCGCGCGCTCTCTTGGGGCTCAAAGTGCACAGAGCCGCGTCTATCTCGGCTTCGAGTGATTTACGTGCCTCAATCGCGGTAGAGATCCAGAATCTCGCTTCTTCGATAACCTCCTCAGCATCTCGTGTTTGCGCATCGATAATTAGATCGCTTTTGGTCGCCGAAGATGAGCGTGAGACCAGGACCAGTGGAGGTACTTCATCAATCAATCCCTCTATATCCGTGGCATTGACCGAAGTCGAGTCCGGCGCCGCCTGTTGTTCAGTTGCAGCACTTGATAACATCAGGTCTTGTGTTGAACACTGCGCCTCCACGACGATATTACTACTTTCACTTTGTCTCGTTGTTGAAGTTGATACAGCTAAAAGTTCGTCCTCTTGAACTTTTTGGTCTTGCGGCCTCGTAGTCATACGGATGCTAGTTGCACTTCTTTTATCCCCCTTCTCAGCCTCATTCGAAGATGAGGAAAACAGATCTGTGGCCTTCTGTACCGTGAGCAGATGTTCACGCAAGACATGCGAGTCGGCTTCGTCATCCGATACAAAACCGCTAGAGGCCAACTTCGCATGACAGTGCAGCACATTCCCACACCAAGCCAAAAGACTTCGTGCCGCATGGGTTTAGAGCCAAAAACGAATATGGCTCGCTGTAGTTGATAGATTCATCTTGTTCACTGCGGGGTGACAAGTGTTACAACTACGTGTTTGTGTTACAGTTATCTGAATTTATTTCTTACAGACGGATCTGGTAGTAGGACAGAGTTGATGAGTACACTTGTAGTGATACAATTACAACCATGAGTCGTTAAGTAATAATATGCTATGCGTCGGAATGATAGTGCCCGTGTACGATGCACTCACATTTAGCAGGACGACGAGGAATACTTTTCTGGCGATTTTATTCAGCGTCGGCCTTAATGAATCCCACTACGAAGGGCTGTCAAATGCGATCTCTGCTCTGACTTTCGTTCGTCTCCTACAGTTTCAAGGAAATGCAAGCGCTCAACTATGGCTTGCGGTATGGTGCTACAGGCCTGGTCAAAAACGTTCTTTCTGCTCCTCGTCTTGTTGCTGGAGAAGATCTTCTTATCGGAGGGAAACATCTGAGAGGAAGTCGACACCCAACCAGGGCCTGACGAGGAATTACTGGTACTGTTGAAGACCCCATGGAAATGGGAAATGGAGTCACAAGGAAAATAAACTTTTTCGAAGTTCTTGTTTGTTTGTTCTTCAGTACGATTGTTCATTTCCCTCGTCGCATTGTTCGCTCGCTGGTTTGCGGCTGCTGCGGTCTTCATCAATGCTTCTCCTGTAAGCCGCACAGATGAATATCCAAAACTATTACTACTTTTTGCTGGATTCTCATCTACAACAATGCTGGGATCGACAACGCCACTGTCGTCGGCACCCGTCTGCTGTCGCTCCGCAAGTGCCCCTGCGGAGCACGCGCACGAGGATGCTGAGCATGACGTCAAAGAACTTTCTGATCTATGCTCTCGCCTTGTTGGGGAAAATTCAGAATTGGAAAACGCTTCCATGTGGCCAGCCAACCTCGAAGACCCGGAAGAGCTTGAAGGGCCGTGAATACAAGGTGAGGAGTCTACAGCTGGAAAGGGAATTCCTAGCGCTGTCGCCACTTCGGCTTTCGCAGTAGCCAGAAGCTGCAAATCTTGTCGGCAAGAAGCAAGCGTACTCGAGCCGCGGGCTGAGGCTGAGACACGCGCCATCACAGCATCCAACTTATCGACGCAGACGCGTTCCTGCGTGTGCAAACGAAGATGCATCTCCTCTATCTCTTGCCAGTGCACTGTCCTCAGGACAAAGCTGCACCACCGCGACAGGAACGTTTCGCCAGCTACTCTGGCAGGCGATTGAGACGAGGCAGATGTGGAGATCCGCGCTGCGAGAGAACTTTGTCGCTGCTCCTGCTGCTGCTCCCTGGTGCCCCCCACAAAACCATCACTGGTGTTCATTTTCTTCGAAGAGGAAGTGCTAGTACTTGTACAGATGCTGGTCGGTGACGACGTGCCACTACTTGTTGCCATCCTTCTGCTAGTACTCTTCTGATCCTCATTTCTCCTCTCTCCAACGGGTGTGCCGCGCAGTGCTGTGTCTTCTCTCAAAGAAGAGCGATTGGCGATTTTCTGCTCGACTCTTGGGGACGGTGTCCACGTCTGCATCCAAGGAGACTCTCGCTCTGTTGACAGTCTTCGCTCTCCTGCTGTTTTGAAGCCTGGTCTTCCACCAGCATCCCCGATGCAATCAATGAAGCAGAGCATCGGGGCGGAAGAGCATCGGAGCAAGGCACTCAGGGATTTTGCGTTCGTTTGGCTCTTCGCCACGACTTCTGGTAGCGTCCACGCGCAGGCTGCACGACAGACCGCGATAATGTCCTCCAACCCCCAGCGCATCCGCAGCAATGCGGCCCGCTCCTCCAGATTAACTTCCTCTACACCATCGTCCGATTGACTTGAACCTGAAGCTGCGTCAGTGCTCATAGTAGTTTGTGACGCAGCACCCGCGGCGGTGACAGCTCTATGTATCTCACACCAGAAATCCAACAGCAATTCTGCTGAAGTTTTCGTGGAGGACGAGTCGTCGTCTCCATCGAAACTTTCACCTCCACCTTGCTCAACTTGATCAGCTCTTGGTTTTTTAAAAGACCCGAGAGGTGGCTTCGTCCCGAGCGGTAGATTTTCGGCTCCAGCTGGTCCAACGGCTGGGACGAGGGAAGGCGGGATAGTGGTCATTGCTGGCAGTGTGGCTGCACAAATAGCAGTATCACGTAAAAGGCGACGCCATAGAGGCCTGCGAAGATCGTTCGAAGAAACCGATCTTGAAAAGTCCAGTGGTGGAGTAGAAGCGCAGCCGATTTTCTGCAGGTCTGGAGAACTCGACACCCGCTTCGCCGAAGAAAAGGAAGGCGTCGGCAGAAAATTTTCTTCAGTTCCAAGTGCCGGCCCAGCTGCACTCCCTGGTGTAGCTTCGAGGGTCGGTTGTGACGCGTCTTTCGGCGGGGGAGTGCCCTTTGCTTCTCTCGCACCCGGCAGCGCACGACAGGCGGGGCCGCCTTCTAAGACGACTCGACTTGTCATCAAAGAACCTGAATTAGGGCTCGATGGGACAATACTCTCTGCTCCTGCAAAGAGGTCGCCAGCGTAAACCAAACGCTGCGCTGCTAATCTCAGCGAATCATGAAAACCACTCTGGTGCTCCTTTTTTTCGCCTAGTAGAGGTGTGTCTGGCGGAGTTTTCATGGACAGCACGGCGGCGTTGTGCTTCGCACGATCTTCCGCACCCACAGAGGTCGTGCTGCGCTCTTTACAACAAGGCTGTACTAGAGCATCCAACTCTACTTTGCGCGCTTTCAACACTGCGAGACGTGCGGTCCCCGCTTCCAGAGCATCACCCGGGCAACAACTTGTGGCACTCGCCACAAAAGACTCCAGGCTTGTGCATTGGCGAGAGAGTAATGTACGCATCTCCTCTAGTCCTTGCTGTTTCTCGCTGCTCACCTCATTCAGAACGTACTCTCCGATCGGCTCCTCCCTCTTCCCAGGCCCAGCGAAGGACAAGGAGGACGGACTACTTCTTCTAGCGGCGCCCAAATCCTCATTCTTTGCACTTGTGCGCGTTCCGTTTCCACCTTCATCCTCTCGTACATTCAGGTTTCCGCTCGTTCTCCGCTGTTGCCCGCCCTCAAAAGCGACGGGAAACGTTGAAGTGCTTCGAGGATCCCCCTCAGAATTCCTTTGTGCAGCCGTCATGCTGCTCCACGAACTTGTAGCACAATTCGGCAGAGCGAAAGACTCCAAGACCTGATCCGCTAGAGCCGCCCGTTCGGCTTCTTCGAGCTTTTGCACAGCCGCCGCAGTGCCACTCAAGTGGTAGGTGCGCGCCTCTGCTACGGCCGACCGCAGAACTTCAAGCGTAGGAGCTGTTTGCGAGCTGGCTCGCTCAAGCACGCGCTCTATACTGCGCAGCTTTTCCCGACTTTTCTGCCACATTACGAAGGCCTCCGATACGACAAAGCTAGATCCCACTCCCGAGGAAGAAGAGGATGGAATTGAGGTTGAGCGGACGAACCCTGAAGAGCTAGATGACGCCGGTCCTACCTCGTCATGCTCCCTAGAAGTAGGCTCTACCTTCTGATTCCAGTTGTTTGTCTTGCACACGTGATTTGTCATCGTACTAGTTGCAGCAGAAGGTACTTTATCATGACAATGCTCATCGCAATTGTCGTGATGCTCGCCTCTTCCTGTGACCTTCTGTTTCTGTTCGTCACTCACGTCTTCCGACTCTGAGTTCGACTTTGTACAACATAATGAACCGCCTACTTGTTGGTCAACATATTCTTCGCAGTGACTTGGCGACACTGCTAGCAGTGGACGCAGCGACGTCGCAAGTGGATGTTCCTCTTTTTGGTCGCCCTCTTCAGGACTACCTTCGAACGGGCACATTCTTCCAGTTGAAGGCATTGCAGTTGTCCTGCCACGAGTCTTGCGAACGTCATGCACACAGATCGGCGCGGAGCTGCTCGCAGGTAGTTCCAGGGCATTCGAATCATCCCCACGATGTAGCTTCATCTCCCACGCGGGACGTTCATCCTTGATAAGATCCTGAGATGAACCCGATAACATTTTCGTACAGCTAGAAGAATCCTTTCCCCGCACTGGGTGCTCGTCATTCGCGCCCAGCATGACACTGGCCGACGAAACTCCGCTAGCCGTAAGTCGGGACATGGCACTCGTGCGATCGCTGCGACGCGGTGACGAACTAATGGTGCTCCATGTCTCGCGCGCGTTTGACGAGGAAGAGATCGAGTTGGAGATCACGCGACCCTTTTTCACTACGCTCGTGTGGCTCGTCTTTTGATGTCTCACAGTGCCAGTCACCACTCTATTCGCGGAAGACGTAGGAGGCACATGCTGTTCCTGTTGCTGTAGTGCCCTACCCGCGACCTGCTGTGCGCTCGAGCGCCGAGCAACTTCAACATGCGCTTGCTTCAACTGAATCTTTTCCCCAGCTACGATATCTTGTTCAAGATTATTAGTTTGGCTCTGGCGTTGATCTGCACTGTCTTTTTCTCCGACTGTTGATTCTTGTTCACCATTCCCTTCATCAACATTTTCGAGAAAAAGAGACATCAAGGAAGCTTGGGTCCGCACGATGTCAGGGGCTGATGCAGCGGATACTTCTGAGGGGCCCCGCGGGGGAGAAGCCTCCTCTGCTTGTCGATACACGGCGACCACCTCCTGAAGAGCATCCTCGATTATCTGTATGTTCTGAACAAGCGCACTGCTGCGGCGACAGTGACGCATCACGCCATACAGACGGTCCTCCGCCTGCATCACGTGTAGTACCTTTTCGGTTGAGCGCACTTCCTCATCGGTGCATGAGGACCTGCCTAGCAGGAGGGCGCCTTCAAGGAGACGAATGCGCTGCTGGAGGCACTTTTGCCGCTCGTCCCGCCTCACTTCTTGTTCGGCATCAAGCTTCCCCATCTTACAACTATTGCGTGCTGATAATACTTGCCGGCGCTCTTCTTCTCCAGACACATCGGGACGCTGAGTATTTGTAAAAAAGTCGTGATCTTTACTTTGGGAATCAGAATC